AGAGCCGGATTTCCAGGTGCCAAGGCGGACATGCGCGGCGGCGTCGCGAGCGCGCTACCTGCCCGGGCGAGCGAGATAAGGCGGCCGTGAGGCGCGTGAGGCGCTGGAGAAGTGGAGGCGGGGAACTGTGGTCTGCGAATGGAGGCGGGGCCGGCCGCAAAGGTCTGTGGTTACGCGACCACGAACATAGTGCTGGACAGGCGGCATGGTGTGCGCTGCGGCGCACGCATGCCCTTTCTCATCTGGTACGCCTCCTCGCCTCCGCACAGAGCTTGCTCTCTGTGGGCGGGGAGCCGTCCGGGGCACGCCGGGGAACTCGCGGGGTATCCGGCTCGGCAGCGACAGTTACGGCCGTCTAGGCCGTTCTATCCCTCGCATAATGCTTGGACTGTTGATTGACCCTTGTCGCGTTCCTCCGTCCCAGGCCATCATGGCAAGGTACCCTCGCATGTGCCCGTCTCGTTTTTCTCGAAGGTTAGTCAGCAAGAAAACGCCTCAATTGGGCACGCTGCTGCGCCAGCCTGTCGCCAACCCTTGAAGTTTGCTCGAGGCATCGCTCGACGCCAGCGACGCCGCCGAATGCGGGGGTGTCAGGTCTGTGCGTGAGAGATGAGATCGAATTCATTGCACCGCGTTAGTGCAGGGGTATAGCAAGGGCAGGTAGGCAGGTAGGCGCCTGCACAGGAGGGTTTCTCAGATCGCGTTCAATCATGATTCGGCATGCGCAGACCGTTGTCGTCTGAGATAGCATGGCCAGAGGAAAGAGGCATTTTCGTCGCTCACGCACAACAACTTGCGACAAGCGATACCGGCCCTGAGTATGGGCTGACCAGAGGCGTTGGGCGTTGTGTCACAGCCCTGCCTGCACACTCCTGCTGCCGACGCGTCGTGAGATCTGGAGATAATTCCATAACGGAGACTTGCGACGAGACTCCAATGGAGCTCACTGGACCTCACGAACCAGGAAGATATGGTCCGCTCCAAAACGTCCTCGCTTGTGCTTGTCCCATCACGTCTTCGCCGGATCCCGGCCGCCAGCCAGAGCAGGCAGAGCTAATCTCCGCGCTATTGAGTGGATGGCGATCCTCAGGCCACTGGTAAACCTGACAATGCTGAGATCCGCCAGTAAGCTAACGTAGCTAGCGAGGGGGAGAGATCCCTTCCATCTGTCCAGGCCTGGCGATACAGGAATTCTGGGATTCCGGGACTGTAGAACGGTAGAAGACTGGCTGCTAATCCCCGACACCGGAGCTAGCGGCGACCAGGTCTTGAGGTGGAGTCGCTACCTCCGCGGGCGGAAATAGCGGCAGCTTGAGGCTATGGTATGCGGGTGCGGGCAGCACCAGCTTGCAGAGGGCCCAGGGCCGGCAGGGCCAGTGTTTGCCGCCCCGTTGCCCGGGCCTGGGGCCTCTGTCATGGAGTTGTGGACCTCTGGGACCTTTGGACCTGGGGAATAGGCGCCAGGGCAGACGAGCATGTGCGTATGACTTGCAAGATCCGGCGGAGCCCGCCGCCCAGCACACTGTACGGGCAAGACCCACGGGCGACAGGCAGAGGCTGACGGGGCTGGCCGTGCTGTCCTCAGACCTGACAAAGGTCTGGGGCAGGGACCCTTACGAGCCCTTAGAGAACCCTTTAACAGAGCGCGTTCAACATTCCGCAACCCAACCTTGCTGCAGTGCTTGGGTGGAGGTCGAATGCAACAGAATGCTCACTGGACAATCACAGAACGACTCTGCACTCAGCGACGAGACGAGGTCTGATCGAGCGCTAAACCCCCACGCTCACCAGCCATGGCTGTTCATGGCTGATGTGGCGTCCGAGGCTATGTTCGCAGAGACTACTTTGCAAGAGCAGAGCGTGTGAGCAGCCCTTTGCTTGTTCATATGGCGCAGCACACTGTCGCACGACGATGGCAGGTGACTGGCTGCCCCCGCCTGACCGCTCGCCAGGCATCAGCACGGGCCAGGGTTGTCGCTCGTTGCTTTTTCGGCGCACCAATAACCCGCCGACGAGTAGGGCAGAGTCGGACTGACTCTTCGGACAGCTGGAGCGATCAGATGAGGCATTTGTTCACTGGCCCGCACGATGTGCAACTGCCGCTCGCCATAGACTGGTGCTCCTGGATGGCTAGCTCTAGCCAGAGCGAAGATAGAGGATACCCCCAGGGCAGCCGATTGGCCCTCCTTGTGTGTGGGGTCTTCATCATGTATCCTTCCTCTCCCCTTGCTGACGCGAGGAGACGAACTAAAATCATCGCTAAGCGTTCGTTGCCGCCGGATGCCGCCTGCCGCCGACACTAGTGCGAGTTAGTGGCCTCGGGCGTGCTGATGCAGGAATATGCATGCCTCGACTGCCAGCAGTAGTCCGAGCGGCATGCGGCATCACGGGTACCGCGGTATCGCGGCATTGCGGCAGTTTGCGAGTGCTCGACTCGTGCGCGTGCTGCGCCTGGGAATTGGATATTCACCAGGTTTGTGACCCTTTTGGATCTCTGCAGACAGCTGGAAGAAGAGAAGAGGCGGCGGACCCCGCCCCCACTGCTCCTCTTTGTTGGGCCCTGGACCTCCACTCTGCATTGGATATCGGAGTGTCATCATCAATCGCGGCAGGCGAGGCTGCCTAGGCTGCCCAGGTTGCCCAGGCTGCCCAGGCTGCCCCAGGACCAGGCCCCGAGCGGGGCCGGCACTTGGGTCCCTTGGCTTTTGCTCCCTGCTGCTTTCTGGGCGGAGCCAAGTTATACGACAGCGTCGAAACGACCGCCAAAAGCCCCTGCAGGACGCCAGAAGGGCATGCATGCTGGCTCCAAGCGTGAGACGCGAGACACACAGACCATCCGCCTGGCGCCTGGTCATGCCAGCTGACATGCCAGGAGCACGGAAACACAGAAGCGCAGAACCCAGTGCAAAACATGAGGACATGCTTCACAGTCAGACCTCGAGCCGTCTAGTGAGTCGCTTGTAGCTACTGGCTTTTGCCACCAGTGTGCTCGCTCGGAGCGCTCCGATTCCGACACCCCGCCCCGCGCCGTACGGCGAGCGAGGAGAAGCGCTTCAGACACGGCGGGCACGGCGGCCGTTGCGCCTGGCACAGCGAGGCAAGTCGTGCAGAAGGGGACCACGAGCAGAATGGTTTAACCGCCCGGCTGAGTGAGGGGGCACGCGAGGGCGGGGGGGTTAGGGTAGAGGGCTTGTCGTAATGACAGAGGGCGCCAGGGCGTGGGGGCCAGGGCTGGGACGGAATCCTGGGGGGCAGTGGCCCTCCGAGTCGGGTTGATTGTCAGACTGGGATTATGACATGTCGTCCAGAAGAGACGCGGGGGCGGGGGCGGGGGGATGTGAGATGTGCAGATGAGCGATGTGAGATGGATGCGGGGTCTCGGGTTGCGGGGCACAGACGGCCAACTCGGCACCAGCGAACCCTATCCCTATTCCTATGCCTACAGCTGTCGGGGTTCGGCACGACGACTGGAGCAGCAGCGTATCAGGCGCAAGGCGCAGGGCCAGAGCGCAGCCGCACGCAGGTCGTCACCGTACGGGGCCAAGACCACACCGACTCGGAGCACTCACGGCCGGCACTCCTTGGCCAGAGAAACGAGCGAGCGGCTAAGGGCCCAGGGTCGAAGGTCAAAGGGCTGAGCAAGTTCCAGGGCGCGTCAGCTGGGACAAAGACAGACGACGAGACGATCTCGCGGTGCACCCGCGACACACACAACGCATCTGCCAGACCTGCCTGGACACAACCTTACGTCCGTGACCGGCAGATGTGATAAGCCGATTCAACCACCGCGGCCATCCCCAACGATATCCTGCCCTGCCGCCTGTGCCCTGCTTGCCTGTCTGCCTGTGCCCCGCCTTGCCGGCCAGTACCGCTCCTCCTGATATACATACATACCATCCCCCCCTCTCACCTCCTCCTGTCCTGTTTCCCTCAACCTCGACACACCTTTCCATCCTCTACTTCCTATCTTGGTCACTACCACTCTCGGACATTAACTGTCACGACCACTAAACACCCTTCGACGAACGACAAGCCTCTCACGACCTTCGACTTTGTCATCCACCCCCGGCCCTCTCATCCTCGCCGGCACTTGCTATCACACGTTTCTCTCATCCTCACCATCACACGACACTATCCCCCTTGTCGACTGATCTTTCGCTGCGCGAACCGACATTTCCTGTACCATCATGGCCCGCTCGAACACGCCGAACGAGCGCAACGCCTTTGTCTGCGGAGTGTGCTCCAAGGGCTACTCGCGCCGCGACTACCTGGAGCGACACGAGCTGAACCGTGAGTATACAGATCCGATCACTGTGGGATGATTGCCCCCGACCCGCGATGTCGGTCAGTGTGCCTGCTGTGTGGGGCTGCTTTGTCGTGTGTGCAGGCTGGGCCTGGGAATGGCGCATCGGGGCTCGCGACGTTGCATGTCATACACACCGTTGTGCCCGTTGTCGTCGCCCCGCCCGCTTTGCGCCTGTGTCCACTGCCCGCAGCCAAGTTCCTCTTTCAACGGATTGTCCGTGTGCGGGGAAGCACTGCGCTTGGATGCTTGGTGTGCGGGGTCGCCGGGATGTTCGCCGCATGCGGGTCTTGGCTCTGGAGGCTTGGAGGCATGCGAAACTGGCTTCCGCTGGGCTCGATCCGAGGATCCGAACATGACTTTTGGCCTTGTCCATCTGGCCGAGGCAGCTGGGCTGGACACATGATCTGCGCTGTGCACACTAGTTGCACTAGTTTGTTAGTGCGGCCCGGCACTACCAGCGGCGTACGTGCTCCATGCATCGCTCGGTGCTTAGCAAGCAATCCGCGGTGGTGTGCATAGCAATCTCTCTGGAGCAACGGGGGGGCGTGCCTTAATGCGCTAGAGTGCAGGTCCGGTGCCCGTGCCGGGGAGCCCGGGGGTCTTGCTCTTGTCCGGGGTTTAGGATTTCCGCTCCCAGCCGCCGCTTGCCGCCGACCCTTTGCTCTTTGCGTTCCTTGCCTTTTAGCACGGTGTGATGACATATCCCCCCCCCCCCCCTTTTCTCCCTCTCCCCTACCCTTGCGCAATCGCGAAAGCCGAAGCAGTCACTGACAATCCAGACAACTCGCCATCGTGCATCTGCCCCGCATGCGGGAAGAGCTTTGCGCGCCCCGATGTGCTGCGCAAGCACCTGTCGACGTCGTGCAAGCTGCGCCGGGGGAGCGACGGCGAGGCTGCCCCGCTCACGAGCGCAGAGGAGGACGCCATCATCCCGCGCAAGCGCCGGCGAACCAAGGCGCGCGCGGCCGTGTCGCCGTCTCCTTCGTCCTCGTCGTCCTCGGTCTCAGCCGACGAGCGCGTGCGCCGCGTGCTCGCCTCGTCGTCCTCGGCCAGCAGCGCCAGCACCAAGGTCGCCACCCCCGTGTCGCCTTCTAGCGCCGTCTCGCCCCAGTCTCCGGGAGACGACCGGATGAGCGCACACTATGCGCGCCTGCGCTCGCTGGCCTCCTTCCAGGCTGCTGGGGGACGGCTGTCGTCCTCCCTCCCCACGTCGAGCGAGGGACCCACCGTCGCTCGCGCCGGCGCCAGCCTCGACACCCCGCTCGCGCCCGCCTTTGCCGCGACGCCAGAGACGTTTGGCGACCTTGCGCTCGGCCCGCTGTCGTCCCTCCCGTCCTTCTCCCTCGGCCTCGTCAGCCCCAAGAGCACGCCCGCGACCATTGCGCCCAGCGCCGTCTCGGCGTCTGCGTCTGTGTCTGTGCCCAACCCGCCGGCGCAGAAGGAGCAGCCGACGTGGTCGACGAGCGCGAACGACGACCTCCTCTCGTGGCTCTTCACCGTCACGAACACGGTCCCGCCGAGCGCGATGGCGCCGTCGCTCTCGTCCTCTGCGTCCTCTGCGTCCTCGTCTGGCTCCGTCGGCTCTGTCGACGCCTGGCCCGTCACTCCCTCCGAGCCAGGCCGCAAGCTCAGCGACGCAGGCGAGCTCGCCGACCTCGCCCTCCTCCCCGACCTCCCCTTTGACGGCGGCGTCAGCGGCAACAACACCGCAGGCGGACTCGGACTCGGCGGCCTCGAGGGCAGCGCAGACTTTAACGGCCTCGGCGGCTTCTCGGCCATTCGCGGCCTCCCCGGCATGCCCGAGTTTGGCGACAAGAACGGCACCGACTGGCTCTCGCACAAGAGCGAAAAGTACGACCCGTACGCGTACGACCAGAACACGATGGCGCAGATGCGCGTGTACTACGAGCTGTACTTTAAGGCGTAACCGCGAGCGTGAGCGAGCCGCATGCGCGAGCCGCGTCAGCGGCGAGCCCGCGAGTCAAGACGACCGAGTCGCAAGCGCAGAGCTACGCGCGACGAGCCCAATCCCAGTGATCCCGGCGGTGCGCCCCGGGCCACGACCCTGTAAAACACCACCACTTTCCACCTATCTGTACAATTACCAAACTATCACTACCCACGTACCCACGATACATTCCCGTTGTACCATTAACCGCAAAGAGGATCCTTTTATCTATCTTGAATCCAATTATTTTGGGAGATACTCATCTAGTCCATAGTAGTCATAAGTCGTAGTCGCTAAGTCGTTAAAATGTGTTCAATCACCCTCGATGAGGACTGAACATGAAGCCGAAATGTAAATCCATCAAAGTTTGCAATGGACTCGCTGCATGCGCTCGCTGCATACGCTGCTTGCATCGATGCTGACGAAGAGGCTGTAGAAAGGCTTGCGACTTGCCGCGGGGTTCCCATGGCCATCCCCCCTCATCAACAGTAGGACGCTTGCATACCGCGATCAGTCTACCTACGCCAGTAGAGTACGAGGGACCCACCCCGTGAACGGCCCAAATGTAGGGTGGGACAAGACAACGAAAGCCTCGGAATTACACCTCGTCCTGGGCTGGGAGTCACTGTGAAGGAGGGGCGGATACCCGGCCGCCCTTTCTTGTACGGCCAACTCGGCCCAGACGGTTCGGGCCGGTTGCTGGCGGGCAAGGACTGCAAGGACTGCCTTAAGCTGCCTTTGCTGCCCTCGACTCTCGTCTCATTCCACCTCCACTCTCCCACCTCCCGCAGCCACGACCCCTACCCTCTGCCCTGGGCCCGCCCTGGGCTAAGAAGCGACGCTGAGGCGAGACGAGGAGTTGCCCGCCCCACAGATTTGGCCAGGCACGTTCTTTGGCGAGATTAACGAGCATTTAATGTGGAGGTTTGCTGCGGGGGTGAGATAAGCCAGGACAGCCAGGAGCCCGCCGAGGTCGGGAAACCCACCCAGCAGGGCCAGAGAGCAATCCGCCTGAATCTGCATTCGAAACGTGCGGGCAGGGGGGGGCAGGGGGATTCGAAATTCGTGTACTGGGCGTCAAGTCACCTGGCCTGAAGCGCGTCCGGGATATCGGTCCCGGGTTTGGGCTGGATACCCCGTGCACACCCCGCGGGCCCCGGATGCGTCATGATCTGCACGCGCCGTAGGGATGGTGTCCACCACTGCTGCAACACACGGTAGCTACAAGTATCCCCGTAACAGGCGACCTCTCGAATATGGTACACAGTATTACACCTGCTCATAGGCATGTTCTTCTGACTAGTGCGGCAACCTTATGTCCTGCTGCCGCACGCCTCGTCCCGCTGCCCCTATCTCATTGCTCTCGGCAACCCCCCCACGCTACAGCTCACGCTACAGCTTTCCGTTGGCAAAATGCCCGTTCGGGACGCTCATGCTGTCAGCATCGACAAAGTCGAGCGGCTCGGCGCCGCTGCCATCGCCCCAGATCGGCATCGAGTAGTCGAACATGAATGGAAGGTCGGGCACGTCGATGTGTGCCGGCGTGTTGGGTGCGGCGGGCACGGCGAGGCCTGGTCGTCAGCGGGATTTCCTTCCCTGTCGGCCAACTGAGCCTCTGGAACACCTCTGTCGGGTCGGCGTTACTCACCCAACAACGCGGCGACGCTCTCAAACGAGTGGATCAGCTCCCCTACAAACTCGAATATACCCATGTGCTCCTTAAGCAGGGCGAGGACGATGGCGAAGAGCTCTTCCGTTTCGTGCCTGCTCAGTTCGCGGGCCGTGTGGCACAACACGAGCAATTGACCGCACGTCGTGATGCGCCGCAGCTGCGCCCAGCATGCGTGGAAGAGATTGTTGGCGTTCAGACTCGCGTACGTCGTCAGAATGCGCGAGACGGATCGCGCGACTATGGGCGTCGACGAGGCGCCCAGCGTTGGATGCGAGAGGCAGGGGGCGCGCAGGAGGAGCCGGATCCTGAGGTCAGCATAACGTCGTAGAGGGAAGGTGTGAAATGGCTGACTGCGGTGTGCTTGCCCTGCCCGCATCAGTGCTCACCAGTTGAACCGGATGTCCGCGTATGGATGTATGATGGCGAGCATAGCGTCGCTGCGTTCATCGGCGCACTCGCGCATGAGGGGCCACCACTTGCTTTCCGTCGCGAGGATAAACTCTGGTGTTGTCGTGTCGACTTTGCCCGAGTGGATCTGGGTGAGGAGCTCACTCTCCATCAGCGCGAGTCGGGACAGGATGCCCTGCGTCTGCGCGGCGTCGGTCGAGATAGAGGGGTCATAATCATAGTCCCCGAAGCGATGGAAGGGAGGCGCGTCAAGGAGCGTCGCGAACCACCTGTTGTCAGCGGCGCACTGGAAGTGTAAGACTCACGTGTCCTTGTACAGGGTGCTGAAGAAGAGCTGCGCCGGCCTGTCCTGGCTTGGGTAAGCTGATGCCGTGTCGCGGCGGTGGAGACCGAGCTCGCGTGCATGCCACGACATGGCGCCGAGGATGTCGCGGTTCTCGTCTGGCCCGCCCAGGATCTGCACATAGAGCTGCAGACAGTGCAGCGCGCAGAGCGCCGTGCAGCTGCTACTCCCAAACTGATCGAGGTACTGCATTGTGAGTTTGTAGTATGCGAGATCCTCCCTCGACTCCATTGGCGGAACAGCGCGAACAGTGAGTGTCCCGTCTTTGCTGTGGAAGGCGAGCTCGCTCATACGCCCCAAGCAGAGAACAGCCGCGATGAGAGCACGCTGGTCCACCGTCAGAGTTTCTGGCAGGCTGCGATGCCGGGCATAGAGATCATTTACGCGCGTGGCCGACAGAAACTCGAAGTGCTGCATTGAGCGGTATGACACGACGAGCCGATCCTCGAGCGCCTGCAGCTCGCGCCGCGATGAGGGCAGCGCAGGCGCAGCCTGGCTAAGCAGGTTGCTCGGCCCCGGCAGCGACGTGCGCGCAATATGACCTGGGGTCAGCAGAGTGTCAAAGAATAGCAGGACCCTGCGTTCAGCCGACCGCGTTGCGGTCCTGGTACGGCTGCAGCCCGCGGCAGCTCTAGATGGCGGCCATACGGCGCTCAACGTGTCGGCGTGCTGGCGTGCTCAAGCGCGCACCATGGTGCCCAAAGCCCCCAAAGTCGCACATGCTGGTAGCCCGTACAGTCTCGCACTCACCGACGCTCTCGAGCCACGAATCGATTGCCTGCTCAACGTCGCGAATGAAATGGACGTGTGCTTCGCCGTACCTCGGCCCAGCGAGGTCGGGTGTCGACGACTTCTTCCTGCGCTTGCTGGCTGCCGGTGCACTGTATTCGTTAGCCCTCGCGAGCAGGTGATGGGTGCAGATAGTGTGCCCACCGACCGGCAACCGAAAGCTGATGCCGAATTCGTAACCCGGCGACGGCTGGACTGGTAACTCACCGGCGCGGACGAGCCTTCTCGCGGACGTAACAAGCATCGGCGAGACCAAGGGAGATACATGCGTCGCAAGGGGCGGAACCGGAGCAGCGTGTTCGCTTGGTGCGGCAGTGTTCGCAGGCTTTGGAAGTGCGCCGCTTGTACGGGTCGGTGTTGGGAGGACTCATGCGGGGCGTGCCTGGATGGGGGAAGGGTGTGAGGGCGGCGCGGTGCCGGGCGGCGATGCGGCAGGAGCCGGCTGATAGTGGTGAGGATGCAAGGAGTAACGGCGGGTGCTTGGAGAGCGGGGAGGGAATGAGGAAGTGACGGATACACCAGGAGAGAAAGAGAGAGAGAGGGTGTGTGTGTGTTGGACGAAGGATGGTGGATTAGCGTTGGTTGATTGTGCCCATATGGTAGTTTGCCGTTTACTGCGTCGATGCAAGTGTGCGGGGATGTGGATGTGGATGTGGGGCAGCGAGCAAGCAGCAAGGCCGTAGAAGCCGGTCAGGCGTTAGTGTGTAGGCTGTAGGCTGTAGGCTGGCTGATGCTGGAGTAATTGACTAGGGATTCGGGGCTAGCTGCAAGCTAGGTATTGTGGGCACACGGTATACCGTGTACACAGCAACAGTGGTGGTCACTGGATCTCTTCCTTCCCTGATGACCCACCCACCCCGGCCACCCCGGCCACCCCCACTCGGTCTCTAATGAACCCGGGGTCTCCACCAAATCCTTCCAATCACACCCTCCTAGAACCGGATAATCTACCATCTATATCCATGACTCACCATCACCAAGCCTCTCCCTGCCATCGCTCCATCGCTCCATCGCTCCCACCAATCAACCCTGTCCAACAGCTACTGTAAGCTACTCACACTCACCTCCTGTCCCACCACTCTTTTCGACCCTGATCCACACTGTCACATGACTATTCATTACTTGATACCCGCGTCCCCACGCTTCATGCAACCAGAGAGAGACTCTGTGTCATGCTCCGCGCAACTAACTTGGGCCATGCGATTCATATGTCAGGCAAACGGCGGCACCTTGCTATCAATGCCGCCCACCCTTTTGTGTGTTGTCGTTTGATTTGATATGTGGGGTTGGTTAATATAGACTTTTAGACTTACAAAACGGTTTTGTATCATCTCCCTTCTAATCTTACCCGCCGCACCGCGTCGAGCTCTACGTCACCCAAAAAGAGGTATCTAGTTTTATAATTTGCGGTTGCGGGTCCCGTACGAAAGAAGATTGAATGCCAGAGAAGGCAATGCAAAATGCAAGTATGAAGACACGGGGTAGGGTGCAAGTAGTTTTAGGAAAGTTCCATTGGGCGGAAGAGGAGAGGGCAAAGTTGGGGGTCCAGACAACCTGACCGTGGAGGATTGAGGAGGGAGTGCAGTCGACAGGATGACCGTGTTACAGCAAAGGCGAGGACAGCGCAATGTTCTCACGGATCCAAGTGACATAGGTCGCCAGGAACTGGACTTGCTCCATGGTTTCGATGGCCTTCAAGCCGCGACGCGAACGGATCATGGCGATCGCTCGTTCAACGATGGACATGACAATGGCACGGTCCTCCTCGTTCGTAGGCACGGGCGTAGGAGGCTGACGAGAATGCTTGCCCTTGCGCTTAGCCGAAGCTGTTTCCTTCTCCTTGTCGGCAGCAGCGGCGACAAGGGAGGGATGGGGTTGGACGAAGCCCATCTTGATAGCCCAAGCACAAGCTGTGAGACCGGCACGACCGATGCCGCCTTAATCGTCAACAACATTCACTAATATAGGACAAGTGCACTAACCGCGACAGTGAACGAGGGTGTGGATGCCCTTCAATGTGTAGCGCTCGATGATGAGGGAGACTTGGGCGTCAAACAACTGCAGAGAGACAGGAGTAAAGCCGTCAGGCATAGGGAGGCTGGTGTTGTTAGCAACAAACGACAAGCGGTTTAATCACCGAACAATGTCCAGGCCGATCTCTGACGCCAGATCACGATACTTGGACCAAGGAACGCCAAGAAGTGCAAGCTCTTCATCATCAAGGCAGCTGGAGGGCGTTAGTGAACAGAGGATCAAAGTTATCTCACCAAACGATCGCCCCGACTCCCTGGCTTTTGATACGGCGCAGATCAGTAGCAAGATCACGGCAGACAGGACCACGTCCCTTGACAGGGCCATCCATCCTCAGGCGCTTGCCGGGGCACGAGCTCAGCATCAGGTTACCCAGCGGCGATCCGTGACGCGAGCCCGACCGAGGTCGATTGGCGTTGAAGACAATCGCGCGGGTTCGGGGCTCCACGGGGTTGCCAACCGGGCCAGCCTCAGTGATGGGCTGCGATGGGGCAGCGCAAGACAAGAGAAGCGTGGGAACATCCAGGTCCGAATCAAGGAGAAGGGGTGTCGACTCCTCAAAGCCCGCTGCAGGGGCTTTCGGCGTCACAAGATACTTGGCCAGCGTGGGCATGATCTCGTTAGGAATGAACGGGGAGATCACGATTGGGTGCGTGTGGGAAGTCTTGACTACATGGCCGAAAAGAATCGACGGTTGCGACATGTTGGGCGTCGATTGGCTCAAGATAGAGGCAGACGCGGTGGTCACGGTGGTGATAGCCGAGTCGCTGTCAAGAACCATCGGCTCGTCCACTTTTCGGCGCTTCTCCTCGTCCTCGAACAAGAAGGTGAGAGGACGCTTGGCCGGACAAGATTGGGTGCGAACAGGAGTGGGCAAATCAGTCTCAGGGATGGGGTGACAGCCGGGGATGTGGGGAATGGACGACAGAGCGTCCTCATCGATGTCCATGCGATCCGTGGTAGCGAGGTTGGCCATCTGGTCAAGTTCACAGAGGGACTTGACCGAACCTGCAATGGAAGCCCAAGGAGAAGTCGCCTTGCTCTCGTCCTTGTCATCGCAAGTCGTGGCAACAGAAGCCGTCGAGCTCAGAGACGCAATGGAACTCTCACCGCGCCAAGCATCAAGCATAGGAGAGGCCATAGCAGCGCGGATTTCCTCGACGCGCTTCTCCTCATCGATCTTGAGGTTGCCAGCCAGCGACATGGGCTCAGGGGAAGACACTTTGGAAGCCGCCCAAACAGCCGCGCACAGGGCATCGGGAGTTGGGGTCATCCTGTCAGACACCGAGGTGCCGGCCGTCGTATCCGTCGTGGACGAGATCAGGCTGGGAACGGAGCTATCGTCCAAGGAGGTGGAGCGGCTGGGACCGGTGGCGACGAAGTGTGTGCACTCATCTTCGCAAAGCTTGCGCTCCATCTCTGCCTGGCGTTGCATCGTGCGCATCACGCCACGGGGATTGGCCCAAGACTGAGGAACGTAGGTCGCGTTGCAACCATTGGGTCCCCACTTGGATAAGTTGTAGCTGCTTTGCGGCCACTGGGAGCAGAGTCGCGCAAACTCTGTCACGACTCGTCGCTGTTCCTCGGCCCACTCGTAGCGGCGAAGGGCCTCCACCGGGTTCTCGATAGAAGGCGAGTCCGGCGTCAGAGCGGGAGGCATGTTGTGCGGGTGCGCCACAGCAGGCGGCATCGCATGAGGAGGCAAAGGCGTGGTCTCCATCATCTCAGAAACTTCGGGTGAAGGCACGTATGAGAACGCGGCGGGCGAGACCAGCGTCGACGACGGGGCCATGGAGGGCGACGGCGCAATGTACGGCGACATACCAGCGCCAGACGCGGAAACCGTGGGGGCCTGGGCAGGCGAGGGCTGCGCGGGTGATGGGAGTATCTTCGGACTCTCACCATCACGGCGACGGCTGAAGGGGCTGATCATGCCCACAGCACGAGCGACCTTGCCGAACGGGCCCCACGAGCGCGGCGATTGAGCACTGGCGGGTAACTGCGCGAACGAGGGGTTTGCAGTCGGACTTGCAACATCCGGACGCTCTCCATAAACCGAAGAGGACGGCGTGGTCTCGGGCGTGACGATAGACAGAGACGGGGCAGAAGCCTCAGACGACATACTGCGGCCCGACATCGAAGGCGTGGTGGATCGGTTATCCGAGTCCTCCGACCAGATAATCGAGCCCGTACGCGACGTCGACAACGGATCCGGAGTGGCATCTCGCTTATCAGAGCTCAGACCCAGCATGTCACTTGCAGACATGGGAGTGACTTGTTGCTTGAGTGGCGACTGGTTCGCCGGCGTGGTGGTCGTTGGTTTACTCGGCTTTTTGAAGCGCTGGAAACCCGACGAGTGCGGCTGCGCCGCCGAGCCACCCTTGCTGCCATGGCGAGTTGAGGGAGTCGAGTTCTTCTGATGGAAAAGAGGAGGCGGAGTCGCCGCCGCTGCTCTGGACATGATGGAGGGGGGAGGGGGAAGTAGGTGATAGGGTCGGCGGGATTGGGGAGGTCAGCGAAGAAGTACGGATGTCGGTATGGCTATGATTGAGGATGACCTCCGTTTTCTTCGCTCCTTTTCGCAAGTCTAAACCAGTAACACTGTTACGATATCAGATGTTGCGCTTCAAGCTTGGCTTGAACCAGTGGCAACTGCAAATGACAGTTGCGGAATGTTGTGACCTCCGTCACGCTGTGGGCCACGAGTGGCGAACAGGTCGAAGCACAAGATCAGAGAGGTCGAGAGCTGATCGAGAGACGAAAGCGTGCGTCCGTGTGTTGATCTGGAGCAACGCACACGCCTGAGTGACTCTTCAATCGAGCGTTAGTTGCTAGAGGGCGAGGTCGGTCAGAAGGGAGGGCGCGGTAATGCGACGGATCAACTCGAGATCGACCCTTGGGAGGATTGCGGAGGGTCCTGGTGGCAAAAAAGGGGACGTAACAGTTGACGTGAAGTGCGCCGAGAGGACGTGATGGCGGGTAATGCAGAGCAGACAACGATACCGCGCTTGTTCACGAAGAAATCAGACGCGTGTAGTGCCAGCAATGACGTCGCGGACGTGGGTGGAGTTGGGTAGAAAAAAACCGATGAGACCGATCACAAAACAGAAAAACGGGCTGATATGAGTGCACTGAAGAGGGTATCCTTTTTACTGCTGGCTGGCGAGGGAGCGAGCAATGTAGAGGGTAGACGACATGTTGTGGAGTTGCTGGATATCGAGATGCTGAAGAATGTGGATGATGATCGATCCTGGGTGGCAAACGCAAGTAGGGTGCCCAAGATGATTCGCTTTTACGGTGGCGAATAAGCAGAACGCCGCCGTTTCTTTTGGTGCGGATGACGAGCAAAGCCTTGCTGTGCTTCCGGGAATCTAGTCCTGCTTGTCAGTCGACAATGTCAATGGTGGAAAAACTCAGAAGCACATACGTTTCAGCTGGGTGAGGAAAACTAAGATTCAGAGGAAACGAAGACGATGCGCGCGATTAGAGCCCGCCACTGCCCGGTGATATGTGTCGTAGAGTTGTGTTTTGAAGATTGAGCCGAGATATACAGAGAAAGCAGATGAGAGCGGTGAGTGTATGCGAGAATGCGGGCTTGAATGTGGATGACGGTGAGCAGTGGATGGGGTGTGGTGGGCGGGGCAGATGAGAGAATATGGAGCGTAGTGTTAAAGTGGTTGCGGGTGGTGGTGGCGAGGCGAGGTGGCCAAGGCCTGGCAAGGCAAGCAAGGATCGAAGGTGGACGATATTGCAGCGAGACTTAGGCCCGTTAGCGATTGGCCAGTGAGAGTCAAGGTCGCAGGAGGGTGAGGGAGGGGCCGGAGAGGAGCACCGACCAAGAACGCGGGCGAGAGCGACAGGGCCGGGCCAGCCTGCCAGGTCTGGAGGTCTGGCACGAGCACGCGGCAGCGCTACCGGCTGAGCCAGCTGAAGAGCACGCGAGGGGGATGGTAAGGGAAGGGACCAAACTAGGTACTAAGGAGGAGCTAAGGAACAATATCGGACAGTCCGTGCCGGTTTCCTTCCAGCGCGGCGGAAAAGTGGAATTTGGGCCGTAATTGGGTTTGTTTCTAATACGACCTGGCCGTGGAGCCTTGGGTTATCCAGTTGCTTCCGCTAATATTTTAGGTACTTTGGGCTGATCGATATCGTGTTTTCCTAATGCGAGGTTGAACCTCCTGGTAAAGGGAAAAGCTTCCGTGTTTGGGGGTGCTGCATCAAGGTAGGCACGAGGTCCACCCGCTAAACAGCAAACAACCTGGCGGGTTTTTGATTCCTCTGACCAACAGCCTTTGTTGACGCTCCGGGAGAAGGCTAGAGGATCTAGAGGAGGCTCTCGTCGAGCCCTCTTGTCCTCATCGAGCCCTCTAGTCCTCTGATCCTCTGATCCTCTAGGGCATAGGGCATGGGCAGAGCGCGCGGAGGTATCAGTACGGCGAGGTGCACGCATAAGGAACGGATGATCGCTGCTGGTAGGTTCATGCTTCAAGCTCAGGATACGTCATCAGCTTGCTGATTTTCCAACTCGACCTTCCCAATGCAGCATGTGACCTGTTACGTTTGGACTAGTATGCCAATATTTCTGCTTCCGCGACTCTCATTCTCCTATCTGGGGGTAGCCATTAAGAAACCCACTCGCGCCAAGCAGTCACGGAGGCATGTTAAGTTTCGATTTTTCCGCGCGATTTTCTGCGAATTAATGCTGCCTCGGCGCGCTCGACGACTCCATCTAGCCATCTAGATAACCAGAACTCAACCTGACACGCCTAACTGTCGAGCACGTGATTTTGTGTGGTTCCAGGCACATCTCGAGCCGGCCATCACACCTGTCTGCTATGGTTGTATTTGCAGACGGTCGCCTCGTTCTCAATGAAGCGCTGCTATACTTTGGTAATCATCTCCGCAGGAGTATCCATAGAGAGGCGTTCACACAAGCCTCTCCTTCTCCCGGGTGATAAACTACACTCTCCAACACTCCGGGATGGCCTCTGACTACATCTATGCCCAATGGCACTCTCGAGCGCACTCGGACCGTGGAATTCATGGCCCTCATGAGCTGTCCTGTATAACAGAATCGTGCGGCGGCTCATCCAGCCTATTTCCTCGTCGCAGTCGATGCCAAGACTGTCGCTCGGAGCCGCCCTCTCCCCTCGGTCCCGATATGCGGGGGCGATCGCGAGCGCCGAGGCGGGGTAAACTGCGGAGCTCAATTGGGCTGCGCATTCGGGGGTGTTTGCGGAGGATGCTCACAGGACGATTCGTCAAGTCCGGGATCCGCGACAATCATGCACTGCTCTGACTCTGCACGGCCCATGCCTTCGATTCGACACCGAGGCCACCAGGGCTTTTAAGCTCGGCGCCGGTAGAACATTCCGTCATGAGAGCATGATACGAAAGACAGACGCACGAATTCGTCCCGTCGGAGAGTTATGGAATCGCGGGAGGAGGACCCCGCCCCCGCAGCGCATGTCTGCATCCACGCATGCATGTTCTCCCCTCGTATGGTCGCCCGCTCTCGTCGTCAAGCAGTGCTGCCAAGCCCACCGCTGCAGACTCACAGAGCCACACGCACGCTCGCGGATCTGTCAACGTCCCCAACCTCCGCCTTTGAACGCCGCACGCGTCCGACATACATGGTCTCTCACCAGCTTACCAGATATAAAGCGAAGCGTCACCCAACCGCACCTGTTCGTCTGCCGACGCAATTGCAATCTGTACCGCCATTCCATTCCAACTCAAGTGAAGTCAATAGACACCATGCTCACTGCCCTTGTTCTTGCTCTCGCCGCTTCCGGTGCCTCCGCCGCGCGCATCAAGTGGGCCGGCTCCCAGGGTCCCTCTGCCGGGTTCCTTGCCGTCAACGGCGGTGACCTGCAAAACGACGGCAAAGCCATCACGTAACGTCATCTCACAGTGCGGCGCTGACAGTAGCTCGACCAACAACCGTCGCCTTGTGCACACGAACTGGGACTTCCGCGTCGGCGAAGAGACCAAGTTCAAGATCTCGGAGGAGGGCGCGAACCTCTGTCTCGACGCAGGACTTCGTACGTCCCGTGCTCCTTACCCCAGCTCACATGGAGGTCCGCGCTGACGCCAATCACAGAGCAGTACAATGGCTCACCGGTCAAGGTCTGGGAGTGCCTTGACGGCGTGCCCCAGCAGCAGTGGTTCGTCTCCAACGAGGGCCAGTTCAAGCTCGCCAACACCAGTATGTCCCCTTTACGCCAGTGATAGATCTAACGAAATAGACTTCTGCGTCGACGTCAAGAACGGCGAGGTCACGGCTGAACAGCTCCAGCTCTGGCAGTGCACCGAGGGAAACGCGAACCAGGTCTGGCACACCGTCTTCATCACCAACTTTTAGATCTTCCCAGGACGAGCACGTGGAGCAGTTAGCTATGTCAGTATCGTCAGTGATGCTGCCTCTCCTGTTTCTGGGATCGCGACTTCAAGACCTCGCTTTCCCAGACCCACCGTAACATGAGAATCGAACAGAGAAGCTCTTCGTACATTACCGTAATCACGTTGGTCTGGCGAATGCCGCCGCCGTACAATGACACATGTAAACCGTGTTTCGGTGCCGTATGCACGCACCCGAGGTCCCCAGGACCGAAACGAGCCCCCCAAGCACGACAGCGTCGCTGAAGGTCGTCAAGTGCTCCGAGATATCGGTATCGACGGAGTCACGTGATGTCATACGAACTGCTCGTCGTTCGGAGCCGACAGTCGACGAGAACTGACTCAACCTGGGAATTGGGACGCGGAGGCGTCTGTGTGTTGTGCTGCAAAGACGCCGCACAGAGACCAGACATATTCGGTGGGCTGGTGCTGACAGAGTCGAGTTTGACTTTACTCTCTTGCTGAAGTTATCGAAGTCCACAAGGCTTCCAGTGCCACGGATCTCGTTCCCCGTCCGCCGCGACCGCCTCGACCGTGCCCTGTCCACAGCTACCTCTGCCTCGGCAGCCAGAGGTCGTCAACCATCGACTTGCAATCCGTCCCCGTCGTCCTCGCAAACTCCCACCCACCTGCAGCCGGTTACCGCGGTCGTGTCATGTCAGTCCTCCAGATAGTCGGACCCCCTGTACGACCGAGACGTACGAACCAAGGTCGGATTGTAAGCAGAGGTAAGTAGGCTAGGTGAGTATCCACGTGACCTCCTCTGTGGCGAATGCAGGACGAAATGTTCGCGCTCTTGGGCAACCGTGGCATACAACTGCATGTTCAGCTTGATAAAGTATGTCTGCTCCGGCCGACGGCGTGCATCCGCGGCCCCGCGATTCGGGCCAACGTGGTCCAAGGGCATGTTCCCCTCGATCTGCCGAGAACCGTGTGGACCTGGTGGACCGGGTTTATCTGGGTGCATGTCAGCAAGATGCTTATCCGCGATAAAGTGTGCCGGTCCTGGCACGACCGAAGAAGGCCCGAGGTCACGGACATTGTGCAACAATGACCAACAACAGTCACGTCCGTGTTGCGTGGGAAGGCGCCCGCTTGCGTTCCTGCACCCGCGAGCTCGTGTGCATGTGCGCGTGCGACCGTGTCTCTGCATGGGTGCGTGGGCAACTCAATTCGCGCACTAGCGAACTCCTGGTATCCGCGGATTCAGCGGCCTGCCATCTCGTGACCTAGACGTGCGGCGAGCAGCAATCAATAGCCCGCAGTACCTTATCTGCTGACCAACACCCGACCCTGCGACTGGGCACGACTGACCCGCCCTCCTAAGCCTGCGAGACGTGCTAAGCGCCCAGAAACTAGTTCTGGTTCTAATCTGGACATGTGTCCGTTCCATTTTGGTGCGGATGTTATCAAGCTCAGGTTCTCAGGAGGTCTGCTCGAGCGGCTGATAGGACCGGCCGCTCCGCCCTCCGTTCTCGCTTTCGGCCCCGCCTATCTCTCTGCGCCTCTACTTCTCCAGGAAGAGAATGCCAGGCGTCGATGCCCGGACAAGGAAATCCGCAATGCTGCTGCTACTGGACGGCTTGTGGCCAGCTGTTCAGGCGTTCCCGCGGGGTCGGCTATGCAAACCTAAACCCCGCACGCCGGCTGTCGTGACGAATTCCAAATGGCGCAGAGAGGCATGCGCTATGTTTAGGTTTTTACAGGATTACGCCAGGAGTTACACCCAGGAATAAGCCAGGGCAGGAGAAAAGACACCGGCGACTAACCGCGGACATCCGGTCCGGCCTAAAGCCTCGGTAACCTGATGCCCGCCAGGGAGCCAATAGGCACTCGACCCCACCCAGGCCCGGTCCGGGACCCCCCACGCGCCCACTCCTCCTGCATGTGGAGACGTGAGGCACTTGTGGTGCATTTGTGGTGCCGAGCAATCTGCGTCCGACGGAGCACGCTGGGCACGACCACACCGTATCTAATTCTGGCCATCTGATCCTGGACACCTTGGCATGCTGGCCATAAGGTGGTCGCCCGCGATCGCCGCATCACCGCGCTATGCAGTGCCTACGGGCAACTATGCTAGCGTCGCTGAGACCTGCCCGCCCGTGCGCTGTCGATATGCTCGGACGACCAGCTCCAACACGCCCCAGCCTGCCGGTACCTCAGCACATCTTGGCGATCCGGTTGTGGTTGTGTTCGAGCGTCGCCGGGCCGCGCGGGTGGAAGGAGGCGGTGAGAGTGACATCAGCTGCGCCAGAGTTGCCAGGCAGCGGGGCTGCTATTCGCCTCACAGGCGTCCGGGGTTTGTCTCAATGAAGGCCGCAGGAAGCGACATGATACGCTACTGCACACGATCCACCAGCAAATGCAGCGCTCGTGATTGCTCGAGACCTGATACGCACACTGATCGACCTCTCACGGGGCGGCCGCTCTGCGGGGATTTCTGACACCCCTCACATCCTTCTCGTACTCGGACCTACCGATGATCCACGCACAGGATTCGCTCGCCGCTGTTCGTAATCTGACCGTGAGCGACTCGACCCGAGCTCTGTAGTCCGCAGGTATCGAACGTGGGGCGCCGGGCGCCAGGGTCTGCGTCTTTGAGTTGGAATACTGTTGCAGTCGATCCCTTTAGCGTCGCCCGAGCGCACTCCGCAGACTCGGCCACCCCACTCCGCTTCAGCGTGCATCCCGTCTGCATCTCCGGGGTATGCCACAGCGAGGAAACCGACGAGCGCTCCAGAATACGAAGGAACAAGCGGACATTCATTCCAATGTGTTCGTAATCGCAATGGACGAGTTGTGGGCAACGCTGGTCTCGTGATCAGAACGCTACGAAGCGTGCTTGCTCCGGCCGACGGTATTGGTGGGGAGAGATCTATTTCTGTGGGAGCTAAGATGTTCTGGGCGTTCTGGGCTGCCTCCCACGCGTCCCACGCGCTCAGCCCGCCCGGTGCGGACACGGTCTGCCTTCAGGCCCGTTACGCGGATGAGCAAGGGAAAGTGCAGGAAAAGCCAGGATATCGCAAGAGACTAGCAGGGTGGGTGCACGATCGCTGGCAAAGTCGTACGTGAGCTCGGGCAAGGTGATTCGCTGGGTACGGAGATGATCCGAAGATTTGTCGCTCACCTGCGCTTCGTGCTGCCGCACACGTCGTGCGCGTCGTGCCATTCGCCTTGCCCAACGTCCGCCGACCTGCGGATATACAGTCGGTAAATTGGCTTTGGTCGTCGTTCCTGAAGCACCTCACGTACCTCGCTATCGACCCAGGCACAGTGTTAGCGTCAGGTGGACACTGCCTCGGAGGCCGTTTCGGCGAGATCGGCGCACTCGCCTTATTCCTCGATACTCTTCACGCTCCCGCTGTCTCGCTTCGGGTGGCGCACGTTCATTGACACGTCGACCATCGACGATGGAAACCGTACTGACTACTTCTGCGTAGAGGGAAAGAGCTGCTAGTCGCTTCGCCGAGCCCGACGCCGACACACGACGGCGCCCGGAGACCATGTCCGTCAGTACGTCCGCGGCCTCACGGCGGAGAGGGGCTAGCCGGATAGGTCGAGCGTTAGGGAAGATCGCGATCACACGCCGTCTCACGCCAGGTACTCCATACCTTGCCTCATATGGCACCATGTGCATCTCAGGGCAGGCGCTATTTTCTGCCGACCCTGTCCGGGGAAAGTTATCTCTCGGCTCTTGGTTGGTGCGTTCAGCCCGTCTCAGGGAATGCAAGCTACAAGTCACCGAAAGTCACCGTGGAGCCATGTGGGGCCAACGCCCGCCCTTGCCTCACCCCTTTGGCAGTCCCTGTGCCTCCCCTCGTTCCCCTGCATCCTTTGCGTCTCCTGCCTCCCTAGAAGCCTAGCTCATGCTTGTTGGCAGTTGATTGAGAAGGTGCGGAAGTGCGGAGTGACAACGGGCAGCGCATACAGACGGTGTCGCATTCTGAGTGGCAATTGCTCGGGCACCTGCTCGTGCCTGGACCAACCAACCCACTTGCCCTTTGGCCCACTCCCTCCCACTCACGCGCGTTTGCTGGCCCGCTTCCCTCGACGCAACCCTGCCGGCTCGCTTTAGCCAAGGCTTGCGAGGACGGGATGTGAACCAGGAATAGACTCGAGATTTGCGCGGCACTTCTCCACATGCGGCCCCACAGAAGCTGTCCAGGATCCTCCTTGCCAGCTCTCCGCCCCGAGGCTTGCGGCGTTGGAAAAGGGCCGGCCTGGATGGACCCCCGGCCCCGGATGCCGTGAGCCAGGGAGGGCTGGGGATAAGCAGAGGATCGCGCCGGATAGCATCGCCCGACAGCTGCTGTGGACGCAGATAGCGACGGGCTGGCGTTTCCCCGGTAAACGGCGAGCTAGCCGCTCCTCCTTGCTGGAAGTGTCGGGACACTTAAAGGTCGAGCCGTTAGCGCGGTTCTCAGTTCTCCCCGTACCACAACAAACTTTACCTCTCTCAACATCTCTTGGACTTCAGCTTAGGTGGTCACAGCCACGACACTGAACCAAGATGGGTAGCAGCGACATTGAGACGTACAACGAGAAGGGCCTCGCGCCCGCTGCGGGCCACGACAGGGTTGCCTCCCCTTCGCACGATAAGAAGGGCGACCTCTGGGTAGACGACGTCAAAGTCGTCGCCGCGGACGAGGATGCCGAGAACGCCGCTCACAAGTGAGGACTGCCGTTGAAATGGCATGTGCTGACCATGTACAGCTACGGTATCCACGCCACGGCCGAGGAGTTGGCGGATGCAGAGGAGAAGATCGGTGACATGAGCTTGGAGAAGTGCAAGAAGATCATGCACGAGGTGCTTCTTATGCACCAGCACGACCAGAACTTCTCCACCGAGCTCGTCAACAAGATCAAGCAGCTTCTCTACGACCCGGACGTCACTGAGCACCCGGAGAGGCACGCCAACCTTATCCACGCGATGAAGCTGGAGGCCGTCATGGCTACCGAGAACTCGCCCTACGAAATTGTCCGTGGTGTTGTTGACAACTTTGACGACCCTTCCATCCCCAGTCTCACCTTCCGTACTTGGTTCATCGGTCTGCTCTTCGCTGGCATCATCGGTCTCGTCAACCAGCTTTTCAGCATCCGTTACCCCTCTATCGCCATCTCTGCCTACGTCGGTCAGCTTGTCGCCTTCCCGCTGGGTAAGCTGCTCGAGAAGATCATGCCCACCAAGAGGTTCAACCTCTTCGGTTGGCACTTCTCGTTCAACCCGGGTCCTTTCAACAGGAAGGAGCACATGCTTATCACCATCATGTGCACCATCGTTCAGAACCCTCCCTACACCGGCAACATCATCCTGGCCCAGGCTCTTCCGATCTACTTCAACCAGCCCTACGCTAGGACTTTCGGCTACCAGCTCGTCAACACCTTGGCCTCCAACTTCCTCGGCCTCGGCATGGCCGGCCTCTTCCGCCGCTTCATTGTCTACCCCAGCTTCTGTGTTTGGCCCGTTCAGCTTGCGACCCTCGCCTTGAACAAGGCCTTCCACCAGGACGACTCGGCTGCCGTTGCGGGTCCTTTCAAGCGCTTCTACTACATGAGCCGTCTCAAGCTGTTCTACTGGGCCTTTGGAATCTACTTCGTGTGGTTCTGGTTCCCCAACTTCATCGCTCCCTTCATGAACTCGTTTGACTGGATGGCTTGGATTGCGCCCGACAACAAGAACTACGTCGCCATGGTCGCTGTGGGTGGCGCTGGTCTCGGACTCAACCCCTTCCCCACGATGGACTGGTCGCAGGTTCAGGCTATTCTTTCTACCCTTACTGTTCCGCTCTTCTCCGTTGCGAACCAGTTCCTCGGCGTCGTTCTTGGAATGTTCCCCATCATTGCGCTCTGGTACACCAACACGTGGCAGACTGGTCGTTTCCCCATCCTCGACAACCACACCTGGACCAACACCGGCAAGCCGTACAACGTGACCATGGTCACCGACTCTATGGGCAAGCTCGTCGAGGAGAAGTACCAGGCCTACTCGGAGCCGTGGATGGCCGCCTCTAACCTCATCATCTACTTCTTCTTCTTCGCCGGTTACTCGTCTATGGTCACCTACACGCTTCTCTACCACCGTCACGAGATGGCCATCGCCTTCAGGGAGTCTTGGAAGGGCCTGAAGAGGAGCCTCAGGAGGAACAAGAACTACGACGATGAGGATGAGGTCAACCTTGCCGAGGACGTCCACATGCGCCTCATGCGTGCCTACCCCGAGGTCCCCGAGTGGTGGTACCTCATCATCTTCCTCATTTCCTTCGCTCTCGGCATTGTCGGTATTGCGGCCTTCCCTACAGGTGTCAGCCCCGCCATCGTCGTGTTCGGAGTGGTGCTGGCTCTCATTTTCACGATTCCTACCGGTCTGGTGAGCGCCGTCACTGGAGGCAACATCACCCTGAACGTTTTCGCCGAGTTCGTTGGTGGAGCCCTCGTTCCTGGTGATGCTTTGAGCATGAACTACTTCAAGTAAGTATCTACGCTGTAGAGCGTACTCAAGGACTGTCCGGCTAACTCGCAGGATGTACGGTTACATTGTCTCGGCTTATGCCATCAACTTCTGTGGTGACCTGAAGCTGGCCCACTACACGAAGATCAACCCCCGCCACACTTTCGTCACCCAGATGGCCGCCACCCTCCTCGCGTCCTTTGTCGCTTGCGCCATCTTCAACTTCCAGATGTCGTTCAAGGACGTCTGTACGCCGGATGCTGAGTGGGGCATGATCTGTCCCGGTGAGAACACGTTCTTCACTGCTGCTCTGTTCTTCGGTCTCACTGGACCTAGGCGCATGTTCGGCAAGGGCGGACGCTACATGCTCCTCCTGCTCGGCTTCCCCGTCGGCGTTTTCGTCACCCTCGCCGTGTACCTCGTTCAGAAGTTCTTCCCCAGGAACAAGTACATGCGTTCGCTGCACCCGGTCATGCTCTTCTTCGGACCCCTCAACTACTGGCAGTACCCTTACAACCTGTCCCACATGTGGCTCTGCTTCATCTGGACCTGGGTTTCTTGGGGCTTCGTCAAGAGCCGCTGGCTGGCGTTCTGGAACAAGTACAACTTCGTCCTCGCTGCCGCGCTCAACTGTTCGATTGCCATTGCCGCTCTGGTGCTCTTCTTCTGCGTGGAAGTTCCTGGCGCTCAGATGCCCGACTGGTGGGGTACCACTGTCGTCTCGAGCGTCAAGCGACCCGTTCGTATCGAGGAGCTTCCCGCGCGAGGCTACTTCGGCCCCGAGAAGGGCACTTTCAACTAAAAGCCGACCCGGCTCACCACCACATTCAAACGCGCCTCGTGGTAAACAATCACCGTTCACGGTAACGATCACCTTAAGTAATTACGTTCTGTATTAGTTGTGAAGGATTCTAAACTTGGCGCCGCGGCGTGTTGTTAATGCATCATGTGCTCTGAAGCTCTCTGACGCTGCGCTGAACTTTTGCTGCATTTGTAAGATCGTTTCTCGTTAGACCGAACGCAAGGTCGTAGAATACATCAGCTATCGACTTCTCCTTCTTTCCTTCTCCATCGACTGGATATTCGGCTGAGGCAGCCAACGCTTCAGAGTCTTGTGGTCAAACCGTTTTACTCGGAAACGGGGCCGGTTTCGCGCTTCTCCTCGACATTGTCGCGCTTGTAGCAGAGGGTACGTGGCTTCAGGGTGCACCAGGGCATGTCATCGCGCTCCTCGACGCTGTCGCGCTCCTCGATGCTGTCACGCTTCTCCTCGATGTTGCGCTTCTCCTCGATGTTGTCGCGCTTGTAGCAAAGGGTGCGTGGCTTCATGTTGCACCACTCGTCAGGAACGGGCGCGGCCGCAGCGAAGGTGGCGAGAAGGCTGATGGTGGCAAGGACGGAGGCGAACTTCATGATAGCAAGTAGGTGTAGAGAAGAGCTTTAGGGACAATATAGTAGCGATGAGACACCACGACAGCTGCGTATATATATGTACGCACGGCTGGAAAGCATCCTCGGACCTCGGTCCGGCCACTTCGCCGAATGTCAGAGAGGTGTGTGCACCACATGCTACCAGTAATTCAGCGGATCCACTGGTGCCTTAGATACGAGATGTAAATAGCCCCCGCCCATGTGAGGCTCGAACCTTAAGCACAAGGATGGGGTGGTTAAGGCATTGTGGACCGTGACCATGGGAAGAATGTGACTAACCGTTCACAACTCGGGCGATCCGAGGGCAGCCCAAACGTAAGCCGCTGCCAGCGATGTCAGAAGGCTCGGTGCCCCTTTCTGTTCTCTGTAGGGTCTGGTGGGACTCAGATAGCGCTTATAGCAAACCTCGCAGAGACTTTCGGTCGTGTGATCTCCAATCTCTGCCGTGGGCGGTCTTCCAAGCGAAGTGCGATGGACACGGCCGAGCTGCTGCTCGACTGGCGATATGGACACTCTTAGCGGCCGTTCTCGAGGACTTAAAGAACCCATAACCAACTCCGCTTGGGTTGTAAACAGCCGTGGAAAGAGTAGAGCGGAGCGCTGCAAGCCTTGTCATATTGGAAGGCCCCGTGTGACTCCCTACACGTGGGCGGCCTCGGTCCCACGACGACTTCACCTCTGTGGGGATGTGACTCGGAAATAACGGTGGGCAGGACAGGCAGACATGGTATAGCGTCCCGCGTTTAGCCCGGAAGTAACTCGAACGCTAGCGGGGTGATTCCTAGGCCAAGAGACATGCAAGCCCTACGAGGGATTAGTGGCCATTTCGGTGATTTCCCGGTGACATATGCCACTCCGAATCGTGGTCTCTGTTTTATCACGGCAAGGGTCCGGGTGACGTCACATGGTCGCCCTTAGTCCACTTGTCACCAGCGGTGCTGCTGGTGCTGACTAGCCCACCGAGATTGTGCAGCTAAAGATAATGGTATATCTTTGAAACCCCAGTTGAAGACGACCGCTCAAAGGTGGTCTTGCACGTGGCCCAGTCGGTTGGTCGGTTCGTGGCATGCTTGTCCGCGCAAAGACAGGTGTAAGTCTTGACCTCGTTGACCTCCATGAAAAGAACTTGAACAACACCCCAACCAACAGATCGTATTTAGACCTGGGCTACCGCTCATTCCCTGGTCCGTCCATCGATGTGCTTCTCGCGTCATATGAAGGGTCAGGTGTCGAGAGTCAGCGCAACTAGTCGCCTATGTGCCCAGTGCACTGTCAAGCCCGTTGCCCTCTTACAGTGACGTTTCAAGCGTAATTAAGCGAGACAAGGTGAGGGATGCTGTTTCATGACTCTCGCCCCCTTCGCATCCTTGTCAAGTATCAAGACCCGCAACCCCAGCACACAGTGTGAAAAGGCCTGCGGAGATCTGTCGCGGATGTCGAACTGGCTGGTGGCAGTGCTGGCCCGATAACTGCCGGAAATGGCGCCCTGCAGATCCAGTTCTGTCTCTAGTTTTGCGTTCGCCTTCGGCGATAGTACTTGAGAGACTCGCCCGGTGTGGAGTAGGCGTCATCTGAACGAGGCACAATACTGTTACTCTTGGCTGTGCAGAGACTTCGAAGATCATGGGGGCCTGAAAATCAGAGAGAACTGCGCTCGCACTGCCCCACTCTGCACCCGGGATTACGCGCGGCCGGCCGTACATACATCACTGCGTTGGATTGCGATTACATCAGTAGACCTGATCCGAAATTATAAGACATTATTACGCCTCCAACTCCGCCCCTTGCCCCAGTCGGACATCAGTCTAGCTATGAGAGTGAAATAAGGTCACTCTATGACCCATACCTCAGGCCATTACAGTATTAGCACCGTCTTTCCTTCCGATACTCGACGCCCGCTCCGATGCCAGCTTCCCCGACCCGCTTCTTGGTCCCTCCCTGCCTGGGGCTGGGTGTTGTGTATAACTGTCCTCCCAACCACAACACCCAGCCCAGGCAAAAGCGCCTACTCAAACCGGACAGCGGCGAGCTCGATGCTACCGCTAGCACGCTTCTTGACGCTCTCGTCGTCGGCAACGGCGGCGTGGTCCGCATCGCAGCGCCTTGGACGGGGTGCGATGGGGCGCAACTCCGCAAACGGCCTGTTCCAGAGGGCTCTGTCGTGCCTCCCACCCATCTGCAGGGTGCAGATAACCTCGGTCAGAATCTCGGCGAGCATGAGCGTCATCGCCGTCAGTGTCAGTGCCAAGGTTATGAGCGAGATCCTGCCGTCAGCGCCGTGTCCTCGGTGCCCGGCTCCTTCCGTTGAGACATCTTGGACCATGCGGGCTCAAGCTTCGCCCTCTACGAAGATATCACACCAGACGGAGATGGAGCTGAACCGGTCTCGGAGTCGCGGTAGGAGGGCATGGAGGGCTGACCAAGAAGAGCCCCCCATAGACTTTCAGGCTAGAGTGTACAGTTTCAGCTTCCAAACCATACTTACACGAGGTCATCGCCGTACGGCTCGAACCACTGGCGGGTCGCCATACCCCACCACGTCAGCGGCGCAATCCCCAGCAGGAAGAAGAAGGCCAGTAGTGCGAGGTCGACACGGACGCGGTTCAGCGGGCTACGCTTGTGCGTCGCGAGAACGATGAAGCTGGGATCAGCACGGTGGCGAGGCGGAGTGTCCTGCAGTGACGTGGATCGGATCACTGTGAGATCCCATTCAGCGCCGCGTACAGGCAATGAGCACAGAGGAGATGTGCAGCATGAAGGTCTGGCTGAGGGGTGGTGGAGCCGGGGAAGCGTCGTGACTTACCTGTAACATGCGTACGGGGCGAGGAGCGCAGCCCACACCGCCGTCATGATCAGATGCTGCCAGCCCGGGTAGTACTCTTCGCCTCCTAGGCGTTGTTGCCGCACGCGGCTGACTGCGATACCGGCGACGGAGACGCCAAGCGCACCCAGCGCCACGAGCGCGAGCACGCCGTACACCCACACTTGAGCGCGGGCGTGTTGTGTCCGGCTGGAGGGGCTGGTCGATCTCATGGCCTTGGAGCCTTGCGTTAAGGGCGAAGAGGGAACGCGAGAGGCAAGGAATGGCAGCTGCGCGGAATGAACACGAGGAGGCAGCGCTGGAGAGTGGCAATCCGCTGCCGAGGTGTGAGTAGTGAGATAAAGGCGTTAGTTGTGTCAAGATCGCGAGCGAGCATGTAGTAAGTCGCGGGTTATATGTAGGGGTGGTTTCAATAGCGAGATCAGCGGTTCCAAGCTTTGCTTACCTGCGGCAGATCAGCTGATCCCACAGCGTTGACCGAGGAGAACGTGCCAAGCCGTGGCGAAGCACATGTCCGCCTCTCGCGGCATGGCCTGGGGTGAGGGAAGTGCGGAGCCCGGGTCTGCCGCAAGCGCTTGGCTCTGTCAGCTTCATCTCAGCGCACAGAGACTGCGGACAGCTCGACAGCTCCACCCGCAATGAAACCTGGGTCGTGGACCCGACTAAAGATAAGGTTGATGCTCCTCCACAGCTCTTCGGATCCGAGGCTCAAGCTCAATGCCAGATACCGGAAGACTCACGTGATCCCCAATGCGTTACGAGACACTGGCTTGAATCATCGACTCTGAGAAACATCGAAGTGTCGATAACCAATCGAGCATATGGCAGACAGGTATCAAAGACGGTGGAGGCAAGGACGGGAGCGTACGGTACTGTGCTGCGGTTCTGCTGCGAAACGGGAGAGTCATCGCACGGCGCTACGAACAGCAATGACGCACGGGAGGTTGGTGAGCCGTTCCGTTGCCTGGCCGGTTCGGCCTATTCGATCATCAAGACTGTGCAATGCGAGCTGCCATTGCAGCCCATGAGAGTGTCAGATTTGCTGTTCATGGTTCTGATGTGAAGCTGCGTAGTCTGATTGAGGAAGCGGTCGGCGTAGCGAGGGCATTGAGGACGGTGGAGGGGAAGTGGAGGCCGAGCGCGAGTGGAATGCTCCCGCTCCCCCACCCTGTGCACGCATTTCATACCCCTTTGAGATGCTCTCAGCGCCGTCGCGTCGGCGCGTCGTCGGGCGGTCGGCGTTCCCCGCACACAGGACATCTTTCGTCTCGATAAGAGCAGTGTCGGTAGGCGGTTTCTCGCTCCGATACGCCGGCCCCGCCATCCCCGTCGTCACGTCTTCGCACCAGCTATATCCGTCTCTTTACGTCGCCGGCGATGGCCAAAAGGATAGCAAAAAGGATGCCGAATAGTGAGCTAGGTCTGGGAGTCAATCTGGGTGCCTGTGATCAGATTGAGAGGTGAATGACGATGGGAGCGTCAGCGGCGGAGGGGACCCTGGCAACCCTGCGGTTCGTGCAATCTTGGAATTACCGTCCAGGGTCCAACGCTCAGATTAAGATTAGCGGGTGTGCGATTGTGCACACTCCGGTCTGCTCTTAGCGAGCTCAGCTTTTGATGCTTGTTGGTCGCCGGTTGCAAGGTGCAAAGTAATATGTACATGGATGCTATGATGTGTTATGCTTTTACAATGAGGGGCCGGGCGTGATGAGACGCAACCGATGCTTGAATGTCTAGGTCTAAAAGCTTGGATGGTGTATGCCAGTCCAGATGTGTGTGCGATGTGATTTGTGTGTGAATGCGAGAGAAGGATGATCGAGCAAAACCAAGGTACGAGCGAGGTACGACCGAGGCCGAAAAAGTTCGAGCTTACGCGCGATTGCGTGTTTACGTGCGTTGCTGGAGCGTGGGGGTGGGGGGTAGCCGTTTATGGGTACTGCTCGCCGACATAGATCTGCTGCTGCTGCACCTGGTGCTGGTGAACGGGCCACTGCGTGCTCCCGATCGAGTATTGCTGCTGCAGCATCGGGTCGGCGTAGGATTGTTGCCGCGGGTTGGGATACGACGAGGACGTCTGTAGTGTCGAACTCGGCTTGAACGGGCCACTGCGTGCTCCCGATCGAGTATTGCTGCTGCAGCATCGGGTCGGCGTAGGATTGTTGCCGCGGGTTGGGATACGACGAGGACGTCTGTAGTGTCGAACTCGGTATGGCATGTACTGCGGACTCGCGACTGGCGATGGGTACGCGTAACCGTCCGTCTGGCACGGAGAGGGCGTTTGTGGGATGTCCTGGACGGCAGGCTGGCGCGGCGCCGGCCACACGTCAGGCATTGGCGAGTGGGGGACCCCCGTCGGCTGCGGGCGGATCGTGGCATCGAGCGCAGACGAGAACTCGTAATTGTAGTCGTCGTGATTGTAGAACGAGGTTCCTGTTGATGTGCGAGACAGCGACGGGCGCGAGGGGCGGAACGTAGCGGGCGGGGCAGGGGACGGGGACATGGTGTAGGCGAGAGGAGGGGTAGGAGGCTGCTGCTGGAACTGCTCGTAGTTGACGGGCTGGATGTAGGCGGCCTCGATCTGAGTTTGCGTCTGGGACGCTTCCACCGGCGAGATCGGGTAAGCCGTCTGTGGGTAGGACATTTCCTCAGAAGCCTCTGGGACAGGCGAAGGGAACAAGTTCATGACAGACCCTCGTGCACGGCCCGCGCGCTGCCTGGATGATCGACTGGCGCCGCCACCAGGGACGAGGGCGGCTGCGATCCGCGCGCCAGTTGCGGCAGACAGAGATGCAGCGCGGCGCTCGTTCCACGCAGCATACTCGACGTGTGTCAGTACGGGCTGCGACTGCTGGCGCTCCATCCCGATGCTGCGGGGCGGGGACATGCGCTGGCGACGAGGGAACGTTGAAGAGCGAGCCGACACATCACCGTCGACAGAGTCGGGGATGAGGTCGAAGGCGAGCTCGAAAGTCATTGTTGGAGACTCGTTTTGGATGTGAGGTGAAGGAGAGGAGGCGGGAGGAGTGGTGAGGTGGGTATGGTGCTGCGGGGGACGACGGACAGCAATGCGGAGAAGCTGGGGTGGGCTGGGGTCGAGTGCCCTTTTGGTGGGTTCGTGGTGTCGAAGAAGTGGAAGGAACCCAAAGTTGGGCAGGTGAGGAATGGTGAGGGGGGTGAGGAAACGTCACTGGGGAATCCAGACGTTGATAGATATAGAAGTCTGTGACGGAGTGATCGGAGGAAAGATGGCAAGATGGATGATGGGTCGACCTGGGTGCACAATGGGCTACGGATCGGTCGGAAGTGAAATGGTAACCGGCGCCAACATGGCGACATGGCTGGAGGCGTGCAGGCGTGCCGCATGCCATGGCTTGATGGGATGCTTGGCAGTATCCTGAGTTGGCTGACGCGAGGAGATTAGAGTTGAGACCGAGTAACCGCGAAAAAGTCCCCGTGCGAAAACACTGCCTGTACGGTGAGTGATTTCATCCAAAGCCCGAGTAACAACAAGCGGGCTCCCACCGATCTCCCGGTGTGCCGAATCGTGTGCCGTGCATGCCGTGCGAACAGGCAGGCGAGAAGGGTGCGCATGCTGCGTGCTGCTGAGCATGCAGAGAACGCTGGTAACGTTGCCGATCACATTCAGCATTCGAACATGACTCATGCAATGCCGCGCATGACGGAAGTGTGGAATTCCGACACGATTCCCAGTGTATATGCTTTCCAGTGCCTTGCCCAAGTACAAGTAGGAGTAGTCACTCCGCGCTGTTCCTAATGATGTCCGCGACCCGGTGAATGGAGACTGCAAGGTACGACGCGTGCGGGTGTACCTTTTGGTCTTTGAATGTTTGGGTCGCCGAAAATCTTTGTGGCGTGAAAACTGCGCACTCTCGCTATTGCGCATGCACACACGCGCACACGCAAAACCGAGCGACGGCGACGCAGTACCAGTTTACGCTATGCGCGCAGACGCGGAGATCAGATCCAGATCTCTTCTCTCGGCCAGGCCGGCCAATGTTCGCCAGCAATGCTAGGTCTCGTGCTCAGCCTCTCCTTACTCAGACTAATGGAGCGCAGCAGGCCGACCCAATCGCTACCAGAGGATCGACGCGGGCGTCGGGATTACATGTCCAGGTGGCGTTCCGAGAGCTGTCCCTGCCGCCCTCAGGCAAATGCACTGGAGCTGGACCAAAGGAAGAGCACGGTCACTCACCGCCTGTGAAGTGGTGCGACGCCACGCAGCGCCACGGCGTTGCAGTATCCTGACATGCCTGAAGGCCTGTAACTCCTCTGTGACGCCTGCTTCATTAAGCTCGGTTTATCTCCTCCTCATTGCGAAACTGTAATGTCCCGTTCGCCCCAAGCAGCGCGGGTGCCAGCTGGCAGCTCGGTCGTTAGTCACCAGCAAGCATAGCCAGTCGCGAGCCCCGAATGCCAAGCGTGCCGGGGCCGTCTTAGTCATGAGAATGACCCGGCCCAAAATGGTGCGGACGCTGATTTCGCGCCGTTTCACCATCCTTATCTCCCAGAATCTCGAACACCGGCATATCATGCCACTGCACCTCTTTCGATAACCGTTCCTTCTTCGCTTCCGATGGAAACACCAAACCGCGTTCCGGCGTTGAGCAGCAGAGAGTATCTACGGGCTTGGGACCCACAGCATTGCCCACTGAATAGCTCCATGGGTGCCAGCGCGGGCAGGACTGTGGGCCGGGTGTCGCCCTGGTGGAGGTGTCGTCGAGAGACCTGACACCTCGCGCACGATGTGGAGGTGAAGGTGGTCGCGTGCTGCGGTATGTTGGTGCTCAGTGTAATCAGGCGTTTCTTCTCCCGACGTAGCCCCGAACGACGTTCCGACCGGTGCGCCTAGCGTGGGCTGGACGGCCAGAAAAGACAATAGTCGGGGATGCCGAGACCCATCGTGTTCGGCGAGAGCCCGGCCAGCCCAGAGACCTAGAGTCCAGACTGGCTCGATCTCGCGCTCCACGCTCCAAGGAGCGCACACTGAATGCGAAAGAGACCAAGCCACTGCTGTCATATTCGCATTCATTCATTCCGCTTGATGAACTGCGTCGCGACTTCGGCAGCACGTCGGCAGAGCAACGGCAGGCAATCGGCAAGAAATCGGCAGATAGCGTCGATGTCACTGACAGTTACTGTGCAGACGCCGTTGACTCCCTCTGGCCTCTTGGGCTGGGGAAGAGGCATGACAGAGCCCCCGAGATACCCAAGGGACCCAAGAGACCGAGAGACAGGGCGAGGTTTATCTCGGGTCTCTCGGGTTCGCAATTTCCTGGATCGATGGATCCTGGGTCCTGGGTCCTGCCTGGGTCCTGCATGGATCGCCATTTCTCTTCCGCAACAGCCCATTCACCAGGCCAGAAGGGCCAAGAATTCAGCACTCGTTGCCTCCGTATATCCACTTCTTGCTCCAGGCTGCTCGGGCACAGTGCAGGAACGCCAGGCCACACCCACAGCCAACCCAGAAGAGTGGGACCGAGCCTTGTTTTTCTGTTAGAATGCGCAAAACCTTATTTCGCTGTTAATTGCACTCTGACCGCGTTAAGCACTCTGGTCCCCGGTGCAGCGGTGCGCCCGGGTGCGCTTATTCGCCCATTAGTCTTGCGTCATGCCATCCCACCCTGGGGGAATGAGATGCACCGCCATGTAAATGCAACAATAGCAAAAACAGAAAGTCTCGCCGTGCCGGGCGCAGCGCGTGCATTTCACCGAGCTGCGCGGGTGCATCACGCTATGATACGCGTTGCGCGCGTCCTGATTGCTCGCACGTCCCGATCGCTAACTGCAGTCGAGGTCGGCGGAGACCGCCGCAGAACCAAGTCTGCCCCTCGAGCATAGGTCTGCCGAGCTGCCGAGCACGCTCTTTCCATCAGAGGCACGTCGCTGATCGCCGTTCCGGGTCCGTTCCGCACTCTCCACCGCTGCTCAACCTGGCGCGGGGATTTGCCCATGCGAGCGAGATACACGTGTGGAGGCCGGGTTTGCCGGCGCGCTTGGAATGCAGCATGCCCCTGGAGATACTCTTGGCACACTTGTGCATAGAATCCTGACTTGGACAAGGAAAGGAAACAACTAGATCACTAAAAACACCTAAAATCTTCTGATATCTCACGGACTACCCGAGCTGGTTACAGCTTGGCGCGGGTCTCCTTGGCGCGCTCGCCCTCGGCGCGCACGCGCAGGTCCTTGCGCAGGATCTTGCCCGACGGGCTTTTCGGAATGGCCTCGATGACGATGCAGCCGCCACGGAGCTTCTTGTGGTTCGCGACCTTGGACGCGACCCACGCGCTGACCTCGGCCTCGAGCTTGGCCTTGTCCGCTGGCGTCTTGAGGAGGCCAGGCTTCGCCACGATGTAGGCTCGGGGCAGCTCGGTGGCCTGACTCTCCTCCCAAACGCCGACGACGCCAGAGTCAACCACCTTCTCGTGCTGCAGCAGCAGAGCCTCGAGCTCGGCCGGCGGCACCTGGAAGCCCTTGTACTTGATGAGCTCCTTGACGCGGTCGACGACCCTGGTATGTCAGCTCATATACGGGTGAGACATAGTGGGTGGTAGGGGCCGCCCTCAGCTACAGTGGCTGAAACGGCGCTGTGGCGTCTTGGGCGTCTGGGGACGAACGCCGCCACAGGTGATCTACATTCCGCGTTGGCCCCCAGAGAACAATGCTTCTTCATTGTTCTCGGTGCGCGTAGAAGGATTCAGGGGGCACTCACTTAAGCCATCCGTCCGCATCACGAACCAGCACATCGCCGGTCTTGTACCACTCGCCGCTCATCGTGCCATCGGTCGCCTTCTGGTTCTTGAAGTAGTCCTTCATGACCGAGGGCGAGCGCACCCACAGCTCACCGCGCTCTCCGATGCCCGCGTCGTCCTCGCCCTCGCCGCGCACGAGGCGCGCCTCAAAAGTGGGGATAAGCGTTCCGACGTATCCCGGGTGAGACGCGCTGTGCTCACTAGTCATAGTAGCTGGCGTAAGCGATCGCCCCTCGGACGGACTAAAAGCAAACCGACTCACTGATAACCGGCGACGTCTCCGTCATGCCGTAGCCCTGCGTGAGGGAGATGTGGGGGTGAATCTTGTTGAAAGCCTGAATGAGCTCGCCGCTTAGAGGGGCAGCGCCACTCATGAGGGTGCGCTGCTTGTCAGTTGTCTGCAAGACGTGGTTAACTCACCAGAGACGAAAGGTCGTAGTTCTTGACGTTCTGCGAGTGGAGCAGAACAATAAGAATGGGCGGGACGATGAGTCCGTGCGTGATCTTGAACTTTTGGATCGCGCTCAGGACGGGAATTTCGTCAAACTTGGGAAGAACGACGACGGGGACGCCGACAGTGAGGGGCTGGAGGAGGACCACGGTGAGTCCATAGATGTGCGAGAAGGGAAGGATGCCGAGAACCGTGTCCTTTCCGCTCTCGAGCGACTGGTACGCCTGGTTGACCGCCTGCAGCTGCGAGGTCATGTTGTAGTGCGTCGTCATGACGCCCTTGGGCAGGCCCGTGGTTCCGGACGAGTAACACAGCCAGGCCGTGTCGTGGATCTCGTTGCCCTTGGCCGTCGCGAACGGCACCGGCTGCGACGTCGCGATCACCTCGTCAATCGTCCTGTACTTGGATCCCTTGGGCTTCTGCTCCGGCGTGCAGAGGAGGACGACGCGGCTGGCGTCGAGCTTGTTCTCAATCTGCGACTGCGCCTCCTCGTACACCGGGAGCAGGACTGGGTCGATGAACAACAGCTTCGAGTCCGAGTTGTTGATCTGGTACGCAATCTCCTTGGCGGCGCTGGCCGTCAGCACACGCGCCACCGTAAGGGTCTCCTTGTCTCCCCCGCACTCGACCCGTGGGACCACCGGGGCCCTCCCCTCCGGTACTCGGGCCGGTGCCCACCACGCCCACCGAGATACTTACTATGCAGCGTTCGCGGGACTGATGGTGACGCCGGCTGCCATGGCGCCGAATGCGGCGCGGGCCCAGTTGACCGAGTTCGGGGCGAAGATGCACACCGTCGAGCCCCTGCCCAGGCCGAGCTTGCCAAGGGCGCCGGCGAGGCGGAGAGCGCCATCCTTCAGCTGTCCGCGCGTGAGTGCCTTGCCCGTGAAGCCGTCGATGAAGGCAGGGAGCGAGTCGTCAAACTGCGGCAACGGTGTCTGTCCCGCGCCGCCGATGAGGTACTGGATCAAGGACGACTCGGGCAGCTCCGGCGCCGGAATCGTCGACTTCCAGATGATCTGCTTCGGCATTGGTAAACGAGTGTGTGCTAAAGTTGAATGGCCGTAAGTATGTGTGTGTGTGTGGGCGGTGTTCGGGATGTCTGTTGGTAGACTGTAAAGATAAAGTGGAGAGGCTAAGAGGCAAAGCGGGTGGGAGGGCGTGCATTCCCCACAAGTCTCACACCAACGGTTAGTACCGGGATTCAGCGATCCGATCATCCATCGTGATCAGAGCTCAATCGGTAATGTGATTGCCGAATCCGGGCGGAAGCGACACCACATACCACCCTGCATTCAATTGCAGCATCCTCTATGCGATCGAAGAGCACAACTCGTTGATACTGATGCATTGTGTACTGGTACAGACGTTGTTCAAGAATTCGCAAGGACACAGCTCCGGGCGTCGTGCCTCGGACACTTATCGATTATCTAAGGTGACCTCTCGATCTGTGGATCACTGCCATTTCAGCCTGGCATAGTCGCCAAACACAGTGTTGATCTCGAGACCTTCGGCATACGGCTTGAAGTCCTCCCACTTGACCTTCATCTTCGGGGCGACAACGTTGGCGGCGGTGACTGAGGCCAGTTAGCAGATAACTCAGGACTATACTCACGGAAGTCCGGCATGGCAAAGTCCATAACTACTACGTCAATGACCTCGTCGGGGCCGACATGGGGCATCGGCGACTGGATGAAATCCCTGACGGTCAGCTTCGCCGTCCACGCGCATGGTACCCACACTTGGTATGGCGAGTAGGGCACCGGGATGTGCCGAATGTCGTCGCCGCGGCCAGGACAGGCGTCCTTGGTGACAAAACCAAGGGTGTGCGGCTTTCCTCCGGGGCCGTCAAGCGACACCTCGTCGCTGTCGCCCATGAGCTCATCGATCAGATAGTCGTCCCACTGCTGCTGGAGCCACTCGTTATAGACCTTGCGGACGTACGCATCGTCGTCCTCCTGGGGCGTGAGGGGACCAAAGCGCGATGCGCCAGCGCGGTTCATCTCGACGGTGATGTTACCGGCGACATCGGCGGGTAGGCGGGTATACAGGAACTTGGAGGTGAAGGGTGACACAGTGAGCTCGTCGTTGCGGTCAAACGGTCCCCTGAACAGGTCGAAGCGCAAACTGCCAGCATTGCCGATGATGACACGGGGCCCGTCGCGGTGCTTGTCCTTGACCGTCGTCGGCAGAATGTGGTCCTGGAAGAGCGTGACAACCGATCGCGGGTGGCCGAACGGGTGCCTGCTGAGGTAGTAGTTGTGAGGAGCAGTTCCAAACGTCGTAGACAGGTTCAGCTCCTGTGCCAGGTCCTCAAGGCCCTTAGAGATCTGCCGTCCGCCGTGCGTGTCGAATGTCTTCTCCGTCTTCCCCGTATGCCACCTGAAGCTGACGGGGTTGGCGTCGATGTAGCGCCTGTTCATGGTGAGAGGAGCACCCTTGTCACCAGGGAAGGGCATCGACGACGACGTGAACGCGATGGTCTCGAGATAACGTCCGGGGACGACACTGAGAGTTAGTCTTAGCAGCTGCCGTCAACTCACGCAATGGACCTATCGTCGTACTGCACACAGTCACGGACGTGCGTGTGGCCGCCAAAGATGAAGACAGGAACCAGCGGGTGGACAGCTCGGATAGCGTCGTAGATCGGCTTCCACTCTGCGGTCTCTCCGCGGCCTGGCATGTGGCCAACGAGGACACTGTTATTAGCCTCTGCCCCCACCCAGCAGTTGCTCACAAGTAGTCTGGACGCTCCTCGATAGCCTCGAGGAACCACCGCTCCTTTGCCATATCCGTGGGCGCCTGCACAGTGAGATTCTTGTCGTGTGCTTTGACTCATCGTCAGCTCGAAGTTCCAAGGCCCCAGCTTACAGTCAAAGATGACGCCAAAGGCAGTGACCTGGTTGTACCTGCTGTCAGCTTTCGAACTACATCGTCTAGCCTACATGGGAGTCTGGAACTTGGCAAAGCGGCTGCCGATAGGCGTGTCGATGACCTCTCCATCCTCCTCGACCGTGATGTTCACATTGGACGTGAGGAATCTGCCCTCCCTATTGAATTAGCTCGCATGGATTTATGCAAGCTTACCATTGCGCCCGCCGCTCGTAGATCCACTTGGCCGACTCGTACTTGTACAGCTCGTGGTTACCGATCGTGAGCACGTCATACTGCAGTTGACTGAAGATGTCATCCGCCTTGCCTGCCGAGTCAGGCGAGGAGGAGACAAGTCCGCTTCCGTCGTGATGATCGCCGGCGTCAACAACGAGGAGATCGACGCCGAGCTCGTCCGCCTTGTTTCGCATGTGGTGCACGAACGACGCGAACGAGCCGAAATCACCAGAGTAGTTCTGCCATTAGCTATCTGGGAAGCCAAATTATCTTACGGGCTCGGGCCATGTGTCCTGCGGTGCGTTAGTAGGGGAGACACAAGAAGCAGAGGTGACATACATGCTGATGACCACGGAGCCAGCCTGCACGTCAGCTGATACCGGCTCAACCAGCTCACCATGAGTGTCTGATGTGCTAATGAAGTTGACTTCGTTCCACGGCAACGGGCGTGTGGGGACGGGGAGGACGGGTGGCGAGTCGCCCCTCAGGAGGTCGCGGGCGTCGCGCCCGATCGCGAGACTGTGTGCACTCTGACACAGGAGGAGCGCGGCGGCGAGTTCCAGCTTTCTCATTGTGTGATTAGGTTAAGAGCGAGTAGAAGAGGGGGTGTGTGAGTGAGGTGCGAGGGCGTTGTGTTCGACACACTGGCCGAAGGATGGAGAAGAGCGAGGTGACTAGGTTGGTTGCACGGGACGGTGCTTGAGGGGAGGAATGGGGCGGCGCGTCGAGTCGCCGCCGCTAGCATCGGCTTGTTATCAGGCGTAATCTCAGGCACCACAACCGGTGCGTCGTCACACTGTCACTCCGTTACCTCGCCACATGGTTGGCCGACGCCTCCAGCCCCCACATCTCAGCATGCTAGACCCCAATACCCCAGACTTGGTCGTATGCATGCTCATGGATTGTGCTTTGCCTCTTCAAGCAGGTGAAGAATGCGACAGAATGCGGTTTACTGCTAACAATGCATCTGATCTACAACTCCGCCGAGGTATGACCGAGCCTTCCTTTTAGAGCTTGGCGTCGGCCTTCTCCCGGGCCTCGTCGCCGTGGAGGAGGACACAGGGGCCGCCAATGACGACGCGGTTCTCGAGGTTGTGCTCCTTGATGAAAGCCTCGATCTCCTCGTTCTCGGCACCGGGCTGGAACCAGAGAGCGAAGGGCTGCGTCTTCTCAGACTTGTACAGCTCCTTGAGCATGTTGGCGCCAAGCTTGGGCGAGATGATCATCGAGATCGAGGTGTTGTTCAGGTCGGGAATGTCGGTCTGAAAGTTAGCTGGTACACACAGAGAGGCTGGATACTCACAATGTTCTCAACAACGTTGAGGCCCTCGACCGGCTTCGAGTTGTCAAACTTGTCCGAGGCCGGGCGGACGGGAGTAAGCGGCATCTTGCGCTCGTTGTACCACTTGATGAGCTGGGGGTTAGCTAGAGTCCATGGCAGGCAATTCGGAGCAGAGATAGGCGAGGAGACAGAACGAGGCACGGCGCCGACGAGGAAAGCCAACTTCGTCCATCATCCGCTTCAGATCCGGATCATCGCAACTAGCTCATACGCCGAGGAACATGCGATCGTCTCAATCGGATCCGCAAACGGCCCTCCAGACACAGTTCGCGCTCCCTAATGCGATAACCCATGCTTTCCAAGCTGTCTCTTATGTCCTACTCCAGCTCAGGAACACACCTTGTTGTCAAACTTGGCGGGGTCCTGGAGAACACGACCGACAACGGCGTACTTGGGCGCGGCCATGAAGCGCTTAGCAGCCTGGGGAATGATCTTGACGGTGTGGGGGTCGACGTGAACCATGTTTGATGCTCTGTGCGGTGTGGGGAGGATAGAGAAGGAGAAGTCGCGAAGCTGATGACTGACCGCGGCATGTCACCATCCAGCGCTGGCTGGCCGGCTGACAGCCGAATCCCCGCCCCGGCAAAGATAGCCGAAGTCCGGCAATTTGCTCCCGCCGTCCCAGATATCGGAATCCATCCTGACGGTCTCGGCGTGCTGCTACTGTCGCTCATGATGGCATCCACAGTCATCACAATCTACATCTGTCTACAATACAATATGATCATGTACAACTTGAATTCGTATTGGTCCTGCTTCTCCTACCTCCTCCTCCTCACTCTTAACTTAGTTGATGCGTAAACCCGCGTCCATGCCAAACGCAGATAACATCAGTACGCGCTGCGTCTCCTCCTCTCGCGCGCGCACGCATATCGAGCAGCGGCACTCGCGCAGCGGTTCGTAGGCGCGGTACCACGCGTGCCTGATCACTTCCTCGGCGGCGGGGCCAAGCTCGCTCGTCGCACTCGGCACCCGCGGGGCCACTTCGAAATCGTCAAAGTCCTCTGATGACAGCGTCGAGTCCGAATCGGACATCTGATGGACTTGGTAGCCTGAGGACGGGGTCGCAGGCGTTGACGCGTGCTTGATCTGTGGCGTGGGCTTGGGCTCTGGTGCGACATGAGCATGTTGCACCGCCGGCTTCTTGTCACAGTGTCCGTCCCCGCCTGCCGGCTCTGCGGGCTGCAGCTTGGCTTCCTCGGCATCGGCGTCGGGCGACTTGCGCTTGCGCAGCGTCGGCGACTGGCCAGGCGTGGCAGTGTTAGTGCCCGTGATCGAGGCCGCGACCGGGGTCGAGTTCTGCGCTTCGGCGGCGTCTGTTTCATCGTCGTTCTCCGGCGAGTGGATCTCGGCAAGCACGAGGTCGGGACTGTCATTCGGCGTGACCAAGGTCGTGACCGTCGACACCTCGCTCGACTGCGACGTCTGCCCGGATCCTAGGCGGGGACGCGAAGGACGCTCGCTGAGCTCGCGCGACTCGTCCGACGTCTTGCGCTTCCCGAGTGCCGAACTTGACGTTAACGCTGTGCTAGAGTCTGTGTCCTCATCCTCGGCGAGAATCATGTCATCGTCGTCGAGGAACGAGTCGCGGTCGTCAATGTCCCCGTCACTCGCGATCCAGCCGTCATGCACAACAAAGCCGTGGGGCTCAGCTCGCTCCTCGACAAGCTCGATACGGGGTGATCCACTCGTGGGGGAAACGCCAGTCGAGGACACGACGGTCTCCCCACCTGCATCAGAAGGCGGGTTCGTAGTTTGGTTTTTCCACGCGCTTGTGAGCCCGCGACGGACCCAAGACTCGGGCATTGCGAGCCATTCGAGCAGCTGCGGCACGGAGGTCTGCGTGCATGACGCCTCGGCCGCGTCCCAGTCGGGGAAGCGCAGTTTCTGCCAGTCGACAATCTCAGAGAGCGGCGACTCGATGCGGCCAGCCAATTGATCGGAGAACTCCTCGTTCATCATGCTCAGCAGTCTGTGCGAGGGCAGGAAGAGGCGGTCGGCATGCTCCGGGCGATAGTTGATGCGCGCGCGCTCGAGATGCGGGACCGGAATGGGTTCGTTCGGCGCGTACGACGGGTGACGCGCGTTGCGGGCGATCTCGTCGATGCTGTCGTGCCTCGCGACGCCGGTCAGGAGCTGCTCGACTTCGTCGTGCGGCATGACCCAGAACCCAACCTGGATGCGGTGCACGACCCATTGCTGGAGGCAGACGCGTGTCAGGCGATCGCGGAGCATTGGCCACAGGAACGGCTCGCCGGTGCGGGTTGTTTCGTAGTCGCGCCGCAACTCATCTTCCGTGTAGATACCCGTCTCCATGTCATGGCGGAAGCGGCGCAGCCAAGTGGCATAATCCGTGTCGTCGGTGTCGATGTCAACGCCCCACACGGCGTCTGCGGCCTGCTGGAACAGATCCTGCTCTGGGCCCGTCAAGGCAAACCGTCCGCGGCCGAAGCAGCTGGCGCGGAGCGAGCGCAAAACCCGCTGGAAATACAGCATGTTGCCGATCAGCTCGCCCCAGCGAGTGTTGTGGTGCAGGAAGACCTCCTCAAGTGCGCGGCGCGCCGCCGTCTCGGCGGTGCCGCGACCAAAGTTGATGTACTCCACCGCCGAAGACACTGCAGTGAATGGTGCAGCACGGCCAGCGAAGACACCGCCACGCGCGCACTCAATCAGCTCGCGGTGCAACGGAAGCTCGAACGCGCGTTCACGGCAGAAGCGGCAGATGATGAATGCCGTCTTGCCACGCTTGCGGCCAGTCTCGTCGCGGTCCTCGGGATCGGCAAAGTTGAGGGCGAGCTGCGGCGCCGAGGGCTCGCCCGCAATGCGCAGGCAATGGGCGCAGAATCGCTGGAGATGCCCCTCGCACGTTGGCACGGGCCCCGTGTAAGTCGTCCACGTGATGAAAGTCGCGACGAGATTTGGGCTGCCGGTCGAGCCCGTGTTGCCCGACCGGCTGATGAGGGCCAACCTGCACGGCACGCAGACAGACGCCGTTGCGCGGCGCGTCAGCTGGAAGCTTGGGTTGGCCGCCGAGACTTCGCAGTCGGAATGCAGGAGGGCGAGGTACGTGGGCCAGAACGGGTGCGAATCCACTGGGGCGTCAGTCGACTCAACTACATTCCGCCCCTCTCCCTGGAGGGCCTCCACCGCAGTTGCTCACCTGCTTTACACCAGCCAGATGACACGAGGCGCATCGAGACGAGCAGGTTGCGCTGCGCGACAGCCTTGACAATGGGTGCATGCTCGGCGACAGCGGGAATCGCGCTGGGCAAGCTTGGTGCACTCGTTGCGTGTCCGAGGATGAGGCTGTACAGTCAGCTTTGGTTGCCGCCGAGTTGGGGCACAGCACTGTAAGACGTACTGGAGGATCTCGGGCGACAGGTTGCCCCATCCAAGCTGACCCTTGTTGGGTCTTGCGCGCGAGCTCTTGCCGACGACGACGTTTGCGGTGCGTGCGGCGCGACGTGCGGCATCAGCGGCATGCGGATGGCGAGCGTCGCCGACTAAATTACCAGGGCCAGGGTCGGACGGAGGCGTGCCAGGCGCTTGGTTGGCGACATTTTGGGTAGTGTGACCGCTCATAGCGGCGGTGCCGCACGCGGGGTGCAGCGTGTGGAGGGTATGTTTGGGTGTGTTCGGAAGGTGTGGAGGAGGAAGGGGTGTGTTGGTTGTGGGTGTAAGGCTGGCTTGTTGGCGTAGTGTGCGGCTGATCGCGGTGGGTGCCGTTAAGCGGATGGTGGGATGAGTTGAGGTGATAAGGATAAGACGGTGACGGGGTGATGATGGACGGCGGTCACCTGGATCAATCACCTGTCTGGCTGGCTGGCAGACACCTGGCTCGCGTCCTGCAAGATAGTGGTAGTCGTCCGGTCAGCCGTGAGCCGTGAGCAACAGGCAGCGGGTCCAGGGCTGAGCACTAGAACACCCAGGCCAGATGGCACAATAGCTGGATCCACGGTCATTCCTCTCCACACAACTTAAATGGCCCCGCGCCGCAACACACGTCATGTTTGCCGCCCAAGTCACGTGAATTCGGCTCCCACTTGCCTATCTTCAATCTGCTCTGCGCAGTGCTTCCCATGCCTACGCCTCGCACGATCGCATGCCTACCACACCTTCCCCCGGTCAACCCTCGGTTTGTTTTCGTGCGTCACAACGTCACAACCAACTGCTGCGTTCGAGCAGCATCCATTCTCACCGCGTGTCTGCGTCGCTTTGCGCCGGGTTATAAAACCGTACCTTTGAGTCATTGCTCCATGGTCCCCTAAGTTTCTACCTGTGCAATACTGACCAGCCATGGACGTCTCGTTCAACATTGTCGCCGCCCGTAAGCTCTTTGCCCTTTGGGGAGGTGCGCTGACGACAGACTGCTCCCAACAGCTGGCCAAGTACCAGCAGTGCGTGTTCAAGAACCAGGACAACGACTGGGTCTCGGCCTGCAAGAAGGAGGCCAAGGCGGTGACCGACTGTGCCGATCAGAAGTGAGTCGAGTCCTGCTTATCACACCCCCAGTCCCAATGTGTTGTCTCATATCTCACTCCCTTCGTTCCGCACACTCGCACATAGATCCTCGAGTCCGCAGCCACTGACATTCGCAGGGTTCTCGGTCTCCAGAAGCTCAAGCAGCAGTGCGGCAACGAGATCAAGTCCTTCCGCGACTGTGTCCAGAGGAACGGCACCGAGGACGAGGACGTCATCCGCGTCGCGTGCATGACCGACATGAACCGACTCTGGGACTGCACGGAGAACTTCCACGACACTCTGATGGACCAAGGCAGCGGCTACGGTAGCGGTAGCAGCAGCAGCAGCGGCAGCCAGAGGAAGAGCAGCTAGAGCAGCTAGCAGTTCGGAAGTGAAAGCCCGAAGCATGTAATGCACAAACAATGTAGATGATGTATCAACTGCATGAACACGCTTTATAGAGCGTACCGTCGATGCGCTGGATGGGAAGTGAAGACAGCGTAGAATCGATTGAGCAGCATGTCGGCCGGGGAATTGATCACTTGGAGACGCCTGGCCGTTGTGTGAAGTCATTGCCTGCCAGAAGCATGGATTACCCAGAAGCGACAGCCGAGCAGCTTCCACTGCCAGAAGCACGTAGACTGCCTCGCTTTGCGATGACCGAGACGAGACCGAGCCGATATGGTTGTTGCCCTCGTCGACCCGGAAGGTCGAGTCAGCCCGGTGTGCCTGGACCGAGAGACGAAGGATGCGTACGAAAGCGTGCGCGTGTACGACTCGCAATCGAACCGACTCTAGGATGGATTATGCATGCAGCAGACAGGCGTAGATGTATCGCTGATGTGATGGGACAAGGGGAAGAGCAGGGGGAAAGCGCAGGGCCGCCACCAGATTAGATAAAGAAACATTACCCCTTCTGGGGAGGCGGGAACGTGCCTGGCTCGCTGGGTGGGTGGGTCATTTCGCTCACTCAGCGATTCGCGATGGCCACTCGGCTTCGTCAGTCTTGTCTTCGCGTCGTCAGCGGCTTATCGGAACGAGGTATGCATGCTGTGCTGAGAGTTCTCAGACCTTCCCGGGGCAGGAACATATGGCCGTGGCACGTCGTCCCACGCTCATCTCGCGTCTCGGTGACAGTCTGGAATACCTCGGATGGTCGGATGGACCGGATGGGTGCCCGGGTTCCTCTGCCGTCGGTTGTCGCATGCGATGGAGGTGGCGCTGAAGCTGGCGAGAAGTATCATGTAGCAGTAGCCAGCACTTGGCTCTTGCTTGTCAGAGAAGATGGGAGGGGAAGATCAGTTGTCAAACGATGCAGCAATGCGGTCATAAATCCCAAGTGAAATTCATAAATGATCGAATTTCGATTTTGCGGTGGTGGTTGTACAATGATTGTGGTCGGTGTCTGGTCGGCACAGCAGGCCAGAGGGACCGAGATGGTGATGTCTATATGCTAGCAACCAACGCGCTGGGCGAGGAGGCTGGGGTGTTTTCTATTTTCTCGACTACAAATCCGTCATAAGAGTCATGTGCTCGTGTGCTCCATCAAGAAGCGGGGGACGAGTAGGACGCGCTTAGGGCTTGACGGGGACGGGGGAGTCGGCGGGGGGCTGGTAGTCGAGGGGGAGGAACTTGTAGGTGATGGGGAAGACACCCTTGTCCTCCCAGTCCTCGCCGGGGACGAGGGCGGCGAAGAGGCTGTGCGACATGTCGAGCGAGCCGTACTTGCACTCGGGGCACTCGTCGACGATCTGAGCGACCTGGGTCTGGCCGTTCTCGGTGTTGGTGATCTCGACGTAGTTGCCGCACATATTGTCACCGTCAAGCTGGGGGCGGTTCATGGCGACGACGTACTGGTCGCCGTTGTTGTAGTAGCCGCAGTAACCCTGGTTCTCGGCAGCGTTGTAGAAGGTGGCACGGCCACCCTCGATGGTCTTGTTCTCGGCAAGGTCGGTGAAGTAGGCAGAGCGCTTCTCGGTGGGAGCGGCAGAGACGGCGACGACACCGGCGAAGAGGGCAAGGAGAGTCTTGGCGAACATTGTTGGTTGTGTTGGTGGTTTTTGGTTGCTAGCGATAAAGACTAGAAGAGAGTGTAGTGTGCTGCGTCAAGCGAGCGTGTGTTTTGAGAGTTGAAAGAGAGAGTGTTCGTTGGGATGGAGTTGAAAGAAGTCAAGACCCCCGCCTTTTATAACTCTCAAAGGTGTCGAACTTCGTGAACAACTCCATGCCTCGTCGTAAGGGTTGCAAGGCAACAGCGCCGAGGGAAAAAGCCGTTCCACAGCGCTTGTGCAGCGCGATAGCAGGGCAGCCCACTCATCAATCCGGGGTGCTCAACTTTTCCTGCCCCCGGATAAAGCGCTGCAGGCCTGAAAGCCCCCCTATCGGCCAGGTGCCAGGAACCGGATAGGATGTACACATTAACACGAGTAGAGCCCCGTTCCTCCGGATCGAGCGCGCCCAGGATCACGCTAGATACCGAAAGATGTGGTAAACAAGCCGGGGCACGGCCGGGCACGGGTGAGGCGGTGGAGCTGGTCGTGGCCTCGGATTTGTGTCCGTGAGGGCACTGCAAAAGTTGAGACAGACGCCGCGACTGCGCCTGGGAAGGGGGTGCGCGGCGTCGAACATTGCACGCGATAAGCTCCTGAGCAAATTAGTCATACGGATCAGCCTGACCCGAGCATGTCGGTATTCCCATCTCGTCCAGGGTTGCCCGCGCCAGGAATTGCCCGTAGCCTGACATTCATAGAATCCGACGCGGCCGTCCGGGCCGTCCCATTGGACCCTGCCGCTGTCCTGGCTCGCGAAGCTCCGAGCGCATTCTTGCGAAGCCCTGGCACTGGTATCAGGGGCGGATCTGCACTCAGGTAGAATTCCACCAGCAACGTCTAACCCCGCGTTTTGCGTCAGGGAAAGGGCCAGAGTCTGGGTGCATCCAGACAACTGCGCTCCAAAAATCCAGAAGCGATCTATGACTAGCGCGTTAGTTGATCCTAGCGAAGCTGCATTTAGAAGTAAACAATGCCATGTGCGCAGGTGGGCTTGCGAGATTGATCTGCAGAGGCTAGATGGATTATTCCATCTCGAAAACACAAGAAAAGGGGTCGCGCCTCGTCGTGATCGCTGGCACAGCCTCTTTTCGCATGCGTGAGTGAACGACCTCCGCAGCCCCAGTGTGGGAAGTACCTTGTTGCAGAGCCGTGTTTGCTGGAGCGAGAAAAAAAAACTCGATGAAAGGATGAAAGGGCCCTTCCCACGGCAGCAAACGCTCTCCACATGGATGGCCCTGGTCGTTCCTTATCTTTCGAATGCACAAGTGCTCTCTGGCGTGAGTCGTGCTAGTCGTGGGGGAGAGCGCGGACGGATGTGGAGGAATGGAGGCAATTCGCTCACGTGGTATGACGAGATTAGGTGTCGCCTAGGGAATGTCAAGTTGTGGGGGCGTGGGGGGGACGTCGTGGACGTAGAACGGTGAGGGCGGTGACCATGACTTGTGTGGTGGGGCTTCGTGGGCCCAGACAACGGCCATCAACTAGCGACGCGCAGTCGGCTGCGGTCGCTTGTCCGTCCCTGCGAGGACCTCAGATCTTCAGCCAACGGCGTTCTCTGAACACTAATCTCGCTCTAATCACGCAACGTTAAGCGCCCCACCTGGTCCCATATGGGCGACATTAGGATTCTTGTCATGGTCAAAAATAGCCCCAGCCCAAGATTCTGGTGACTTGGCCACTGGCGGACACGAGTCGAGAAGGTGACGTAGACCGACTCCCACCTTACCTCCATCGATGTGCCTGCACCTCACCGAGGTTCCTGCAAGTTCTGTCTAAGGACAGCCACGCGAGAAGCACCACTCGAGTACCCAGAAACCATGCAGAGCAATTGACAGAACGTCGGTCTGGACCATAGCGGAACCAAAGCAGCTCATCATCAATCGGATGCCCGGAGGACCTCAAAACGCTTGGTGACGGCAACTTTCCCGCGACGGCACCAACTAGGATGTACAAGCGGCACCTATGGCTTGCTTGTCCGCACCGCTCACCTGTCGTTTGAATGGACAAGGGTTCCGCGGCCGAACAACAGGCGAGTATGCTTTCTTGCACAGCCGCCGACGAGCTACGTTGAGGGTCATCACTCCAAGAGACCAGCACCACACAAGTGCCGGTCACCGAATGTGACGGGAAAGTTAGTGGAGGACGTGAATGCTTTTCCCGCAATCACAGGTCACAGACCGTTACATGACGTCCTTCATGCATGCTAGCTCTCTCCTCGAGATCATGCGTCGCGTGGCCGTGGGACTTTCGCGGAGAAGACTTGGTCCACTGACTGTCCGTGGTCGCAACGTCATGACCCAAGTACCTCGAAACTGGCATTGCAATCTCTACCACAAACCTTCCAACTGCCAACTGTTCACAGATCTTGTGATCTGCGCTCCATCTCTGGATCCTCGTGCACCTGGATGACTATCCTTACATCTCACGTAGAGTGCGGACAAAGTCTTGATCAAAAGTGGACTGTGCGAGTGCCCCAAGTTGCCGATATTGAACGCCGAGAGCAGGGCAAAAAAATCGCCGTGTCGCCAAGATCTGAATCGCTAACCTGCTTGGTCAGCTGTCATCGTCCTCAGCTGACCTTTCCGCATCCCCAACTCATCCCATCACCCCACTGATATCGCAGCATCCACCTTCCAGAATGTCTACTACGACCATCCCGGCATGGGTAGCCCTCGACGAGACCGCTGGCGATGGCAACTTGAAGTTCCAGGATGTTGAATCAAAGAAATGGGACGATGACAACATTGACGGTGTGCCCTCTTACAAGACACGCGCTAACATCAGTAAAGATCATGTACTGCAGCATGTGCGGAACTGATCTGTCCGCGATCTCGGGCGACCTTGGTCCCATCAATCCTCCGAAAGTCTGCGGCCACGAGATCGTCGGTGAGGTCACCCGCGTCGGGTCGGAGGTGAAGCACCTGAAGGAAGGCGATGTAGTCGTAATGGGGCCGCAGTGCGACTCTTGTCGCGAATGCGAGTGGTGCAAGAATGATGAGGTCAACCATCGTATCGCTTACTGACCTCAGGCGAGGAGCAGTTCTGCCCGCAGATGTGCTGGACGTACCTCTCCCCGCTGTGCGTGGGGAACTCGAAGGGAATGATCAACCAGGGCGGCTATGCGAAGGTGTGGAGGGGATCGGCACGCTTCGCGAACAAAGTGCCCGACGGCATGGATCCCGCCGACGCCGCGGCGCTGGTGTGCACCGGTATCACGTGCTACTCGCCTCTGAAGCGCTACGGCGCCGGAACGACAGCGAAGCGTGTGGGCATTATCGGTGTCGGAGGCGTCGGCCATGTCGGAATCATGATCGCCAAAGCCATGGGCGCCGATGTCACTGCCATCAACCGTGGAACGCGCAAGGAGGCCGACGCTCTCAAGCTAGGTGCTTCAAAGTACATCGCTACTGGAAGTGACCTGGAGAAGGACTTTGAGGGGCACGAGCGTTCGCTTGACCTCATTATCTGCACCATCAGTGAGTGTTGCTCGGAGATACTGTACGCCGCTAACGTCAGACCCACAGCAGCTGCCAGTCGCCGACTACATGCGCCTCCTGCGCCCCATGGGCGCGATCGTCGTCGTGGGCATCGTCCCTGACCCCATCAGCATTCCTTCCCGCCCCTTGATCTGGTCGGGGGCGGCGGTCGCCGGTTCTCCCATCGGATCCCCGGGCGAGATCAAGGAGATGCTTGACCTGGCCGTGGCGAAGGGCGTCAAGCCGTGGGTGCAGAAGTACAACATGGACGACATCAATCAAGCAGTCAAGGACATGAAGGCCGGTAAGGCCCGGTACCGCTTCGTTCTCGTCAACACGGACAACGGCGGCGTTTTGTAGAGTGAGTGTGTGCACATGTGACATACACTCCATCCGATCTACCCGAGTTTACAAACATCCATACCTTAGCCCCTAGACTATTCTTATCTTCGTTCCTGACACTCTACCTCCAAACACTGACAACACCCTGCGATGATCGTGATCGAACCGTTCTGGCCCATGGAGCCGGGGGAACCCAAGTCGATGCACCCTCTTATAGGTGGGGTGCCCGGCATCGAGGACATGTTCCACTTCGCGTTGGAGGAATTCAGTCGCCTCCCAAACCCCAAATGGAGCGACTTCAATCCACGTGAAGAGTTACTCGTAGGGCGCAGTGTCAGACCATCTAGGCTAACACTAGGAACACCACCGGAGGACCCGAAAGCGTCGTCATGCTCGCCTGATCTACACTGTGCCCGTCCCACATCGGCTCATCATCGGGGAACATACCTTTCTACAACCTGCCATGATCTACAGCTCGAACAGATGGGACGCTGTGGATGGTCCTCTCGCGTCAGCGTGGGAGGCAGTACCACTCTACTTGCGCTTCCGGAAGTATCAGGCGGGCGAGCACTGTTACTTGGCTAGAGCGGAACACACGTTCTTGCTCAACTTTGTGACCCATGATACGCCGCTGGGATTCCGCGGTCCTCATTACTGTCCAAACTCATCTGGGCTCTGGATCGCCTCGGCTGAGGGCGACGACAAGCCGAAGGTCTTCGATGTGGACGGCTTCAGAGACTTCTTCGCCCGGCTGCGCGTGAACCGATTACTCTGGTGGCGGGCTTTCGAGGACGAGGAGGAAGCTAGAGTGAGGCCCGTGGAGAAGCAGGCTGACAAGTAGAAATGGAACCCAATTCCGGACCCCGAACTGCGGGAATGGCTCTCGAGGTCTCGCCTCCGCCTTCGCGAAGACTGGCGGAATCCGAAGAGTTTGTCGCAAGCCCAGACAACGCTGACTCCGCAGGAAAAACACTGTCATTTCGAACGGCGAAACCCAGCATTCAGCAGGACTTCTACGCGGTCTTCGTGAACGGAGCAAAGACCTTGTACACAGACAAGGCGAAGTTGGAGAAGCATCTCGCAGAGTGTCCCGATGCCGAGTGGCAAAAGTTCGATAATATCAAGGACGCTCTCGTAAGTGTTCGGCTGACTCAGGTCCAGTCAACTGACGCCAAGGCTTGGACCGGTGGCGGAGGCGCAGAAGCCGCTGGCGATAATACCACCTCTGGCCGGGTCATCGAGACCTCCGCCGAGAAGGGACTGGAACGTGCTAGCAACGATCCCTCGGAGGGCACTGAACAAGCGGAGATCGGCGAAGCCGAGATTAGTGATCTGGGCGGCCGAGTGTCGCCTGGTAGTTCGAGCAGTGGGAGTACCGCAGACCGGCTCAGCCCTCTCAGTGACGATCGGCCGCTCAGCAGCGGCCTGAGCGTCGATTTGGACAACGAACCAGTTGAGGAGGAGATTGTCAAACCGGCTCCAGCTGAGAACCAGGATGAGAAGGCAGTCGAGTCGAGGGTGGATCAGGCGGCTGGATCTGGCTCAGCGAAGTCCGCGGTTCAGCCGCCCTCAGAACTTGCATCCGCAGAGGACATTGAGGAGCCCGAGCCATCCAGCCCCCTGCTGTCCACCTTGCAACATGAGATCGAGTGGTGTCGAAGCTATCCAGCGACCAACAGCAACTGGGTACCGGTGCGCTTTAGCTTTGATGGGAGGATTGTGTCTCCACGATGACCAGCGCCATTCCTTGGCGATCATCTGATGCAATTTAGTCGTCTGAATCTTCTGAACGCCAAAACAACGAATTGTAACATGTTGTATCTGTCCCAATCAAATAATCAGCCCTCATGCATGCAAGTGCCATCGAGCTCGGTATTGCAGGACTGCCATATGCGGCATCCATGTAGTCCAAAGCCAAGCAGATCTTAAGCAGAAGCTAACCCGACAGATGACGTTGTCAATTCGACGCGAAGAGCCGTGCATCTTTGGCATGCAAAGGTAACGTCATAATCTCAGCAGTCAGAGAAGCACCGTACACGGCAGTGCAGCTGGTGCATCATGCGGTCATCCAACTAGCGTCGCTGCACATTGAGCAATGCAATTTACCGGAACAGCGATGAGATGAGTCGCGACCAAAGGCGCGTTTGGGGATCTGTGCTCGACACCCTGGTACATGACCTAAGTGTACCGTAAGGGCGCGATCGCGCCCCGCCAGGGGTACATTCGGTGAGGGGCGTAATGCAGCTGACGCGTCAGGCGCTAGCAGCCGGGGTCATCATTTTTTCGTCCGCGAGATGTGAGCTGACCGAGTGCATCCTTTCTCTGCACATCGATGGTTGTCGCTTTTTCGATGTGTCACGCCGTGCCCCGATGCTTTAGAGCTCGCAGAAGACGATGACTGCGTACCCGCCCCTGGTAACTGACGTACGACTGACTCAGCTGCACGCGCCTGATTTTGAGGGACCGATGGCTGGCACATGAGGACGGTAGGGAGAAAAACGCCAAACCTATCCGCGCCACCCACATACCGCCACCGTCTGGGTTGTTTGTCGCCCTTGCCTGGTCAGCCGCGAGGCGGGCCACAGGTGTTGTCTGTTTGTCAACATCTGGCTCACCGACTGTCCAGGCGGATTCGACACACATCATCGCCGCCTCGTCCCCCTCACCTACCACTGCAGTCGCCTATTGCACCGACCACGACACTACTGTCAAGCTAGAGAAGTACATTCCCCGACGGCCGCCAACGAGCGAAAACCGACCACCCGCCGCCACTTAGATCATGAGCGCGCAATATCGAGACCCGGCCACACCAGCCAAGGTCATCACCCGCCCCAGGACCATGTTCACGCCGCGCACGACTGTGCCGCGGCCAGCGCTTGCTAACCACAACGACAACGTCCCCCCGCCCGACTCGCCTAGTAGGCTGTCACCCGCGCCGGGCTCGCATCCCAAGCTCAAGATCAAGTCCGCAACGACGCCCGAGGCGCGCCAACGCATGCTCGTCAAGCCCAAGGCGACGCCGCTGGCCAAGTCTAAGTTCAACAACGTGCAAGAAGAGGACGATGTTTGGGGAGCTGGCACGAATGTCGTTGCCGTGCTCGACTCGATGGAGCCCGCTCCCAAGCTCGACGAGAAGGAGACCGTCCTCGTCACGGTTCGGTGAGTCAACTCGTCCGAATTGCGCAGCTGACAGAAGTGTGCGCCCCCACAGTGCGGCTGAGCTCAAGAGCGGCGATGCTTCGTCCGTCTGGTCGACGCCCGACTACGACAACCGCATGATCAAGTGTCTCAAACCGCGTGATCACCAGCAGACCCAGTGGTCCTTTGGTGAGCTATTGAGCGCACACTTCAGCTGACTAGTGCAGACCGCATCCTGCCGCCCGAGACTGACAATGCTCGCACGTATGCCACTTCTGCCCGGGCACACGTTCAATGTAAGCTCATCTATCGATGTCATTGAGCTGACAGGCAGCCGCCATGGATGGCTACAACGCCGTCATCTTCGCCTACGGCCAGACTGCGTCTGGTAAGACGTTCACGTTGACGGGTGCGCCGAGCAACCCGGGTATCATCCCGCTCGCGATCGCAGACATGTTTGCGCAGATCCGCTCGACCCCTGACCGCGAGTACCTTCTTCGTGCATCGTACATCGAGCTGTACAACGAGTGCATCATCGACCTGCTCTCGCCTACGGGAACGAAGGAGCTCACGCTGAGCGAGGGCAAGAAGAAGGGCGAGGTCGTGATCAACGGACTGACGGAGCTCGGTGTGCGATCCGAGGAAGACGTGCGGGAGCTTCTGCGCCGTGGTGAGGAAAAGCGCAAGGTCGGAACGACGGATTGGAACGCTCGCTCATCGCGCTCCCACTGTGTGTTGCGCCTCGTGATTGAGTCGCGCGTGCGCTCTGATAACGCATACACGCCCGGCCGCGACAAGGCAACACGCATCAGCACGCTGTCCATTATCGACTTGGCTGGTTCCGAGAAGCACACGAGCTCCAAGGAGCGCAACGCCGAGGGCAAGCACATCAACCAGTCGCTACTCACGCTCAAGATCGTCATCTCAAAGTTGGCCGACATGGCCCAGAAGCGCACGGTCATGCATGTCAACTACCGTGACAGCAAATTGTGAGCTCACGCTTCGATGAGTTCAAGCTGACGCCAGGACGCGACTGCTGCAGCCGTCTCTTTCGGGCGACGCCCTTATCTCGGTTATCTGCACGATCTCCCCGGCTTACATCAACGTGGGCGAGTCGAGCTCGACACTCGGCTTCGCGCAGGGGCTGAAGCGCGTCGTGCTTTCCGCGAAGCGCAAGGACGTGCACGACCCTGAGGCATTGATCCAGCAGTACCAGAACGAGATTGCCGAGCTTCGCGCGCTGCTGCGGCAGAAGGACTCGCAGCCGTCGTCGCTATCGAGCAAGAGCGACCGCGCTCGCGATGCCGAGATGGAGAGCCGTCTGACGGAGCTGAAGAGTCTCATCCTGAACTCGTCTACGGTCGACGAGGCCGGCTCGCAGCCGCACGTCATGCGACCTCTTTCACCCACGAAGGTGCGATACCAGGAGCTGAACTACGACAAGACCTCCTCCAAGCTGCAGGAGGAGCTGCACCTCGCCGAGCTGCGGAACAGCGAGCTCGAGGACGAGGTCGCGCAGCTCAAGGCTGAGCTGGACATCCGGCCGAAGGACCCAGACGAGCGCGTCGTCGCGCTGCAGCAGGAGGTGAACCAGCTGCGCATGATCGCGTCCGACTACGAGCGGCACCTGCGCGAGCCGGACCGCAAGGTGCGGGAGGACGTCGAGAAGGAGTGGAAGGGGCGGTACAACCAGCTCGAGAACCGGCTCGCGTCCAAGACGACGTGGGCCGAGCGCCTGGACGAGAACTTACGCCGCACGTTTGCGGAGAAGGCCGCGCTCGAGCTGCGCTGCAAGGAGGCCGAGGCCAAGGTGCTCGCCGTATTCGAGTGGGTCACGAATGCGCTCGACGGAGAAAACGGCGACGATTACTCTGACGACGACGACGAGAGCGACCAGGACACAGTCGGCGACTTTGGAGCCGGCGCGCAGATGAATGGCGCCAACGGCATGTCGAGGCGGAGACGGGGTAGGAACTCGAGCCGCGACTGGCAGTCCGAGTTCCAGAGCTTTGTTGGCAGTCTTGGCGCTCGCCCGCCGAGGAATAAACTCCTCAGGGACGAGACCGTCCCCGCCCTCGCTAGCGTCGAGGACGACGACATGTTCTAAGGTGCGCGCGATCATGTCCGCCCGCATCGCCTAGCACCGACCTCCGCAGCGACCATCGGTGCCCCCGAGTTGTGAACTACGTAGTGACTTGATACCCCTCATCTCCTGGCAGGCAGTAGAGCATAATCGCCCAGGAGTGTACTACAATATTGCATACAGTGTAAATGAATCTACCCCTAAGAACCCTCACTTCTTTTGGCTCAGCTCGACCGCGACCTTGAACGCGCCCAGCAGCGCCGTCAGCTGCATCTTCTCCGATCCGCCGAGCGCGAGGCGCTGTTCCGTCTGTCCCAGGTGGTCGAGCAGGTAGATGCGCGCATTCGCCGGCAGCTTGACCGTCTCGAGGAAGTCGTACGCGCCCGTAATCAGGTCCTGCAGCGCAAGGCCCTTCTCCGCCTTCAAAGATGTGATGACTGTCGTTAGCTTTGGTACCACTGTGATAGCTCACAGTTGAACGCCGTGCCAAACTCGTCGCTGAGCATACTCTGCACAACCTTCTGGATGTCTGCTGGCTGAGGGTTGCCCGTGCACGTGTACACAGCAGCCTCGTCCACGATGTCGTAAGCCGCATGACACGCCTGCAGCACGTTCAGTGCACGGCGCATGTCTCCGCGCGACAGCTTCAACAGAGCCCCGCGTCCGTCTGACGTGAGGTTGACGCTGCGGTCAGCTGATGCATAAGTATTCAAGCTTACCCTTCCTTCTCCACAACCTCATCAACCTTCTTCGCGACCTCCTCCTCTGGCAGCGGGCTAAAGCGGAACCGCGTGCAACGGGACTGGATGGCGGGCGTAATCTTGTTCACGTAGTTGCAGAGAATGGCGAACCGGACGTTCTTGGTGTGCTGCTCGATGACTGCTGTTAGCTCCAGTCTGGTAGTTGTAGCATACCTCGCCTCAGAGCTCCTTGCGCAGCCTGCGTCATCATGTCCGCCTCATCGAGAATGATCAGCTTGAAGCCCTTGCTGAAGAGCACCTTCGTTGCGGCGAAGCTCTTGATCTGGTCTCGCACGACGTCAATACCGCGGTCGTCGGACGCGTTCAGCTCGAGGATGTGCTTCTTGTACGACGCTCCGTAGATCCTGCGCGCAAGAGCCAGCACAGTGGAGGTCTTTCCGGTTCCTGAGGTCAGACGTTAGCCAAATGACGGGACGCACCTGGAGGCCCGTACATCAGGAGGTGAGGAAGGCGCCCAGCCTCAACGAACTTCTCGACTGAAGGTTAGCTGGAACGAGCAAATACTAGCTCACTGGTAGAGGTGATATCGTGGTGGGACACAACGTCATCGAGAGTCTCTGGTCGGTACTTCTCCACCCTGCTGTCAGCGTGCGCTTCGGTGAGACGCTCACCAGGGCAGACCCTCCTTGTCGTTCACCGGCGTCACCGCTTTCTCCTTCCCCTTAGCCCTGGCTCCAGCCATGAGAGCGGACATGGCGTTGAAGGGTTTGGCCTGGGTCGGGGCCACGGATGTGGAAGGCTCGTCGACGTCCATGGGCTCGCTCATGGTGTTCGGTGTGTCGGTGGACGGGAGGTGACTGGACTGTTGTTGCCAGGACGCCGAAATGATGAAGTCAGTGAGACGCGTCTGGACGCGTGCCCTTCACTCGGAATAGGCGTCCAAGCCACGTGGCCCGCCCCCACCACACGGCCAGAGGTTCAGTAGGCGCCCCAAAAGTTAACACACCAATCTGTGGCTTCACCAGCTCATGTACTCAAAATCGATTGACGTTAGCATCCACCCCGCACCTCGACCATTTACACACGACTAGCACACGACAGCACCAGACATTGCTGAATCGACTCCAACCACATCCATACGTCGCTTTATCACTTGCCAACGAATCAACCTACACTTCGAACCGCGTATCAAGCATACATAACCCTTTGCCGCTCTCCAACCCTAGGGCCCCCACTTTTGTTTTTCTTTCAGCTGGGCGCCAAGTCCGTTCTCCCCTCTGCGGACATCCACCGTCATCTGCATTTTCAACAAGCGATAAGGCCGCCTGATTAGAGTGCTCCACCACTTCTACGCGACTGCATCTGCCGAAACCAAACCCCGTATACCACTCGGCACTTATACCACGAGCTCGCTTCACCCCGGAGAGGTTCTCGTCATCCGCCTTAATCGCTTTCGATCACCTCTGCACAAAGCCTTATAATGTCCCAGCAAGCCCCTGCTACCCGCCGCACTGTCAGCCTCACTGGGTCGTCTCGCCTCAGCCTTAGCGTGGGCAACAAGCCCTCGCCGGTCAGTCCTGCCACTGCCGCTGGAAGGCACCCTCTGCGCCAAGAGTGCGTCCCCTTCGATCCCCTTTGCAGCACTGACGCCGCAGTTGGTCAATCAGCTACGTGCACCGCCCTCCCGGAACCAAGGTCGACTATGAGAAGGAAATTCACAAGGTTGCGACTTTTGGATCTGTGAGTTAAGAGCGAGCTTGGAGCGTCGAGTAAAGGGGCTGGACTCTTTCTGGAGTTGGCATGCGAAGAGCAACTAGCGAGCGCAACAAGCGCAATTAGGAGTTCCCAGGGTGTATTTCGACATGTTCAGCGGCGCATCCGCGCGCGGTCTGGCGATTGTGGGCTGGCGGTATGAAGCGCCGCACATGATCGCCGCACGCAAGGTTAAACTGAGGCATCATGCTTAATCGGGTGAAGTGCTCGGTCGGGCCTACACGCTCCGTCTCCTCGGATCCGTTATGGCTCTCGTCTGGAATCATACCGGAAACAGCCCCCCGGTTCGCGACTGAGCTCTCGCGATGTTCAATGTGCCTTGCTAACGACGCAGATCGAGTCCTTTCTGCACCTGTATGCGCACATCACATCGCCGGCCGAGCTCGCCCCGGTGACCGACATCCTGTGCTTCGCTAGCCGCATCCAGCGCCCCGGAATCTGGGAGGAGATGGTCAAGTGAGTCACCCGAGAGGAGTTGGAAACTGACTGATAGCGGCGGCAAGTTCACCATCAGGCTGCTGCACCCCATCACGCCTGCTCTCTACGAGAGCCTGCTGTTTTCCCTGATCGGCGACCAATTCGACGAGTCTGACAATGTTGTCGGCTGTGTTCTCAGCGTCCGCCAGACTGAGGACATCATGAGCGTGTGGGTGGAGGAGGAGGGAGAGGCGGTTCGCTCGGGAGCGCTCAGGTACGTGACTGTTTCCATTATCGAGCTTCGCCCGATCTGGCGGGCGGCAACTGTATATGGGTGTGTAGCTGACAACTGCAGGGAGAAGATCCTTTCGCTCCTTGGTCTCCCCTCCACGACCATCTGCGAGTACCGGTCCAACAAGGCCCTTCTCGATGCCGCCTCGTCACTGAAGGACAAGCTTGCGGAGGGTCACGATGGTCACTCGCACCACCACGGTCACCACAACAACCACTCGCACCACCATGGTCAGGGTGGTCAGGGATTCCACCACCAGCACCAGCGTCACCGCCATGACCGTTATAACCGGGAGAACCGTGACAACTACCGTGATAACCGGCCACGAGAGGAGGGTGAGCGCGTCGAGCGTAGGACTGGAGGGTGGGGCAATGGGTTTCGCAGGGAACAGTAAGGGTTGGTAGTTGTGTATCATCTGTTTTGCATCTGGGAGCATCTCCTCTGTGTGTGTCTGACTGCTGGAACGGGACGAGCGGGCCGCGGCTCACTCGACGTGTCACGCGCGATTCCTCGGACAGGATGAATTTGGGCCACAGTGGATGACACTGACTTAATTAACCCGCCCTGCGCGGGCCGGTCTAGTAACTATTTCGTGCATGCACTCGATGCAGGGGTAGAGTGTCCGTGAGGTCCGATAAATCGCCAGAGGCACTGGAAGTAAACAGGGGATCTACCCCACCAGCGGTGCTTCATGTGACCTGGGTCTCAGCGGTCCGGCACCGGCCCGGACGCACTAGACCCCGTGCCAGTCATGCCCCACGGCCCCGTGGTGGGATCCGATTGTGCACCCCGGACACCCCACTTCCGATCTTCCTTGGGCCCCCCGGGCCGCCTCCCTCGTTCACCAGATCATCCTCCTCGTGAGGTCTGAGGCTTGTGAACGTTAGCTCCTGCGCTTGGCCAAGAATGTGCCGAGAACAACTACTAACGGTTCGCGGCCCGCTCCCGGCCCGCCAACGTCCGTCAATGCCTAGTCAGCGCATATAGATATCGCTTCGAAGCTCTGCTGAGCTTGTTTTCTTCTTCTCAGACTCAATCACACAGTCGCTTTCTCTATCTCGACTGTCAATCTCGTCAGCCGAGCTCTTAGCCTGCTTTGGTGCCGTCGGCCTACGCTACCAGCGACTTAGGCTAGTATCACATCTTCCCATTTCCACTTGTGTCTCCAAACACGAGGTGGTCAACATGCATCACGCACCGTAAGTGACATCGACCAGAAGCGCGCTGACAATAAGCGAGGATGCCAAGCGCGATGAAGCGATCAACTCTTCAGTTGTCCCGGCCAAGAGGAAGGGCGGGATCATGAAGAACTCCCGTGCCTACATGATGGCGCTCATCGGATTCATGGGCATTTTCCTTTTCGTGAGTCTCGCGGCTACGACAATCAGCTGTTGATGTTCTCGTTGCTGACATCGAAAGGGTTACGACACCGGTCTTGGTGGTGGTGTCTGTGAGTTCACTCAATGGTTGGAGCGCGGGATGTTTTGTCACCCACCGGTTACTCACTGTGCACCGGGTGAACCTTCGGTGATTCGCCACACCTTCCCATATCACATGCCGCTCCCGGAGCGCGACTCCCCTCGAAACGCGCCCGCCCACTCTTCCCCTCTCTCCTTCGCCCTGCGTGAGCGGCGGTGTCATGTGATGCAGTGCTGCTTCCACGCGCGGGTTGGCGGATATCCTGCATACATCCTCATCCCGAAGCCTAGCCCTTTGCTGACAATGCAGTGGGATTAATCAGTTTCCAGAGGGACTTTGGTCTGCAGAAGCCCGATGGCAAGCCTGTCGACAACCTCGCGACGCTCCAGGGCAACATCGTCTCCATCCTCCAGGGTGGTGCGTTCTTCGGTGCTATCTTCGCGGCTCCCATTGAGAATGGCATCGGCCGCAAGAGGTGCTTGATGATCGGATGTCTCGTCTTCATCTGTGGCGGTGTTATTCAAACGGCATGCTTCAAGTCGCTGAACCAGTTCTACGTCGGTCGTCTCCTCGCCGGTATCGGAGTCGGTATCATGTCCAGCGCTTGCCCGACTTACGCCTCCGAGATTGCTCCCAAGGAGATCCGTGGTCGCATCACTGGTCTCTTCCAGATCGTGGTTGTTGTCGGTGTCGCCTTCAGCTTCTGGATCTCGTACGGCGTCTCGTACATGGACCCCGACAAGAAGGGTGCCATGCAGTGGCGTGTGCCCATTGGATTCCAGCTCGTGCCCGTCGGCATCATGATGATCCTTCTGCCGTTTTTGAAGGAGTCGCCCCGTTGGCTCGCCGTCAAACACCGTGATGAGAAGGCTCTCGCCAACCTTGCTTGGATCCGCAAGACCTCCGTCGACGACCCCGACACCAAGCTCGAGTTTGCCGAGATCCAGGCCGCCATCGAGGAGGAGGAGGCCACCAAGGACGGCAGGTCGTTCTTCCACGAGATCATAGCTAAGGGCAACCCCAAGCGCTTCATCATTGCCTTCGTCATGTTCACCCTTCAGCAGTGGAGCGGCCAGAACAGTATCTCGTACTACGCCCCCATCATCTTCAAGAGCATTGTGAGTCCCTTCAGTGTCAACAATTCTTAGCTAACTACCGCAGGGTATCACGGGCACCCACACTTCTCTGCTCACCAGTGGTATCTACGGCCTGGTCAAGATCGTCGCCACCGCCGCCTTCATCTTCTTCGGTGTTGAGCGTTTCGGTCGCAAGAAGCCTCTTCTCATCGGCATTGCGCTCATGTCCATGTTCCTGTGGATCGTCGGTGCCGTCCTCAACACTCACCCTCCCGCCGACACTTCGAAGCTGCCCGAGGGCACCCCTATCCCTGTCACCTCTGCTTCGATCGCGATGGCCGTCATGATCTACCTCTACGTCATCCCCTACTGCTTCAGTGTCGGTCCTCTGCCTTGGGTCATCTGCTCCGAGATCTTCAGCAACCGCACGCGCCACTACGGCCTGACGACGGCTGCGTCCTCGCAGTGGCTGTGGAACTTTGCTGTCTCGATGTCGACGCCGCACATGGCCAAGGCGCTCAAGAACGGCGGCATGTTCTTCTTCTTCGCGACCATCAACATCATCTCCTTCATCCTCGCCTGGATCTACCTCCCTGAGACCAAGGGTATCTCGCTCGAGGGAATGGACATCATCTTCGGCGCCACGACGGCCGAGCAGCGCGAGGCTGACCTCCACGCCCGTGCCCGTGCCCTCCACGTCGAGGACGACAAGGACATTGCCGAGGTCTCGTACCACGAGGTCGACGAGAAGAAGAGCAGGGACAGCATGGTGTGAGCGGCTCCTGAGGTCTGCGGATCAGAATGGGTTCGGCGAACAGTGAAATCTTGTACACAGTAGTGAACGAAGTAATGGTTAGTTTTATGAAGGATTGAACTTGGCAACGGCATAATCAGAGGCCTTGACGTCGGCTCGGGGTGTGCGCGGACTGTGCGCTGGTTCTGCTGTCAGCAAGCAAGTAGTTCAGACGAGTCGCTCAGTCAGCTAGTCATTGTTTGAGGAAAGGTGAGAATGCCCGCAGTGGGGTAGTCGGAAAAGAAGAGGGAAAGACGATAGGACCGAGCTTCGCCGCACTTTTGTATGCCCGCAAAGCGGCGGCCTCCTGAGCACACGAGCGGTGTCCCACTCCCAATGTGCATGTGCCTCGGCGGTGATCAGAGGGACCCCGCTCAGCTTCCGCCGGCGCGGCGACGTCGCTGACGTTCGACACCATTGGCAGTGCCTAGAGGGTCGACAGCAGTCCAAGAGCTATTCTACTCCAAGCACGTCTCCGAGACTCTGGGCATGTTATTCTCATGCCCTGGAGAGGATCACAGCCCTCATACCCTTTTGCAGGTGACTCACTGACCCACCAACTCAAGGAGGTACACAACAATAACCCCGCCTCCACCTCCACACCACACCTCCACACTGAAAGTCTCTGTCGATCCCCGATCTTCCATCATCCCTCTGCCTCTTCTCCTACTCTCCCCTCCTCCCTCTCTTTGACTGTCCACATCCCTTCTAACACATAATGAGCGCCCCGCCAGCCCCCGACGCCACGCAGCCTCTAAACCTGAAGCCGGTGTCGCCTCCGCCGCGCCGCCCGAAACCAGCCCTCCAAGGCTTGAAGTCCGAGTACGTCCCCGCCGCGCGCGCGGACCTGAACCTGCTCATCATGTTCCACGGCCTGGGCGACAACATGCGCAGCTTCACCGAGCTCGCGAAGAAGATGCAGCTGCCGTACACTGCAGTGCTTGTTGTCGAGGGACAGATTCCGTGAGTCTTGCCTTTGCTTCACTGGCCATCCTCCTTCCTCCGACCTCGAGCCGCCTCCAACCCCCACGACCTTACTTCGGAGCGTCCGTCTTGTTTGGGCTCAAATGTCGCAGGGCTAGCGCAGGGCAAGCGCAGGGCAAAGAGGGAAGAGTCGCTCGATGGAAAAAGAGTTTAGCTGACAGCCAGCGTCCCCCTCATCCCGAACGCGTACATGTACTACCCCGCGTTCGACGGGATGTTCAATCCCCTCCCGAACCCGGACGTGTCTGGCGTGCTGCCGCGATTCCGACAACTCCTCTCCACACTCCTGGGCCAGGGCTGGCCAAATGCCAACATCCACCTGTTCGGGTGGCAGCATGGGGCGACGCTCGCGCTCGAGCTCGCCTACTCTGTCGGCCGGGAGCCGCTCGAACTCCCCTCGGGCAAGGTCAGCCGGCTCGGGTCCGTCACGGCCGTGTGTGGCGCCATGGCCAGCCACCCCGATAAGGCGTACCACTACCCGACGCCGTGCTGCTTCTTCACACGCCTTGGGCCTGCTATGGACGTTACGCAGAGGGAGGAGGGAGACGTCGAGCGCGCATTTGAGCCGACGACTATTGTCCGCGCTGAGGCGGGACGCGGGCCGGACATGCCCCGCTCGACGGAGGAGTGGGCCGGCATCATGCGCTTCTGGGGTCAGGTTATGGAGAAGCCGATAGCGCAGAACATGGAGGGCGTGTATGAGGTTAAGCAGTAGCTAGGATGATCAGTGCAGCAGCGCCTCAACAGTGTATCGCGCTAGTATACCCAATGCATCTAAATGAGGTGGAGCTCCCGCTGAGCGCGCTCGACCTCCTCCTTGGCTCCAGTGTGCTTGCCCTTGTCGTCGCTGAGCTTGACGCAGTCCTTGCCGTCGATCTGGTTCAGCTTGATGACCATGTTGAGCGCCTTGCTCTGCTGTGTCGGATCTGACTTGCGCTTGAAGTCGTTCGTGAAGAACGTTCCAATGCCGAACGCGGCAGCGAGGCCGATCTCGTCACAGCCCTGCTGCAGCTTGATCGCGCGCTCCACGTCGAGGCTGTCGCTGAACACGACGCGCTTGCCTGCGAGCGCCTCGGTGGCGGGACGGCCCGTCTTGGCGCACACGGCCTCCCACGCTGCCTTGGCCTGGCGCACGAACTCGTACGGGTCGCCGCTGTCCTGGCGCAGAGCGTTCCAGCGCAGAGCGCGAGCGGGGTCCGCAATAAAGTCAGCGAAGAACACGCCCGCAGTGTACGTGTCCGTCAGCATGATGAGGGGCGGTCGGTGCTCCGCGTTCGCGGGGTAGACCTCCTCCCACATGTCCATTGCGCGCGCATTCGCGTGCTCGTACCCGTACGTCGCGCCGATGGCCATGATCCACTCGTGCGCGATCGTCCCGCTCGGTGCGAGACCGTACTTCAGCGCGAGGTAGACCTGTTGTCAGCTGGGTTGAGAAGTATAAACTCACGTTGCTCGTTCCAGACAGCACACCGCCCTTCCCTCCGTTCGCCTTGTATTCCTCGAATCCAGCGACCAGACCGCGCATGACCACGTCGTGCGCGTAGAAGCTGCGCCGGCGCCGCGTACCGAACTCGCTGAACGCAATCGGCGTCACACCCTCGGGCGGGTTCAGAAGCTGGAGCGCCTTCTCTTTCGCGAGATCTGGTGTCAGATGTTGTCCAGCCGGTCAGCTCACCAAACTGCCCATCCATCGTCCAGTCCTTGTCCACAAACTTGAAGTACCCCTCCGAAACTGATGTCAGCTTGTCCGAAGCGAGGGAAATAGCTCACTCGTTGCCATGATCGGGATCTCATACAAGATGCAGTCCCGCCAGGGCCCCCTGATCTCGCACTCAATCTCGCCCATGCCGTCCTCCTTCTCGAGGAAGGTGAGCTTGACCTGTTCGCGCGGCTTCAGGCGAAGCTGCTGCAGGAAGTCAAGGTAGCTCTCCGGAAAGTAAGGGCAGGTCTTGGCCAGGCGCCGCCTCTCCTCCTGCGTCAGGTGAAGCGTCTCGAGGTCTGTCGTCAGCTACCCGTTCAGAATCCAGCTGATACGCACGATTGACCCGCTCCTGGATCCAGTCGAAGCACTCGCGGCTGAAGCGCATCTGCGGCGCGCGGTTGTTGAAGCGGATCACAACCTCTGCGTTGGGGAAGTGCCGCAGCACCGCGTTTTGCATCGTCAGCTGGTGGCGTCAGCGGCGAACATGCAAGTTCTCATTTATTCACCTTGTACAGGTCGGTGTCGAGGATGGAGAACGGCATGTCCAGCTCCTCGGCCGGGAGCGAGAAGGTGTCTACCTCCTTGGTCTCTTGCGCGGACATGATGGCTATGCGGATGGTGAGAAGAACGCAGTGGCCAAAGGCTGCCGAGGAAGACAAAGTGAGTTAAAGGTGAGTCGACCTTAGCGGGGCTTGCGGACGCGTATCAACATCCATTTGCGGAGGTACCTCGCGGCTTATCATTTGTCTGAGCCCTCCACATCACATGATCAACCACCCACGTTCCCGGAACATGCCACCAAACCCAGAGCAGTCGAATTCCTCTGATGTCATAAGTTGCGCAACTCGCAACTCGGACCCAAAGCAGCTTGTCGCAGTTACACCATGTATGCATGTCGCCGACTGCTTTCGTCACAAGAAAATTGAAATGGTGACTACTACAAAAGAGGTAAAAGTTTAATGGCTCATTCCAGCGTCTAGAGAGGGATATGAGACGACTGTCCGTTGTTGGTGGGGTGCGTGCGGGTGATGGATGGATGGGGAAAAGTACAGATTCAGATATGTGAAGTGAACAAGTATCGTGACTTTTGGAAACGTTAGATGGAATGGGTAAGGATTGACAATTGTGAGAGTGCGGTGGGTGTGGGTGGGATGTTCTGGGTTGGAAATGATGTAATTGATCTACTGCAATGTGTCTTCAAACCACGGTGAGAGCAGGGGGAGGCTGCATGTGCATGGAGTCGGACTCCTTGCGGTTCTGGAGAGGGGCGGGGAAGCTGGCCTCAGACGGAGGGGTGTGGAGGCCGCCGTCAGTCGTCTGCGAACCGCCCGCCGAGATGCCAGAGTCTGAGCGCTCACGGAAAGCTCCGCTCGGGCGGGGGTGCTCAAGAAGCGACGAGGTCGAGTTCCGGTCCATGGAGATGGTGGGGGTGACGATGACGGAGGAAGGGTTGCTGGCGCCACTCTCGACGTTGTCGTCCGACGACTCGGAGCCCCCAACGATGGCGAGCGACGATCCACGCATAGGGATGGCGACGGGCATGGCAGCGTTGGCCGACGAGCCACGGGGAGGGATGATGACAGGCGGCGGCATGGACGGGCGCTGCTGCTGGACGGGGGCCTTCTGCGGCGAGGATGTGCTTCGCGGCGGTGGCTGGACGATAGGCGCGTGTTGGGTCGCGGGCGCGGGGGCCGGAGCCGGAGCCGGAGCATCGGCTCGCAGAGGGGCTGCCTGCGCAATAGGAGCGGAAGGCGTCGGCGATCCTTGGGAAACGGCAATCGAGTTAGGCCTGGGCTTCTGCAGTGTAGGAGTAGGCTCCATGTTCGCCATCGAGAAGCGCTTCTTAAGCGAGGACATGAATCCGCGCTTCTCCGGTCGAGGAGTAGAGCTCGCCTGGGTGCTGCTGAGAGAAGGCGTGCGGTCCGAAGGAGGACGGGGACCGGTGTAGAGCTCGCTGTTCGAGGGGCTGCTGAGTTGCGAGGCTGCAACGGCAGCGGCTCCGCCGGCAGCAGCAGCGACGGGGGGCGTAAGCCGGCTAGCCTGCGACGGTGCCGGAGGCGGGCTGCCGCGAGTAGCTGGAGTGGCGACAGGAACAGCGGCGGTAGACGCGGGACCGGCGCCAGAGGAGGATCGCTTGAACTTGAGCGAGGTACGTCGCTTGGGCGCCTGCTCAGTCTTGACGGGCGCCGCGACAACCTTGGGCTCAGGAGCAGCAGCCTTCTTCAGCTTCTGCTCCTTCTTCCATTCAGCGGCCCTCTTCTGCTCCGCGATCTTGCGCTGCTCAGCAGCCTTAGCCTGCTCGAACTTCTTCTGCTCAGCCTCCTTCTTCTGAAGCTTCGCGCGCTCCTTGTCCTCCTGCTGTTTGCGAGCGGCATCAGCCTTGGCCTGCGCCTTCGCCCTGACTGCCTCTTCCTGAGCGCGACGCTTGTCGTCGGCGGCCTTCTTGGCAGCGTCAGCCTTCTGTTGAGCGGCGCGCTGAGCCTCAGCCTTAGCAGCGAGCTTGGCTTGCTTCTCGGCCTCCTTCTTCTCGGCCTTCATCTCCTTCTTGGTCTTCGACTTCTTGAGGTCCGCAGCAGCAGGCTCAGCTTCCTCGACAGGGACGTCGGCGAACATGTTGATCGGAGCCGGCGCGGGCACAGACGCGAACATTTGAGGAGCCTCGACGGCAACTGGGGAGGAGACAGCGTCCATGTCGGCGGCGGTCGTCGTCTGCATGCTGAGCGGACTCGGTTCGCATGGGCGGGTGGCCTGAGCAACAGCGAGCTGCGCCGACTGGGGCGAGTCGTAATCGTCGCTTTGGGTTGAGGACACGGACAGCATTGAGCCTCCAGAGCCGCGCACCGGTCCTGGCGGGAGGATGGGGTCCTCGCCATCGACACTCCACCTCATGCCAGAGCTCCTGGAGCTAGGCACACGTGCGCCACGGAAGCTTCCGGGGGGCGAGGCGTGAATCGATCGTCGATCGTCCAAGCTGTTGACAGAGCTCACGGGGCTGAAACTGTGACCAATCTGGGCTGCGATGGCGTAGCCGCCGTCGCGAGGAGCAAGGGCACCAAGCAAATCATAGTGATAAGCACCGACTCCCGCCATCGACGGGGGGCGCGAACTCTTCAGAGAAGCCTGCGATTTGTTGTGGGGGATTGAGAGCGAGGTCGTCGACGAGTGGGCCGAGGACAGTGCATCTTTGGACGCGGCACGCTTTGGGTACCCACCGCCCGAGATGGGAGGATGCGAGTCCATGGCGGCACCTTTTGATTTTGACTTGCGCAGCGTGGTACGACGCTTGATTGACGCGACATTCGTGAGTGATCGCGTCTTGGGTGGCGGCTCGTAGAGGTACTCCTCCTCGGCGGGGGCCGTCGGCCAGATGATCTCCGTGGGCATACCAGCGTACAATGACTGGTCACTAATGGTGTAGCTCATGCGTCGGACCGTATCGAGTGGTCGCTCGGCAGCCGAACGGGTGGGGTTACTCATGTCCGGCGTCGGGTCGTCCTCGAGCGTCCAAAGCTCCTCGGAGTTCATGCCGTCGTAAGACGCGAGCGAAGAACGGTTAGACCCATTGCCTAGCCTCGCTCGACCGCGGAACGCCGCTGGCGGCGGTCCCTGCCGAGGGAACCCGCCACGTGAAGCGGACGGGGAGAGGCCGTTAGCGTGAGTCATTCTTAGTCCGTTCGGCAGGCGGCGTTGGGGCTGATGCGGGGACGAAGCGGAAAGCGACTGCGACCTTGTCGGTAGGCTAGAGCTTGTGGAAGTGGGACCAATAGAAGAGGAACGCTGGCTGGGTCGACGTTTCCAGGCAGGGGGCGGACAGTCGGGGTCGCCAGAGACTACTCGGTGGAGGCTGGTATCCCCAGAGTGCGTGGAAAGGGACGTCGAGCGGGTGCGAGAGAGGTCGAGGGACGGGAGCGACTTCTTCTCGTCCGTGGGCGAAGGCAGTTGTTGCTGAAAGACGTGTTAGCGAGGAGAATTTATGGTGGGTGGTTTCGAAGTGACTGCGGAATGCGAGGGCTGGGGGGTGGAAGAGGTGGTGACAAGGCGCCGCAGTGTGTGGAGGGCTGGGGGTGTGTGATTTTCGAAAGGAATCTAGAGCTGGTGAGGCGGTGTCACCATCCAATCGACGAGAAGGACTAGTTCTTATCGTCGAGTGTGTCGAGTGTGTAGAGTAGAAACAAGAAGACTGGGACGCTGGAGATGAAGAAGGGTGAGGGAATGTGTAGCTGTGTGTAGGGGGGGAGAAGTGTAGAGAGGATATTGACGGAGGAGAGATAGGTGTGATGCAGCCGCCGGCCGATGGGTAGAGGGGCAAGGGTGACGATCAGTATCTGTGATAGATACGAGGAAATGAGGGTAAGGCAGTGAGCCCAAGCGTCCAGGAAAATTGGACGCCGCGCCGCGCCTCGCCGAATGCGTCACAGTTCACGTCGAGGACGTATGATACGTTTCAACGGTTTCGGCACGGGCTGGGCGTGCTCGGCACTAGGAGTCACTAGCAGTGCTAGCAGTGCAGAGCGGAGCTCGTGGTCCCGCTTGGCTAGAGCTTCGAGCTCAGGACAGGGATGCCAGTCCAGGAGGCTAGGATCCTATTCCAGGAGAGTGACAGGAGCGAGGACAGAAGGGGGGGGGGACAGGTAAGGCGATGAAAACTAAGGAACCGATGGATACCAAGACAAGACAGGCCAGGGAATGATGCACTGAACTCTACTTACCTCCTCCCACGGTTGCAGTGTCACTGCAGCATTGAGCGCCATATTGCAGACTAGCGTGAAGCGGTACTGGAAGTGCTAGATGCGGTATTGCGGCAGGCGTTGGGCGACGACCTGTGGTTGGACGACAATGGGCGGGATCGATGCGATGCACAGGGAAGGGTGTGGATTGACAGGCAGACTGCAGGCCAACAAGTCACAGGTAACGGGTGGGTTGTGGGTTGTGGGATGGTTTCACAGGGGGTGGCCGAGGGGGTCGAGGGGCTTTCGGGCTGAGGAACGGCGCGTTGAATGAGAGTGCGGGGGGGGACCTGGCTGTGTGACCGGCGAATCGGACGCTGATATTGTACGAGAGCGTAGCGCACCGCAGTCACTTTAATGTCGTTGGCGTAACAGGTCGCAGATTGCAGTGTGCCGTGTGCCGCTTGCGGATTGCGCAGGTCGGTGTCAGCGCCGAGGGTCGATGGACGCAGCGAAATGAAGGACAGGGATGGGGGCGGACGGACAGGGTAGGGAACCACGACCGCGGCTGAGGGTGAGGGTGTGTCGATGAGGGAGACGCGATTCGATGAGCGGTGTGTGGGGATCGAGATCGCCTGTGCTGGTGGCCCAGATAGAAGAAAGAGTCGAAAGATGGAAGTGAAGGTGCGAGATGGAGGATGTAAGATGACGAGTGAATGAATGGTCAAAGAAGGCGGGTCTGGGAGAGTCGCCGTACGGTTGCGCTTGGGTGTGAGAGAGAGGACGGACGCCTTCCCTTCGGCTAGATGATGGTGGCCGCTCAGCTGGGTCGTAGAGTCGGTTGTCGCAGGTGCGCGCTTGCTATGGTGAGCCCACAGAGGTCCAGAGATTAGGAAATGGTCTAGGGAGGGGAAGTGAGGTCGAGGTCCGAGGGGACGGGGGCGGAGGGTAGAGAGCAGGAGGGTCAGAACCAGAGCTAGAGCTAGAGCTAAGCCCAGGGTCCACTATGACATCGTCGAGAGGACGAGGTTGAGGGACAAGGGACAAGAGCGGTGTGGGTGCGCGCGGGTGCCGAGCCACGAACCGCAAACAGAAATAATTTACCCTTGTATACAGATACGCCGCAGAAACTTTAATCACCGATTAGCATTCGGACCCCCTCCTCTACCGCAGATTTGCAGAGATTGTAATCGTCGTCTTAAGCCCGTGCCTGAGCGCCTTCGGACGCCCCCGCCTGCAGCCTGCGATTCTGCGCTAGCTTGCACTGGTGCACTGGAGATCGTGTCGTTACGTCCTGGGCGCTCCTGGCTCAGGGTTGGCCGTTGGGCAACGAGGGTCCGAGAGAAAAAGGGAACCACCAAGGGAGTAAGGGAACAGCCAGCCAAGCCAAAGCGCAGAAGGCCAAGCGTATGGTACACTTACCTGTTTCGCCGTATCCTTGTCTTTTCTGCGCTTCGCGCGGTGCAACGACTGCGTTCAATGCCGCAGCCAGAGAGGGCTCGAGGTGCGAGGAGTATATCAACGATCAAGGGGCAAGGCGTCCAAGCTTTCAGGGGCACACAAAGGGGTTGTCTGTCTTCCTGAGGGTGCCAGCCATGAACACGCAATGGTGGCAACGAGAGATCGCTCAGTCGTGCAATCACAAGCTGTCAGTCGGATGACCGGCCGGTTCAAGAGTCGGGGCCGGTGTCGAGGCGCTCGAGATAACTGATTCGTTGAAGATTATAGAATCGTAGGGCGAGCGAGATCTACCTTGCTGCGCTTTTGCGTTTGTGCGAGAGGTGAGGTACTAGAGTTTGTTGATCAGTGATGAGACGGAGTGAAAATTACATGCAGCGGCATACCGTGATGTCGCCCGTCCCCATCTCCTGCGCACCGCGAGCCGCGACGGCCGAGGGTCAGCGGCCTACGGCCCACGGGCTATGAGTCATGGCAGCATCGGTGCTCGGTGCAGATTCACATAACGTAGCGACACAAGCGACGGACGCGCGGGAGGGCAAGTCGAGGGGGCAAGTCATCCAGTTAATTTTCAAGTCCCAGGAACCGGCATGCAAATCTGGGAGCAGGCGAAGCGAGGAACTACAAAGACGCCAGAGCACGCGGGCGGGGGCACCAGGAGCGGGGAACCGGCGGACGGCTGTCAGCTGAGTGCTGGGGCTTCCGCTGTGGGCCTGCAAGTGGAGATGACGGAAGGCAGGGGGGCTACTCAGTCTGTCATGTTCACGGTGACCAGCAGAACTTGCAGAGATTCGCTTGTCTCGCTCAGCGACCCCTGCCGTTGCTACTTGGCATGTGCGTGCATCTCGCTGTGTTATGCTGACGAGAACCTTGGCCCCAGAGGGCCTCGGTTGCCTCTGCTTGGCAGCTTAATTGCGGGCGACAGTTGTTGTCGCAAGCAGCTGACCACACAGCTCCATCGGAGCGGCGAAACCCTGATACGTCATGGGCGGCCCTCACTCATATCGGGCCGATACATTTTTCGAGGGGAGGCAAGTTCATCAGATCCCCCGACCGGCCTGCGCAGCCTATGGCTGCCTCCGCAAGGTCTAGACAACGAACCAGCAGGCGTGAGGGCAAAGGCAGCTGGCGGTACACGCACCGACGTCGCTCTCCGCGCATTCTTATCTGCAGGCTATCGTTTGGGCTTGTTGATTGTTGACAGCGAGCACGTTCAATGTGTTCCAGTCGGACCCGGGCAACAAACGAGATTGCCGGTGGGTCGAGGATTGTGGTAACTGATACAATGCCACAACCGACGTCATGATCTTCGACCTGTGCCAGCGGCAACTTGTTCGGAGCGAGGGATGACAACGCCTGTGTTACATGTGAGCCCTCTTCGCCGCTCGCGACTCGGCGAGCGGGTGGGCGGAGACCGCTGGGTGGTCAGTGATCATGCTGTGCACTGCGCTCGGACTGTTGCCACTGAGGTACGGAGGTGTTGGCGGGGTCGAGCGGACTATGGGGTAATCATCGGTGTTTTAGGAGGCATGGAGATTATCCTGCAGGCTCTGGGCCGTTATCCTGGCTCGATGTCTCCTTCCTGGACCGCGGATGGCGAATGGCACTCGAATTGTAAATCTATGTGCAACCGACGACGTCATCAGTCCCTCACCCCTTGCCTTTCCGCCTCTGCTGTTCTGCCCAGAACCCAGCTCGACGCCTTCGTCTGTCCATCAGGGACGGACGGACGGCGGTCGGCGTTTTCCCTGATCAGGAAAAAAGTAAGATTACGTCAGTGCGACAACACATAACCCCCGTAAAACTCGTTCCTCCCTGCATACGGCGTCGACGGCGATGACAGGCACGCTTCATTTTGCCAGCTTCGGTCCAGCGATCCTGCAATTCCTGCAAATGTTACGATGCATGTGCATGAGAACAATCATCGTACATCCTGCCCATTCAGTTGGTGAAAGCAGCGGAAGGCAGCTCCAATCCGTCGCAGGTGACGACTGAATCGCAAGGGGTGGGACTCCAGGATGTCTGGGATCTCGTATGGCGGTGCAGGCACTCAATGTCAGTCGCGCTCGGATGCGAACGGTGGTCAATCGTCGGCTACGTCCAGGGAGCCGCTCACGCTCAAACGGGCATCACGGGCGGCGCGTACAGGCTGCGGGTGAGCACGCAGAGTCCAAGTACAGGCCTAGGGTGCGACTGTGACAGGCAACAACAGTCGGTCGTGCGGTTGCCGCGAGATTTGCAGTTATGCTTCACGAAGGAACTCTCGTTTCTCTTGGCACAGACAGACTGCAAGCTGACATGCTTGCATTATTGGGTGCTGTTCGATGCCCCAGCTGTGCGCTGGGGATGGCAACGGCGGTGCGATGATCCCTGGGGTGACGCCTCGTGACCCCTCGAGTTTCTATTTCTACTCCTGCCCAACGATACTCAACGAAGCTCTGTGCTACGCAATTTGCTTGATCGTCCTGTACGTCCTGTTTCAAACCCACTGTAGCCCAGCACACTCCGTCTTAGGTTTACGCTTCAATTCGAATTCTAAACGGGCACGACGCTCATCGTCCCACTGCCCACTCCAGCATCCGTGCCCGTTTACTTGGCATAGCACCTGGGCACTTGGCGCTGGCTGGCTGGGCGTGCCCTGGCTGGCTGGTAATCGGCGTCCAGTGATCCCGGTCAGCGTTGGCTGGTGAGTGCATGTGAACTTGCCAGCTTCATGTCGACCAAGCAGCACTGCCTTCGGGGTACGTGGGGCATTACCTCATATTACATCCCAGGACCCGCCAGGGCGATGCTTGGACCTCTCCATCGCTCTCACGCGTGACCATCGTTTGTCGATTCATTCATCGATTCCTGGTCGACGGTACACCGGACTTCCCGAACACTCCGCCGCGATCGCCCGCCAGAACTGTTGAAAGTCAAGAAAGTGCAACGACAACGACGACCTCCATCAGTAGCTCCGAAACATCACTCATACATGAGCACTCACAGCAGCTTCTGACAGCGGACCCTTAACTGCATGATGTTGAAAGAGACTGATTCGCGATAGGGGACGACCATGTCGGCGTTTCCGATGGCCAACACTGCTGAGCTCCGATGACGCCCTAATGTCGCAAGTGAGCTGCGATGTTAGGTTATGATATCGGGCGATCTTCTGTCACCTATCTGACTCTGCCATTGAATCTTCAGCAGGGGCTCATCCAGATCAAGATGCAGTGAAGGATCTTGATGAGGCGTCGTCGGCTACGGCAACCCTCAACAGCAGCGCTGAAGACCATCGCATTTATAGCGCATGGCCTTGCTGGTGGCCGCTCTTCTTCCCTTCACCAAGCCTTGGCATGATGAGCGTCTCCTCCAGCGACTTCCCCGGTCCCTCGAGCACAGAGTCGCCGCCGGTTCTGATGGCGCCAGCGCCCGTCAACGTCTCAGCAGCGGCGCAATCAGCCGTGGGCTACAAGACAGCCGCCACCCAAACGGAAGCGACCATGCTCGAGCTGTTTCAAGCGTATTCTAAGCGCAAGTGGGCGCTCAGTCTTGCTGAGCAATACATGAACATTCACCCGTCGTTCAGAGAGGGCGACATCATCCTCAAGTCCTCGGATGATCTCGGCTTCAAAGTCTCCCTCGCCAGCCTGGAAGAGAACTCTGCCTTCTTCAAGGACCTTGCCGATCTCCCACGCCCCGAGGACACGTCCAACGTCATTCCTATACCCAACGCATCGGCCAAGACTCTTGAGATCCTTTTGTCTGCTTTACGCCCCGGAGGGAAGGACGTCCCAGTGCCCTCTGTCTCGATCCTGAACGAACTCGTCGATGTCGTGGAGGCGTTCGACTTCAACATGCGGCCCTACCATAACGCGGTGTTCTCCTCTGGTTTGAACATCGTCATCAAGTACGCCTTCGCATATGCCTACGCCCACGCCTGGAAGGACGGATTGGAGCGAGAGATCTGGAAGACAGACGCACTGAACTCCAATCAATCCTGGAATCGCTGTCCTGAGGCACTAGTCGAACTGTGCTCTCTGCGACAGCGATGGTCGCTCGCGCCTGGGAAGTTTAAGAACATGTTTGTGTCAACGGAAATCCTAGGCAAAGACGACTTCGTGAAGAAGTGCGAGAGGCGGGGGCGGGGGGGTTGTCCCGCGTACATTCGATCCGGCGGTGATTGGGACACTCTGAAGCGAGCCACTGCGAACGCCGTATCGCGGGACTTTCCAAAGTCTCCCTACGTCAAAAGCTCCGCCGTTGAACTTATCTGCAACACAGCTGTCCCCTGCACTACGTGTGCGGAGCGCTTATCACGGCACGCCGCGGACGTCTGGGATAAACTTGTCTACTCTGGAAAATGGAAGAATTGAGAGTGGATAATACTGCGCTCGCCATGCGGGAAAGCGGCTCTGGTGCTTGACTGCAGGGCGCCTACTGTGATGAATACACCTGCTCATGCAATACTACATGGATGCGCCGGTTTCCGTTTGCGTCCTCTTGTACTCGCAGGGCACAATATAGCCACAAGTCCTCGCCATCACTATGACCTCGACAGAGTACTCGCCGCATCTGCTGACGTCCTGCGCCCCGTGATGATGACGAAGACAGACCTGTCGAGGGCTCCCTTGACAGTTGGGACTGCCCCAGGTAGGACCCTCTGCACGTTGTGATCATCGTGCAGAACCTCATATAAGTCTTCTCCAAGACCTTTCACTGACCCCAACTTAACCTACCTGATGTCCAGCGACCACGAACCCGTACCATCCGACTACCTCCCCTCGGAGATCGTCGACAAGGCCACAGCACCTCTCGATATGGATGTAGAAGCCGAGGAGCACTCCGCGGTTGACCAAGCTCTCTCCCTGTCTGAGACAATCTTTCAACCTCTGGCTAAAGACATCGGCACGCAGACGGATGCCATGATCATCGAGCTCTTCAAGCGCTACGTGACCCGCGACTGGGTCACCTCCGTGACCGGTCCCAGCCTCCCCATCCATCCCAGCTTCACGAAGGGTGACATAGTCCTCGTGTCAAGTGACAACGTCGCCTTTGCGTTCCCGCTCGGCGTGCTCGCTTACCGCTCTCTAGGGTTCCGTGGCTTGGCTGAGCTACCTCGTTCCGAAGACTCATCCCGCGTTCTGCCCATCACCATGGCGTCGGCCAAGACGCTCGAGATTCTCCTCGCCCGCCTACATTCCGATCACTCGAACCGGCTTGTGACCGTGCCCTCGGTCGAAGTCCTCGACGAGCTGCTCGCGGTTATTGACGCATTCGATTTCCAGGTCTCAATCATCAAGTCGGCTGTCTGCCAATCTGACCTGAATGTTGGCATCAAGTATGCCTTTGCCTCGGCCTATGACCCGGCCAACGAAAACAAGTGGGCGGTCGAGTGTCTGGACGTGCGTCTGTTCAGCAGATGTGAGCAGTGGGCGCAGCACCCCGAGGCACACCGCACCCTCGAGGAGCTGTTTGAAAAGTGGCAGGCCGCCAGCACAACTTTTGTCAAGGCATATGAGCGCACGCCGGTGAACGGGAACGACGACTTTGGCAAGCGCTGCCGCAAGCAGCCGTGTGAAGAATACAAAAGGGGCGAATGGTCCAGCGTCAAGACTGTCGTGGGCATTCTCATCGCTTTTGCCATGATGGACTCCCCGAAGTCTGATAGGGGCCTCATCACGCCTGTATGCGCTGCTACGTTGGAATGCAGGACCTGTGAACATAGGCTGGCCATGCACGGTGCCGTCATCTGGAAGGAAGTCGTCGAGAGTGGGTCGTGGAGGCGTTAAGTCAAGACCGAGCTGGCGAGCATGCGTTAAGGAGTCGTGATGTTCATACTTGCTACGATGTCGAGATGCACTGCCATTGTCAAAGGGCGTCACTGAGCGCCCTCCAACGCCTCTCGTGAGTATCTAGACAATACAGGTAACTCGTTCGATGCACACACAACACAAGCGCCCGCTCTGCGGTACAGGCTCCATGAACATCTCAAAAAGGAGAGCACGTCTCTCCTTCTCCCAACACTGCCCCCAATCACCATGGCCAATTCACCCTCATCAACGGACAGCGACGGCCTCAGTGCCCCGCTGGCTACGATGACCGCGGACACTCTCGGCAGCCCGTCCTCAGCTGCCGCAACGACCAACCCGGCGAACGACCAGGAGCCGGGAGGCTCCCCTGCCCTCCTCCACTACGCCTTCACTTCTGGAGATATCGAAGTCGTGTCGTCTGATGACGTGCACTTCCGTCTCAAACTCTCGATCCTGCAGCAACACTCCCCCGTCTTCCAAGACCTGACCGACCTCCCTTTGCCTCCAAACTCTACCCGTCTTGTCCCGTTCACGAACGCTTCGGCCCTCACGCTCGAGATCCTGCTCTGCGCCCTCGACCCGGCAAAGGATGTTCGCCCCGTTCCTTCCGTCGCAGTATTCCATCAGCTCTGCGGACTGATTGACGCGTATGATATCAGCTTGGTCGGGAACGGCGTCGTCGCAGCCGTTGAGCTGTCTGGCCTCGACCTTTGCCTCAAGTATCGTTTCGCATGCTCGCACAACCCTGAGCGCAAGAAGTACTGGGCCATGGGATGCCTCAGTGACCATCACTTCTTCGCCTCGAGAAGCACCGACGCAAGGCTGCTCAAGGCGGACTATTCAAATGCCCTCGATACCTTCTGGGAAGCCTTCAAGGACAGGCAGGTGGGAGGCAAAGACTGCTTCAACAAGAAGTGTTGGGCGAGCTACTGCGGCACCTTTGCTGCATTCCGCGGCCAGTGGAAAGACGTCAAGAGCGATATTGCAGATGCTCTGTTCAACGCCCTGAAGGAAGTACCGCTTTGTTCAGGCCGTGCCGTGGTCATCTCTGTCATCGGGGGCCAGATTAGCTGCGACCGCTGCAGGACTAGGCTCACGAAGCACGGTCTCCACTATTGGGATAGACTGGTTGCAAGCGGACAGTGGGTGTCGGACGATGCTGCCGAGTCGTAGGACAGTAGTGATAACTCATCTGCGTACATGAATTTGATACTGCAGAGACAGACCCCTCCGACGCACAAGGAGGTCTGCTCGTGGGTTTTCACGCTTTGCAATACCTCTCGGCAGAACCGGAATCGGGAGACCTGAGCGCAGCTTGTGTCCCCGAAGCGATCGATAGCGACCGCTCTCACCTCCTCACACTGAAACTCAAGGAATGTGTAGGGGGAAATCGCTCTTACATAGGGCGCCATAAACTCCGCATTCCAGGCTACCCCCGACTCAAGCATCGATGGCGCCTTGATGAGTGACGCTCTGTCTTCGCTGCCTCAGCGAGCGGCTGGAGGGACTCGGTGTCTCAACATGCCTCGCTCACTAACACGGCCGATGACTATCGGTTCCTCGGACAGTTTTCCGACTGAACCGACATGCAGAGATATGCCGGCCGAGATGACCATCAACAGCCGCAAGCATGTACGTCATATGCGCTTTCGGAGACCGTCCCAGACCGACGCCAAGGGCGCTCGCCACGCTCTGCCACCCCTGCCGCCACCGACGTCGCCCTCAGCGAAGGGTTGTTGACGAGATCGCCGCTCGCGTTTTCGCTTAGTCTCACCGGAAGGGTCCGCAATCTGCAGATACACCTACGTCCCTGGCTTCAATGCTCGAAGCACACTGCAGACACATCAAACGTACGTGAGAGCGAGTGGAGAAGCGTTGGTGGTCTAGTCCCACGAAAATGAAAGAATGGTAAAAGACCCCTGAATGTCTTGAAATTATGAACGGGCGCCACCCATATGTGGAGAACTCTTTGCAGCGGAGCTGTGCTCCTTGAAGGCCGCCTGACCGCGCCTTCTGCAACTGGTCTGATGGTCTATAGAAGTCAAGCTCCACCGAAGCATGCTGCGTGTCTCGCATACTCTCGCGTTGCTACTTCGTAGGGGCGCGCAGATCTGATCAGAAGTCCCTTGGTCCCCTCCTCTGGCGCTGACGAGCGTAGCTGATTCCGCGACACACCATCCAACGGCCGACGATGTGATCTGGGGGACGTCTGGCCTTCTGAGGCTACAATCCTCGGCAGAACCTGTGCGTCGCTGACACGGCGCAACCTGGATGCCTGGTGATTGGGCGCGGGAGGCGAGGACCGGTGGTCGGGCTGCCAAGGCAGCCCCACACGCCCCCAAGCCGCACCTTTCAGTGAATGGCTGTGGCGTCTCGCCTCGCCAACACGCACTCGCACGGGGCAGCAAACGATCTGCCTCCAGTCTCCGAGGGATGCGCCAACATGACTCACTTGTTTGCGGGGCAAAATGTTGCAGTAGTCTGACGCGATCCCAACTCTGCACTTCTCACCTTCTCATCATCTCACCATCCTTCATTCAATACTTGACATTACACACTATGACAGCTTCCAATCTCAGCGATGAGCTGCAACCGCTCCCAAATCGCAAAAGCCTCGACGAGCAGGGTCCCATCTCCCTGCACCCCGACTTCAACCAAGGCGACGTGATCTTGCAGTCTGCCGACGGCGTGGGCTTCTGCTATGACATCGCGACGCTTGGGAAGTACTCGCCCGTCTTCCGCGACCTCTCGACACTGCCACACTCGCAACGAAGCTCATGCCGAATCCCGATTCTCGATGCGTCGTCCAAGGCGGTTGCGTTCATGCTCCATGTTGTCCAACACTCCCAAGAGGAGTGCGCAGACGCGCACAGCTCGGATCGCGCTTCCCTGGATAAGCTGGAGGACGTGCTTGAGGAGGTCCTGGAGATGATCGACACGTTCAACATGGACTCCCTGACCGAGCTAATCCTCGAGTGGGGACGCCAGGTCGATGCTCCTCCGGGTGTCATGTACTGCCTTGTCTGCCTGACAGGCGTAGGCGACAAACAGTACTGGGCTACACGGTGTCTCGGCCTGCCGGAGGAGGAGCAGCGTGGGCCCGCGTTCAAGCTTTTGAAGCGCTACAGCCCCGAGGACTCTGTCGCCCTCGGTCGTATGGGAATAATGTGGCGTGCGGCAGTCGACGAGTTTGAGCGCAGCTTCATGGCTGACGAGGAGATCTCCCACTTCGGGAGCAAGTGCGCCGACCAGCCGTGCACGGTGTACCAGACCTTTGATGGCGATAGCGGCCAGCTCAAGTGGCACATCTTGCGCGAGCTCATGCCTGTCATCCTCGGTGCGCCGCTTGACCCGGAGGAAGCTCGTCTCGACCTCGTCCTCGTGTGTAACAACAACGTTGCCTGCCGGAAGTGTGCACGGAGAATGTCCAGCCTCGCCCAGCACACTTGGAAGCTCACCATGGCTCCGCCGCCGTGGATCCTTCATCCGACACACCCGTCGCTCGTATCGGAGATCAAGGCTCGACGAAGAACGTAAGTCACCCTGTGCGGATAGCGCTGATAAACAGGTTGTATGAAGTTGCCCGCGAAATGCAGCAGTGGCGCTGATGCGTCCTGCCGCTTTACGACGGCCCAAACACTGCACGTTGCCATCGCAGGATGCACTTTACGCAGCGTCAACACAGCGCATAGCCCATTCGCACTGCGCTCCGGTCTGACAACGATAGTCGGTGTGCCCTAGATAAGGCCAGGCTTTGGGCTGAGATCCCGTGGCGCACACCTCGGGAGGTCGCATTATATCGAATTGCCCCGCGAAGCTGTCATCATTCCGGCGAAGAAGCTCCTGTTGTTACGTGCCGTCATTTCGGCGCTTCTTCCAATGTCGTCGCTTGTTTACACAACCCTCACCCAAAACGGGCAGGAGTGTGTATGTTAGTTTGTGTGTTGTCAATATGCCTGTAATCCATATGCTATACTATACTTCTACATGTGCCTATCGTCTGCGGCTGTCGATGGCGCGCCAGAACTCGGCAACGACCTGACGGTCGGTGTGTCGGTCTAACTTGTTGATCTGCTGTCAGAAGAATCTAGCATCGGATAACTCACCTTCATCTCGGTCACGTTCCAGTCACGAATGGCAGGCGCCACCGGCTCATTGTTCCACTGGAAGTAGACACCCTTGACGTGACGGAAAAGCACCTTCGGGTCCATCCACTTGTACGGCTTGAACTGCCACGCCTGGCCCGTCGTAACGACGCAGACAACTCGATCCCTGGATGTTAGCCCGTAAACACAAGATCAGCCTACCACGGGTCCTGTCCAAGCTTCTGCAGAGCCTCCACACTGTCCACCACGATGTACTTTGTGGTGATCTCGCCATGAGGACCATGACGTTTTCTCAGAACCGGGACAAGGTCCTCCGCGCGCAGGTTTCCTTGCTGCGCCTGCGCTTGTCGAGCAACATCCGAAGGTTCGAATCTGCAATGTCAGCGGCTGGCAGTCGCGCAAGCTTACTGTCCCTCCTCCAGGAACTTCTTCACATTCCACATAGTGATCAGTGACGTCGGCGACGAGGAAATAATGATGATCGGTGTCGACGCCTTCTGCTTGCGAGGACGGTTCAAGTCGTGAGCTGCCGGTGCAGCAGCCTGACCGCGTCCACCCGACTCGAAAGACTTCCGGAAAGCACGAATCTTCTCGTTCATTGTTCCCTTAACAAACTGCTCGAAGTTCTGCCGTGTCAGCGACGCCGCAAACAAAGAACTCACGTTGACCTTGCCAGAAGCAGACACTCGAAGCACAGTGTTGCGGTCGCGGAGCTCGACCTCCTGCTCACGCAGCTTCTTGCAGAACTCGCGGTCCGCGACGTTCACCTCGTACTTGCGCTTCTGCGCCGCCGCTGGTCGCGATGGTCCTGCATCCGCGGAGGCTGCCGGGACCGCCTTGGCTGAAGGTCAGCTGCTGTAGGACAATGGCTGCTTACCATCTTCGCCAGCACCGAGGACCCTCACTCCACCGTCCGTCACGCCCTGCAGGAAGTCGATTACACCTCGACGATCGGTGATCGCAACGTATCCAACGCCAGCCGCCTGACCCTTCTGGAGGTAGTCACGGACACCGGCCTCACGCTCCGTCCAAGCAAGCCACAGCTGTCCGACATTGTAAAAGTCCTCGCGAGCATCAGTACGCGCGTATCGCGTAGCAGCATCCTTCGGGATGGTGATAGCGTCTCCCGACGCTTGCGGGAAGGACAATGAAGCCGCTGTTGTGATCGAGTCGGCGGGCGCACCTCCGTCGCTGAGGAGAACAGCCGGACGGTTTTCTGAGATCGACGCCCTCAGGAGGTCGAGGGGGTCGGACATGTCGAAGGTCGGATGGATGAGGTATGAATCTAGCCTGGATTCGAAGTCATGACATGACTTTGTTGTAGTGATCGCGTCTGATCTTGTAAGTGAGGGGACCGGATAGGTTCCGATAAGCACTCCTTCGGGTTGCCTCCATCGCAGTGAATGTCCCAACATCGATGCAACGAGACTGGGCATGCATCTCACTCCATCTCCAAGTCTAGAAATGAATAACGACGCAGCTCACAGTAGCCCACGAGATCCGACAGAGCCAAGCTGAGGCACGAAAGTAGAGAGAGCCAAGGCCAAGGAGTCTGACTGTGGCAGGCCGTTCGCCACCTAGAAAATGAATCCGTGATGGGCCCCAGATTTCGATGATGGCATCGAGGAAGGCGGAGGTCGGTGTTCTTTCAGTCCTGAACATTCTACGCAACAACATGAGCTCCGATGATGAGATTCCTCAGTCAGTTCACTTCCAGTTCACACTGCTAACGAACAGGCTCGTTGACTCGGGAACCGATGTTCACGAGCGCCGGAAGGTCCCCCTGACCTTGCTCACAGGCTACCTGGGAGCCGGCAAGTCAACACTGCTCGAGTGAGTTTGGTACCAGCCGATCAGTTTGGCTTACGAGCTAGATACATAATGACAGAGAACCATGGCTACCGCATTGCTGTGTGCATGAATGGTAAGCTACTGTCAGGCCTGTAACTGACCTCAGACTTTGGAGACAGTACCGACATAGAGAGTGAGTGACTCACCCTTGAGCTCGTCGCCAGACCACCAAGAGCTACGAGCTCCGAGTGGACCGGTGCCTACGGAACCGCTGCTGACGACACAGGCAAGTCATTGCAGATGTCGAACCCCAACGACCCGTCCGCAACTACGTCGTCGATGCTTTCTTTGCCCAACGGCTGCCTCTGCTGCTCCTTCAAGGATATGGGCATCGCCGCGATAGAGGAGATGGTGGCAGCGCAGAAGGAGAAGATCGACTGGGTCATCGTTGAGCTCACCGGCCTGGCTGATCCCGCGCCGATCGCGAAAGACTTTTGGACGAACGAGGAGATGGGCGACCTGATCTTGGACAGCGTCGTGTGTGTCGTGGACTGCCGAAATGTGCTTCGTCAGCTGGACGAGCCAACGCCGGACGATGGCAAGACCGCAAACAGTACAGACGCGAGCGGGAAGAAGGACCCCATCAGTGCAGCGCAGAAGCAGATCGCGTGCTCAGATGTTATCTTGCTGAACAAGACGGACCTCGTGACGCCGGAGCAGCTGGACGAGATTGAGAAGCGGGTGCGGAGCATCAACCCGACTCTGCGCGTGTACAAGACGGAGCACAGTAAGGTCCCGCTGCCGAAGCTGTACAACCTTAAAGCGTTCTCAGAATCGACGTTGCTGGGCGGAAAGCAGGAGGACGACTCTACGAGCTGCGCCGGCTGTTCTGACGGGTCGCACGACCACTCGCACCACACCGATGGCATCTCAACTGTCACGCTCCCGCTGCCGCGACAGATTACGTTTGACCAGTTCCAGAACCTCGAGAAGTTCCTGCAGGACATCCTCTGGAAGTCGCCGACGAAGGAGAGCAAGTACGACATTCTGCGGACGAAGGGCTACATGCGAGTGGATGTTGAGGGCAAGATGCAGGAGAAGGTAGTACAGGGCGTTGCGGATCTGTTCGACATCAAGGACGCCCACGCCACACCGGAGGAGGTGAAGCCGAAGATCGTGCTCATCGGGCGAGACTTGGACGGACCGAAGAAGGAGAGCCTGTTCCGCGAGTTTGGGCTGCACCTGATGGCCAGTTAGTTAGAATGCAGTTGCATGATGGGATATAAGAGAACTATGCCTAGGCTAGAATATGTGTTTTTGCGTTTACTCGGCGGCAGTGAGCTGCTCGGCCTTGACCGTCGGGCAGTCGCGGGCAATGTGCCCCGTCTCGGAGCACTTGTAGCACTTCTTGGACGAGTCGTCGCGCGGCGCCAGGCAGTCGCGCGCCATATGGTTGTCGCCTCCGCATCGGCTAGCTTGTCAGCACTGTAAACACCCGAGACAGCCGTCTGAGCGCCACGCTCGGTCCTTTCATTACTCCAAGAGCACGATCGGAGCACGGTCTCTCAACCAACTTCTGAGATCTGGATTCTGGCTCTGCTTCTGGCTGGGTACGTACTAGCACTTGACGGGGGTTCCGTCCGGGGCGACGCGCGGCTGCGGCCTGAAGAATCCTCCGCGGGCGTGAGGGCCGCCGTGGGCGCGGCCGTTCTGGGGACAGAGGCGGGCAATATGTCCCGGTCGTCCGCAGGTGTAGCACTTCTGGAATCCGAAGCCGCCGACAGCACGCAGCGAGGGGCAGTCGGCCTTCACATGTCCGACGCCGCCGCACGCATAGCACTGCTTCCCGTCCGTCGTCCGCGGATGCGGGCAGTTGGTCGACTCGTGTCCGGCCTCGCGGCAGTTGTAGCACAGCCGCGCAGGCGACTGGCAGTTCTCGGCGATGTGGCCCACTGTTGTTAGCTCTCCCCCAATCTTCAGACAGTCCCCCAGTCCAACCCAAACACTCACGGTTACCACACTTGAAGCATCCTTGCCTCGAACCGGGAATGGAGGCGGCCGCGCTGCTGTCAGTAAGCTTCCATCGTTAGTGTTGACGAACGCACAACATGATCTATGCAAGATTTCTCTAAGTATCAGCGTTCTGTCTCAGAATGTTTGCTGCTGCGATGGTTGGTCGGAAACGCGTTGAATTCAACGCGCGACCACTGGCTGGCCGGGTACCATTGAGCACCTCCGGCCGGCTGTCTGAGCGGCGTCGCTGCAGCGTCCAGGCAACTCACAACTTCCCGAAACTCCCTCCTCGTATGAAAGAACCGAACGTCGAGGTGGTCGACGCGCTGGTGAGACGATATGGGTTGGTGAGTGGGCAACAACGCCGACCAGTGACTGAAGCACAGATATGACTTTTTCGGAACTGCACGCTAGGTAACCGGCCCAGGATCAGGAGTAGGGAGACGGGCCTCGCATACGACTCAGTCACCGGAGAAGTGCTGAGTCTCCATACGCTCGGCCCCCAGTCGGGCGAGCAACCTGGCTCAGATCGGAGAACTGGAATTTGATACGGTGATCAGTCGGATTTGGGCGAACTCCAGCAGAAAGACACCGCACGGTGGAGGCCACGCTAATGCCACGCGTCTCGGAGGAAGACATCTCGCCACAGATCCGGGAGTATCGGCAAAACCACTGGGACGTCCTCGGTCCCCTCCGGTGATCTCGGCGCCCGTACGCGCATGCCCGGTGGCCACGCTGGGCCCGCGATGCACCGAGCCGCGTCGAGCGGTGTGTTTGGCCAGACAGCCGATCGCAGCCGAGGACGTACAGGGCTCTTGAGGGTCTCGGGGATGCGGTGGACATAGTGAGGCGCTGAGCAGCAATCGCTGCGACGTGGCTGCGGCTGGGGAAGGACAGACGGCTGCCGAAGCACGAAGTCTATCGCGGACGTAGTGCAGCTTATCGCTGGGGACACTAGGCACTAGGGAGAGTGGCGAAATGGATGTCGGGGTACGGCACAGCAAATGGCTGGCAACGGCACACCTGTAACATGGAAGCCATGAGTATGGGAGCAAGCTCGCAGCATACCACCGAACAGCCCTTGCTGAGTCTGGACGCTGGCGATGCACACCGAGCCAGAAGGGTGGTAGCTAGGTCCGGTGACTTGGGATGCATGCACGTACGCACTGTCTAATTGTTGTGGTAAGCGACGCGATGGTGGGCGATTGCAGTCTATTCAGCGCAATTAACAGTTGCGGGCACGTCAGGTGCGTCAGGTGGTCCTTTCGAATCAGTCGCACGCGCCTGCTCTCCGATTGGTTCCTGAGACCACAGGCGTTACCAAGGACCCCTACAACTCAAAGTCTCATGCTCACATCTGAGTCCTGCGTCTTGCGTCGCTGCGTTGCATGCGTTGGATTCGTCGACAGCGGCCCAGCGATGGCCATACGATCGTAGATGTGACCGCGCTGGCTGCATTGTGATCAGCGTTTGAGGCGCAGGGGCTCTGAGGGGCTCTGCGGCACAATCGAGGGGGGAAGAGGGTCCAGCTGACGACCGCCGCGCCTACTGGAGGACCTGATTGAGGGTTCGTTCGGCTTCGCCTATAGCGTACTCACTGCTGCCTGTCGAAAGCCGCAAATAGGCCAGTCCCTCAGCCAGCTGGGCTGGGCAAACGTGGGGTATACAGTCACCGTTTGTACCGACTAGCGACGTGATTGGGGTTGGGCTTGGGGATATCCGCGGCATCCACCATCCCATCGTCCCAACGTCCCAATGCGCGGTTGGGTGGTTACTCTCAAAACATACACACCTGATCACACCTGAGCCGATCCGCAACGATCCGCACTGCCACTAATCAATGCTTCTGTGACGACACAGAAGGTGCGAAGCACGCCTCCGCAGCCAGTCGCGAAACGAAAGTAAGAAGAAGCGCACGAGCGTGGCTGTACACCCATGCATTACGCCGCTGCTGAGCATTATGCTGAGCAGCAAAGTCACTGCTACATTCAACGACTGCGACTGGTGATAATGGGTATGCAGGGACGAACGACGTCACTCTCACTCTCCGTGCCTTTCCACGCTTGGCCCTGCGAGGTCACGGGCTCTGCGCCTCCTCGTGCTTGCTTTCACTTCGCAGTGCGCTGAGTCTCTCGTTGTCCATTGACGAGCGAGCGGTTGCGCTAGTGGACGAATGGACGGAAGGAGCTCAAGTCACAATGCAGCCGACGTCATAGCCCTACAGCAGGCACAACTCAGTCTGGGGAAAGCCCTGAATTCCGCAGCAGTTGTTCGTCAGCTCCCCTTACGCAGAGGACGGAAGGCCGCAGGCCGCAGACGGATGGAAGGTCAATAGGGTGTAAGCCAGGTCAGCTTTGCTGAATAAGGAATGGGTTGTAAATCGCGGATTAGACTGCCCGGATCTGGGGGCTAATCAGCCGGAGAGACGACTGACGCCAATCGGCCAACCCCTGAGAGCACCCTGAACCTTGTGGCCGTGGGACCCTAGCCCATACGTTGCAGGTATCGATGTTGTTTCGCACATGAGACTGTCGACCGATATTTCTCACCGTGTCCCTGCCGGCCCTGCTGAGCAGCTGCTACTCCTGGCGCTGACTGTGCTTGCTCCTTGGGACATGTCGGGGCGGGGGGCCTGGGGTGCCCAGGGCTCTGAGCAGCCTAACACTCATCGAGCTCATCGCCAACACTTGCCGGCCTCGGGTCCCGCGCCGCCGTCATGCGGTGGATGTCGTCCTCGCAGGTCCGCGGTCTCTGTCGTCCTGCGTGGCCCAGCTGCGCTCTCACCCACTCTGACCCTCCGGGCCCTGCTGGGCTCTCTCACGTTGGATTAAGGCCTGAATTTCGAGCATAACTCTCTCCCCAGGACGCAAGGAGACACGGGGCTCTCACCATCCTACAGCAGCCTGCCCGTAGCCCTTTCCTGACAAGGAAGGAACCTCCGTTTATAAACGACCGTCTCGCAGTCGCCCACCCTCTCTCCTACAAATCCCCCTTCGTTCTTCTTGGCTTCTTGTTTTCTCTCTATCCCTCTCCCTCCCCACAAAACATCATGATCAAGAACGTCGCTCTTGCCTCCCTCGTCGCCGCCTCGGCCGTCCTCGCCCAGGACGCGTCGCAGCTTCACATCGACACCCCCGTGAGTACCGTGCAGTAAACAGCCGAGCTCCCCACCGCCTGCGCATCCAAACACCTTCCCTCCAACGCCTTCGGCGTGTAATTAATGGGTGGCGAATGCTCAGTGACAAACTCTGCATGCTTCTCAGATCAGGTTCTATCTTTGTGTACTGGATGCGTCTGGCTGTCTGGGTGGATGGATGCCTGGCTGTCCGGCTGTTCTGTGTATTCGACTGGACTCGCGCTGACAATCCAGAACGGACCCGTTGCCTGCCAGCCTACCCGTATCACCTGGGGTGGTGGCCAGCCCCCTTACTACGTGTGAGTAATGAACGTCGATTGATCTTCAGTCTCAGGCTGTTGAGATCGGCGGATGCGATCATCAAGTCACACAGGCTGACAAAGCAGCACCATCCTCAAGGGTGGAGAGTCCTCGGGCACCCCCCTCGCTGACCTGACCGGCGGCAACCCCACCTCGGAGACCTCGCTCACCTGGTGGGTCAACCTCGAGCCCGGCACCTCGATCACTGCCACCATCAAGGACTCGACCGGTGCCCAGAACTCGGCCGCCAAGGTCGACGTCGCCTCCGGCGGCAACACCGACTGTATCTCGAAGCCCCTCTCGGTCTCGATTGCCGGTGCCATGGCCACCCCCTCTGGCTCGTCCAACGGCGAGACCCCTCAGGCCACCGACGGCGGCAACCAGCAGGGCGGCGGCGCCGTCGGCGGCGCTGGCGGTGACCAGAACCAGCAGTCCCAGGGCGGCGGTGACCAGCAGCCCTCTGCCACCCCCACCGGCGGTGACCAGCAGTCTCAGTCTGCTGCCCCCTCGGGCGGCAACGAGCAGTCCGCTCAGTCCCAGTCTCAGTCCGCGTCTCAGTCCGCTGAGCAGTCCGCCCAGTCTCAGTCTCAGTCTGCTGAGTCGCAGTCCGCCTCTGCCCAGTCCGCCTCTGCCACCTCGGCCGGCAACGCTGCCTCGTCGCTTTCGTCTCAGGCTGGTTCGGCCACCTCTGCTGCCGGCGCTACTGCTTCCTCCGCCAAGCCGGAGGGTGGCGCTTCGGCCCTCGTCCCCGGCTTCGTTGCCCCCGCCCTCGCTGCCGTTGTCGCCGCTTTCGCTCTCTAAGCACCCTGTTCCTGTCTGAACACTTAATTAAGTTGGCTTTTTGACCTTGGCCATGTAGCCTGCGTTATCCTTCCTTTATTACGATTACCTTTCATTCCACCTCCCTAGTAGTATGCAAACACCGCATGATGAACTCACTGGCCGGTCCCTCTTGACTGACTGTCTATCGGCACCGTGGTGGTTTGCTTTTTCCTCCGAGCCCGACCGAAGCCCGAAGACAGGCCGAGGGCGTTGTGTTTGCGCCGCGGGAGGGAACTAACAGTAGCGACCGCGTAGCCTAGCGCGTCGAGCGAATGCGGGAGACAATGGACACTGTAGGGTCCGCGGAGTGAAGCCGTTACGCCCGACAGGCTGTGCTGCCACGCAGCCCTGTCCTCGGCCCTTTACGCAGTCGCAGTCGTTGCGCAGCGATCCTGGCTATCCTGACCTTTTGGTGCTGGGTGGTGTAATCGTGCCTTTGTGCCTGACGGCGGATGCGCCGGACGCGGGTGCTCGGCTGCCGTCAGCTCTCCCATCGTCCGGGCTGTCGCATGTCGCAAGTCTGCCAGGCAGCCCGATCGGGCACTAGTGTCGAAGACAGACGGTGACGCTATGTCAGCCCCATGCCGTGTTCTGCGTGGATGCGCGTGTGCGAGAGTTGATGACTCCACTCGATCCACTCAGCTCCTAGCATGCTTAGCAGCAACTAGGCATCGGTGTGCAGGGGATTGGTTAGAACGCTAAGGGCATCGTTGGAGCAAGGTCTGGCCGGTCTGGCCCTAGACAAGAGTTCGGGGACGCCAAGCCCGTAGGCAGTGTGGGAATCGCGACTGCGGATGGCATGGAGCCTTGCCGAGTCATGTTCGCGAGGCACGCTCGCTTCAGCTTGGCATGAGCGATCGCACTGTCTTAAGCTCTCTTCAAAGGCGGATACGCCGGTGGGAGCGTGCGGTGCCCGTTGGGAACTTGCGTACTTGCTGACGAGCTGGCGAGCTGGCGAGCGGATGCGCGCATGCGCGTGGGAGGCACATTCTGGAAAGTGGGTTCGAAACCGGTACCCAGATGTAACGGTCCCCGCGTATACCCCGTCTCACCTGTGGGCGGTGCCTTCCTCCCTCCATCTACACCCACCGCAGCACCTGGGCGTACCGACACTTGCTGGCATGCTGGAGAAGGCGGGCAGGCGGTACCATGGTGTCGGCACGCACGGCGCAGGACCCAGTGAGTGGGGTGGGAGCACAGCTGGGATGGGGGAGGTATTTCTGGTTGTTCGGATCCTAGATTGCCCATCTTGCATTGTCTTGGCTTTTCGGGCCAGGTGTGGGCTCGGGCGTGCCTTGCTCATGAGCGCGCGATTCATGACATTGCGCGCGCGTGAGCTCGCACTCGGTTGGCGCCAAGATCGAGTCGGCTGAGGTTTCTTTGGGTGCTGGTGTCGCGGAGAGATGAGATCACGACTGCGGCAATTCACCCACCGCTCGTGCGGTGCTCGTCGCGCTCGCTCGTCTTGGCGAGGTAGCTGGAATCGAGGCACCGAACCCGGCTGTCGCCGTCCAGACTGCGGGGGGCGCGGCTCGATGTCAGTGGGACTTGAGATCGCTTATGGCTGGGTGGGGCAGCCTGGAAGGTGAGCGTTCGGGCGCAGCTGGTGGTGCTTGTAGGAATGCGATGCAGTTGCGCAGTGAGTTGAAACGAAAGTGGGGACAAGATCGAGGATCAGGCGAAGATGGTCGAGAGGAGGTCAAGGAGGGGTGCTCTGGCTTGAGGAAGAACGAGGGGAAGGCTCGAGCTCGCCGATCGGGGTGGCGGGTTCGAGCGTCGATAATGCTTCGGCCATCTTGTCGCTGTCGCTCATCACCCAGTCGACAAGTGCCTGTGGTGAGTTGTGCTGATTGCCGTGTCAAAGATGCACGGAAATGTCAAGGACAGCTGCAGAGATGCATACCTGCACAACGTGCGCAACGTGCGCGACCTACGCACACACACCACAGCACCTGGTAGCGACGCAGGATTGGAGTGCGATGGTCGCATTCCGCTGCGCCTCTCCGCCCCTTGCTGCCCCTCGCTGCCCCCTCGTAACGTGCTCTGCAACTGGCCAGGAGGGCAGGACTGCCAGACGCCATCGGAACGCTGGCCAAGCCACGGTCGCCACTGGCCACTGGGCGAGCCACGGCGCATGGCAGCCGTGAGCCACGCCTCGCCACTGCCTAGCCACAGCTTATGGATTGGATCTCGCTGCCCCCGGCTAGCCAGCCGGACAGACAGACAGATAGGTTTTGTGAGGCGTCCCCGGCGGTGTGCAGGCGGCCGCTCACCACCTCGCTCTCCGGAACTCCTTGCCATTGTCGGGTTCAGGGTACCGGCTCAGAGTTGCACTCGACCGCCTCTCACCCAGGATCCAGTCAGCCTGCAGCATGCCCCGGAAGCCTTCGCAGAAATGACAAGTGAGTCGTCATGCCAGAAAAGCCTAGACATCCGCTGCTTGCTACTCCGCCTCGTCCGACCACAAACATGCATAGCAACGGCTGTTCAGTAGGTCGATGATACTAGTGACGACCGGCAGCTGCAAGAAGATCCCGAGATCGAGTTCGATCAATTAATGATCAGGCACGTGAGAACGCTCGGAGACGGTGCCAGCCGACTGGCACGCACGAAATGACAAAGTTGCATCAATCTTTGGACGCGTTCACTGTTGCTTACGCTCGATAGACTTCCGAGTCCTCACAATCTCCTGGATCCGGGCCCCTTCCTCACCCTCGTCACTCTTCTCGTGAGGTTCTGGCACGCCCAGAGCCCAAGCCCGCACACCTCCGGAGCCCACCTGACCCTTGCCCGCCGACCCGAACTCAGGACCAGATCTCCTGCTTGTCGCCCAACGGCCGGTCGCCTAGCAAGCCCAGTCGGAGAGATCCGTGCAACAGTTACCCTCGCCCGATCCTTGATCCTCGATAGCTTGATCTCGGCATCGATCCCCCGCGTCCTGGCACCGCTGCTCAGACGTTTTATCTGCGGCGTCATACACAGCCTGCGATAACCGCTGGACCGTTTCGACAGGTCCACCAGACGATAAGGCGTGACGAAAGCTCTCTACCAAGGACCTCGACGTCTCCTGCGCACGAGCGTCGCAAGAAACGAAGCCCCCCTTCCCCGGGCTGAGCATCGGAGCATCGGTTGATCAACGGCGCGCTACCTCGGCCTCGTCCAAGGGGCTGCAGGACGACTGAGGCTCCTCCAAGCCTCGCAAGCCACAATAAGCCTCCTTGGTCCCCACATCCCTCGACTTTCGCCCAACTTTTCTCTCCTTCAGCTATTCCACGCTCAACGCACTTCATCGCTGGAACCGCACTAGGTTCTCTCAGGCTATCCATTCAGCACGAGAGATCCGGCTTGGTCCTTCTTGTTGCTGTCGAGCGCAATCAGTCACCTTGTCGATATACCTGTCTACCTCTGCTCAACTTGACATCTTGACCACTACTGATTCCCTCCCGTTATAGCACACACAAAGACGTCGACGGCGACACTGCGAGAAACAACAATAAACCGAAACGCCCGTTTCCTCACACCCAGAAAAGGAAGCGCACACGCTTTGTTCCCTACGTCTACATACATCCGTTGGATCGCACAGACCCCCGGATACTTACTCGTCGTCTTACCCCCTCCGGTCGCCGTCTTCCTTCCCTTCTTCCTCCTTCACACCTCATCACCCTTCCGCTCTCCACAACGACAGCCCAACAACGACATCGACACACCGCTACACCGCCCACTCGTACCCATTCGTCGCACACAGGTCATCGGTGCACTTGTTCGTTGAGTGTCTTTCATCACTTAAGGGTTGGCAGGTTACCGAGCTGCAGTGACATTGTTATCGGATCATACAGGTGAGTTGCAGCTCGGTCCTCGGTTTACTAACCACCTCTAGCTCTAGAGAGTTACTCACACCTCGACGATACTGAAGGTCCCCCCACTCGCCCACTCTCTCATCGCAGCTGTTGGGGATCGAGGTCGCGACCGGAACCGTTACCAGACCTCTGCACACACCGGGACGGCCGAGGGGCGCAGCATCAGCCATCAGCAGCTGGACGCCTAACAAGGTTACCACATCTCTGACATCACAACTCCCTTTACCCCTGTCCATCACCACCTACACTTCCTGACCATCTCGACATGTCAACGCCGTCAGAAATCCAGGAGAAGATCTCCGCCGCCAGGCGAGAAGCTGACGGCCTGAAGGAGAAGATCCGAGCCGCTCGCGAGCAGACCGCGGACACAAGTCGTGAGTTGCAGCGCCCCTTGCACTACTGACGCCCCAGTGCGTGCCATGGCTACTGAGACACCACCTCTCGCCCGACTCCAGCTGAAGATTAGGCGCACGCTCAAGGGCCACTTGGCCAAAATCTACGCTCTGCAGTGGTCCAACGACCGGCGTCACCTGGTTTCCGCGTCTCAGGATGGCAAGCTGATTGTCTGGGACGCCTACACTACGAATAAGGTCCACGCGATTCCGCTCAGGAGCAGCTGGGTCATGACGTGTGCATACTCGCCCTCGGGGCAGTACGTCTCGTGTGGTGGTCTCGACAACATTTGCACGATTTACTCTCTGCGAGGAGCTGGACCGGGGCAGGCTGGAGGACAGGTCAAGGTGGCGCGAGAGCTGAGTGCTCACACGGGATATCTGTCGTGCTGTCGATTCATCAACGACCGGCAAATCGTGACCTCGAGTGGAGACATGACGTGTATGCTGTGGGACATTGAGCAGGGCATCCGAGTCGCCGAGTTCCAGGACCACACGGGAGACGTCATGTCGATTTCGCTGTGCCCGACAGACCCGAACACCTTCGTCTCCGGAGCGTGCGATTCGACTGCGAAGATCTGGGATATCAGAATAGGCAAGGCCGTGCAGACGTTCACGGGCCACGAGAGCGACATCAACTGCGTCGACTTCTTCCCGAATGGACAGTCGTTCGCAACCGGCTCGGATGACGCGACATGCAAGCTGTTCGACCTCCGGTCGGACCGCGACCTCAACACGTACCAGCACGACAATATCCTCTGCGGTATCACGAGCGTCTCGTTCTCTATTTCCGGCCGCATGCTCTTCGCAGGTTACGACGACTATAACACGAATGTCTGGGATACCCTCAAGGGCGAGCGCGTCGGTGTTCTCCAGGGGCACGACAACCGTGTCTCGTGTCTCGGCGTGTCCGGCGACGGAATCGCGCTGGCTACCGGATCCTGGGACTCCCTACTCAAGATCTGGTCATGAGCCCCGTTCGCCATGCACCCAACGCCTTCATCACAACTCTAGCCCCACCCATCCTCCGCATCATCCAGCATTCATTACATTTCGTATATCACTCTAAGTCTACGTCGTGTGGCCCGTTCCATCGCCTGTTGCCGCGCCCTCGGTCGCCTTGGCCGGCTGTCGTCGCGATCGCGGTCCACGAAACAATAAACGGAACCGCGTTCCACGGTCCCCCTCCCCTTATTATGGTCTCCTTCAGGTCTTCCCCTTCATTGTAGTACGATGCCCGCCCTTGGTTCATGCAAAAACCACATGTTTAATCTCGTAACGCAGGCCCCGGACCGCGGCCGACACACCCGAACCCGACTCACAAAGGGAGCGAGCGGCGGGCGACCTGAAGCCGTCGAGATCCGGTCCCCGCTCCTTCTCCCATCCCTCGGGCCGCATCTCGGACCTGATCTGGAGAACCCCGTGGCGTTGAGGGGTCGTGTGATCGTGAAACTGACACTACGTTCTGACGGCCGTCGGCAAGAAAGACATGATACATGTAAGAACTAATGATACAGGTTACGATTACCGAGCGGGGGCAGACAGGCGCGCGCGACGCAGGCGCGATCGCAGAGACAGGGGACCAGGGACAGACCCGAGCGCAGGCTTCGCGGCGCGCACGCGGTCAGCCAGCGGGCTCGACGTGGGGAACGCTGGCGCGAGGGCGAACAGGTCTACCGGCTCTGACGCACTAGACAGAGCACACGTGCCCACAGGCGTGGGCGCACATGAGACCTGTCTCGCCGGCGACGTGCGAGCCGGGGTCGGGAGCATCGGCGCAGCCTGCGCGCTGTGGTGGAGAGACAAAGGCGCTAGGTGCGACAGCGGCTCAGACACGCGCCCCTGTGCAGCTTCAGGAGGTGCTTGAGGCTCGTCCGTCCCGAAGTCCAGCATGCGTCCCTCGGGGATCCTCGGTGAGAGAAGGGGTACGGGCAGGGCTGTGAGACGGCGCCGCTTCGTCGGGCGTGCGGGAGAGGAGGGCGGCGGCGTAGGGAGCGACTCGGCGTCGGTTGCCTTGCCGAGAACTCCGTATGTGAGGATACGCGCCGGGTTCGGCGAGAATGGAAGCCGGCTCTGCTGCCGGTTCAACGCCCGACGGGGCGTTTGGGGCGACAGCGGCGGACGTGTCCTGTGCGAGCTTGGTGACAGGAGTTCGGGCGGAAGAGGCAGCAGCGGCTGTCTCTGTGGACTTGGTGAGGGCGGGTACACGACCTCCCCGAATGAGCCGTCCCGCGCAAGCCCGACGGGCTCAGTGTATCTTGGCTGCCGCCGGGCTCGCGGGGTCCCTTTCACGTTCCCCGCCGGCTCTGGCTCTCCAAGAGTCTGCATTGTCCTTGCCTTTCGCAACGTCGTTGGAGAGGAATGAGAACGACCGGAGGACCGCTGAGAAGGTTGCGAGGGGCTGTCATGAACGTAGATTGGGGAGCCCTCAGTAGCATACCTCTTAAGTGCCAAGGGGCTATGAGGCGCAGGTCCGAAGCTCCGCCACATCGCCTCCATCGAGTCGGTTCGGGGCGAGCAGGCAGGTTCGCTATACCCTAGAGCTTCTTGCGCAACTGCTCGCAGCTGGTCGGCTGTCAATGCTAAACGTTAGGGACATCGGTATCGAGGGGACGCACCGCTGTCCGCCGGACGCTCCTCCGGATCATATATTCGCAAGACTTTCGAAAACCGTACCTCAAAGTTCTGCGCGTCAGCGATGTTCGTCTAAACGAAGCTTTACGTCGCAAAATTCCAGCTTTTGAAACCCCATTCCCGAGACCGTTGCGCAGAGAGGTTGATTTAGCAGAACTGATGGCGGTGGCACAGTTGATGGTATGCAATGCGTCCAAGAGATACCGGTAAGTCTCTACGATGGTCAGTCTCCCGGTAGTGACGCCAAACCGTTACCCACTCTTTTTGCTGGATCATCGCGATCATACGGCTTGAAGTCCCATTCGCCCTCATGCATGAAAGCGTTGTATTGACCCAGCTCCTGACGCGTTAGGCCCCAGCTCGACCGAAACAGAAACTGGTAGTGCGGGTTATCAGTCTTGGCCAACACACGATCCCTGTTGGTGAGAACGCCGATGTAGAAAGTCGTGAAGACGGAGGTGTCCACTGCCATCAGCCGCAAGTCGCCATGGATACACACCTCGAAGCTGTCGTGCACGCTCCGGATCCCAGCCAGCACCGATGACGACAAGATCGATGGTGTCATTGTAATGTTTGATAAAGGAGTGCTAATTTCAGTACAATGGCAAGGGAGGTAACCCACCTTCATCTTGACCCACTGAAGGCCTTGATTGTAGCGTGAGTTGGACGCCTTCAGCATGAGCCCCTCTGCCGTCAGCTAGCTGCCGATGTTGAAACGTGTACCTTCGTACTGTTCGACAGCCTTGTCAAAGACCCTTTGCAAAGCCTGGTGTCAGCTAGCTAAGCTGAGGTCCTATTCACTGTCTTGGCCACAGTCAGACCACGATCGAGAGGGATCGCCTGCCGCTCCGCCAGCATCGCCTGTGGCCGTCAGTATCCTGCATACACCGTTGCAACTTACGAAGCCCGGGATAGGGTGAATGATCGATTCCAGCGCAGCCCTTCTCTGTTCGTACGTATGAAGCAGCAAGCTCTCACCGTTCGCGTACAGGACATCGAAGAAGGCTAAGCACAAATGCCTGTGCCTGTGCCTATCTGCTTCCCGGCCGCTATTCTCGTGCACGACGCCAGCAGAGTGGAGATGCCAGAACTCCTCTATACCGGGACCACGAGCACCCTCTCGACTTCCTTCGTTGAACGGAACCACTTCGGCTTCCAGTATCACACCTGTGTGAAAGCGGGGCTTCGTCGCTTCAGTCCGGTCAAGCAGGAGAACTCGCGATGGCAAATGCTCGGGGATGGGCAGGCCGATTGCTGCCAGAATGATTCTGCTGTTAAATTATGCAACTATGGCTCTCTCACGAGTGAGCGTTCAACCTCTCTTGCGTGGACTCTCGCTTCGACTTGCTGAAGATGGTGATCTTGGGTTGAGGGGAGAGCGCTACGTGAATCTGCATGCTACAGCGTTAGCTGGAGGGATCTCAGAAAGCCTTCCTCACCGGTAGCCGTCATACTTCGTCTCCGCCCACACAATCGGTGCCATGGGTGTAGCTCCGTCGTAGAACCCTTGAAGAGCAATGTTGGTCGATGAGCCTGCCCCTCGGGCTTTCGGAATCTCGACCGTCAGTAAGGGACGAGAAGAGGCCCTACTTTCACATTGATCCCAAGGATTGGTCCAGGGGCAACCTCCATTCGCTGCTCGCTCATTCGAATCTCTTCAGCTTTTGTGGCACACCAGTCAATGTTGCCTTTGCCTTCTCGATATAGCTTGGCCATCGTTGTGTCCCAACGGAACATGGCGCTTTCTACTGTGAGTAAATTCGGAGCGCTGGAAATCGTTTCGCGAATGAGTAGTTCCGGGCGACCGACATATCGTAGGGGTAGAGGGAACAGGAGAGGTCGCAGATCCCGAAGTATGATTTGCGTCAGCACAGAGAGCGCGTAGGGTGACATCCCCGAGTCGCGAAAGAGCCTTTGAAGAATGGTCATCTGAGTCGGACGGTCGGAGGGTATCTGAGAGAGCTGAGACCATGACGAGCCCGCGGCCAACTGATCCAGAAGAGCGTCGACTTCGCCTATTGTCATGGTAGAGTTCCCGTTAGGCTGAGTATGTGAGCTTCACCTGATGCGCAGAACCTACCCTCCGTTTGAACATCGCTATCCTGACCTCTTCTCCGAGGCAGCCAGTCTTCCGTACTCCATTCAACGAAACAGCATCCCACCTCGTCAATCCCTTAATACCCAGAGTTTGCTCGAGTAATGATGCCAGCCGCGTCTCCTTGATATCGTAGCGCCGCCTCGCGCCTTCATGGGGGAACAGCAGTCGAAACAACTTCTTGGTTGTGCCGGGGACGAGTGGCTGGGCTTGTTTACTTATCCACGCTCCGAAGATCTCTTCAGGGGTGTATGATATGATCTTCTCCTTTTGATCTCGTCTCTTGGACATGGGAGGGTCGCCCATTCTCTGGATCAAGTGCGCAAAGCTAACATTAGTAGCGGATGGATTGCAGCCATACCTTTCAAACGTAATCTCCATGATAGGCGAACAAGAAACTTTGAGATAGCAAGAAATGTGAGCACAGCAGATCGTATGAGTAGGTTGGTCAAGACAAGAGGCCTAAGGTATCCTCATCCACAGGATTTGCAGAACAACAAGTTGCAGTGAAGATAGTTGAAAGGAAGATTGCGAGTGGACCACCTCCACCGGTTGACTAACCCGATGTCATCTTTATCACAACCACCCCCTTTACCACAGAGACATGGTATCAGCGTTGCACTTCACTGCATTCGTTGCATTCATTTCCGGGGTATCAACAGAGTCGTTGAACTACTGCGCGCTGTGCAATATGTATTCTACTTCATCCCTGCAATCCGACGCGGTAGACGAACACCTTTCCGCTCTTCAAGTCGTCAAGCCTGTAGCTGATCTCTGAGGGCACGCCTCTCTCCACCTGCAGGCAGCGCAGCTTGTGCTTGTTCTTGAGGTCGTACTCGTGGATAATCGCGATCAAGGGGTCCTGGATGCTACCGACCTGCTGGTGGTAGCTGCTGAGACCCTTCTTGCCCTTGAACTTGCCGTCGTGGATCGCGACAATGTCTCCGGGTCGGGGATCATCGAGCTTCTTCATGACCGACGAAGCTTCCTGCTCGTAGATGGCCAAGCCCCATTCTCCAGCAGGGAGAGGAAGACCAGCCCGTTCAAAAGCGACTCGTACGAAGCCTGGGGAAGAGCCGTCGCCGTAGTTTCCGCGCTTCCCTTGATCAAACATACCCTTCGCAGCGCGCATGAGAACACTGCCGTGCGATGCCGACGCCGCCTGGAGCTCGTTGTAACCTGGTCTGCTCATTGACATGGAGGCACGCTCAGTCGAGCTGCGAGGCCCAGCGGATCCCTGAGACTTGTGAGAGCCGATGCGTCCGATCTGGGCCAGCTGAGGGGGCGGAGAGCGGGAAGTCTGAGGCGGAGGCGAGCGGGGTTGTCCAGGTCGACCGGCGGGGAGCGCCGGGGGAACCTGCTGCTGAGGGTACTGGCTTTGTCCATACTGGCCCTGTCCATCCTGGCCCTGGCCGTACTGACCTAGTTCGGAGCTATGAGCAGCGGCACCAGGGTGAACAGGGGGAGCAGGAGGGAGGCTAGGCTGTCGAGCAGGAACCGGCGGCGCGTTCTCGGGCGGAGGAGGGGGCACCGAGCGCTGAGGAATCGCCTGTGAGCCCTCAGTCGAGTGATGCACTTGCTGCGGAGCAGGGGGTATAGCTCGAGGGGGCGGAGGTGGAGGCGCCTCATCTTCGTCATCATCGGCGGGCGGTGGAGGGGCGGCCCTGGGAGGAGGTGGCGGGGCGACTGACTCTCCGACAGAATGGGAAGCGGTGCCCATGATTTGGGACGCCTGAGGTACAGGCGGACGGGAAGGCGACCGTGAGGCGTCGGGACCAGGCCTAGTGGGAGGGGGCGGGGGAGCTCCTCCGGCCGCTACAGGGGGTGGAACAGCTCGAGGAGGCGGCGGGGGAGCGTTGGCGTCAACAACACTAGGGCGCGGAGGAGGCGGGGGCGCTTCATTGTCATCCTGAGGACGGGGAGGTGGCGGCGGCGCACCACCATCGTTGCTAGGAGTCGGCGGCGGCCGAGCAGTGGGAGCGGCTACACCAGTACGAGGAGGCGGCGGTGGAGCGTCGGAGCCTGGGACGTTGGCACGGGGCGGAGGAGGAGGCGGGACATCGTCATCGGTGTCGTCCTCTTCGTCCTCCCCATCAGCCCCTTCCCGACCCACCTCTTCGCTCTGGTCTGGCTCTTGTTCGGGCACGTTCGGGGTGAAGACGCCGAAGCCGAGAGCACCACCGGCGCGCAGGCGGGCAAGAGTGGCACGACGGCGCGCAGCCTCCTGCTCCGGCGTCTCCTCCTCCTCCTCTTGCCCCTGGAAAGAGACTGGCGCGGCCCCTGCTGAGTCGGTCTCCTTCTCACGTGCGGGAACCTCCGGGGAAGCGCTACCGGGCTCAGCCTCTTCTGACACCATGGAGCGCTTCTTCATAGGAGGAGGCGGCATGCCGAACTTGACACCACCTAGAGCTGCCATGCGAGCCGCGATAGCTGACTTCGGGTTGACATTCGCCGGAAGGGCTGCCTGGCCACTCTCCGTCGGCTGGCGAGTCTGCGTGGCGCCGACAAGTGCTTCGCCGTGTCCTTCAACATCGTCGGGCTGCGAAACGTTGGGCCGGTTTTGCTGCTGTTCGGGGGGTACCTCATCACCGCGTCCGGTTGCTTCACGCTCCTCCTGTTGAGTGTCTCGCGGCGGAATCGACGGGTGTCCCTCAGGTGGAGGCGGGACGTGCTGAGACGCTTCCAGTTCCTCAACGTCCGGAGTTGGAGGTTGAGGACTGCGAGGCAAAGGGCGTGGCCCCAATGGAGAGGCTCTGGGCCCGGCAGGTCGATCCACACTGCGGCGCTTTTGCGCAGCAGACTCGTCAGCGTTGGGCGCTCCGCTGTGGCTGATGATAGCAGGGGGAGCCAGGGTTTCGGGCTCCTCCTCGCCTTTTCCGATACTTGATGTCCCAGCAGCAGTGCCAAGAGCGCCCATTCCTGCCGCTCCGGCAGCGAGAGCGCCGGCACCCGGTCCCTCGGAATAAGAGGGAGTAGGTCGAGCGGGAGGCAGAGGAGGAGCCTCGGGACTGTCGTTCTCGCGAACGTCGTCTCGGTCCTGCACATGGACGTCGAGGTTGCCAGCTTGCGCTTGCTTCATGAGGTCGACATCCTCCTCTTCCTCACTCTCGTCATCGCTCGCGGGACGTGGCGGAATAGGGCGCGCGGCGGGAGGCGGAGGAGGGACAGCGGTGGCGCCAGCCGTGGCCTGCGGTGAAGTGGAGATACGGGCGCTCTGCGGCACGGCGGGGGCATCGCCCCATTCCTCGTCATCTGTTTCCTCATCGTCACTATCCGCTGCGCGGGGAGGAACGGCGGAAGGAGGCGGTGGAACAGCGCGAGTGGGGGAGGCGTTGAACGAGGACGGGGCCGGGGGCATAGCACGTGCAGGCGACGTCGGCGACGTAGGCGACGTAGTGGCGGGCAGATGCCCATCGTCAACGTGTCCGGACTCAGAACGCTGGGGCACAGGTGGCGCAGTCCGTCCTGTTGAAACCGGGGAGGCATCGGGCCCCGGCGGAACAGACCGCGCTGGAGACTGCATCTGTGGAGGGGGAGGCGGCGGCGCCGTTTGCGTTGGCGAAGTGTCAACGGAAACACTTCTCGCTGGAGGTGGTGGAGGAGGTGTCTCGGGTCGCTGAAGGGCGGCGGTTTGTTGCTCCTCTTGCGTGGGCTGCTCGGGCTCCCTGTCTTCAACGGGGCTCAAGGCGATACCTGCGGCAGCGGCACCCTCGGCTCCGCCTGGCGCGGACCCGACGGCCTCGTGCATATCGGTATCCTCCTTCTCGTCGGCAAGCACAGGACTCGGAGCGATGCCCGCGGCAGAAACGCCCGCCTCTCCCGCGGGGCCGGATCCAATGGCTCCGTGAGCCTGAGCGTCGGTAGTGTCGGGGGCAGGGCTGAGAGCGATTCCCGCCGCCGCCGCTCCGTCCGCCCCACCCGGGCCAGAGCCAAGATGCTCTTCAGGGGAGGAAGCCGCTGTCTCCTGAGATCGATGTCCGTGGCTTGCTGCAGCAGCGCCCAAAGCAGCGCCCAAACCGACCGCAGCGGCAGCACCCGCGGTTTCCTTCTCATGTCCATGCGATTCGGGGCTCTGCGTCGTTGCCTGAGGCTGGGGCGAGTTGGTGGGAGAAAGGGAGATTCCGACAGCTTCTGCTCCCTCGGCGCCCTGGGGTCCGCGGCCGAGCTCTTCCTCCATCAACGTCATCTTCCGCTGCTGGGGAGTCGGTTCTAGAGGAATCTCCTCGCTGGGAACCTGTGGAGGAGGTGCAATGTTGCCTTCCGCGTCTACGCGCTCCAGCCCGATGGGCTCCTGTGCAGGCTGGCCTGCCAAACCTTCCTCTGTAGAAACGTCAGGCTGCGTAGGTGCTTCGACTGGTGTTTGAGCAGCAGGGGAGGTTGCACCGCTGCTTGGTGCTGCTCGGCGGCGGGGACCAGCCGTACGGCGAGGAACGGCCGGCATTTTCACCGAGGCCGGAGGAGCGGAGGTTGCGGTGGCTCCAGTAGATTCAGTGGCTTCGGACCGGGATTCAGAAGGAGCTGCGACTGGCTCTGGCGTCTCTTCACTCTGGGTCGCAGCTGCCGGCTCAGCATCAGCCTGCTCGCTCACACTGGCGCCCTTGGGCGGAGGCGACACAGCAGGTCCAGTTGAAGTCTTGCGAGGCGGGGGCCCCATACCAGGAATAGGCATCGCCATGCCCATGGGTCCACGAGCACCCAGTTTGGCCATACGAGCGGCGATAGCAGCTCGACGGGCCTTCTCATCCTCGTCCTCAGCTTCTTCGTTGGCGCTCTCTGCTCCCTCTGCAGGTTCATCGGACCGGGGAATGTTCATGGGAGGGGGAGGGGCAGAACCTTCCAATTCCTCTCCTTCTGCAGGCTCGGGAGCCGGGGGTGCTGGCGGACGAGTCCAGACCTTTCCGGTGCTTGCCACCTTAGGGGCAGCGGGTTCCGTACGGCCAAAGGCGCCACCAGCTTGGAGAGCGGCCATCCGCTCCTTGAGAGAGCCACCCTTCTGGATAGAGGATGCCGCATCGCTGGCGCTCATCCCCGTTCCGACCTTTTCGGTATCCGCTTTAGATTCCGAGGGTGTGGAATCCGTGGTAGCGGCTGCCGGCTTGGGCTCAGGCTCGTCCTTCGGCTCCGATTCGCCTCGTTCCTTGCGCGCAGCAGCCTCGGCTTCACGCTCCTTGGCCTCCTGCTCTTGACGGAGCTTCTGACGTTGGCTCCAAGTCAATCCCGCAGATGCCGGCTTAGGCTTGATAGGGGGCGGAGGTCCAGCAGCCTTGTCCTGGGCAGCAGCGAAGAACGCTAAACGCTCCTTCATGGTCATTTTCGACGGGTCCACGTCTCCAGCGGGTGTTGGAGACGAGGCGGCCGGCATTGGGTTGGCCTTCGCGGGCGAGGAGACGGTGACGGGTTTGGAGGGCGAGGGAGGAGCCTGCTTAACAGGCGAAGGGGGTGCGGGTGGAGGCTCAGTTGAGGTAGAGGGACTGGTGGCAGTGGCAGGTGGTTCAGCTTTCGTTTCCGGAGAAGCTGGCGGTTCGGAATCCGCAGCTGAGGCGGAAGAGATGGTAGGCTCTGCCTTGCCGAGTGTCGACTCGGTTCTCTCTGACTCTGGCTGAGCGATTGCGGCGGAATGCGAGGGGTCCGCGTGGGTTGCCGCCACAGACGCCGATTCAGGGGAGGCGACAGGAGCTTCAGCAGGGGTGCTCGTGCTTACAGGCGCCGCCGTCTTGTCCGCCTCCGTCGCCGAAGCGTCTACCAAGTTGGTGTCCTCTTCACCGGTAGGAACCACGAAATCCTGCATGTTAGGACGGGCAGGGCTAGAAACAAACCTTGGGGAACCCGCCGGCGCGAGATCCATCGACACTTTCACCGATCAGCCAGTCCTCATCGTCATGAGGGCCAGTGACGCGAATGCTGCGCGTTAGCTGTGTGTGCAGATTGTGATGACGCGGTGAGACGAATACAAAGGTCGGAGACGGCCGTCGGTCCCGCTGCCTTGACTCCAGCAACAATAGCAAGCCGCTAAGCCAAAGCAATGCACAGCTGCACGGAGACAGCACGTCAGCAACGGCTCCAGCTGTTTTTGCATGCAATGTAGCTCTTGCGGCCTCCGAAACTTCCCGCCAAGCTTTCGGGGTTGAGATGACGCCCTTCCGCTTGCGTCGGGGAGGTTCCGTGCAACGAGGTCAAGGGTGTGTCCGATGGGCACAGCCCCACCTGTTGCCTATGCCCGTTGCAGGGATTCGTCGGTCACTCCACTTGCTCGCGGGCGGGTTCTTGGTACCAGCAAGCAGAAAGGAACACTCACACCTCATCCTTCACGAATGAAAGGTCGGTCGAGTGCGGCGACTTGTACTTCAATCTGTCGTCAGCGTTTGGCCGAGGCTGTGCACGCCTCTCCGCCCTGGTGGTCACGCCATCCCCAACTCTGGGGACGCCTGGACGGTGGTGTGCAGGCAGTACTCACATTGTCCGGGCGAGATAAGGATACGACATCCTTTCCCGGGCTGCAGGGGGTGTAGTCAATGAGTGGATAAGATGTGGGGTTGGTGTTGGGGAAGATGTTGGAGAGAGAGAGAGAGAGTTGGAGTTGGGCGAGGACGTGCACCGGGCAGACTCAGCTCACGAGCGGAGCAGTGACGTAGCACATCGGACAGAGCGGATGATCGGGTATCTCGACGGCTGGGGAGCCTCTCGTTTGGTTCCGATCAAATAGTCAATTAACATTCATGTCCTTCCAGCCCTGCTCGATTACAACAGTTACTATTCGAAGTCACTATCCCACGGACGGTCAATCACGTGCACGTTCCGTCAGCTCTCCCACGCAAGGCTATCAATCGCGCGGTGCCGCCAGTCTCAACATACGATGGAAGTGGGGTGAGGAACCTCCCCTTCGTTGTCGTAGCCTGTACCCATATCCTCACCACCAGCTTGGAATCGCGCTGCCCTTCTTAGCTATCCGCTCTTTCCCACTGTTGCTGTGACTTTGCCTATCTCCTTGCGGAGATTGGCTTGTCTTCGCTTTCCCCCACACACCCCACCACCTCCCCAACGTTGGCTCCCGCGGTTGCCGTCATGGAACATAGGCGGCGGCAAGCTTCTGCATCGACATCCACGTCGCAATCTCACGACGATCGACCTACAAAGGGGTCAGGAAGTGCTACTCCGCGACCAGAAGAGGAAGAGGACGGTGAGTCGAGCAAGCAGACCTCCCCACCGACCATGTCGGCCAGCTGGACGGCTCGCCGCAAGGTGATCAACCGGCCGCTCCGAGCTGCCTGCGCCATCCATCCGGGCTCTGCTGACATCCTAGGAACTAGCCGTCGCACTCGGGGTCGGAATCCACTGCCGCCGAGCTCGGGGCCGCTTTTCCCAGCGCTACCTCCCAAAATCAAGAATTCACCAAAGGCTTCTAGCCGGTCACCAGCCGGCCGTACCGCCCGTTTATCGTCCTCGAGCGCTCTCACGAACGCTGTCAACGACGAGGACAGCAACATGGAAACCCGCGACGCTTCCCCCTCCAAGGCCGCCCCTCCGAGTATGTCTGGCTCTCTCTCGCCTCCACCAGCCGACGGTGACGACCTCGACAGCAAGAAAGACAATGGCGGCGATTGGGAGGCTTACCGTCGCGGACGGGGAGTGCGAGGGTTCAATGCTTCGAAAGCTGTGAAAATTGAGCAGATGGACGTTGACGAGCCCTCTGCCGCCAAGACAACTCGTTCCGAGAACAACGCCGAGGCCGCCTCGGGAACGGCCACCGCCGCCAGTGAGGCGACAGCGAGGGACGCGCCCGACCCCAGCGACGCCGACGACGCGAACGAGACTGAGGAAGTGAACGGCACCGAGGGACGCCGGTCTGGCGACACGTCACTATCCAATTCTGTCGAGCCGAAAGCCCGCAAGAGACGAGGCGAAGACCAGCTCCTGCTGGACGACCACCTCCTGCCAAAGGAAATTCGTGTGCCAGGCGGACAGATTGCTCCGCGGCGAGAGAAGCCCGGAGGCAAGCGCGCAGCCGTCGAGGAGCCGCCCAAGGAAGAGGTCGTCGAAGAGGCGCCGGAGCCTGAAGAGGAGGAGGCGGATGTCACCGCCGACGCCGCCGAGGACGCCGAGGAAGGCGACGAGGACGACGACGGCAAGGACATTACCAGATGCGTCTGCAAGCGCGAGGGTGGGTACCCCTGGTGTGGCTTGGTCACCGCTGACATCCAGACATCGACGTGATGATGATTCAGTGCGATAAATGTAATGTGTGGCAGCACGGTGCTTGCATGGGCATCTGGGGTGACGACGAGGCACCGGACGGTAAGCTGCTCGTGTGGAACGTGTGCTGACGCGATCTCAGAGTATTTCTGCGAGGAATGCCGACCTGACCTCCATGTGCCGCTCAGAAAGTGGATTCGCCATTGCGGCCGCAATCCTGCCAACTTTGTCGCACCGACGCCTGCCGACCTGCAGAAACTGCACAGCTCGAGCGACAAACTTCCGCCGTCACAATCCAAGCGATGGACCGACCCCGAGCTCATGGAACCGCCACCTCCGCCCAAATCGTCGTCGCGTGCCCAGAGGCGAGACTCGGAAATGGACAGCGACCGACGGTCCTCGCGACGAGGCGCTGCTTCGTCAAACAAGCCGACGTCGAAGGACGGGAGCCGCAGCGACCGTCGGCGAGGTCGCCGAGTGTCGAACGATCTGTCTGCGTCAACGTCTCCGCCACCGCGGTCCGAACCTCGCAAGCGCAGCACGATGAACTCGCGGGATGCTGCGTACGAGGACGAGGTTAAGGCTGCGCTTGAGGCGAGCCGAAGAGAGATGTCGGGCGGTGCTGAGGACACTGACACGACGACGACTGCTCAGCCCCGGAAGAGGCGGCGAGACGAAGACACGGCTGAAGTTGAGGAGAAGCGGCCCAAGAAGAAGAAGGACGATGATGGTGAGCTGCCGCCCTTACGAGCTTCTACTGACGATAGAAACGTCCGAGGCGCCCCCTGCCCCGCCAAAGCCGAAGCATCCGAACCAGTACACGTATCGACCGAAGGGTGCCGCTCCGTCACCCGCGCGGAGACATGCGAGCACGCCGCAGCCAGGCCTGCCGCCAACACACGACCACGGAACGCGTCGCGCGGGTGCCATCGCGTCCAACCTGGCGCAGGTGAACTACACGGCGTCCTCGATCCACCACCTGAACTGGTATCTTCCCGATCATCTCTCAGCTCACGAGGAGCTGCTGCCGAGTGCGACGCCGGAACCGCTCATAGTCCCGACTCCACGGAACCTGCAGTTCCTGACGCGGTCTCACTTCCTGAACCAGCGCTACGGGCCGTTCACAGAGGAGCGCAGGCCGGACGGCAAGCTGATCATGCCGGAGGACCGGCCGCTGCGGGACGTGGAGGGCGAGCCGTCCTGCCACCGGCAACCGCCCACGCGCGTCCGTTTCCCGATGAAGCGGATGCAGCTTGCCGAGATGGGACGGCGCGTAGGAAACGTGCTCGAGTACGTCGGCCGTGTGCAGCACGAGGAGACGCGGCGGCTCGAGCGCGCCAAGCAGCTGGGCATACCCGAAGGCAACGTGCCGCGCAAGCTGCCGCCGATGGAGGAGGACCCGAAGCCGAAACGCAAGCGCGGTGACGAGGAGGACGACGCTCCGCCCCCGGACGAGATCTATCCCGGCCCCAGCGGGCCCAGCTCAAGCGTGCTCCTAGACGAGCTGACGCGAGACCTGATTGCGTTCCAGGAGGCATTCCAGACCGGCGACTTTGAGGGCCTCACGTTTGCTGAGCCGCCAGTTCGCGCCCCGCCAGAGCCGGAGCCGACGCCAATGCCGGAGCCCATCCCCGTCGAGCAGCCCGAAGCCCCCGCTGAAACCACGACTGAGGGCGAAGCCGCAGCCGACTCGAAAGAGGGCAACGAGGGTGCCGCCGGAGACGGCGACGCGGCGATGGGAGAAGAGCCCCAGGGCGACGCCCCCGTTGACGGAGACAAGCCAGAAGGCCCAGCCGGAGGCGCCGCCGAAGATCCCGTCGAGGGTAAGGCCGAGGGCAAGACAGAGGACAAGGACGCGCGGATAGAGCCGTCCAAGCCTATCGAGCCCGAGTCCGCCGAGCCCGCTGAGGCGGGCAAGTCTGAGGAAGGGAAGAGGGACGATCGAGTCGAGCCCGATGCCATGCCGCCCGTGAATGGCGAGGTGACCGCGGAGGCGTGAGCCGGCGAGCCGGCGAGCCGGCGAGCCAGTAGTATGCTGCTATGGCGCCATTGTAGTAATTTTTGATGGACTGTTGTCATTTAGAGCGCGACAAACTTGACGGTTACTAACCCCCAATGACTTGGACGCCCGTTACCTGTGTCTGATGCTCGTGGCTGACCTCAGCTGGCTACACATTCTCTTAGTAGTGCCCAAGAGCCAGCGCAGACAGGAGAAAGCAGCTAGTGCAAGTGTAGAGGGAAAGAAACAATGCATGTATCGCTGCCGGTATTGTAACAAGCCCCGGGGGCCGAGCGTGCGAGAGTTAAGTCAAGTGGATGGGTTGTCTATTGATAATTTGCTACATTTTGGGGGGGTGGGGTTGTCTTGCTGAGTGTCGTGCTGTAATGTTGCTGGTCAGAGAAATGGAAGCAGAAAGAGAGAGGAAAGAGAGAGAGGGGAAAATGTCCATTTTGAGGAGTGCCCTTTGCGTCTAGCCGTCCGAGCCGGGTCTGAGGTTTGGCCGGGTCTTGAGTGAGGAGAACGAGTGTGGGGGAACTCAGAGCCTAGGTGAGAAGACGGGTGCGCTCTGTCGGCGTGCGCTCTGGATCGACGACGCCGTTCGTTCCGTTCGCTTCATGCTCGACCACGCCCGAGGCATCCGCATCGTCAAACTTGTCCGGGAGGGGCGGGAGGCCGAGCCGCTCACGCACGCGCTCGACGCCGCGGTCCCAGTCCGCGTTCCAGACGATGTAGAGGCCCACCACACTCGCATACGTGAGGCTGAGCGTGAGGCCGATCCAGATCCCGACGAGGCCGAGGCCCGCGCTCTTCGAGAACATGAGCCAGAGCCCGAACGGGATGCCAATCACGTAGTAGCTTGTGAGATTGATCAGCGCGCCCGTGGCGTGCAGGCCCTGTGCGCGCAGGACGGCGTTGGCCGCGCCCGAGAGTCCGTCCATGACTTGGAAGAGACCGATCCACGGCAGGACCTGCGCGACCAGACCGACAACGACGGGGTCGCTGTTGAAGATGTACCCCCAGTTGTTCCGGAAGATGATGCAGATGGCGCTGTTGCCGAGCGCGAACACTGTGGCCCACACGAAGCTGGCGCGGGAGGCCCACTTGGCTTCCCATCCGCGACCGGCGCCCAGGAGGTTGCCGACTCGCACGGAGCTGGCGACGCCCAGAGAGGCAGGGAACTGGTACAGCGTCGAACAGGTCGAGAGAAGGACGGACTGTGCGGCGAGCGTGGTCGGGCCTAAGAACGAGGCGGCGAGCGCGCACACCTCCCACGCCCACCACTCCGAGCTCGTCATGACCGTGCCGGCAACGCCGAGGGACGCGATGGTGCCAAGTTTGGAGCAGCAGCTCTTGGCGGAAAGGGGGTGCCACGCCTCCCGCGGCCCGATCCAGAGGATGTACCCGAGCAGCAGGAGGAAGGTGAGGTTGTAGCTGAAGGCAGTGGCGATAGCACCGCCCTTGAACCCGAGCCGGACGGCCGGAGGACCCCACACGAGCAACCAGTTGAGGACGAGGTTGAGCGGAGCAACAATGAAGAGAATGTAGGTCGGCACATCCATGATGTTCTGCGCCTGCAGGTACTTCTTCAGAATCACGTTGCCGGCGTACCCCGGGATACCCGGGGAGAGGTACGCGAGGTACACGCCCGCGAGCCGGGCCACGTCCGGGTCCTGGCCTAAGACGTGCAGGATAGCCTCGATGTTGAACCAGAAGATGAACATGGGGATCTGGAGTCAGCTGTAGTTCTGGGAGCGGGCGCAGGGGCGCATGGGCAGGCGCGGTGTCGGGCGCAGATTACGAAGCACAGAAGGAAGACAACTCACCATTGCGAACGACATGACCACAAACATGCGCTGCGTCCAGAGACCGACACGACTCGGGTCGCACGACGTCCACGCGGCCGGGAGGAGGGTGTCGAGTGCGGTCGCAATGCCCTGCACGATCGAATAGCACGATACAGCGGCAGTCATGTTGGCGAGCGACGAAGCAGCGAGGTCCTTGGTGCCGAGGTGTCCGATGCTGATGACACTAGCAAGAGCGAGCGAGTACTCGGCGAGCTGGGTGAAGAAGACGGGAATCGTCGTGCGGAGCAGCAGCGGGAGCTCGACGGCCATCGCACCCTTCCAAGTGTGGACCTCCCTGCCAGATGCGTCTGTCGGGAGATCTAAGTCCTGGGCATCAAGCTCCTCGGCGGGATCGCAGAGCAGAGGCTCCCCGAAGCTGCTGGCTCCCGGTTGCCAGAGGTTTGCGCGTGCCTGAGATTTGGCGTGCTCGGTCTCGGCATCCGACTCGTCTTCCTCATCACTTGACGTGGGCGGGAGCATGCTCGAGAGCACGGCGGGCGAGATCGGTCGGCGGTCCTGTGATCGGCCCCGGCGTAAGGAGCGGTAGGGCGACGAGGGCGACGTGGCCGTGTAGTCGCTCGTGGTCGAGATCGTCGAGGATCCAGCATCGGCGTCGCTCGTGACGCCGCCCAAGGCACCTAAGCTCGCACCGGCGGCGGTGGCGGCGTCACGGTGAGCGCGAGTGAAGGGTCGCACGACCCGCGGCGGCGTCCTTCCCTTGCTACGGGAGCGCGAGTTGCCAGCCGGTGCGGAGGAGTCGATGGGTACCGGCGGGTTCTGCGCAAGGTGCGAGATCGGTTCGCTGACAGCGCCGTACGAGTAGCGCTTCGGCGCACGAGGACCGCGGCCATGACGGTCGTTGCTACCTCGGCGTCCGCGCTCCTCTTGCGGTGGTCGAGTCTCCTCTTCGTGCGGGAACATGAGTGTGACTTCAGATTCTCCGCCATCCTGGCTCTGCGTCGAGGATATGCTGCCGCGGGCGCCCCCCAGGCTGCCGATCTTGGAGATCGAGCTCGTCTCGCTGTCTTGTCCTTGTGACAAGGGCGAGATCGGTCCACTCGTGCGCCGGTGGTTGTGGGCGTGCGGATGTGTGCGCGACCGCCGCATCAGCGCCTCGAGGTTGTTCTGGATCGCTGCTTGTCAGTAATTAGCTAGAATGAGAACGTACCATAAGGAGAGGTGCTGAGGGAGGCGGCAAAGGAGGATGAGTGGGGGTAGTTTGACATTATGCACCAGGCTGTGGCCGGCGGCGGACCGCTAGCGAGTCGGTGAGGTTGAGGAAGGCGTTTTCGTGTTCTTGCCCGAGAGTTTGAGGCTGCTGACAGTCTTGAAAAGAGCGTGGATGTGGAAGAGGAGAAGAGACTTGTGGATGAAAGATTTCTGAGATGGAGCTGAGCGTCAGTCACGGTCGCAACAATCTGCACTGGACTAAAGCGGTCACTGGGTCAACTAAGGGTTCCAGGCACGCAGCCGCTCTCTCATCATCCTGGGTCCTTCCTGGGTGGTCTTCCCCGCCCCGCAGCTCAGTACTCCCACGGGCCGACAAGTATCTAGGGGTGACTCGCCCTGCCAGCCTATCCGTGCTATCGAATGCAGCCCGCTTGTCAGGTGTTGGGCCAGCCAACCCCCGTTCCAGCCTTTGCATTTACCGGGGGTTCTACCGTGCGCCGCCCGCCGTATACCGCGCTCACAGTCGTCAAAACAAGTATTCAGCTTGTACGCTGATGCTCCGCCCAGTCGCGAAAATGATCGTCATTCACTCCTATACGTGATCAACACTCCCTGCTTCCGGCCAATACAATATCAGCGATCGTCAGCCGCGCCACGGCCAAAAGAAATAAGGAATTTCTTCGCCTTCCTCGCCAACCACCCTCTTATCACCACCCATGCATACCGCATGCTCTCTCCTTCCTCCCTCGCGCCCATGCCTTCGGCCCACTAATCCATGTTGACCCCCGTTTCACCATCCACTCAAACCCACCCGCGAGCTGCGCTGTTGCGCGTCATACTAGGAAAACGAAGCATTAACAAATTCATAGGGCATAGAACGAACCCCTTCCAAAAGGTTGAGATGGAAAAGCCGACCCTCCACTCGTCTACATTCGACGGCAGAGCCCCCCACGAATCGAACTGATATGAAACGTCTACTCGCACTTCTGACTGTCTGTCAGCTTACTGCTGCAGCGAGACCAGCTTATCTCGACTCACAGAAATTGTGTGGTATACTGCTGGATCACCTCGAGGACTCTTACGAGGCCTTGTTCTTCTAGACCCGGTCAGCGCCATTCCACACAGCACGGCACACAGCGGTGACTCGCGGTGACTCACCGGGTTCTCCGGGGCATCCTTCCACATGGCAGCGACCTTCTTGAAGTTCTCCTGTCCTGTTAGACTGCGGCCCTATACGCACACAAGTGGAGGCGGTTGCGGTTGACTCACCCGGTGGTCGCCCTTCTTGCCGGACTTCTCCTGGTCGGCCTTGAGCTTCGCGAGCTGCACCTTCATAAACTGGTTGCTGTTTGTCAGCTCATCGAACCGCTACAAGAGGTGACAAGGGCACCGCGCATTGACCGCGGCCACGGGTCCATGACCGAGGGTGGATGCCGTGAAAGGACCGATTGCGGAGCTTTCAGCGCTATACTCACTAGGGCGACGTCTTCTTTCCTCCTGTTTGCAGTTGTTGTCAAAGCAGAAAGTGTGGGTCGGTGGATGCAACGGTTGCAGAAATCAGAAACACGTTCAGTCGCGTGTGTGTAAACAAAGACAAATGTCAGCACTAGTCGGAGATGTCCGGTGCACGGTGCGCATGCATGACTAACCCTTCTTAGCGGCTGGGTGTGCGGAGAAGGTCGTTGCAGCGGCAGGGGCGAAGACGATGAGGATGCGACAGGTAGCGAGACGGAGTGTTGAGTCGAGCGCGAGCGTGCAGTGTCAGTACAATGGTGCGGGGTGTCCACAGAGAAACGCGTAAACAACCTCCACCCTGGGGCATACCGCGGTTACACAAGTGTGACAGTGGCGCGGGCGCGCAGTGGATGGCAGATCAAGGGGAAAGCATGCACGTACTGGCCATTGTTGCGGTGGATGGATGTGGATCGGGGTGAAGAAGACGAGTGCAAGTGCAGATGGGAGATGGAGAGAGAGGAGGAGAGAGGATGACTGGGTTGTGGTTAATGAGGGATGAGGGGTCGGGTCGCGGGGGAAGGGCAGTCGCCTGGAGGCATGAGGCATTGAGGCATGAGGCCGTGGTCTTGGGTGGTGCGGGCGGCGGTACGGTGAGCCATGAGCCAGGTGAGCCACCGGCCACTGGCCACTGGGCCCACTCTGCGAGGTGGGTGGGTCTGCGAAACCTGCCTCCAGTCCTCTCGCCTGCGCGCCTGCCACTCTGTGTTCTCTCCTCGATTCCAATCCGGGATCATTGGATGCATGCCCGGTCCGCTGCCGCCCCATGGTGCTTCTCTGCTTGACTACCTTGACCGCCGTGTCAAAGGCTAGCTGAATACAAGTACTAGCTGAAATCGGCTTCTCCTGGCAAGCAACAAACAATTCACCTGCCGACTGCCTTCCTTGGTCTGTCTGGTCATGATGCAATCGTACAGCCGCCGATGCACAAGCTCGAGACACACAGCACGTGATGGCTTCTATCCATTCTGGGGCGACTGGAACGTCCCAACTGGTACGGAATACACGCGTCAAACTTGCGACAGCATACCAAGCTGAGTGTGCGTACTACTTGTGGTCTTGGCCTGATCTGGAGCCGGAGGGAGCTTGAGAGCAGCGCTTCCAGCCAGCCCCTTGTTATGTGAACGGCATGTCAAGAGCTGCACGCTTGCACTGCCCTCAGAACGCGCGAGCGCACACTGGGCAGACGTTGACGTAAACGCCCTCAAGTCGCTCTGCTTCCGGAGAATGAAACCCTTGACCTGTCAAGTCTGGACACAGCGCAGCACAGCGGATGAGTCGTCATGCCCAGCGCTCGTCGCCAGGGGGAGCCGACCTGAAGCGACCCAAGATGTCATCGGGAGCTTCGAAGGAACAGACGCCAGACGCCAGACGCCCAGCTAACCACGGCGGACGAGGCCAAGTGTTCAACAGCACAGCAGCCCCGCCGGATCCCAGGCCTTCCTGCATTCGCTTCTGCAGGGGCATCCGCGGCGAGTTAATCTTGGGATCGGATGGCTCCGAATGGATGCAAACAACGATCACACGCTGTACGCTGACGGCACCGATCAAAACAACATGTCCAATGCGCCGGTCCGGCATTACCCCGTGAGCTGCCGCCATGCCGCCAGCATTTAAGGTTCCCTCTGCAAGATCGATTACGCACCGCTGCTCCATTACGCCCGGCATGGAACGAGTTGCCCCTTCAGGCAGCTGCTTCCCTCGTTCCCTCGGGTAAAGCATCCACCGCCTCGTGAATTGTTTGGTACATCTGATGCTGCTTCTCGGAGGTATCATGCCGAGCCGGCGAGGTCTTGAGACGTCATATGCAAGCGGTTTGGAAGAGCACGACGTCAGTGCCTCCTTTGTGTTCCCAGACATGACACAGAGGCACCGCCAATGTACGGGTGGGGGAGGCTTCAAGCTCCTCGAGGAAGACAAACAACTTTGGGCCGCGGATACCCCGTATTCCTCGGATGCCTCGGAAGGAACCGAGTATCGAGGAGCTTGTGGGAAGCGCGATTCCAGCTCGACCCACTTGTCTGCTCCGTTCGGTTCCAGCGAGCGCTCATCAGTTGCAGCTATCGGAGTGCTTGACGTAAAGCCTGACGAGAGCGAGAATGAAGTCCACTTCGGAGCCAACGATCGCAGACCTGCAGAGCCCTTCACTATCCTACACCCAATGCATATCTATAGGGGAATAAGGGGGGCTCGTAATAGCCGTTTCAGCGACGGCTGCGTTACATTCCTAAGAGCGTTTACATCGCAACGTCGCCGCTGTCGTCCGGTCGCGGGGCGCCGCGCTCGACAGAGTTGACGATTTCTCGTCGAATCTCAGAGCTGATCGTCGGGTGCGGGCGCACGCGGATGACGTCGAGGAGGGCATCCTTCTGGTCCGCGGTAAGGTCAGAGCCATATCTGACATTAGCTAGGGAACGTGAGGGACAAAGCTGAAGGATACTCACCGCTGGACAAAGACGAGGAGGGACTGGTGCCAGAGGACGGGGAGCTTGTCCTCACCGTCGCGCGAGCGGGGCGAGTTGGCGAGTCGGATGAAGTGGAACACGAGCGCGTCGACGACCTTGTACGGAAGCGCGTACTTCTTGTCGAGGAGGATACGGATGAAGAGCGAGTTGGGTCCGGCATAGTCCATGCTGGCGAGACGCATGAGGGCGGCAGCGGAGTGGAGAACCGGCACAGAGACCTTCGAGAGGACAGAGGCAACGATGGCCGCCTCCTTCAGGGAGCAGCTCGACTCGCACATCGGGAACAGGATGCCCTTGAAGAACGGCGCGGGCTTGTACAGCGCCTTCTTGAGCGAGTTGTACAGGTGCACGTTGAGCTTGCCGTGGTTGTTGCGCATGTCCTCGCGCACCAGGTCGAGCAGCACACCCTCGAGGAACACGCGCACCTCGCTCGGCTTCAAGTTCGAAACAAAGATCTTGGTGCACGCGAACGCAGCGTGCGGCGTCCAGCTCGTCGGCGTCGTGACGGCAAGAAGCTGGGCCCACTGCGGCATCGAAGGAAGGATCTTGAGCGCCTTCGGGAGCGGTCCGCTCTTGTACCGCGACAGCAGGTAGCCGACCCTGCACGTTAGCTACAGCTATCGGTCTGCTAGCTCTGTGCTACTCACTTCGTGTACACCTCGACAACCTTGGGGTTCAGGCCCTGGCGGGGATCCGGGGGTCCATCGTCCTCGACGGGGGCAGCCGGCGCACCGTCCATCTGGGCAAAGATGAGATCCGCGAGCGTCTTTCCCTGTCCCTCATCCTTGCCGAGCGCATCCATCGTAGCGTGGTCCTCCGGGTCGATGTTGAGCTCGTGCTCCTCGTCGCTTCCGCCGATGTCGCTTCCATCCTCGTCATCGCTGTCGTCGTCCGACTCGATCTGTCGTGGCCGGGCGGACGGCTCGGGCTCGTCGTCCTCATCCTTCCACATGTCGTCGTCGTCCTCTCCAAGCTCGTTCGCAACCTCGTCCTGCTGCTCGCGCGCGAGCTCGAGAATCTTGCGCGACATGCGCGCATCCTCACCCGTTCGCGGCTCCTCGACCTCCTCCTGCTCAACCTTGGACTTGCGGTTCTTGGCGCGGCCGAACTTTCGCAGCGACTCGTCAGCAGCGAGCTCAACGTGCAGCGGGTCGTGCCGCGCTTGCTTGCTTCGTGAAGCCTTCGGCATGTTGATTTATGGAGTAGAGTTGTCGTGAGATCAGAAATTCAGCCAGGTGGCTCATCGATCGTTTCAAAATTCCTGGCGGCGGGCGGCGAACAAATCTAATCGGTGTCACGTGATCGCTCACTCAACTGTTGACATCACCTTGCCCATCAGCCGCTTTCTGCAGCACTCCCTCCCTCCGCCAGCAACCTAATCTTATCACCAGTGAGACCAGTCGTTTGCGCGTCGTGCATCTCAACAACGCGACAGGACAAAGGGATAGACAATTCGCGAAGCAATTGCAGTTTCATCGACAACCGCCCCTCGATCGAGGACTTGAGACATGAACCCAGGACAAACAACCTCTTCTCCGTCTCGCTGGCCCCACATATAAACTGTCTCTGCTCTCTGGCGCAACTCAACCTTCCCACTAGATTGAAATGGGCAAGAAGAAGTTGAAAAAGGACGCAAAGGATGCCCCGCCAGCACCAGAGCCGGTGGGCGGGCCTGTGGACCCATCAGTGTTCGCCTCAGTGCTCTCGGTGAGTTGGCTAGCTCTAGGTTCTCAGCTAACATCAGCTCGACTACCCTCTCCTAGACCCATCTCTCATTTTCGCAATTCTGTTGGACTACGACCCATCCGAGCTCGGAAGGAATGAGCAAGCCATCAGAGATCAGCTCGGTGTTCTGGAGGCTACGAGCGTGCCAGACAACGACGATTCTAATGGACGGGCAGAGACAGACACGCCCACCTACAGCGAGAGCTCGTCGGCTTTGCTGTCGCAGACGCAGACAACCTCCATCACAGACAACACTGAAACCTTTGACGACGAGGACCCCCAGGACGAGATCGACTTTCTCAAAGCGTTCTTTCCTAACCTGTGGGTACGAAGGGCAGGAGATTGCTGACCCATCAGACCCCAACGTGACCTGGAGGAGGCGCTCACGTCGGAACCCACGCTAGAGGCCGCTATCGACCACCTGCTGTCTGTCGAACTAATTAACAATGTGGGCAAGATGGGACACTGGCCCGACGAGCCATCAAGCGAGAGCGACGGAGGCGCCTTTCGCCCTGCACTTTCTCGTCGGAGCAGCCGATCGCCAAACAAGAAGGCCGCAGTCCTTCCCCCGACGGGCAAGAAGAAGAAGAAGCCGACGGTCACGATACCCGTTGTCGACACAATGCAACGACGCTCTGCCAGCGGCCGTTCAACGCCTGTGACGCCCGCGAACTCTGCCGGTGTTATTCCCGCGACGTCAACGGATGTGTGGACGGCGTATGCGTCGCTCACCGAGACCCTGGCGGAAATTGTGCCTCGCGCGACACCGGGCTACTTCAAGTCCTACCTGCACTCGGGCGACTACGACTCGGCACATGAGGCGACTCTCGCCGCGCTTAACGCGCTTGCGGCATCGAATGCGCGCCTCGGGGAAGATCTCGCCGATGAAGCATGGCAGATCTTTGAGGACGTGTATGGTGTCAGCCGAGATGACGGTAACAACGACATTTCGGACGCCCTGCACGCTTGCATCGGGGCAGCGGAGGGCGACGTCATGTCAGTCATGGACTTGATGAACGTCGTGCACGATTTGCGCTTCTGGCCAGACTACGAGGCGCGCCGGGAAGCCGAGCAAGATCCGTTCGCGACGCTCTCCGCGCTCGAACGCCAGCTGCCCAAGTCTGCTGGCACAACTTCACCACCGAAGACAACACGTGTGCTGAACGGGAACAGGCTTACGAGACCTGTTTCAGAACCGCCTCAACAGCGCACAAAGCAGTCTGAACAGCGTGTCGGCAACGGCAACATCCGGGAAGCCAAGGTGCGCGCGGTGCCGGGATCGAAGGCGCCGGCAGGCAGCGCCAGTACGAGCACGAGCACAAGCGTGTCCGGCGCCAGCACACCCGTGCGTACATCGCCGTCGCGAGCGCGCAACATGCCGGCGACGTACACGCAGGGCTTTGCGCCGTCACCTGTCGCATGGACCACGGTCAACTCAAAGAAGCCGAAGCGCGGCCCGCACCCGCTCTCGGCCAACATCCCGGCGTACGCTAGAGGCGCGCCTGCACCGAGTCTGGCTGCAAAGGACCCAGAAGCGCTCACGCCCGCCGAGTGCTACGCGCGTGGAGCGGCGGCTCGTCGAGCGCGCGAGGACGCTATGCGCGCTGCCGGTCGTCACTTCCGTTCAGGACAGAAGCATATCCAGGCGAGCGTCGCGGGACATTACGCGGCGCAGGCACGCGAAGCGGCCACAGCAGCGAGGGAGTGGGAGCTCCGCGGGGCGCGCCTCCTAGTCGACGAGCAGCTCGAGAGTCGCCCTGCCACGATCGACTTGCACTACATGTCTGTCGAGCAGGCAGTCACTATAGCGAAGGAGACAGCCTCGCGTCATCACTCGGGCGGCGACGGAGGTACCCTCATCATCATTACGGGCAAGGGAATCCACAGCGCCGGAAACCGCGGCGTCCTCGGTCCCGCGGTTCAGCGCGCGTTGACAGCCGAGGGATACCGCGTCACCAGACAGGAGGGATACCTCGCTGTACGCAGTCGGTAGCGGCAGTCGGTAGCGATGCATCTATTTTGCACTTTGATCGCCGTCTAGTCCAGGTTTCCGAGATGCAAACAACGACGGCGGTTGGACGGCAATGCACATCCGTATCTGCAGCCAATGGAATGCGGAGCAACGTGCCAAGCAGCGGATGTCGGAAGCAGCGCCTCGCTCGTGGCTGGCCCGTCGGTGTCTTGTCGATTATTTATAGGTGCCCACTCCCTGCATTGTCCGTGTCTCGTCCCGCTTGCGGGCCAAGTCCGTTGAAAAGACGATCCCTACCGGCCCTGCCATTTACGTTACGCTCACTCTCCTACAATGCCTTGTATGCAAGGCCCGGCCCCACCACTCCATCGGCGAACGTCATGCTCGCCCTGGACAGTGGAAAGCGCATGCATTAACGATCGTCAGGCGTCAGCATCTCTTCGCCCCTGCTCACTGCTCACTGCTCTTCCTCTGACCTCTAACCCGGCTCCAGCGTCAGCATGCTGCCGAAATTCAGTGACGACGAATCTGCAAAAGTCACGGAACGGCCCGTCTCCGGTGAGTTTCGCGACGCACGGGTGTGGTGCCTGCCTTCGCAGACGTAGATCACGCTAAGCGATATTTCACTACGTTCAAAATGTTCCACTGACACTCAGAGTCGGAGATCAGCGGGTCAAGCGGCACCGACTTCATGGGTCCTGTCGACCCAGATGTCGACGTCGAGCGCCAGCCAGTGATCGCTTAGAAGGACGATGACGAGATGCAGCCGTTCTCGTTCAAGATGCCCGAGTCGTTTCAGTGTTATGCCGCCGAGTGCGCCGGCATCTTCGTCATGATCACGATTGGTCTTATCACGAATATGTGAGTGCGATGCGAGAGACGCCCTTCTTCATTTCACTCAGCAATACTCTTCGGCTTCTTCGTGCTCTTGCTGTTGCAAAGGCTCCTTCTGCCCCGCTCCAAACTCCCGTCAACCACGGTAGCTGACAACAGCCAATCCACCCTCACCGGCGACCCAGAGAACCCAACAAAGTCCAACGACGTAGCATACGCCTTTGGTTGGGGCGTGGGTCTCTTCGCGGGACTGCTCATCACAATCCCGACGAGTGGAGGGCATATCAACCCCGCCATCACGCTCATGCTCGCGTCCTACCGCGGCTTCCCCTGGAAGAAAGTGCCGGGATACTGGGCCGCGCAAGTCGTGGGCGCCTTCGCTGCGGCCGCGATGGTGCAGGGACTGTACTACCAGCTGCTGGACCAGTACGAGGGCGGGCGCGGGCTGCGGACGATGAAGACGGCGACGCTGTTCATCGACGTCGCGCCAAAGTGGGAGAGCAACATTGGTGAGTCCCTCCGCGCCGACGTCAGTCGGCGCACATCCATTGCTCGTCTGCCGTGAGAATAGCGCTGACAGCGCAGACGCCTTCTTCCAGGAAGTCACGGGCGCCGCACTCCTCCTCCTCGGCGTTGCGATCGCGACCTCCCCGCCAAACGCACACTGGACGACCTGGTCCAAGGCGCTGATCATGCTCTGGTTCTTCGTCGGCGTATCGGGCTGCATGGGCCTGCATCCCGGCTACGCGCTGAATCCGGCGCGCGACTTTGGCGTCAGGCTGAGCTGCTGGGCAATGGGATACGGAAAGCACCTCTGGACACAGCGCAACTGGTACTGGATCTGGGGATGTCTCATTGCCCCCGTTACTGGTGGGCAGCTCACGACGTTCCTCCACGATTGGATCGTGGTGGGAAGAGTCCAGTTCACGGTGCCGATCTTGACGAGGCTTATCCGTGGAAGAAAGCGCAAGACCAGGTAGAGGACGAAGGTAGAGGGAAAGCGCAGGAGCGCAGGAGCACGGGAGAGCAGAGCGCTACGACGACAGCGTATGGAAGAGCCTCGTACGATAGTTTCCGGCGCGTTCTATTCGGCAGGTTCGAAGTTAAAGGTGGGACTGGAAGGCGGAGTTCGGGTCGCGGAGAGATGTGCTGCATGGACGTGGTGGCTGGCGTGGTCGTGGAGCGCGGCATCCGCCTGTCGGGCAGCTGAGCGTTGTCTCTGAGCGTCTCTGATGCTGCCACAAGCTTCCTCGGCCGCAAGCAGAGTGCTGCTCACCATGAAGTGATCAGATCGCCACCCGCCACGTACGCCACCTTGACATAGATAAGCATCCCTCTTCCAATTAGGTTCCCGGGGTAGTTGTAAGATAAGAGAGATACAGGACATTCGCATTGAGATTATTGGTATGTATGGTTTGCACGGCACTCATGAGGGGCCGGATCCGGCTCGAGTCGGAGTGTTGACTCGGAAGTTAGGCCAAATCTCGGCGTTCAACGTCATTGATAGTTGCAACCACACCATGTCTGACGAACCGGTCAGTTCTCCTTTGACTACACTGACAGCGCACATACTGACGACAGACGAGCGATGTACTCAACGCCTTTGGCTTAACTGGCCCGCTGCGACTCATGGAAGGAGGCAGAGAACCCGTGTATGCGACCTCGGACGACTCTGCCGTCCTGAAGCGGGCGAAGGAGGACTGCCAGCGTTTCGTGGGCGAGGTGCTCGACCCCCTCCCCCAGAATGGGTTCCGATTGGCCCGCGCGCTGCGGCCAAAGGCTGGAGGATGGACATGCGACGGATGGGGCGCGAACGAGCTGCTTCCTGGCAAGCCGAGGGAGAAACTGTCGACCGAAGACGTGGTGCGGGTCCTCAAGGCGGGCCAGGTGCTGCACGCGGCCACCGAGGGTGTGAAGCGCGAACTGGTACCGGTGGAGGATCACGCGTGGGCGCGAGCCGATGCCGCTGTCTGGGGCGAGGGCGAGGTCGCTGTCCCAGAACCGTGGAAGGCGCTCGTCAATGCCCTGGTGGATTTCACAAGAGACGAACCAGACCTCGGCCCCTCCCAGCTGATCCACGGCGACTTGTCGGGAAACGTCCTTTTCGCGCCTGTCTCCGACTCCTCACCATCTTCCTCTGGCTCTGGCCCGAGATCCGCCGCCAAGCACTCCGGGAAAACCCCCGGATGGTCAAAGCAGCAACAGCCAGACCCCGGAATCATCGACTTCTCGCCCTACTTCCGCCCAGCGGCTTATGCGCTCGGCATCGTGATTGCAGACGCGCTACTGTGGCACGGACACGGCTCCGAATTGCGCGGCACCGTGCAGCGGGCCGGCATCTCTGTACCAGTCGGTGCGATTGCGAGGGGGCTCTTGTTCCGGATCTACACGGCTATCGGATTGAGGAGGGAGGGTGTTGAGGAGGAGAGCGAGAAGGAGGAGGTGGAGCGCTTCACGATGGCGGCCAAGGCAATGGGCCTTGGGTATAGCTATACTCTGTGATGTGAGGTGATCCTGCAGCAGGCTTCGGGGGGTCAGCTGTGGAGACCTGTGTGACAGTGGGCGGAAGTGGTTCGCGCTCGAGGAGTCTCAGAACTTGGAGGAGAATACAGCCGTCAGTGTGCCGAGCCGGGAGTTCGCTGATGCGCAAGATAGAGAGTGTGGGGAAGAAGAAGAGGGTTGCGACGATGAGGTAGAGAACGAGGTTCCGTGGGGGAGGCTCGGCACGTGCAGAGCAGGACACAGCAGCGCCTCGCCTTAACGGCCGAACCTTCAGGTCGCTCGTTATCGCGAGGCTTCCAGATCAACGCTGAGTAAAGCTAGCAATACCATAGGCTCCTTCCTCAGAAACTACGGCCTCACCCGCGACGCACCACGACCGAGACCTGCAGCCTTTCTGGTCTGTTCTGACGTCTGTGCGAAAGTCGGATCCCGACCTTGACACCGATACGATGTCTGACCAACTCTCTTCACGCTATAGGCCACCAGCTCCACTGTCAGCACACCCTCGCCCTCCGCGGGTCCTCCTCGATCTCAGATCCAAATCGGAGGCCAGTCCAGACACGGATCCCGGGTCGTGTGACTGGCTGCAGATGCCAGTAGGCCGCTCAAGAGCGCGCCGTGATTGTAAAATGGAAGGCTCCGAGGTGGAGCCCGGGGTTGGGACCACATCGCTGGAGTCTAGAGAGACAGATAAGGTTGCATGCACATCTTGGTCAGCTGTCCTTCCCCTGCGCCGGTATGGGGTGAGAACTTGTGCCTCGGGCTCTGCACGCGCTGATGGAGCGAGTGGAGTCTGGCCACGGGCTGTTCTTTTCATCCTCTGTGAGCTCTGTAAGCTGTGAGCGCACGATGGTTAGCCTCGCTACGCGCAGCAGTAGTACACTCCCTCCTCCTTTCCCGGTGCACTCTGGGCGCAATCTCGGTCAGCTCGGAGCGTAGAGCTGTAGATTACGCTTGCACTCTCGAGCAACTGTCCGTGCGACCTGGCCACTGGGCCCGACATCGCTAGAGTCGCAGGCGTCTGGTGGGCTCCAAGACCGAAATAGAACGCCCTCTGCGCCTCCGAGGCACCTCAATGCGAGACGTGCCTGCGATTGTGATCTCGCTGGAAACGAGGTCCAAGCTGGAGGAGCGCAGAGTACGTAGCGATGTCGGGGCCAGGTTTTCCCGGCCAGACTAAGGCCCATGATTAGGCACGGTGATATCGGGTCATCTCACCCGAAATCAAATCAGCCTCGCTTCTCGTCCAGGTTAACCGGATTCAAGTTTCCCGCTCAACCCCGTCTCCCCAACGACGCCTGCAGCAAGAGCGTGTGCCATTTTACCTATTGTTGCATTGCTAAACCAACCTATGCAAGAGAGATCAAGAGAAAAGAGATAAAACGTCTGTATTGAACAGGTAACACAGAGTACATGAGCCGTTTGGAGGGCTCTTTTGGGTGTTTGGATTGTTGGGGGGAGGATGGATGGGGGTCGTGGGATGGGGGGTCGTTAATGAACATTTGGGTTGTGATGCTTCGGACATAGCTTCGCTCTGCTGAGCGCAGGCGCAGCTCCGCTTCGCTCCTCTGCTTAGACAGAAACAGTGGGGGCGCCGGGGGCGACGTTCTTCTCAACGGCGGGGGTCTCGAGCGAGCCCTCGGTGGAGGAGCCGTCGCCGCGCTTCTCGACGGTGTGGAAGAAGTCGCCGGACATGGCGGCCTTCTGCTCGCGACGCGCCATGCGCTCCTTGTACGCCTTGGACTTGAGGAGGCCGAAGAAGGTGAAGCGGCCCTCGGACCACTTGTACCACACCAGGGCCATCATGACGCCGATCCAGTAGAAGATGTAGCCGAGAATGGTGCCGACGGACGCATTGTTGTTCCAGCCAAAGATGGCGTTGAAGATCTGCCAACCTCCGTTGGTCGTGGGCGATCCCGGCTCGGGGTTGCCGTACGTGAAGTGCCAGACGTTGCCGTGGACGTCGTACGAACCGGGGCCGTCGCCGGTCTCGGCGACGTCACCACCGACACCCTTGGCGAACTTGTAGTACTCGAAGAACCAGATGGCACGGGTGAAGAGACCGGCACCGATGAGGAAGAGGAAGAAGGTCGAGAAGATCAGGAACCAGTGCAGCGTCGTCGTCGAACCGGTGCGGTAGATGATGTAACCGACGGCGAAACCAGCAATGAGACCGATGACAGTGGGGAGGGGAATGGCGCGGGCAGTGGTGTTCATGGAAACACCACCGACGAAGACGACGGCCTCGAGACCCTCACGCAGCAGCGTGATGAGAGGGAGGAAGAACAGAGCCCAGCGACCAGTCTTGCCGCCCTTGGCGCTGACCTCGGAGGCGTGGGGGTCGTTGACCTCGTAGTTCTTGGTCGACGAGTCGAAAGCAGCAGCGAGCTTGTAGCGCCACTTGATGCGCGAGCGGTCCATCTTCAGGAACGCAATGCCCATGAGGAAGATGAGGATGGCGGCGATGAGACAGAAAATACCCTCCCAGAGCTGCTCGGTCTGGGCCCAGAGGTCGTTAAGCTTGGTGTAGAAGACGGCGATGAAGGCCGCACCGATGCAGAGCGCGATGAAGAAACCAGTAAGCGTGCCGGCCCAGATCTGGATGCGCATGCGCTTGATGATCTTCTTGACACGGACATTGTGCGCGCCGTCCATGGGACCGACGGCCTCGTCGACACGCTCTCCGGGCGCGAGACGGCCAGTCTGCATGAGCTGCTCCGTGAAGGAGAGCAGCACCGAGACGATGATGGCCGCTTCGACCGTCTCACCTGTACATTGTTAGCACGTGTTCTGCAGTGTAGCGCCGAGGCATGCACTGCGATCGCCGGTACCGGGACAGCCTCGGACTTGGCTGCATTGCACAAGCCTTGGTTGTTGACACCCGGTGGGACTTGGTGCCAAGAGCCAAGCGGTCAAGTGATGCTGGGCCAAGCCCGTGTGCGGGCTTCAGGCTGGCTCGGACCCGCCAGCGCCTGCCAAGAACCCAAGACGCCAGAAATACCTTTCACAGCTGCTTACTCACGGAAGACGATGAAGAAGATCGGAACGTTGAAGACGTCGTTGCCCATGTTGATCCGTCGGTGAGGAGCGAGGGAGGGGGGATGGGTGTGGAGAAAAAGACTCGCTCGGTTGCGGCCGTTCTTTTAAGTGCTGGGTGCAAGCAGGAAGCGTATGGGACGTATCGGGCGGAGGGGAAGCAAGGGGTTGGCTGAGCCGTCACCTGGCCTCGAGGAGGGGCTAAGGGGCCAGGAAAAGGCCGCAGAGAGAGTCGAAAAATCCTAGCCAGCCGACCGAAGCAACACCAATCAATCACGCCCTTCCGGGCAGAACTGGCCGGGCACAAGACCCAATGGGCGGAAAACCCAAATTATCAGATAACTTTGCGCGCTGGGGCCTAGTGCCCAATCGAGCGAACAAGCGTTGCAAGTCTTGCCCCTGATGTTTGCCGTCCCTGGGAGGCAGCAGTTCGTTCCGAAGTGCACACCGTCTTTCTCAGGCTTGTACAGGGGCTTCATAGGGCTAATAGGGGCTGCCATCTCGAAAAAGTCGGAAGATCAAGGTTCCCATACAGACTCGCGGCGAGGCAGCAAGGCTGTCGACCGAACGCCATGTCCGGGCCCTGATTCGTCCACTCGAGCTCAGGCACACCAGCGTGGGCTTGGCACGGCCGAACTGGGATCCCGTTTTATCTGATAATTGGCAGCATGCCGCTCCCCCTTTCCCCAGTCCGCAACTTGGCAACAATGCCAGAACCACTCACAGTCCCGATGTTCAACAATCTGTGCTATAAGAGTTTTCTTGGGCAACGCCCGGTGCGTACCTCCGCCGATCCCGCTTTGAGTGGTGGTGACCTGCATCACATGCCCGACATGGGAAACCGTGCTGTCATTAGCTCAAGCTGAATGCAAGAGGCTCAGGATACTGCAGAGGTCAGCTGTTTAGGCCGACATTGGACTTCCCACGTGGCTCTAGACGCAATGTCGGCCCGCTCACCCAATCACTGCCCGCACTCCACCGTGTTACCTCGAAGCGACTTCTGCACGTCGTAAACGCCAGAGTGCCTAGCTGCTCCAATAATAGAACCGCAGTGGGGGCTCTTAAGCGCATGACCTTGGGCCGCAATTCAGCGCCAGAGACATCCTCGACCGGACGTGTGCCTGGAGTGGTAGGCAGTCTCACAACAATGTTGGACGAACGAACCTGTCCAGCCTCCTGTCTGCAGGCGAGCGTCATGAATGCATCTTTGCGGGCAACACCGAGCAGAGAATACAAGCGGCGAAAAACCGAATGTGTCTGCTATCTGCTGGCCCGTCTGGACTATCGAAGCCAGAACTAACGGAGCAGCGATTACCACCGTTCGGTGATGAAACATGGTGTCTCCGTGCTCGGGAGTCGGCGTCAAAGCCGATGAAGGCGAGACAAGATGCGAGCTGCTCCGGAGAGAGATCGCGTCAGGCTCGCTGTTGGCTGTGCGCAATCTCGGACTGCGATGTTCTGTTCACCACGACACTGGCAATCTCATCGGCGGCAAGCAATGGCTCTGATTTCGGTTGGCCTTTACGTACCAGGACCGGAGTGACCCTGTGTTCCTGCAAACACAATGCTGGTCCACACGCGGTATCAGACATTCCGTCGCCCGAATGGCGTCTGACCAATGGCATACGAGGAGGTCGGCCGACCGCGATTTTAACTCTTCCTCCCGGTTAGAAGGCGTGATTTGGTCCCGTGCAGTCTGTCCCGTGACTCGCTGCTTGCACTGTGCATGTCGGCCGACGCTGGTTGGCCCAGCCCAAGTCCCACCGTACAGTCGAGTCCATCGTCGGCATGCTCGGGCTCTCCTCTGCCTGCCCAGATCCATGCGCAGCCAGCTAGCCCGCCAGCCAAATGAAGCTAGGGTGAACGGTTAAGCTCTCTTAGCAGGGAGCGGGAAAAGTGCCACTTGGGCGCCGCCCGCTAGTCCCGAGATGCAATGACCTCCGTTATCAGATTAGACAGCAGCACCCGTTACACGTATGCCAGACGACTCGAGAGCCGAATCACCCCGACGTCGCTCCTAACCTATCGGCCTTCATCACCCGCAGCCTGCAAACTTGTGTGTGCGCCGCAGCCTGTCACCAGGCTCAGCCCCAGATCTGGAGCCTGAGTCCAAGACCAGACGGCCACATCTCGACCGATTTCCATGACTCAGCCCACCTCGTAGCCGTTTCTTGGCTTTTCGGACCGGCCTTCTTCACACTCCAACGCCGCACCAACGCACACACACTACATTCCCTCTTCCCGCCGTCAGCCCTTAGGACACTTTCGCCATCGGTCCATCGTCGAGTCGTGTCTAACCACCTGCTTCTCGCTGTTCTCCAACTTTGACACAAACCAGCACGCGCGCGACATTTCTGTTTCTCACACCTGATCACACACCCGTGTGCGTCTGATCCACAACTTGCAGCGGCGACTATCCCACCACCCGGTGAAAAAGCCAAGGCTTTTCGCACAGGCCACCCTCCGCTCGCCACCTCCGGCATGTCCGTTGCTGTCCCGCGCCCTCTTGCCATGCCGACTCCGAAGCCGGCCCCCGCCTCCTCCTCCTCATCTTCGGCACCGAAGCAGGCGATTCCCCGCGTAGCTGCACCGCGGATTGCGGCTCCGCTGCCGGGAAAGGATCTGTCTTCCTCGACAGGGAAGATCTTTGCCAAGCCATCCAAGGAGTGGGTGCTGCCCGAGCGCGCAAAGCCGGGGCGCAAGGCGGCGACAGACGAGCCAGACAACAAGCGTCAGAGCCAGAACCGCCTCTCGCAGCGTGCGCACCGCGCCCGCCGGACCGACTACATTGCCACCCTCGAGCAGCGCCTGAGGCAGTATGAGCAGGACGAGATCCACTCCAACGTGCGCCTGCAGGAGGTTGCGCGTGCTCTGAAGCAGGACAACGAAAAGCTGAAGGCCGAGGTTGGACGCCTGAACGCTGCCGTGGGGTCGCTGCGTACCGAGCGCGATGCATGGAACGCGGAGCGCCGCGCACTCAACGACACGATCAAGCAGCTCCGGGGCGGGCGCATCAGTACCTCGCCAACGACACCATACGCGCCTACGCCGCGGAGCATCGGCATCGCGACGCCAACAACGCAGCCTGCCCGCGCAACAGTGGCGTGTCCCATCTGCCCCGACCCAGACCCAGACTGTCCCTGCCAACAGCCCGCTCAGCCGCTACAGTCGCAGGACCCGACCCTCGCCCCGCTTCCCCCGATCACGGCGTCGAGCCCCTCGACAACAGCGCGCAACACATGGAACGTCTCCCCCTCCAACTGCGGCTTCTGCGACCTCGCCCCCGAAGCGTGTCTCTGCCGCGACATCAAGCCCGTCATCTCCCGCTCTCCGAGCCCAATAGGCGACTGCGGCCTGTGCACGAACGACAGCTTCTGTGCATGCCGTGCTGGCGCAGCGGCCGCCGCGTCTTCGCCAGCGACAAAGGCGATCCCGCTCAAGTCGCTCATCGCGGCGGCTCTTCCGGCGGGACCATCGATGGGCATCGCCTCGTCGTCCACCGCCTCCATCACGGCTAACACTGTCACCGCCGCCGCGCCTCCCGGGCCAAGTATCCAGATCGCCTCGGCCGCCGTCCCGCTCAAGCGCAAGGCGAAGGCAGACCGGATCCAGAGCGTCTGGACGCTCTCCAACGTCAAGGCACGCACGGCACGCACCGAGGCAGTATGCACAGGCGACCCGAGCAACTGCGACGCGTGCCGGAACGACACGTTTGGCCGCGAATTCTGCGGACACCTCTTCAACCGCCCCCACGAGTGTAATGGGGGCTGTGCGTCGTCCTCCTCCTCTGGCTCGGGAGGAGTGGTGGAGGACGGCGGGGTGGTCAAGACGTCCTGCTGCGGGGCGCCAGAGCTCTGCGGGCAGCACAGTGATTGCTCCCCGTCGTCGACTTCCAACACTGCTCCCACGCCTTCCACGGGCTCCGGCTTGGGCTCTGGCTCTGGGTCTGCTTCAGCCCCCACTCCCAATGCCGAATACGCAGAACTCAGCGAGGAGGAACGCGTCATGCGTCCCGACCTGGCCTGGCGGACATTGAAAGCACACCCGAATGCAAAGTTTGCGCCGCTCGCCATGCTCGCCGACGTGGTTGCGCGCCGGCACAAAGTGCGCGGTCCGCGCGTCGAGCTGTCGCCCTCCCCCCCGCCGCCGACCATGCGCGAGATCCAGACGAGTGCAGTGAAGGATGCGCTGAGGTGGCTGGATGGGCAGAAGAGGGGAGCGGAGCGCGTCGAGGAGGGGGCGGAGGGGGCGGAGGAGAGGGACGGGAAGAGGCGGAGGTTGTGGCGGTAGCCAGCCCCCTTCGCAGAGGTTCAGAAAAGGACTCGATCACTCGAGTTTGAGTACCAAACACCATTCAGCAGACCTAAGCTCAGCGGGCTCAGCGGGCTCAGCGGGCTCAGCGGGCTCAGAAGCAGAACACGTGAATTAGAATCAGAGATAATTGTAGCTTCTTATTGTAGATATGATGAAACCCATTGTACATAACCGTGTGAGTGTTGCACTGTTGCACTGTTGCATTCCAATAACCCCTGTCCCGTTGGCCCAGATCGCCATGGTAGGCTCGTCATCGCTGATAAAAAGAGGGGAGGAGGTCCGCCTCTCGGTCCACAGTCCTGTCGAGGATCTCGTCGACGTCCAACTCTCTGTCTCCGCACCGCGCCGTCAGTCAGGCCCGGTACTGCGCGGCATAGTGTCATAGTGTCATCTCTGCATGCTTTCTAGGGGTATCCAAAGCTACAAGTTTACTGTCGAAGGAGATCTATGTGTCGGTTGGGGCTTGACTGTGGGTGACTATGGGAGGTGCGTTACTCGTTCGCGGGGGCCTGAGGCTGCTGGGGCTGGGCTGGCGGGGCCTGGCTGCTGCTGCTGCTGCTGCTGCTGCTGCTGCTGCTCCTGCTGAGGCTGCTCCTGTTGAGCCGGCGCCTCCGGCTGGGCCGGCGCAACGGGCGCGGGCACATTAGGCTGCGCGGGCAGCGTGGGCTGGCCGGGCTGCAGGGTCGAGCTAGGACTCGCTGCGGCAGCATCAGTGGTCTCGTCCTGGGGCGCCTGCTCGTGGATGGGGCGGAAGAGGACAGTCGTAATGTACTTTTTGCGGTAGCGCGTTGTCGTCGCGAGACCCAGGCTGCCGCCGCGCACCGCCGACGCGAGCAGGTGCCCGAGGACAGAGGAAGAGGGCGTGGGCAGCACCGCGTTGTCGTCCGAGCCCCCGATCTGGTTGCCCTGCGCGTCGATGACGGGCACCTCGGGGCGGGCTTGCTGGTTCAAAATCACGCGTTCTGTTGTCAGCTAATCGGCCATGGAGAAGCTGAGGGAAATCAGATGCTTACCAAGGATACGCGGGAGTTGCGGGGGCTTGGGCACCGGCGAAAAGTACGGGACGCGGCGGACGTACTCGCGCAACTCGTCCGAGGATAACATGCCAGGAAGCTCCTCCAGGTAGGCGTAGAGAGACAGGGCTGGGGGAATCTCGTTCGTCCACTGGCTGTCGTCCGGCTGGGCGGCAGGAGCCGTCGTCATGTCGTCGACGGCCCAACCGACCTGGTCCGCGTCCGACTTGGGCGCCTCGACCTCGATGTAGTTGACGAGCGTGCCGTCGTTATCGGTCGCGGTCGGCATGCTCTTAGAACACCGCCAGGAGTCGTCGACGAGGAACTTGAGCCGGTACTGTCCCGGCGCGAGACGGAGGACAGTGTTGAAGTCGTGTGTGCTCTTGCGGAGCTTGATGCGGCCGCGCCAGTTGTCTGCAAAGTTGCCCGTCACCAGCACGGTGCGCCCCCCGCCCGTCCACTGGATGGGGACGTCGACGAGTCCATCGTCCTCCGCCTGTGCGCCGCCTGTTGGCTGCGGCGTCGCGCTCACCGTCGGCGGAGGGGGCGTCAGGCCAGTGCGCCGCGGCGTGCTGTCGCTCACGGGCTTGAGCTCGGGGCGCGGCCGGCGCTCCGGGCTCGGTAAGTCTGCATTGCCGCCGCGCGGCGAGCGGATCGGAATAGGCTGCGAAGGGAAGTAGGTCGTGTGGTCGTTGACGGGAACGACGGTGACGCCTTCCGGCGGCGCCTGTTTTGATGATGGCGACATAGGCGCGCCTGTCGTCGTTCCCCCGGTACTCCCAGCTGGCCGGCGCCCAGACGGTGTCCGGTTTCCCGTCGCCAAGTGATTTGAGGTGTTGGTCGCCGTTGTCGGCTGCGGTGCGGCTGGTGTGAAGCTGAGCCGGTTCAGGTCGGGGAGCTCGAGGGAGCGGCGCCGGCGCGGGGAGCCCGGGCGTCCAGAGGGAGAGTTTGGGTGGGAAGACTGGGGTGAGACGTGGGCGTTGGGCTGCGGCATGGAGAGGCGTAAGTTGTTCTGTCGGCGCTGACTGCCGGAGCGTCCGAGGTTGGTCCCGTCACCATGCCTTGAGGGCGTGCCGTGCTGGTGGGACGGCGTGTTGCCCATAGTGGTGAGAGAGGATGGGATAGTCGGGGATGTGTTGAAGGGTGATAGCGATGGTGATGGAGGAGGAGTAGGTGTGTGTGGATGGATGGAATGGACGATCGAGTGACGCGAGGGTGCAGGCAGACCAAGCGTTGCTTGCCGGTTGCTGAGTGTTGGCTGGCTGGGTGATGGATGATGGATGGCCGCTGGCTGGGAGGAAGGAAGGACACCCATCCACCTGGCATGGCGCCCAAGGAACTAGGAGAGCGGGGGCAGGGTCGCCTGTGGTGGCCCGGAGCACAGCAAGCACAGCGTTACCCCTTCTGGCAATCCCCTGCCTGACATCCCCCCAATCCAATACCGTTTTCATTATTATTACAATGACCAGGAGGCATTCTAATGTCTCGCTAATCATAAGCGTACGCTTCGTGGCTGCATCCAGGTACCGGTGACATGTGCACTCATCTCTCAATCGCTAGTCTGCACGCATGCTCATCGCATGTGGGCGTGTCCGCAGCAACAGTCAAGCGCAACAATACAATAGCGCTGTCAGGTCGACGATTGGGTGGTGCTCGATGGGACCACTGCACGGCGGAATAGGGTGACGCCCCCTTCCTGTACCCGGACCTGGCTCGGCACGACATCGATCTGGGGCAAACCCATCAGAGTACATACTCCGCCCTTCAAACACCCAGCGTGTCTACTCACGACTGACCTCTGGTCAGTGTGCACAATCACCATGCAATATGCAGACAATGATAAGACGCGTCTCACGTAGCCTGCGTCGCGGAATGTGTTGCACGCATCGCCCTGTTGACACAGGATAGATAAGTGGATAGGCGTGGGCGAAACGCATACCTAACCCCCTGCCTACCACTTTACGTAAACAACCGGCCGGACGCCGCTGGGTCTCGATGTCCGTGACGTTGATACCACCTGTCATCACTACACCCAGTACTTGCCCTCTTGTTATATCGTCAACCGCACCTCGACATCGCCACAAAGTTCACTGTCAGCACTAGAACCACCAGTAATGGCCCAACGTCCGGCTCCTCCCGTCCCGACAGGGCGCGGCGCGCGGCGTGATATGCCGAGCGACCGCGCCTCACGACCCAAGCCCCGCATCGGCCAGTACGTGATCGAGCGGACTCTGGGTACTGGCAGCTTTGGCAAAGTCAAGCGTACGTGAGACCAAAGATCTAACTAACGTGCAGTGGCCACCCACGCGATCACTGGACACCAAGTCGCGCTCAAGTTCATCAACAAGAACAAGATCACGAGCCGAGACATGAAGGACCGTGTCAAGCGCGAGATCCAGTACCTGAAGGTGCTCCGCCATCCTCACATCATCAAGCTGTGCGTGAGGTGAAGGGTTACGCTGACCCCAGGTACGAAGTGCTCACGACGCCGACGGACGTTATCATGGTGATGGAGTACGCGGGAGAAGAGCTGTTCAACTACATTGTTGCCAAGGGCAAGGGAGGCGTGAGTTTCGATGACAAGCACATCTAACTCTCAGATGAAGGAGGACGAGGCGCGGCGCTTCTTCCAGCAGATGATCTGTGCTATCGAGTACTGCCATGTCCATCACATTGTGCACCGTGACCTGAAGCCGGAGAAGTGAGTCTGCCAGCGATCGCGCTGACCCCAGCCTGTTCCTCGACAACCACAACAACATCAAGATTGGTGACTTTGGTCTGTCCAACTTGATGACGGACGGCGACTTCCTCAAGACGTCGTGTGGAAGTCCCAACTATGCCGCCCCTGAAGTTATCTCGGGCAAGTGAGTGACTCAACCCCGGTAAAGCTCACACCAGGCTCTACTCTGGCCCGGAGATTGACGTGTGGAGTGCCGGCGTCATCATGTACGTTTTACTCTGCGGCAAGCTGCCGTTCGACGACGACCACATTCCGTCGCTGTTCAAGAAGATTGAGAGTGGAATCTACCACATGCCGTCGCACATTTCGAAGGAGGCGCAGCACGTCCTCCGCCGCATGCTCGTCGTCGACCCGGTGAAGCGCGCGACCATTGCCGAGATCAGAAACATGCCCTTCTTCCTCGAGAACCTGCCGGCGTACCTCCAGCCGCTGCCGCCGACGCCCATGATTGAGCGCTACCCGACGATCCCGATGGACGACCTGAACAGCTTACTGCTGATGAACGAGTCGGGCGGCGACCCGAAACAGCTTGCAGCGGAGAAGGGCTACGTGTTCACGGAAGACCTCGGCGTCATCGACCCGAGTATCGTCAAGGACCTGCTGGCCAAGATTACGACGTACACAGAGCCCATGGTGTGGGAGGAGCTGCAAAAGCCAGGCGACAACCAGGTCAAGGTCGCGTACCAGCTTGTGCGCGACCACCGGCGCGTGCGCGACTCGATGCAGGGGATGAACGAGGACGACCACCGGGCGATGGAGAACTTCCTGGCGTCGTCCCCGCCAGCGTGGAACGCCGAGTTCAACTCGACGCAGCCAAACGAGGAGAACGGCGACGTGGACTTTGAGGACGAGGACGACCCCGAGATCCAGGATATCCCGAATGCGCACTTTGACGTGCTCGACAGCAGTCTGCCTGGGCGCGGGACGCCGGCGTCGGGCGAGGGCGCAAGCCAGGTGAACGCCGAGCGAGCCGCGGCGGCCCTGCTGCCTCAGCAGGCGACGGGCCGTCCCCCGCAAAAGCCGCGGTGGCACTTTGGCATCCGATCGCGCAGTCCGCCGATGGAGGTCATGCTAGAGATCTACAAGACGCTGCAGCTGCTAGGCATGGAGTGGAAGGTGAAGGAGAACGTGGCTCTGCCCGAGATCGGCCCCCCGCCTCCGGGAGGATACGGGGAGGAGGTAGAAGATGTGTTGTGGGCGTACAAGCAGGCGAACCCAGACGCGAGCATCGAGATGGGCAAGCGCCCGCCCGGCAAGAAGGAGGCAGCGGCGACAGACAAGCAGGCGCAGGGCCTGTTCTTTGTCGAGACGCGCGCGCGCTACCGCGACGTCATGGTCCGCATGGATCTGCAGCTGTACCGCGTCGACGACCACAATTACCTCGTCGACTTCCGCAACGTTGGATACTACCCTATCGAACCGAAGCCGCAGCAGCCCGAGGAGGTCGCCGGCACGCCGGCGCACGCGGGAAGCGTGCCGCAGCGCGATGTGTCCCAGGGCCATATCCTTGGCCATGTCTCGGGCCCCTTCCACTTCCTCGAGATGGCGTGCCAGCTCATTGCCGAGTTGGCCGCGGACCGCGATGGCGCAGGCAGGTAGACACGCGTTAGTTGTAAGTGAGGCGTAGGGAGTAATAGACGTGTAGCTGTATGAACCTTTACGTTATGACGACAAGGGAGAAACTTGTTCAGAGTATCGCGACTGATGACCGATTCTCAACGGAACGAGGACTGACGGACGATCTGACGTCATCTCACCGCAGCTTGACAGGAGCGACATCAAGCAATTATTGTAGTTCCGACTCTGTGTACATGATTAGGCTGGCAGACCTGCGACTGCTGTTAGTGACACGACACCACATCTCACGTCCGTCCAGCATCTTCTCGCGATGTTTCGCATGAGGTGCATAGGCTTCACATTTGCTGACAATGTTGAGCATGCGCTGTGTTGCAAGTGCATCGACGGGTGGCGAGAGCGTTATTCCTACCAGCTGTTATGACAAAGTGCTGAGCGGGGACACGGGTGGCCAAGTCGTCTGCCGCAAGGGCGAGTGCAAGCCGCTGAGATCCGCTCTGTGTGTATTCAAGGTTGACGGATGCCTGAGTGCGATGCTCTGGCGTGGTCAGCGCTCTCGGATTTCGACGTCATCCTCGACAAAGACGAGGCAAACCCCAGCGCCCCCGCAATACGGAGTGCGGAATACGGCCGAAGTAGCTAGGAGTTGGTTACATTCATGTCGTCGCTTCCCTCGCAATACGATCCAAACCTGGATGGCCTGGACCAGTATACAGCCTGGCCATCGTATCGAGCGGCCCCGAGAGAGGCAGACCCTGCAGGCCACGCCAGTCTTCAGTGTTCTGGCCTAGCAAGCCTGGATCTAGTGTCTGTGTCTCTGCACCCCCATCGATGAATCGACAGTAAGCTCCTTCCCAGGGTACAGCACCTGGGTCGGACCAATGGCTGAGGACATTTTTCTCTGCTGTGACTGCGCGTCTCTGATGCATAGCACCCCATCTGCAGCGAGGAACCAGCAGCTTGCGATTCTGCAAGAGCATCCTTGTGTGTAGCTATCGGGCCCAACGAAGCCGAGAAAGAGCTAAGGAGGGAGTCCGAGGGGAATCTAAGGGCCTGGCCCGGCTTGATGTACCGCTTGTACCGCGTGAGACGTTCCAAACACCTATATACTGCTTGGCGAGACTAGTCTGATTAGTTTGTATTTTGCGCCTCTCGATCTGAGACATCCGGAGCCATCACGCACACGTTGTTCGGCTGGACTCCCAGCTGCGTCCGGCAGTCTGGCACTCGCAACGGACAACGTGAACCCCTGAAAGCTTGCGCAGGATGCGACAGGACGACATGCTACTCAAGGGCAGGCTTTCCCATTGTGGACAGCGGGGAGTAGGTTCTCTCTCTTGCGGTGGCTGAATGCAAACAACCTCAGTGTCATGGCGGGTACCCACGCGTCCCGCAGGAGCCGCCCAACAGCTTATCGCTCTCGTGCCATCGACCCCATCGGCGCTTGTGTCTTCCTTGTGTGTTGGGCCCCGTGTCGACCGTGATCGAGGTCCGTTAACGCTGTCTTTCCGTTTTTGAACGCCTCAAGTACCCAGTCGTTATTGGAATCTCGGCGCCTCTATTGGTTTCCGTAACTCGAGAGGCATGCTTTCAAGCTTCCCAACCCGTGCCCGTCTGTGTGGCAGTGCCGGCAACGTTTTCTCCATATTTTCAGCGATTTTGAGTGCATATTCGTTCTCAGCCATGAGGGAATCAGTGCTACGCTCCTTGTGGGTCACTTGGGCGCTCACAGTGCTTCGGTGGGAACATAAAGCCTCAGGTCCTTCGCTGTTACAAAGAGCGTCTGGAGCTCAGCAGATTCCGACCCGGAGTATTGCGAACCGACGCTGCACTGTGTTCGTAACTCCACACAAGTGCGCTGGCGATGTCAAATGAGGCGTCAGTCCATGCTACGGCTTGGATCCGGCAGGTTTAGGCCCGTTGTGAATTGAAGGACAGCCGTAGCACGCCCACATGCCCACCAAACAGGAGCGGGGCTAGCGGGTGGACCTAGGAGGCGTCTGCAACTCGTCAACTGCATAGCCCAGGGCCTTGGCTGTCCATCGTACCTGAGCAGCCCAATGCAGTCCGAGATTGCCTGAGGAGGCTAGGCAAAGGGCATACACCTCGCGGCATGCTTCTCGCCCCTCCGCCAGTGACTCAAAGGCTGCATGACGGGGCTAATAACACCTACTCTGCGGCGTTGGGCACTGCAGCTTTCAGCGCCCCAGAATGCCCAGACAAACTAGACTCCGCTGGGTGACCAGCCGGAGCCTCTGCGGGAATGCTCGTTCGAAGACTTGATGACACTCCTCGGAGACGAGCTGCTCAGGCTACCGTAGCCTAGGAAAAAGAGCGTGGGCAATATGGTGAGAATCTTCCCTGATCCGCACGGGGTGGGTGCAGCATCAGAGGGCTTTGACAGATCGGGAACTCGTATCAGTCGTGCGTCACCGGCTGATCCGACTCAGAAAGATCGTAGAGGAACAACCGTTGCGCGAGGAAGATGCAGAGGAACTTCGATGGCTCATAGTTTGACTGGTAGCCGGCTCCTAGTCATGCAGATACTCACCTGGCAGTCGGACCGCCATCCGCGACGGCAAGATCGGTAAGTGCTGTGCCAGAACAACTGTTCAACTTACAACCCACCTACTTTCACACTCGACGCACTCTACCAGGGCTCCATCGTTCCAGGAAAAGCGCAACGTCCGCCCACAACCATCCGCAGTCTGCAGCGAACGTCCTCCGACAGGCCGCAACTATAACTTGGGCTCTGCTACGACCACACGCACCTTCCCTCTCCCGTGCTCTTTTCGCAGCTTTAAGTCGGGCTCTCCCATCTTCTTGCTTCCGTACTCATCTCCGCTCTCCCGCAGGCAGCCAACGGCATTCCCCTTGACCATCATGTCGCGCAACGACTTCTACGACGACGAAGACGACACCCTGTCTGATTGTGAGGTCAACGGCGCGGAGGAAGGCACCGACTATGAGCACGAGGAGACGGCCAATCCCAACGACATTCACGTTTTCGAGTTCGGTACGGCCAGCACGCCCGAAGGACATGCTACTTGCGGAAAGAGACATGTATGTCGAAACTGGCGCCATCGCCGGCTGGCGCTGCAATCTAAGGTGCCCGACGAATACGACTTGTTCTCTAATTTCGTCGGCTGTCGCGCATGGTGGGGCAAGGCGTGCAGGCTGTGTGTGCTCTGCGAGCTGATTGAGTTCTACGGAGAGACGGACCGAGCCGCTCGCAAGGAGAAGACGTGGCTCGCCGCCGATGCCAAGGTCGCCAACCAATTCCGTCAGAGTCCGCCCGACTCTGTGCGCATTCGTGACGTGAGTGGATACCTGTGTGAAGCCAAGAGGAAAGCTGACATATAGCTACCGAACGTTCCCAAAAGTCCCTTGGTTGTGTCGGTTACCGTCCCGTCCCAGCAGGTCGACGCCCTCGCCGTGGCACTCGAGATCTACATCGTCAAAGGTGCTGTATCCGGCCCGCTCGCCAAGCTAGAGCCAGCCCTCCTCCCTGGTTCGGACGCGGACAGCGCCCTCGCTCCTGAACTGGAGCGCTTCCTGGATCTGCGTTCGTGTCTGTCGGCATTTGACGCCTCCCTCGACTTGCGCGACCAAGTGTTTCAGGTCGACGGGAGACCACAACTGTTTCCCTTTCACCACCGCAGCAACGTGGAAATCGTCCCATGGCTCGCTAACCGCGCGAAAGGCGGCGGTCTCGCGGAAGTGGTACGACTTACGGTTTGTGCCACCCTGGCTAGAGCAGCCCAACGTGACGACATTGTTGGTGCATGCCAGGTGGCGATAGATGGACTGGCCCCCCTGCAGCAAGCAATGCACGACTCTCGAGCCAGCGACATGTTCGTCAAACGCGAAATCATTGATGCTGCTCAGATCGTCCATTCGGTTTTCAAACTGGAGACGCATGTCGATCTCTTCCTCCCCGTGGTCGCCAAGAGCTGCCGCTCAGCGCCCTCTCTGTCAAGTGCACTGCGAGCGTATAGCACCTGTGCGGTCTTGGCCGAAGAGCGCCTCCAGCCGTTCCTGGACCCTTCGGCGATACGGGGTATGATCAGGTTCGTCGCCGAGTTCGAGGTTGTCATGGAGTGTAAGGTCAGGAAGAACAGCAAAGGGTTCCCCGTCGGCCCATTCGCAGAGGACTCGCATGAGGAGGACGTACTGCGCTGGTGCATGCGCTGTTTGATCCGCTTTCTGATCCTGTGCGACGCATTTCACGATGACGACCCAAACGCCTCGCCCTACGGTGTGCTTATTCTGGTCATGGTCAATTGCGTCGTGTATGAGGCTACCTGTCCCATCACAGGTCTCGCTCTCAACTGGTCATTTCCCCCTTGGCACCCTCTCAGCCCCACAGTCATTGCGCACGCCCAACACGGCCGCACCGGGTGCTTTGGGCTGAAGACGCCATGCCCTTCAAGCGTCAAGGACTGGGACCCGACCGCTGTCTCGGTGCGCGTCGAGTCCAGGGCGGCGAATTTCCTCATCGCAAGCCACAGGTACTCGACACTTGTGCGCTACCTCGAAGAGAGCGTCGAAGATGCGAACAACGTGTTGCTCGTCCTACGCCGTCAAGGAATCCTCGGCTCTAAGGTCGACCTCTCGCCCTTCGCGCCGGACGCTCAATTCCGGCACCTTCTCCGGCACAACGCCCTGGCGCCCTTCGAGGCTGACCTCTACTTCAGCAAGTGGCGTGGGCCCAAGCCCGGAAGAGTCGCTGCCGAGGATGTTATGCATCCTCGTCTTGGGCTCGCCGCCACAAAGCTCGGCAAGCCCGTGCCGTTCTTCACCGCTGGCAAGGTCTTTGGGGCCGAGGACCTGCTCATCTCCGGTTATGTGGTCGCGACCAAGGGCAAAGGCAAGCCGTTCAAGCTGCAGTCCCCCTCCACGGCTTTACAGCTTCCGACCGGTAACAAATGGGGCGCTAGAACTCAGCGTACGAGATCCGACCTCGTATGGACGGAGGAAGGTACGAAGGAGCTCATCGATCAGGTGCACAAGCACTCCTCGATGACCGATGGTGTCATCACCAAGATCGACTGGCACAAGATTCTCCCTAAGTTGCCGGCCAAGATGACCCAGCGCCAAGCCCAGAGCCGCTGGAACAGCTTGACGCGCCGCGAGAAGCATTTCCGCGAGCTCATCCAGCATCACGGCTTCCAATGGAGTGTAGAACTGAGCCGCCCCGTTGCCCCATTGGCTGTTTAGCGCACAGCCACTGCAAACGTGAGTGACCACCCTTGTCTAATACTAGAAGCAGCTGTTGACATGACATAGAATGCCAACCCTTCCGCTTTGCGTGACGCAAGCGGCGCAGGTTCAAGCCGCGATCGCTGGGTTCCAGATGTCGCGGCCGTCTATGGGCGTGATTGGCCGCCCCCGCCAGCCCGCGAGGTCAAACTGCCGTCGGTGCCTGAAGCACGGACCGCGCCCCGTCTCTCTTTGGAAGGAGTTAGCTATCGGAAGCAAGCAGGTCAAGTCGCCGCTGCCGGCTACGACAGCTCGGTGCCTATCGGCTGGAGTCGCGCTGAGTTTGCGTCGCTCATTGACGCAGTTGGTGCGCAGGTCGCGGCCGTCGGAGGCGTCTCGGTTCTGAAGCACGATCATACGTGGCTTCAGGTCGGGGGTAGGATTGGACAGTCGCCAACCGAGTGTCGCGCGCAGTGGGACAAGGTGTGCCACCGTGTCTGCACCGTCCAGAGTGCACTCGCCCAGTCTCCCGGACTTACCTGGAGCACCGAGCGGCACAGGCTCGAGGGCAATGTGCAGGCTTGGGACAAGGTCCAGAGCACGTACCGCGAGGACGTCAAGCATTTCGTCATCCCCGCGTTCGAGAAGGTGGTGCGTATTGTGACCACTCAGCCTCCACCTGCTCCCTCCAAACCTGCAGGACAAGCACCCGGACGACGCCCTTCTGTCGGGAACAGCGGTCATACCTGGTCTGAGGAGCAGACTCTGGCTCTTATAAGACACGTCGGGCGCTACAAGGTTCCCTGGGCACGCCACCTCAGCTCTGGAGCGTGGGCGAGCCTGAAAGATCTCCAGAAGATCAAGCCTGGCAACTCGTCTACACGATCGTACACGTCCCATTGGGGTATTGGACTTCTCCAAGCCTACGGACTTGTCCCGGAGCTCGTCGCGAGCGGCAAGTTCGTCTTGGGCAACTACGGGGGCTCGGTGATCTTTGCCACACGGCGCGGCGCTTGGGAGGAGCTCGAGAAACGGCTCCCGCCTCGAACGTTCCACGCACTGGACCAAATGACACCAAGAGTGTACGAGGCGATGCGAGCCATCAAGGCTGACCACCTTCTCCTGGCTTGTCCTGTCGGTGCCAAGGTTGACGGCGCAGAGGTGGACGACAATGCTGTCAACCACTACGCGGCGGCGGCTCTGTCTGGCAGTGTACCCACTACCGCGACGGCATCTCCCTCATCCTTGTCTTCAGGAAGCTCCGCTATCGCCGTCTCGAAGTCGTCGTCTAGCCTTGCCAGCCACACTGTTGTTACAGGTACGACCGCAGCAGTTGGAAACAGCGGAGTGCGCAAACGCGCCAGTACACACACAGTTGAGGCGCCACGCAAGCGTGTCATCACTGCGAGCACTCCCGTGCGTACCCATCCAGTCCGGGGGCATACTATGACAACGCCTCAGCCCGCGACGGCTCCAGGGACCCAGTCAACTCCAGCGCCAGCGACAGCTTCTATGACCCTGCTGTATAAGCATCTGTATTCCGAGGACGCCAAGGCTCGAACGGCGCGTGCTCAGCAAACCGCACCTGACGCGGCTCCCACAGCCTTCGGAGCCAAGCCCAGCCCACCGAACTCGGACTCACAGAGCACCATCCTCACACGGCTCCATGCTCCTGCTATTCCCGCTGCTGAGGCGACCTGGCGAGCTCCCGAGCCGCTCTCTTTTGTATCTCCCACTCTCACCGGTCAACGACCGTCCCATCTCAACCGACGGCCAAGCACCACCGTTCCACCGCCGTTCCGGCTGCGTGCCAGCCATACCGCTAAACCGGATCTGGTGAAGCAGAGGCTTGATGCTGCACGACAACAAGAAGCCACTCTGATGCCGCCAAAAACCTCAAGCCGCGATCATCCTACAGCGTCAACGTTGTCTTCTACGCGGAGTACAGTGCTGAGCAGCCAGGATAGCCTGTTCTCGACAACGAACCGTGGTCTCGCGCCAACAATCGAACTCGAGGAGGGCGAGATTGCTGAGACCCACGACCAGACTCGGCCCGCTCCAGCCTGGAGCAGGAACAGGAGTAGTTTCTACGACAGTCGCAGTTCCAGCACGCCTCGACCATCTCCTTACGGACGGTGGCAGCATCAAAAGTACAAGTAGCCTGCGGTCTCGATTCCTGACGGGCTCCGTCAAACGTGACTGTGCACGTCGCGAGCCACTTTCTCCTGTCGTCCGAGGTCCTCTCGAGCTGGTCATGAATCCAAACTGATTAAGACGCCTGACATGGAGTCAATGTAGATGCTGCATCTGTACGAAACGCAAGCAGCGCGCCACGGCTCTCAGATTAGACATGCAAGACCTGAATGATCCTCCACTTTCGGTGCACCAATTCACCTGATGCACTAAGAGGTTGGCAGTATCTGCACTGCGACCCATGTAGCCTTGCGAATTACAGAGGCCAAGGTGGACGTGATTTACAAGATCATTACACTGCGAAGGCTGGCTGAGGTATGCGCTCGGCTGAACCACGTCGAGGTTGCCTCCAGTCCCACCCAGGAGCAGCCCAGCTCCCTGATGGCACGGCCACGCTCTGGGTCAATACCAGTACAGTATGCTCACCCCAGAAATATTTGATACAACGTTTTCAGAGCATGCCGGTAGGGAACCAGAATCTGATCGCCCAGCCAATCTTCCAGCTGGAGAGGCGGACCAACTCAACAAATCCCTCGTGGCAGCGCCAGCATGCGGTGTGCTTGCCCTGCCCGCATCAGTGCTCACCAGTTGAACCGGATGTCCGCGTATGGATGTATGATGGCGAGCATAGCGTCGCTGCGTTCATCGGCGCACTCGCGCATGAGGGGCCACCACTTGCTTTCCGTCGCGAGGATAAACTCTGGTGTTGTCGTGTCGACTTTGCCCGAGTGGATCTGGGTGAGGACGTGATTTACAAGATCATTACACTGCGAAGGCTGGCTGAGGTATGCGCTCGGCTGAACCACGTCGAGGTTGCCTCCAGTCCCACCCAGGAGCAGCCCAGCTCCCTGATGGCACGGCCACGCTCTGGGTCAATACCAGTACAGTATGCTCACCCCAGAAATATTTGATACAACGTTTTCAGAGCATGCCGGTAGGGAACCAGAATCTGATCGCCCAGCCAATCTTCCAGCTGGAGAGGCGGACCAACTCAACAAATCCCTCGTGGCGGCCCTCCGAGAGCAAGTCACTGTGCTTGCCAATGGGTGCGTCATGAGCGTCATCGTGCGGATGGTGCCAATGGATTGTAGCAGCCCTGCAAGCCACACCGAAACCGAACCAACTCCATGCGTACAGTACATAGCAAGAGCTGTGCCAGATGCCATATCACTGTATTGTCGCCTTTCCCCCTCTCCCGGACATCCCTGTAGGGAATTCATCATCGCTTTTCTGAAGCAGTAAGTGTGCATCGTGGGCTCAAAGTCGGATAGACATGTACCCAAGCAACCTCCGCGCAGACATCGACTGCGGCACAGTTCCTTCTACCCCTGCCGGCTCTCATGTACGGCCAGACCATCATATGTTCTGCGTTAGCTCCATGAAGAGGGCAAAGGATCGCAATGCTTCATAAGAGACGCCTCTCCTACTGTATCATGCCCCCCGCGCATGCACGGATGAACCCAACAGAGGAAAAGCAGCCTTCGGACGTGTCAATATTTCGCTTCAAGCTTCAGGCTATGTGATCTCCAATGCTTGCACAACGGATCTAGAATCTGACGTTCCAATGCGCCGAGCATGCCGATCAGGCGAAGCGCGAACTCAAGGTCCGGCAAACTCAACGCCAAGAACTCATGAGCACTACTGTAAGCTAAACGACATCAGGCCTGAGCAATCGAGGGATCCATCAATTCTGCAAGCACAACATCTTCTGAATCGTACAATAGGTAGCTTCATTATGCAAATCTACTGTGACCGACAAACAGACCCATTGGTGCACTGCCCCAGGCTGTCAATGTGTAGTTTCATTCAAAGATTCCAGCCTCCTCTATTGGCGAGGTCGCTACGGGTAGCGGTCGAAACTCGGAACGCCCCAGGGGACCTATCTGTGCCCTTCGGGTCCCTCGGACCGCCGTAAACATCCTTAGAGTCTGCAGGAGATCAGATCATATAAGCCTCTGTCGCTCAGCTGGCTGGCGCTGGAGAATGGGAGGATGCAATTTACTGTGCGTATAATAGAGGCGCAGCCGTAGCGCGGTTCCAACCGCGCTTTGTCGCCTCTTGGAGGAGGCCGCGAGGACACGTTCGAGGGCCTGGGCGTCTGGGCTGCAAAGTGTGTGTTTTCGACTCATTCCGCCCCTCGCGCTCCCACGCCTTTTCTCTCCCTACTATCGCATGTTCTTGCCCCCTCTCTGTCGACCCCAAACTCGGTACCGCACGAGGCGGAGGCGCAGTGGGCACGCTACGCCAAAGACGGAACAGAGGCCAGTGAGAAGAGCCTCCCAATGTCTTCTCGTCTTTCTAGCTCATCGCCGGGGACGCCCCAAGCCTTAGATGCCGTGAAGAGGACTCTTTGAGGCTCTGCAGCGCCTTACCGGAGCCGCATACCCTGCCTGGCAACTGGAAGAGCGTCATGCGGTTCGGTAGGCTGCTCTGTCCGTCCATACAGGTAAACATGGAAAGAGGACTGACTCCCGCTTCTCAGCTACATCCTCACCAGCGCACCAGCTTCAGTACTGACGGACATATAAACGCTACCGTCGTCTTTCTCGTCTCCCACGCTTCTCCTCTTTAACCTTCTTCCTCTCCCACCCAACCTCCCCCCTTTACACTCTCTCCTATTCTTGGCTCCCAACTTTTTGGCCATGTTCTTCTCGACTGTCGCACTCTGGGCTCTCATCGCCCCTGCCACGAACGGCGCTGTGTTCATGCAGTGTTCATCACCCGAAATCCAGCCTAATCTTCTGAGCGGTGAGTAACGAGTCCCTCATCTCTCCCTGGTTCTCGGAGTCCGTGTTGTAGACTGCGTTATGGCCTGCTGGTGGAATTGGCTCCTTTTCTCGCGGTTCCATACTCGGACACTGACGACTTCAGGTGTCGTCAACGCAGTCACAACTACTCTCTCCCCGGCCGCCGAGTTCAACGGTTGTCGCCAGTACTGCGTTGAGAAGAACATGGTCTTCTCGATCTACCAGCCTGGTCTCGCGGGCCTGCTCGCCTCGTGCTTCTGCGCCGCTCTGGAGCCCGAGGCTGAGTACGTCACCAAGGCCAAGGACCCTGCTGGAAACTGTCTTCCCGGCTCCTATGCTGTCTCGTACCTCCCCTCAGCCCCGTGGTCGTTCACCTCTTGCGCTACTGGCTCCACTGTCTCTGGCGGCCCCCCTCCATTCGAGAGCTACCAGAACTCCAAGTGCTTCAAGGACTGTGCCGCTTACAAGCACATGTCTATGGTGAGCACTGAAGACGGCAGCTACATGTGCACTTGTGGCAACACTCTCGTTGCTGGCACTCCTGCCACCTGCGACCGCGGCGTTGCCCAGCTCTACACCACCGGTGCCACCGCCTCCGGAGTCGCCCGCCGCAACAAGATCGCCCGTGAGGCCGCCCGCCGCAACGCCAAGCGCACTCTCTGCCCCGACTTCCAGACCGCCTGCATCATTCCCGGAACCGACTCGTTCGAGTGCCTCGACACCGGCATGGAGCTCACCTCGTGCGGTGGCTGCAGTGATGGTGTCTTCGACCCTCCTCTCGATGCTGAGTTCACCGCCGGTGTTGACTGCACCGCCCTTCCTGGTGTCGCTGCCGGCGCTGTTTCTTGCGAGTCGGGCCAGTGTGTCATCTGGGATTGCGCCAGCGACTACGCCCTTGTGGACGGCGCTTGCGTTGCTCTCGGCGCCTGAGCCCTTCCCCTCCACCTTTCTTCCGAGCACCTTAATTTTCGAGCCTCTGCCCTTTCATATTCTCTCGTTCTGTTACCCTTCCCGCAAGGGACTTTGCTGGGCACCATAGGACTTTATTTCCCCTCTGTTCATAACGCCGTGGCGTCCATAGAAGTGCATGTCACTGTGTTTACGTTGCCGCTGGGTCATTAACTCTCCCCCGCCCGGCGCTTCTGGAGGTGAGTTGGACGAGGGGATTGCTCGCACAGACCGACAGAGAAAGCAGGCGCCGGCAGTGTTACGTAAACACATCGGCATGTTGCGGCCTCAAGTTCCGAAAGCCCTTGTGCGAGCTCTCCCCTGTGCCGATACCCTCAGCGCCAGCAATTCACAGTTCTCCCTTCAATGTGAGCAGACGCGTCTTCTTCGACCACAAGGAAGCGCGGCTCAAGCCGCAGTTCTGCAACTCCATCAGCAACAGCACTGACCGACACAGTTTTGAAACGGCAACCGCGGTTTCCGCAATCTTCCCGCTCCACTATCTTATCTCTCTCAGTCCCATAGACTACGGCCCTCGTACTGACACCCCACTCACCACAGCGACTTGCCAGACCGCGCCCGATCAACTAAGGCAGACATGCAGGTCGATGCACGGACCAGAGCACGTCCGTGTGTCTTCCTGCACAGCACAGCGCCAGGGTCCAGACCTCCCTAACATCCCTGGGTGAGTGGCAGTGGCGCATTCAGCGCCATGAGCCTCCTTTAGCCTGGCTGAGCTTCGTGAGCCTCTCGGCTGGCAATGACTGTGATCATTGGAAGACAAGATACCAAGGTTCAGAGGACACCGCCCAGAATACCTTCAAGGCTGTATGCTGCGGCACGCGTCGCCGTTTTCAGAGACGAAGGCGGTGCCTGCCTTCATGCCGTGCTGCAACTCTTTGTCAGGATTGTCAGATCGACAGTCTGCTTGCTTCTTGTTCACTCACTCACTCACCGGCTCTGACCACCCTCACGCTCCTTTCGACCCCCACGCTCGTTTCCAACCCACGCTCCTTTACACCCTCTCACGTCCGAACCCACAGCCCGGGTTCTTATCCGCAGCCCGATCCACGACCCAACCCTGACCGCGATCAAACTAGCGCAACAAAGTCCTAATGCTGGTCTACCTCTTTGTCCTCCTCGCGTCTTTCCTGGCTGCGCTCGCCAGTCCGATCCCGCAGCTTGCGTCCGAGTCGCTCAACCTCGCCATTGCCGAGGAGCAGGTCCCGATCCAGCCGCTGCGGTGGACGACGCAGTTCTCTGCCGTTCGGGCCGAGTCTGTCCTCCCACTCGAGTGGACGGGAGGCTCGGGCGAAGTCGAGATCTACTATGTTCCGCAATGGCCGGAGCAGAGGTCTTACGACGTGAGCTACCGCGCTCACTAAATGCAGTCCGCTGACAATGCAGCTCGTCACTGTTGCCAACACAACCGAGAGCTCCTACGACTGGACTGTCCCCGAGCTCAGCATGTATCCGGAGGGCACGACTTTGTGAGTCTTTTCGAAATTCCGGAGGCAGCGCTAACAGACAGCATCATCGGGATCAAGAACGAGTACGGCGAAGGTAACGCGTGGTACGACCTGAGCCCTGTCGTGCCCTTCCGCGCCTAGATATGGAGAATCTAGTGAGATGAAATGCATGTACAATACCGGGTCTAGTGCTCTAAGCCAGCTCTAAGCTCTAGGCGGGCTGGGCGATACGCTCGCCCATCTCGACGTCCTCCTCGACGGCCTGTCCGTTCTCCTGCGGCGTGTCGACGCTCATCTTCTCCCCCCCGGCGGCCTCGGCAGCCTCAGCCTCAGCAGCCAGACACTCCTCCGCGTTCTCAGCCTCGATCTGGGCGATCTGCGCATCGAGCCGCGCCTTCGCCTCGGGCAGCATGGGAATGGCATTCGCAGGCGTGCCCCCGACCCAGCCGCGCCAGTCCCCATCCCAGTCCGCCGACGCCCACTTGGGTAACGGCGTCTCCCACGTTCCCAGGCCCTCGGTCTCATACCGCAGCGCATGGAGGTAGATGAACAGCGTCTCCGGGTCCGGATCCGGCGCCAGGGGCGTGTAGCACTGCGTGCAGAATCCGTCGGGGATCTCGATGGGCGGCGTCATGGGGCTCGGCGTGTCGTCGAGGATGGGGCGCTCGACGGCCTTGGACCGCTTCAGGTTGTTGTTCACGCTGGGGTGCGGAATCTTGGCCCGCTTCCGCTTGTCCTTCTCGGATTCCTCGCCCGCGGCGGCCTCAAGCTCGTCCTGCGCCTTCTTCGTCGCCCAGATGACCTCCTTCCACTTGCCCCAGTCGTCGGCCTCGTCGCGTTGCCGCCTCAGTCCCGCGATCACGTTACGAGCCTGCTCGCTGAGGCGGATCGGAGAGCGGATGTCAATGTTGGCGTACACGCCCTCGTCGCGCATCGGCACCGTCGCGCCGTGCTCGGGCGCGGTCTCGTTGCCGGCCAGACGTGCCGAGTCGTCGGGAATCGGAGGGGGAGTGGTTCCGGTGCGCCGACGCTGGTCCATGTTCACGACGCGCTCGCGGATCGCGGTCATCTGCGATGACTCGCCCTCGACCTGGTCCACAAGGTCGACACCGCCCTTGCCGCATCCTGGGCCCCAGATCTCCTCCTGCGAGTACAGCGGGTCATTGGCGATCGGGTATCCGAGCCACTGGAGGTGCACACGCAGTTGGTGCGTGCGGCCCGTCTGCGGCTTGCAGTGCACCACCGATTGGTCGCGCTTCTCGTCGTAGCTCATGCGCGTGAAGATGGTCTTCGACTCCTGTAACTGTCAGCTGCGAACACCAACAGACGAAGCTGTAGTACTAACCTTGCCCTGCGGCGCGACAATAACAAGACCCATTTGCCTGTCGACCGACAACAGCGGCTGGTCGACAACAATGTCGCCCTCGGGGAACTTTCCGCGGACACGCGCAATGTACTCCTTCTTGACCGTTCCCTCCTTGAACTCATTTGCGAGGCGGCTCGACGTCTTACCCGAGAGCGCCAGAATCATGAGACCAGAGGTCAAGCGGTCGAGGCGGTTCACGGCGAACGCGTTGATTCCGTAGTCGGTCTTCAGGAGCTCTAGCAGCGTGTGCTTGAAGTAGCGACCGGCGGCGTGAACGGGCTGGCGTGTCAGCTTCAGGGGAAGTACAGAGCTGTCCACTCACCATACTTCCGGGCTTGCTGACCACGACGAAGTCCTTCTCCTTGTCGATGTGCAGCACGAGCACGGGGTCGTTGGTGATGGGGGGCTCATGACGGTGGACAGTGTTGCTGATGTCAGCTAAACATCCGAGCCGAAGCTACTCACTCAATACGGTCGCTGCTCCTCAGAATAAGCTCCGGGTAAGCGGTGACGCCGTTGACTTTCGTGACACCACACTCGAGGGCGTGCCTCTGCAGGTTAGTTGAGCATTGGGACAAGGAAAACGAACGTAATAGTCGACACTCCTGTCACGGAACTCTGTGCTGATAACCTCGAGAAGCTGGCGACCGATCCATCTGCAAAGTCAGCTCGTGCAACAGCGCTTGGGGAGCAGGGCGAGGAGGAGGTAGCAGGTAAGAGAGCGTACTGGCCAAGTCGAGCTAACATGAGCAGGGCCGTCCACGTTGCAGGGGTCATCATTGCTAGAAAGTGAGACTCCCCTTGTGACCTGCTATTCTCCGCTCCAAGCGACAAGCTCGTCGCCTTCCCCGGCTTTGACTCACCGTTGCTTGCAGAAGGTGCGGTACGGCCACCAGTACGGCTGGAGGTATCGGAGTCGGGGGTGCATTTCTTGCGGGTATGTCTTTTCCGTGCGTTTCGGTCCGTCTGTTCCGTTCTTGACGACAGCGTCGAGCTCGTTCGACATTGTCGTAGGGTGGTCGCGAGAGCGAGGTCGGATAAGAAGAAGTTGCAATGTCAACATTTTTCCGGGCTCGCGTTCCTGACTGCCGAACCGTGCTACCTACGGTGCCCGCCGATACACCTCCGCACAGTGAGGTCATTTTTGCCGCCCAACCTGTCCAAAATTTCCTTGTTGTCATCTACCTCCAACGGCATCGACCAATGCTCTTCTGTCCGTACTGCGCCAACAATCTGACCATTGGAGACGACTCCGACACACCGGAGAAGTGCTGGTGAGTGCTTGGAAGACGTTGCGGAGCTGCGTCGGAGTTGTGGTGAGCTAACTCTCAGGATCTGCCCGACATGCCCGTATAAGTGGATCATCACGCAGCAGATCTCCATGAGGACGCATCTGGAGCGCAAGCAAGTAGACGATGTTCTCGGAGGAGAAGACGCGTGGAAGAATGTGGACCAGACGGATGGTGAGCTTCGCACGATTTGATGGAGCTGACATCCAGCCGACTGCCCGAAGTGTCAGGAGTGTCACCGCGCGTACTTCCGACAGATGCAGATCCGTTCTGCTGACGAGCCCATGACCACGTTCTAGTGAGTAGAGAAGTCCCTTCCCCAGGTTACTGGGACTGGTTGCGCGTTGGAGGCATTCCGTTCCTTCGACCTTGCGTGTCGTGACCACCGAGCTTCGTGTGACAGAACCAGCTAACCTCCAGCAAATGCGTGGGATGTAAATTCCAGTGGCGAGAGAACTAGATGTTGTAACAGTAGTAATGCATACAGTGTAAACAGTCCTAGGTATCCTCGAGCGCACCCTCCAGCACGCCCATGATGCGCTTGACACGTTCCTTCTCCTTCAATGCAGCCTCCTTGTCTTCCCTCGTCTTAATGGCGCCCTTGACGTACGCCTTCCCCTCACCCAGCCCCGGAACGCCCAGCTTTACGAGTCTGGATCTGTGCCGCGCCGCCAGCCCGTCGACCGATGTCATGACGTGCCCCTTGTAGAACTCGTCGAGCGCCTGCTTCAGCTGCCTGTTCCACGTCTGAGGTCAGCTTCATTCGCACACGCCCAGCTTACATTCTGCTTCTCCTGCGTGATCGGTTTCCGCGTGATCCTTGCGACCTCGCGCTCCGGCTTCGTCTTCGCCTCGTGGTCGGCCTTGATCTTCTCCATGCGCGCCCACAGCCGACGCTCCAGCGAGTCCTGCTCCGCCTTCATCTGTCTGTCAGCTATAACCATCACCACGCAGCAGCCTACCTTTTTCAGCTCCTTCACAAACTCGTCGTCGCGCAGAAGATCCGTCAGCACCGGCAAGCATCTGCTAAATGACCAGTCGGCTTTGCTGACGGTGTCGTCAAGCTTCCGTTTGCCCTTATCCTGTGCGTCGGGAGCTGAGGACGAAGACGCCCGACGCCGCTGGCTGGCAGCAGCCATAGCCGCGACGGGGCCGAAGGGCTCCATCAGTCCCTTGCGCGGACCGTCAAACGCGCTTCGTGTAGGTTCGTGAGGCTGATCGTCGAGCTGCGCCAGAAGATCGCTGAGTGCGCTGTTCGGTTGGGAAGGTCGACTAGGTAAGCTTGCTGATGTTGATGCCGATGGCGCAGGCTTTGAGCCGGAGCCGGGATCCGGGCCGTCTCCATCCGCCTGCTTCAGCAGGTTCAGCAAGGACTGGACGCTGTCCTTGTCCTTTGCGTTAGAATGGGCGTGACATCGAAGCTCACTGAGAAGCTCATCGCGTGCGCATGGGATTGCTTGCGACTGTTGGATGAACTGAGTGTTGAAATGGGCGGATCAGAATTGGGCAGGGTGCAAGCGGATGGGCGATGACGAAACTGTCATGTAAGTGTGAAGGCTGGGTAGGAAGCCGACTCAGCCGAGATTTATTTCGCTCTTTCACTCCGGTCTGTCCTCCGACCACCTGTTCCAACCTCCTTTCGTCTCCCTTCACCTCCGTTTCCCCCTTCCACCCCTTCCCCTTCTCCCTACGCGAGTCGACGCTCACCCCGGTGCGAATTCAACTTGCACGCCATGTCGACTCAGCCCGCCGAGTCGATCCTGATCCCGACGACGTCGACCTCAACCTCGACCTCGACTGCGGTCACGACAACGAAAGCCAAGCCGAAAGCAGCCCACCACCTGCTCTCCGGCGCGCTATCAGGCCTCACGAGCGCAGTCTGCCTGCAGCCGCTGGACCTGCTCAAGACGCGCCTCCAGCAGGGCTACGATGTGGGCCGGAGGAGGTGATTTCAATACCGCTTGCGGAAAGCTACTACTTCCCACGCACCCGCTAACCTCAGACATAAGCTCCTGCCCGTCATCAAGCAGGTTGTGCGCGACGACGGCGTGCTCGGATTATGGCGCGGAACGGAGGCGACTGTCGCTCGGTGGGTTATGCGCGTCTTCTGGGCGCATCTAGATGCCTTTGCTGACACCGGCCAGCAACGTCCCCGGCGTAGCGCTGTACTTTTACATGCTCTCTTCTATCCGAAACGAGCTCTCGCGTGTTCCCATGTTTCAGCGCGCGGTGCAGCCCGCCGACTCCTCCGCCTCGTCACGTACCGCACTCGCCGCGCTGTCGCCAACAGGCAATCTCCTCGCGGGCGCCGTGGCGCGGACATCGGTCGGCTTCGTGCTGAACCCGATCACGATCCTGAAGGCGCGCTTCGAATCTAATGCCTACTCGCAGTACCGGAGCTTGACGGGCGCCATGGCCCATCTGTGGCGGACGGAGGGTGTCCGCGGCCTCTTCCAGGGCTTCACGGCTACAGCGGTGCGTGACGCGCCGTATGCGGGAATATACGTCGTGTTCTACGAGTGGTGCAAGGAGATTGTCGGTGAGTCCTCTCTGGCGAGGAGGTGGTGCAGCTGAAAGAGATGTGCGAGAAGCTAACGGCAGGCCGCACGATGGCCCTCCGGCCCGACTTGGGTATCCCGAACGCGGCGCTGCATTCTGGCTCGGCCGTCACGGCTGCCATGCTCGCGACGATCATCACGTCGCCGGCTGACTGTGTCAAGGTGAGGCCCCATACCAACATCCTGATCTCTTCCCGAAATGAGGAATCTTAAACAGCTGCTTCCATTGCTGCAACTAAGCTAACTCCCAGACACGAATGCAGGTCGCCCCCGCGCAGAACCCGAACATTCGCTCCGCCCTCGTGAACATTTACCGGGACACCGGCATCCCGGGCTTCTTCTCGGGCTCGTCTATGCGCATTTCGCGCAAGGCGGCCAGCTCAGCTATCGCGTGGACGGTGTACGAGGGCCTGCTCCTGTTCATGGGCAAGCAGGGAAAGCTCGGCAAGGGCGGCAAGGACGAGAAGGCCGTCTAGGCGCACTTTAGGCCCGTAGGGCACAGAATGAAGCCGCTAGACGCCACAAGAGATTAGAACGGCCCAAATACGCCGGACACTCAGAACCATCAAAACCGGACGGAGTAGAAGTGAGAACGAGAAGAGAAGAAGAGAAGAAGACGGGAGGATCTTGTACCTGCTCAACATCACCACTGTACAGTAGAATCCAATGCACCTCTGAGCAAACACAAAGATTAACTGTTCCTGCATAGACTATGGCAATACTAAGCATTGTGTGGACAAGAAATCTTTTTGGTGATGAGGGTGACTCGTGGATTCGGACTCGCTCATCTTTTTCGGGGCTCGAGCTGTCGCTGGTGAACACGGGAGGGTCGCTACAGAATGATGGTGGCACACACAGTCGAAGACGTACTTGCACACGGCGTGTTGGCGCCGGTTTACATGAGCCTAGGCACAGTTCTCGCTACAGGGGCTCGGGGCCTGGGTTGTCAGTTGGACAGTGGCAGTGTCAACTTACATGGCATTCTCCTTGTCCGCAAAAACGCGGCGCCTTGTGGGCAGCGGCTCGTGCTTCAAGGGGATGATCTTGGGCGTCTTGGGCTTCGACTTGGTGCGGCCCCTCGGTTTCGGCTGGTTGCCGTGGTTCTTGCCGGCAGGCTGAGGGATCTTGCTCTTTGGCGCGTTGCCGCTGTGGGACCAGAGGGAGCCTAGCGGCGCACGATCGCGATCGTCTCCGTCCTTGCTGGTGAGCTGACGCTTGCCGGCCACATGCTTCAAAGGGCTGAGGTCACCCGTGCGGACGCGAAGGGCCGTCAGACTATCCTCCCAGCCAGCGAATGGAGAGCCGTTAGCGTCAACCATCACCCTGCGAGAGGGGAAGGAGCCATGCTTCGGGGGCGCCGGCGGAGTGAAGGCGATGAACGTCGGCAGGGGCGAGGCGACGGAAGCAGTGGAGGGCTTGCGGTCGCGGGACGAGTCGTTAACACCGAGCTTCTTGATCATCGACTCCGAGACGGAGCCGAGAGGACTGTGTCCAAGAGCCGTCGTGATGTCCTCGCTGTGGCGCTTGCGCCTCCAGCCCAGGTTGCGGCGGCGAGTCGAATCCGTCACACTGGAGCGGAAGCTGCTGTCCTCAACGGGGCTGGGCGACTTCTTCCTCTCGAGGTTTCGCAGCGAGTTCGGTAAAACCTCAGAGTCGCGAGCGAAGTGGGTCAGCAGAGCGGAGGCGGGTCCATCAGTGCCGGCGTCGGAGCGGCTGCGCATATTGCGGTATCGGGTCTCGGGAGGTGGCAGGTCGCCGCGGTCGACAGGTGCCACGCTCGGTCTGTTCGCACCAAAAGACTTCTGCTGGAGCGCTTGACCGGGCAGAGCCTGGTCCAGCGGGCGATACGCCTCCTGCGACTGCGCTAGAAACAGCTGGATGTCATGGTACGACGAGGGCAGGAAGGCGGGTAAACTCTTCTCAACGCTGTTCGGCTGCCAGTCCATAGGCTCAAGGTCGTGGGGACTGTGAGAGGCGTCCAACGGGTGTCGAGGGCTACCGGTGCGGATGGTACCGTAGGAGGACTCTTCGCGTATAGTTGGCTGAACCTCGACGTTGGTAGACGAGAGGCGGCCCTGAGGGTGCACACCGCTCGGAGGAACGGAGCTGCGCGTCTCGAGGGAGAACAACGACGACACTTCGGTGGAGGTGTCGCCAGGTGAGATCAGATCGGGGAGAGATTCATTGTCCGTCGACAGCTGAAGTCGAGGCGGGCGGTGCCGGCGAGTGATTGATCTAGGCCTGGGACGAAGGACACTGGTGCGATTAGGGCCTGTAATGTCAGCTGCCAAAGACCACATGAGGAGCTTACCCTTGCCTTGCGCGTTGAGTGCTGCGGTGAAGCGATCCGAGATCATGGTTAACGGGGACTCCTCGAGGTAGTGGTTCAGTGCGCCACCGTAGGGTGTCTCGTAGCTTGAGATGCTACTGTCGCGGGAGTGGAACACGCGGGGCATAGACATGCTTAGGCGGACCGTCTGCTCGCTCGTGTCCGAGGCGCGGCATGACGAGTTCGACGACCCGCGCTGCGAGTGCTGGTAGTCGCCAAAGTCGAAAGTCGAGCTCGAAGACTGAACGCGCTGGTCTCTCTTCTTGGCTCCGTAGGCCATGCCCAGGTCGATAGTGACGCTCGACATCTGCGCCCGTTGAGCCCTCGAGAAGTACTCGGCGCTGTACGGGTGCATGTCGTCAAACTCCTCCCTGTGGCGGCGTTCCTGCTCCTGGAAACTGCGGAAGCCCAGAGCTGCCTCAGGCGAAACAGGGCTCATACCCTCGAGCATGCAGTCCCTGTCACGGTCGAACATCCTATCTCCGAGAGTGGGTCGCTCAATGCGGCTGTAAGAGAAGGCACTTGAGCAATCCGAAGGGATGCGAGCGCGAGTGCCTCGAGTGGGCGAGGGCACGACTGTGGCACTGCTGTCCTTGCTTCCGCGGATGGAGTAGACCGAGGCCTGACGACGCTTGCGCATGTCGATGGGGGGACCGGTGACGACACTAATCTCGGCCTCGTTAACCGATGATAAGGTTGAGGATGAGTTCTGGTGCAGGCGGTCACTCATCGATTGGATCGACGTCTGGCGAGAGGCAGGCTGCAACATGGACAGGATCGTCTGCGGGTCAAGCAGGTGCGAGTCGGTCGTAGAGGATGAGGTCTGCCGAAGTCGCTTCGACGACTGGCGCCGTAGCGAGCGATCAGCCTGGTTGAGGAGACTTTGCAGGTCGGCAAGTGACTCCTTGGAGCCCAGGTCAAGCCCGGGAGGGTCGCTGATGCCCTCAAAGTTGCGCTCGAACGACATGTGACCCTCGCGATAGATACCCTCGATAGGCTCGCCGAGACTGGATAACGACATGAAGCTGAACGCAGATGGCTGCTTCTGATGGTGTGTGGCATGCTGAGGACGCTCAGCCCGCTGTGCGGGAGGCAGAGGCGGCAGGGGAAGCTGAGGCGGTGCCCAAGTGACGGTTGGCCGCGGGAGCGAGAAGCCAGGCTGGCCAGCGAACGGTGCCGTGCTGCTCTTCGGCTTGCGGCGGTAGGTCGTAGCCTCCTTCGGCTGCAGCGGAACAAGCAATGGAAGCGAGAAGTCAGACTTGGAGGTCTTGACAATCGAGGGGGAGCATTTGGTTACCTTGTGGCGCTGGTCGATGGCAGTCGTCAAGCCGAACATGCTATCGAGATTGCGCGATTGCTCCAAAGCTTGCATGAAGCTGATGCGGTCCGTGCCACTCTCGAGACCAGCGAGCTCGGTGGTGAAGTCGAAAGAGTCACGATCGCCAGCACTGAGCGAAGTTGACGCCGGACGCATTGGTGCGCGGCGGATAGTGGAGGCAGCACGCGGATACAATGTCGCACGACCGAAGTCATCCGAGCGCGACAGCAGGATGCTTGCCCGCGAAGCCGCGGCAGGTGGACTGTCCGAGACATCGTACGGCGCCACAGGCACCTCCAGAGACCGAGCATCGGGTTTGGGAGTGCCAGCGCCAACGCCGATGAGGATACTGCCGTCACGCTCGGGGTGCCCAAGCTGACTCTGCGGTTGGATTGAACTGGACGCCGTAGAAGGTGCGATCGAAGCACGGCTGCGGAAGGTCGAGCTGCTTGGGCGCACCCTCTCTTCCTGCTCGTGCACGATCGATAACCTGGCCTGGCGCACGTTGCGGAGCCGGTTCAGAGGCGAGCGAGGCGGAGTCGGCATGAAGTCGCGGACCTTGCTCTGCGGCGACGGCGACACAGCAGTGGCGGTGCCACTAGAAGACTTCGGAGCGAGGGAGAGCGGCGTACGGAACCGGCCAGACGATGGCGATGCAGCGGGGCTCTTGGCACGTGAAGTAGACAAGAGGCTGCCACTCTTCCAGCTGCTTGACCATGTGCTCTTACTCTCGGGGCTGGTCGACTGGCGGCGCCTGGTTGGACTGAGCTGGCCGATGGCATGAACGAGGCGGTCCAGGTGACCCGTAGCGGCAGAGACATCATCAAAACTTTCTGCAATGTCAGTTCAGTTGCTTTGTCAAGCTAACTCACGCTTCGATCGAATGATACGGGGGTTGTCAACACCACGGCTGCCCACACGGCTGAAGAAAGCAGCCGTATCGGGGCTCGTGTCGTTCATGTCCATGGGCTGCGATCCAGCAGAGGCGGCAATGAGGTGGTGACCAACCCCGTCGATGGCATCAGCCAGGCGACGCAAAGCCTTGGGCGACGACTGCGGCGTGACCAGGGGTGATGACGGTGCCATACGGAGCATGTCCGACGACCTCTTCAGCGCCACGCCGAACAAGCCAGCTAAGCTCTTGCGCTTCGGCAGGCGTCGAGAGGCTGCATCGGGATGCTCGTCTCGCGGTGACCGAGTCCGCGTATCAGATTTGGTTGACGTCTGAGACTTCTGTCGGCGACGGACTGCGGCCGGTGTCGCAGCGCCGGCGGTGCCTGTCGAAGGTCGAGTGACACGGATCGCGGGCACGTGCCGAGGCGACGGGCGGCGGAGCGAGGAGGGTCTAGACGCATTGTCACGGGGCGCTGTGGTCAGCACAGACTGAATAAACAAGCTTACCCTTGTCATCAGTGCCTTGCTGGCTCTTGACGGTAGACCTCCTGGACCGAGTGCTGATCGCCTTCCAGATGCGCGACCGGGTCTTCTCCTTATCGAGAGACTTCCTGTTTGCGAAGGCACTCTGTGGGGACTTCCCATTCAAGGCTAGTGGAGAGCGAGGGAGGATAGCTTGTCGAAGAGAGGAGAAGCGGTTCGGTAACTCTTCAGCGGCCAGCGGCTGCTCTGACGTTGACCCAGTCAAGGGGACGTCATATTCAGTCAAGCTGGAACAGTCAGCTGAACACACTATTGAACAGCTCACCTGTGGACCCACGTGCTCTCTGGGCGACTGCCCACCACCTGGGCTTCGTCGGACACGCTCGCTGCATGGCGCTCGGCGGTCATCGCCCTAACTGTCTCCGATGTCTTCCTGCTCCTTGCAGAACCTGCAGGCAACCTTGTCGCTCCGCCCTCGACCTGCCTGAACGGGTCCGGGCCTGCACTTGGGCGCGGTCGGGTCAACGGGGCGAGACCACCGTCAGCAGCGAATGACGGGAGCGGGGGTAAGGGGGGCGCCTCGCTCGGGCCGTGATCCTGTTTCCATCCTAAGATTTGGGAGAGACCTTTGCGCGTCTTCGCTTTCGGCTTGAGAATGTCTTTCGTCGTCGAGTCGGGTCGGGCACTCCGCGTGGTCGGGGGCTTGCGTAACGTTCGCCGCTCGTCGCTGAACATGCCAGATGACATGCCACGGAGCGACTTGAAGGGGCCACTGCGCTGAGACTTGCGCGGGCTACTCCGGCGAGAGTGCGACCGGGGAGACTGCTGGTCCGACTTCATGATGAGAGGTCCTTTTGGTGTGTTGAGTGTTGATGTCGTTACGTCGTCAGGTGCCGTGACACAGAGGGGTGGCGTTTGAGGGAACTCGTCGATCTGATTCACAAATGAGGATCGGCGAGCGGGAGTTAACACAGCGCTAAACAAGCGGTCGTTGTCGGGGTCGACGAGCTTTGAACAAGAGCGGGAATGCACACTAAGGTAAGGGTTTCGTTGAGACGTGAGTCGAGCGAGTCGTTATTTGCCGTGAGTGGCAAAAGCTGCCACTAGGAGCCGTGTGCCGAGCACAGAGGGCCGGGTCGTTGTATCGTGGTCGCTGTCGTGTCAGCACGCACTAGGCTCGCCGTGCATGGTTACTCACCGCGCAGAGGAGGTTGGTGAAGAGTCAATGCGCGCAACGGAGGTCGTTAGATGTTGAACCCAAAGACAAGGCGAATGTGGAGGAGAAGACGAAAGCGTGAACGGAAAGAGGAGAGGAGGGAAGATGAGGAGGTCGAGTCCTGGTGCGTCGTTAAGTGATAAAGCGGGCAGATAGATGGAAAGGAGGGTGTATCAAATAACGAGCGTCGCAAAGGGAAGGTTTCAGAGGAGGAGTGTGGGCGGCACCGTGTGCTGTGTGTGAGGTGATCGTTAAAAGAAGTCAATCGCGTCCAGTGCGCGGCTCTTGTTTTCATCAGTCCCACCAGTGTGGCTGCGCCCTCGGTACCCGGCTGCTCCCGATGCCACTGCGCATGCTTGGTGTGCACGCCTCCAACGACCGTCACAGCGGCCAGTGCTTGTTTGATTGCTGGTCAGTGCATGGTGCGCATCCCAATCTTGCAATCGCATCAGCGATTACGGCCCTGGACAGTCCCAAGCCCCCCTTCCGCATCGGCTATCACTGCGCGCCATCGAGCCCAAGACGTTTCTCTGCGTGAGCTCCTGGCCCTGGGGCCATCACCATTCGTTGTAACCTCATGTTTCACAAGGGTGTACAGTGTGGCTGGTCCGGCTCGTGCGTACAGGGCGTGGCGGATCCGAGGGGGATGCGGCTCGAGCGCTCGACTCGGCGGGTCCCGAGGTGCGATGAGCGTGGGCGCGACCCATTGGCATCATGAAGTCAGAAAGCGAGGTGAGCGGTGCGAGACGGCGCCTGCCGTACAGTCATACATGCATACAATGGAAGATAAACTTACAGGACACCTCACTTGTTCGCCAGCACCCAGGCGACCATCCTCGATGGCATGCTGGTCGTCACGATTCCCATGGCGCCCTGCACCTGTACCGCTCGATGTGACGCATTAACCTGTAACGTCAGATCAGGTGCCCATCACCCCCCGCACGAGCCGTGGAGTAAACAACAAACAGCTCGTTCGAGACCAAACACTCACCGAGTCCGCACGGTACGCATCCTTGGCCTCCTGCAGATTGAGCGGGTGCGCCCAACCCTTTGCGCGCTCGGCCTCGTCGCGCTTTCGGTTGACCGTCGAAGCCGCATACTGCGACTTCTGCTCAGGTCTGTGGCTTGTCAATCACCTGACAAATTCCCACACGCCGACTTACGTCAAAACAAACTCCTCCGTCCAAGCGCCTGCCCTCGGGCGTTCCTTCACCTGGGCTTCTGCGTCAGGTGCCTTGGACTTGGCTGCGTCAGCCGGCGCCTTGCTGAGCTTGGACAAGGTCGATGCCAGCAGACTTTGTCTCGGGGCTGGCTTAGGAGGTATAGGTTTGTGGACGGGAGTTCCGGCAGCCGACTTGGGTGTGCCACCGACGGCTGTAGGTGTGGAAGCGCTGGGTCGCTTGATGGAAGAACCGCCCTTCTCCTTCTCCGCAAGTGGTCGCTTCTTCGGCTGCGTCTTGTCCTTCTCCTTCTCCTCTGCCTTATCCTTCTCCTCCTGCTTCGCTGAACCGTCTTGTCCATCATCTCCACCGACTGACGTAGATGACTTGCTAGCCGCAGCGTCTGCGCCGAGAGCTTTCGGCTTCCTCTTCTTCGCAGGCGGCTTGGGCTCCTCAGCCTCGGGGGACGGGGACGTAGCTTTCTTCTTCTGAGGCTTAGAGCGAGCCTTAGGTGCTTCGTCCTCATCATCCTCGTCGCCGGAGTCTACGATCCGTCGTCTCTTAGACGAGGACACTTTCGGTGCTTCATGGTCATCGTTGGGGTCGTTCTTCGCCGGCATGTTGTCGTCCTCTGGCTTCTCCGTCTCTTCAGTGGGAGCAGTGGCGGAGTCTGCTGGGAGAGGAGGAAGCTCCTTCTCAGGTTCGGGCTCGGCAGCATTGCGCGAGGACCGTCCTCGACGACGCTTCGGTGCATCAGCAGCCGGTTCATTGTCCGCAGGTGGCTCGGGAGCGCCCTTCTTGGCTCTAGGGGCACGCAGCTTAATCTTGGGGATCTTTGGTGGCGGTGCCTGAGGTCCAGGCTGGGCCTGATGAGCCTCAGACGTCGGCTCGTGCTCTGACGCAGACGCGGGCAGACCGATGTCGGGTGACGGTGCTCTGAGTGGAGGCTCAAGCTCAGGAGTGGGAGCCTTGACCGGTGACGGCGGAGCACTGAGGGGTGACGACGGCGCCTCCGACAGCGGACTCGAATCGGTCGCAGGAGGTGCCATGGCGGCTGTCGTAGCGGATGAGTTGGTATCGAGTGAATGCGAGCGACAGAGGGTTAGTTGCCAGCTTCAGCGTTCCGCACAATAGCGGTGATCAGCGCGACGCGGACAATGGCGCCTCTCCGTGAGGGCGAGCGGAAGCAGATCCGCTTATCGGCCACGCGGTTAGCATGCGAGGCAGACCGAGTGCCTAGAAACTTCTAAATGGCAATTACCCCGTCGCGATTAGGATCCTAATCTCGGTGAATGATTAGAAAGCGGCGTTTGGTGACGTAACCGAGCGTGCTGGGTGCTGACCGAGCCTGGCAGCGGCGCAGAAGACTTAGTTGTTGATAAGAGTGTCTCGATCTTGCGAGTTTCGACAACGAACATTGCCTCTTTAGACCTCCAAAAATGGCTCCTAACGTTACAGAGATTCAGTCGACTTCCCGTAAGTCCAGCTTGCTGAGCAAAGCTGACGTTAGAGTTCGAACAGATTCAGAAGTCGCTGGCCCCTGACCAGCTCCTCGTCCTCGACTTCCACGCTACGTGGTGTGGACCATGCCATGCGATCGCCCCCGTGTACGAGCAGCTCGCGAACAAGTACCCGCAGGTAAAGTTCTGCAAGGTGGACGTGGACAGGCAGCAGGACCTCGCGCGGCGGTACCAGGTCAGCGCGATGCCGACGTTCAAGTTCATCAAGGGCGGTCGTGTCGTCGAGGAGATCCGCGGTGCGAACCCCCAGGCGCTGCAGCAGAACGTGCAGCGGCTCGCTGGACCTATCAAGCCTCCCAAGCCGGCTTACGTCGACAAGGGCCCCGTTGAGGGCTCGCTCCTGTCCGAGGTCAGTAGCACGGGCCTGAGCTGTCTCGGCGAGGCGTCCGGGCACCCGCTCTCGAGCATCGTCGGCCCCGACGCCGGACCCAAGGGCCGCTCGTACCTCGAGTCGGACACGGACCCGGAGCTCCTGATCAGCATGCGCTTCAACGAGGCGGTCAAGATCAAGCACATCAGCTTCTTCGCCGCCATCAGCCCCGAGCAGGCGCCCAAGACGGTAAAGCTGTTCGCGAACCGCGACAACATGGACTTCAACGACGTCGCGTCCGCCGAGCCGACGCAGGTCCTCGAGCTCAAGCCCGAGGAGACCAAGGGCGAGCGTGTCGAGCTCAAGTACGTCAAGTTCCAGAACGTGCGGAGTCTCGTCATCTTCATCGAGAACAACCAGGGCGGAGACGAGACGACGCGCATCGACTCGCTCGACCTGTTCGGTGTCCCTGTGAACGCGAAGTAGGGCGCTCAGTAGTAGTATTGTAGCCGGGCATCGATGTACATAATCCATGCGAACGAAGCACACAGGAAGCAGCACAAGATCCACACAAATGCGACACCTCTCGTTGGTGGGCGGACATAGCCGTGGGAGACGGAAATAGCCAAAGTGCGGAACATCTCTGGACGCGAGGCGCCGCACAACGTCATTTGTTTTGACTCCCTGGGCTGGGTCAGCGATCTGGACCGAGAGTGATCTTCCGTGACGGCTGACACTACTGGGCTTGCACACACACACACTACACACACACGCGTACACTAACCCACGTTCCTTCTCTCGCTAGCTTCAATTTCTTATCTGCTGTCTGTCCCACTCGTTTGTTTGTTCGCCGCTCGCGCCCCCGTCACCTGTCTCCGTTCGACCTGAATTCATCGTCCGCCCACTTCCCACACCTCCACACTCACTCAACTTCCAATCCGCCCGTAGGCGGCGGCGACACCAGCCTCTCAAGGCGACAGTAGCCTCAAGATCATGACGATACGCAAGAAGGGAACGAGAACGCCAGAACGGGAGCGGGACGCCGGGCTGCCCAATTCCAGCCGGGAAGGTTATGGGACTTTCGGCGGGGGATGGCCGCCGACGCCCGACTCGTCCCTGTTCTCGACGGACGAGGCCGCGATTGCGGACTCGGAGCTAACGCAAGCCGAGAGGGAGGAGTACCACCGCGGCCTCGTGACTTGGAAGAAGGCGAAGAGTTGGCGTTTCTGGATAAGGTGGAAGTGGGTGCCGTGGTATGTGTTGCTGCTTGCTGCGTCGTGCGTCCTCGCCGCGCTCAGCATATACCATCGAGAAGTGAGTAGGCTCCAGCGGCAAATGGTGGCGGGTTGGAGCTGTTTGGTTCCCCGGGATCCCTGGTGATCCTCCATTGGCTCCACTGGTCGACTACCGCGGCGAAGAGCTTAAGGGCTAATCACAGATCATCAAACACCTCACGCCCGTCGTCGAGGAGCTCCGCAAAGTCAAGTATGGCTGGGTACTGGCCATTCTGGGGCTGGTCGTGCTCAACTTCCCGCCGCTTATGGGGAGCGAGCTGCTCATGGTCGCGTGCGGCGTCGTTTGGGGCAAGTGGGGCTATCCCATCGTCGCGGTCGGCACGATTCTCGGCGAGATGGCCAACTTCACGTACGTAGGGACAGCTGTTTGGGAATCGGAACGAAGCTGACAGCCAGCGTCTGGAGCACCTGCTGCTCGGCCCGGGCTGAGAAGTTCTCCCGCAAGTCGCTGAACTATGCCTGTCTCCGGCGCGTCATTGATGACGGCGGCCTGTTCCCGGCTTGGGTCATTCGTATGTCCGCCCTGCCGACGCATGCGACGACGGTCCTCTTCGCTGTGTGCGGGTTTCCTGTGAGTCCCTCCTCCGTTTTCCCGTATGCCACGCTCCCTCCTTATCCCGGCCCCCTTGCTCCGGCCCCCTTGCTCCGGCCCCCTTGCTCCAGCCTTGTCATCCTTCAGCTGGGATGTCTACAGCCCAAGCTAACGCCCAGCCGGCCAAGTTCCTCCTCGCCATCATCCTCTCGCTGCCCAAGCAGTTCGTGGCCGTGTACCTGGGCGTACTTCTCATCAACGGCGACCAGACGGACACGAGTCGCATCCTCTCCCGCGCCGTAGTCTGCACCGGTGTCCTCTTCACCCTCGCCAGCTTCTGGTACCTCCAGAACTCGATGGTGGCTGTGCGCAAGAGCGTGATTCTTGGCATGCGCGCCGATCTCGCGCGAAGAGGCATCGTCGAACCGCCCCCGGACACGCCGCTCACACCCGCCCTGCACAGTCTTGGTCCTCACGCACCGGGGCCGCACACACCGGGAAGCCACGGACTGCACACACCAGCCCCCACGACGCCGGACACTTCGCACTTCCTCCTGACCCCAGAGACACCGACCGACCACAGGGACCACACGTAACACCTAGACCAACCAGAAGACCGTAGAAGAAACCATGATCGATCTGTATTTGTATGAGACTCTTGGACACTGTTGAAATGATGCATGCTATATTTAATGGGGTATCAATACAGGTCTCTGATCACAGAGTATGATATAACAGCCGTTGAGGCCGGAATTTTAGGGGGTTGCGAGTGTTGACTTAGAGGACGTTGACCTTGGGGAACTCGAGCTTGGGGCCGATCTGGCCGCAGCACATCTGGCCGAGCTTGTGGCCGACCTCGATGGCCTCGTTGAGGGTCTTGCCCTGGGCGATGGCGCCGAGGAAGCCACCGGCGAACATGTCACCGGCACCGTTGGTGTCGACAATCTTGTCGTCGGCGAGCTTGGGGACGGGGAAGACCTTGGGGTTCTCCTCCTCGGGCGAGAGGTTGACGGGCGAAGCCGAGGGCTGCGACGAGGCAACGAGGGTCGAGTCGGCACCCTGGGTGATGATGACGATGCGGGGGCGCGAGGGGTTGGACTTGGGCGAGGCGGCGAGGGCAGAGGCGATCTGGGGGAGCTGAGCGTCACCGAGACCAGCGGCCTCGGCGTAGGCGGCGGCCTCGGACTCGTTGCCGATCAGGATGTCGACGTGGGGGAGGAGCTGCCCAAGCTGGACCTTGAAGAACTGGGGGATGAAGGGAGCAGAGAGGTTGAGAACGACAGTCTTGCCCTTGGACGAGGCAGCCTTGGCGATCTCAAGGGCAGACTCGACACCGTGGGTGAGGAAGAAGCCACCGATGTAGAAGTACTGGGCGCCGTCGATGAGGGCGGCAACCTCGGGCTTCTTGAGGTGGTCGGGGGTGAACATCTCAGCGGCACGGAGGGTGGTGACGAGCGAACGGTCGTGGTTCGAGAGGATGACGGCGCAGGCACCAGTCTTGGCCGGGGCGGGCTGGATCTGGTAGGCCGAGATGACACCCTCGGTCTCGTTGACCTTGGAGAGGGTCTGGGTGAGGTCGTCGTCACCGACGGAGCCGATGTAGGCAACCGACTTGGGGGGGAGGACGTACTGTGCGGGTCAGTTTGGGCAATCGGGGAATGTTGTCACTGCGCCCCTCTATCACAGCCTTGCTGCGAACGGCACAGAAGGAAGACTCACGGAAGCACCACGAGCGGCATTCTGAGCGGCACCACCGGCGACGTAGGTCACGTCAGCGTTGGCGACAATGTCCTCGTAGATGGGCATGTGCTTCTCCTCGGCGAGAATGGCATCGTTGGACTTGAGGCCATACTTCTCGAGGTAGGCAGGGCCCTGCGCGGCAGAGACCTGGATGTCGAGCTGGACGTTAGCTTGAAGCCAAATCACGCTAGCTGTTGAGAGAGGCAGCTTTTGCACTGCTGCCTGCAGTTGACTTTATGACTGCAAAGAAGAACCTCTCCAATCGATCGAGCCATCCGAGGCTGATTTTTCATCGTGTCATCGTTGCCGGATGTTCAGCGTGCAGTGCCTAGCATGCAGCACGAACAGCATCAAGCACCACATATAGCAATCGCAAAGCCGATACTCACGAGGGGGTTACCAATGCAGACGACGGAGGGGGAAGCCATTTTTGAAGATTGTTGACGGAAAGTCTGGAAAGCCAACTTGTTCGGAAACGTGCATTATCTATGGCACGCCGCGTCCGGCCCTCGGTACCCAGACACCCCACGCCACGCTACGGTACGGCACCTTTCTGGCGCGCAGCTGCCGTGCGGCGGCTTGGCGCTCTGTGCGCACAGTGCCCCGCCAGGCTGGCTCTCCAGCGTCTCACCCCAGAAATATTTCGATTGCGTTTTTGGCAGTTTTTCTCCAGCGTTCTTCTGCACGTGGTATCTGGGGTCTCGCTTCTGGAGATCGAGAGATCGAGAGCGGAGCCCCAATCTCGACTCGGTCTCTTTCGACCACTGCTATTGTCCGAGCTTTCGACATCGCTTCCTTTGCCGCTTTCGATGTGCTCTACCGAGCTTCGCGACGACGACGAGAAGGGCAAAGTGAAGAGGGAATACATGCCGGCCAAGACACTCTTGATCTATGTGTGCCGTCATGGCCAGACGGACTAGTGAGCTGAGCTTCGATCGCCGGCTGACGACAGCAACCTCGAGGGCCGCATACAGGGCAACCTGGACATCCCGCTGAATGACCAAGGACGCACCGAGTCGCGCGCTCTGGCCGATTACCTCGCACCGATACCGTTCAAAGAGGCGTACAGCTCACATCTGAGTCGGGCGACAGAGGTAAGTCCCCCACCCCGCCCACAACGTGGGTGGCAAGAAGGAAGAGGCGCTAATGACAGACCGCGGACATCTGCCTGCGCGAGCACCCCGGATTGGAACTGACGAAGGACCCCGGGCTGCGCGAGCGTGCCCTCGGCAGTCTGGAGGGCAACATCTGGCTGGCGGGTGCCGACCTACCCGACGACTGCGAGACCAGAGAGGAGTGAGCTTCCTATCTTCCTCTATGAGCTGACATCAGTTTCCGTGCCCGTGTCGCCGTGTGGGTAAAGGGCTTTCTGGCCTCTCATGCGCCAAAGTATGAGCCGCCAGAACCCGCCGCCGCTGCTGGCTTGGAATCCTCCCCGGGACCGGAGGAGGAGCGCATTCTCATCATCTCGCACGGAGCGTACATCTCGGCGCTCTATGCCGTGTTGATCACAAAGTTCGGCTTCAAGAGCAAGAACGCGAAGCAGACCACGGGGTGCTCGAACACATGCATCATGCGCATTCGAGTCGACTACGACGAGGACGGCCGGTACAGTGGCGAGATCCTGAGCTGGAACGAGACGCCGCACCTCGGCAATGTGCGCGGGACGAAGAGCAAGGTCGACGACGACGTGCGGACGGCGTGGAGGTCCAAGATGAACTCGTAGCATAGATGTAACCTAGAAGCGTATGTAATGATAGATGGTAGTTCTGACTGAGTTCGTCGCGGCGACCATCGTTGGTGGCAAGTGAGGCGAGGGGCTGAACAGTGCCAAGAGAAGCGAGGGTGCATCCCCCGAAACACAGCGTGAACGCCTCCTCAGCCACGTTACGGATTCGCACTGGGGATCTTCTCGCCTTCTCGTGAGGGACTACCAGGGGTCACAATCGTGACTGTGGCGTCAGGAAGCTGATTCTGCATGTGACGAGCATGCGCATGCTGTGCATGTTGCCTCTTGTTCGTCCAAGTCATGTATGCCCCCAGCACATTGGTCCGTCCCAGCAAGCACTCGGAGGAATCCCCTCACATTCACAAGGGGAGACGAGAGGGCGGGGGCACGCGTCGACCCCGCCCTTCTCTTCCAGCTGCACACATTACTTACTGCTGTGCCGCGTACCCTGGTACCAAACCTCTGGGAGGTGATAAGGAAGAAGCGGTGTTGGTAGACTAAGGCTGTGCCACCCTATCCCTCAGGTGGCGTATTCTTTACTCTTCCAACGTGAGCTTGAAACGCCTCCTGACTTACTGCATGTGTGTGCTGCCCTTAGTGCGGCGATCCTTAGTGCGACCATCCTCAGTGTGTGGAACCGAATGTCTGCAGCTGGCAAAGGCCGGAATGCGGCGCCAGTTTCACTGGAATCAGCACAACGAACACACAGGACGAGACGGTCTTGTCAGCCATCATCTGTTCGTAAGCCACGGCACTTCGCCCTCTGGGTGACGGCTTAATCTTGGTCAACCGGGAATCATGTTGCTGCACTACAGGTTTATCCGTCAACGGCGACCGCATGTGCACATACAGGATCGAGAACGTGATCAGGTTGCTAAGGCAGGTCGGGGGTTGTGGCAGTCACGGCCAACGCACGTCTCAGTGCGAACTGCCAGGCCTAATTTTAAAACAGAGGGGGAAGCGCCACGGGTTCTTCGCTAATCGAGGCTAGTTCAAAGGTCCTCGTGAGGGGGTATTGCGGCCGGACGGGATGCGCAACCGAGTGGTTGAACCACTAGAGTCATCTTTTATGGTGTGTTCGTGGGCGCTGCTGGCGGTGCTACACGGACCTTTCTGTGCGATACTTTCGCCCTCGCGGCTGTGAGGAGGCGCTGCTGGCAAAACAAACTGACTGCGACAGTGGCCACCGTCGCAGGGGAACGAGAAGAAGATGAGGGAAGACCGCGAGGACTGCCATGTCAGTCTCAGCAAGTGCCACTCGAAGGTGCCACTCCCACCCAGGCAGCGTCTACGGTACGCTCATGTGCTCACGCATCTGAGGAAAGGAGACCCGAGACAATCGAAAGTGCAAGAGCCCAGAGGAAAGCCTGGAACGATCCCAGCTCCACATCCATCCATCTGTGCGTTTCTGACCCCCCTGCGCACGATGGAGCAGCGTTACGCCAGCTGGTGTTCCAAGCTCCATCACGCGCAACTCTTTTACTTCGTGGAGCGTCAAAATCCATAGTACGCACGCAAGTACGTGCGTGCATCTCGAAGTGCGTACCTGCCAGTACCTGCCCTCCCATACGAAGGACAGATAAGGAGGCAAGGCGATGCGCCGTTTCATCAGCGCACATGCGTATCGTCTTCGTCTGTCCGATGGGCCGCTGGAATGCAAGCCTCAGGCTACCACCACTGCGTGCTTTCACCAGATATCCCAGCGCCTGCGGCACGGAGCAGAGCAGAGCACAGCACAGAGCAGAGCACCGCCTACCGGCCGAGAGTGACAGAAGCTTAGCACGAAGCTCAGCAAGCTCGAGAAAGGCCCGAGGCACGTCCAAATCGCCCACTGAGCCTCTGGCATTCTTAGGTCAGTGCAAAACTGTATCGAGCACACACCCGGGTGCCTTCGTGCGTACGCCTAAGCGCCCGAGCTTCTTAAACTCGCCACGTTTCGGCGTGCGTACGTCCGCCCACACCCTCGCTCAAGGGCTGGAGGATGTCCAACGGAAATCGTCAAAGTTGATGCCGGCCGTGCTGAGCTTGTTCTCTCTTGGGCTGGCGTGCTGATCCCAGCCCGTGGCGTTGGGTGTTCGGTGAGTGTGCCCGCGTCCCTCCAGTCTCCTCTGTCCGACTACTGCTCAGCATCGCGCCCACACGGATAATTACCACGGATCCACAGATGAACACGACACGGTACGCACCGCACTGTCTCCGCACCACTCAAGCACGACCAAGCACGGCCCAGGCCCGCCCAGAAGACTTGGAATGAATGCATGCACCGCTCGTTCCCATGGATAAGAGATCTAGACGCTCGGCGGACAGACATGCATAATGCTGGACCATGAATGGGGTTTGCTCCAGCGGGAAGCAGAGTTACGTGAGCTGGACGGCCCACGGGCCGCCATTTCGACCGGCCTGGGCCACTCATTCTACCTGTCTTTGATGCCTTTCACCGTCCGAATTTCGGTTCCAGACAGACATCTGCGAGCATGGGAGCAATACCGCGAAGACTGGACTCGACTAGCTTACGAGCATGCTTACGTCCATGCAGGCAGATGTCCGTCCCCGATGAGAAAAACTCCCCGACAACCTGATCTTGGCGAGAGATCTGTCTTCCGTCTGTAGCCGTCGCTGTTGCTGACACTTCAGCCGGCGGGACGCTGGGTCCATTGACCAAGGGTTATAAGGGTCGGGCAGGCTTCAGAATAGTCTCGAGGACACGCAGACTCTGTGATGTTTACGGCCACTGGGCCCAGCCGGCCAAGGAAGAGAGGACGATCATCAATGAGCCACCAGCCCTTCCCGCGCCCCTCGACCCTGGGTTTAGGCAGAGCTGGCAGAGCTGGCAGAGCTGGCAGAGCTGCCGGCGCAAGGTCTAATTGGTATGCGGTCTTGGCTGGGCTTGGTTGAGGTCCGGCTCGCTTGTTGATGTCATAGCAGCCTCACCGGGCCGCCGGGACAGCCCAAGAGGGAAGTCGGCACCCTAAACTCCAACCCCTCCAATCGGACATTCAGTTGCGTGACCTTGCACGCGTCTTCATGACACACAAGTATGCCGGACAGACGCGTCGTCTGCTCGAATGCAGTGTGTCAGCCAGGTCTGTCTGACAGACACTGCGTTGGCTTATGACATCCTCGTCCTCCGAATTGCTCCCTCCGGATGCACACGATCCGGGACAGGGATGGAGAAAGGTCGGGATGCGGTGAGCCTGCCGCCACGCAGCTCTGGTAGAGCAGCTCGCACTACAGCTCGAAGGTTGGAGACTAGTTGGAACATGATGCAGCGCAGCGCAGCTCTTGTCAACATGAAGCAGACAGAACATGTGATGCTGCGCAGTATTGACTGGTAGCTATCCGTGCAATTTCGGTCGCGGAGCAAGGTGTCAATAAAAGCCATTTCAACGACGAAATGTGTTTCAGCCGGCAGCCGGAACGTACGGAACGTGTGGGATGCATTCACCTCGCGTCCGGCTCGTGTCTGTCTGGGAGCTGGGGTATGTCATTCCGGCCCGGATGCTTCTTCCCTCCCGCCTTTGGCCTTCCCTCCCCTGCCTCATGCCTCCGGGCTCCAAGCGATCATGCTCCTTCCGATCCTGTACCGGTCTTCCTAACACCACCTTTCCTAGCTGTTCCCGCTGATGGCTTGAACGTCTTGGAACGAACTCTGTTGCCTGTTCCACCGCCGAAGCGGCGGGTGCGTCTGGGTTCAGCTGGGTTTCGTGTACGAACGTCGCACCGCCAGTCTAACAGTGGTTCGTTTCGTGCGTGCAATCGGCTTGCGGCACGATGATGCCAAACGTGCGCTCCGAAACACACTGCGACGTCCTCAAGCACACGCGCAGCGCGCAGCGCGTAGCACTGCGACGACACATTTGCTGCCGCCGCAGAACAAAGTGGCCGGATGTGTATCCCATTCCGGCCCTCGTAACTCAAGGCACACCTTGCCCTCCCTCTGCGTCCACCGCATTACGGCTTCCTGCCCTCTCTGAGCTTTGCGTGTGGGCCGGCGCGTGTATCTTTAGCACCAGGCCGGGTCAAGAGCGGCCATATCATGACTCCCCATGCGAACAGAAGAATGACAGAGAATTGCAACAGGATGCAGAACAGTCAGAATAGGTCGCTATACCCCTCGGGTCGCTCCGATGAGTTGTTAGCTTGCCTAGCTCTGTCGGCATCAACAATCCATGCAGCGGCCGGAGGGGAGGGCATGCCTGACGTAAAATGAAGCCACACATTCATGCGTAACGGAAGGCGTCTCGCGGCGCTCAGTGGGCCTCGGTGGCGGCTTTCGAGCGTTGCTAGTTTCTCGCGGCACTCGTCATTGCGCTCATACTTGCATGCCTGCACAGAGCGCAACGCGCGCAGACTGATCAGAGTCCTAACAGAGTACCTCAGCGCATGCATGCTTGCATAACCTGCATGCACGTATGCACGTCCACCAGTGTCGACGTTGTGCAAATCACAGAGCTGTTTTTTCCGCTCTTTATAGAACAGGTGCCCAAGTGTTCAAGAGTCCAGAACCGGCGCGCGCGGTTCGACTGTCATGCCCCAATCAGGCAAGCTCGTGCAGGCCGAGCGGGCGTTCCGCTGTCGAGACCCTGGCGGCCTGGCGATAGCGGCCCTGCAGCCCCTGAGTTGGATTCGAACCCTAGGCATTCCGGTTTTGCATTCGGGGGGAGCACGCTCCATGGGCCATGGGCATACAGGCAAGGTGTGGACAGAGATCATGGGCCGCGGCGACCACGACAGCCACGACGGCCACGACGGTCTGGACGAAGAACAAGCTCACGCCCAGGTCCACAGGGGCCAGCAGGGCTCTGTCCTTTTGAGGGTACGAGGGTGGCCAGAAGGCAAAAATCGTGGTATCCTGACAAGTGTCCCGCGCGACCCGGACCCTGGGGTGCCCTCTTCCAAACCCTGGGCTGATCGTGAGATGCCTCGCGGGTCGGGGCGGCAAGCCCTAGCTTGTCTCGTCGGTTCGACGCCGCAGAACCCTATGGCCCTGGTGCCTGAGTCGAATGCTCATCCCGCAGTGCGCACGAGAGCCCAGGCTGGCCGCGCTCCAGCCAACAGACCAACTGTTTGTCTGGATCGAGGATGGCGAGGATCCCCCCGGCTGCTCTCGCGCAGGGAGGGAGACCCTTGGACAGCTCTCCCGGCCCATTGCTGCTGCTTTTCGCTACGTCGGTACCCCTATTAGCCCCCAGTCACACTCACTCTCTACTCACTCTGTACTGGCACACAGTTGAAATCCTAACGGCCTAACCGAGACACAACCACCGTCCTGCGTCAACCTGCTTCCCTCCCCCTTCACCCCTTCACTCCCTCACTCCCTGCACCCACCAACCCTCTCCCCCCAGCCCGGCCACCACCACCACCCACCACCACCGCACACTGCGCACCCCGCCGCGCGCTGCGTCTCTCCCTCCCTCTTCTCTTTCCTCTCCTCTCTCCTTTCCTTCCTCCTCTTCCTCTCTTTCTCGTCACTCATCTCATCCAAAACTCCATCGCTCCGCTCAAGGGCTGGAGGATGTCCAACGGAAATCGTCAAAGTTGATGCCGGCCGTGCTGAGCTTGTTCTCTCTTGGGCTGGCGTGCTGATCCCAGCCCGTGGCGTTGGGTGTTCGGTGCCTGGCCGCCTTCTCCCCTCCCTCCTCCCCCGTCCTCCCAACCGACAACATCCTCCCAGTGCGCCAGCAATCCCTTGCGACCCTCGCACGTCCACGCTCGTTCTTGATTCCTTCCGTTGTCCCTCCCCTGCCCCTTTCGTCTTCACCGCTTCAACTTGAGCCTTTCAGCTTCGACCTCTTTCTTCCCGGTTTCCCATCGTTCTCTTCCATTTCTTTCTTCTCGTTGCAGCAGCCCCATCGCCTCTGCGACCACCAACTTTAGAGTTCTTCCTCTTCCAACAAGCGCGCCTGCCAATCGCCCTTACTCCCCCCCCTCTTGTGACCCGCCATCGCTACGCCTCTACCTCCCGCCTAGTGTCCGTGTCAAGTGTAGCCTTTAACGCTGGATCAGACGCGTCGCCCACTTCACACAAACGGTCCCATCACTCAATCCACACGCGCCCGACGTTTTACCCCGACGCCGTCGCGTGTTTCTTTTGAGTGTGCACTTGTTCGCGTCTCGACAGAGCAGAACAAGTCTCTTTCATATCTAAACCGTTGACATCACTTGGCGCATGTGCTCGTTCACTGTCTAGATTTAGTGTCCTGTTGTCTCCCCTTGTCTTTTAACAGTGTCCCGAGTTTCTAGAACTGGTTGTTCGAATATGCCCGCTGGCCACGGCCCCTCCGCCAAGAAGGGCAGCGGCAGCAACTACACCCGCATGCTGACTGCCCTCCTTCTCGTCGTCGTCTCGCTTGCACAGGTTTCGGCCGCTGCTGGTGCGACGAATGGTGTCCGTGCAGTGAATTCTCGTAACCGCGTTGGATTCCGTCGTCAAGCCACCGACGAAGGTAGGTGCACGAAATCTCTTCCCGCACTATTGGTGGTCCTGTGCTAATTTCCAGGTTCGGACGGCAGCGACGCGGGATCCGCGCCCTCGACGGCCAACGAGGCTTCCGCCCAGAAGTCTACCGCCGACGAGTCCTCTGCTGTCACGTCTACCCAGCAGGAGCCGTCGTCGATTGAGCAGGAGACGTCCTCGGAGGCTGCCCCTTCGACCAGCTCGGTCGAGGAGACGACCTCTTCCTCGACGCAAGAGGAGCAGACCTCTTCCGAGACCCCGTCCCCTTCCCCTTCCCCCTCTCCCTCGCCTTCGCCCTCGCCTTCTCCCGAGCCGACGCCGTCAAGCTCGACCGCCGAGACCAGCTCGTCCACCGAGGAGTCGACTAGCTCGACCACTGAGCAGCAGCCCTCGACTTCTTCCCAGGAGCAGACCTCGACTTCGTCTGAGGAGGAGATTACGACTTCGACCGAGGAGCAGACTTCGACCTCGACCGAGGAGCAGACGTCCACTACCCCCGAGCCGTCGTCGTCGTCGTCTTCGACCGAGCAGAGCTCTTCCGCCAACGAGGAGCGATCGACGACCTCGACCGAGGAGAGCACGTCTTCGTCGGAGCAGGCTCCTTCCTCTACCGAGGAGAATTCTGCCTCGCCGGAGCCATCGTCGACTAAGGAGCAGGACAACGCTCTCGACCAGGCGTCTTCGTCGGAGAGCACCTCGTCTGAGGCTTCGTCTTCCGAGGAGGCCGCTTCGTCGACCGAGTCGCCTTCGCCTTCCACGACTGCTGAGGCTTCTCCTTCGACCTCTGCTTCTCCTTCGCCCTCCTCGTCCCAGCCTCCTTCCACCGCGTCGCCCTCTCAGAGTCGTCGCCTTCGTCTGCGCCTTCGTCTACCTCGCAGTCCGAGTCGACCTCTTCGAAGGAGTCTGTTTCCGACGAGGCGGCCGGTGTCTCGTCGTCGACCTCTTCCGAGACGCCCTCTTCCAGCTCGACTTCGGAGGAGGGTTCGTCGAGCCTGTCGTCGCGCTCCGAGTCGTCTGAGGGAACCTCTGCGTCCCCCAGCCCCTCGCCGAGCGCTTCGCCTTCTGCTTCTCCCTCGGCTTCGGCTTCTTCCAGTGAGGAGCCCAGCGCTTCGGCCTCCGCCACCAGCGAGCAGTCCTCCAGCGCTTCTCCCTCCGCCACCTCTTCCTCCACCTCGGAGGACGACGCCGCCCCCAGCCCTTCCGCCTCGTCGACCTCGGAGTCTGAGACCGAGACCAGCTCGTCGGGCTCCTTCACTTCGGAGAGCAAGTCCGCCAGCCCCTCGGCCTCGTCTACTGAGGAGAGCTCGGCCCCCGCTCCCAGCAGCTCTACTTCTGCTGAGAGCTCTTCCGCTTCTGGCAGCGAGTCGGTGAGCCCCTCGCCCTCTAGCGGAAGCTCGTCATCCAACAAGCCGTCCCCCTCCAAGTCCGCCTCGGCGACTGAGAGCGGCTCGAGCAGCGCGGATGCCGAGTCTTCGTCCACTTCTGAGAGTGGCACGACCGCTGTTCCTGTCCCGACGCCTTCGTCGTCGTCGGAGCCCGAGAACAGCTCCACCAACACCAGCTCTGGCCCGTCCTCTGAGAGCCAGGCCCCTAAGCCCTCGGCCTCGTCCTCCGAGAACAGCACGGCCAAGCCGTCGCCTTCCTCGGAGTCGTCGTCGCAGGGCTCCTCGGCCGAGCCTCAGCCCCAGAGCTCATCTGGGTCCGAGTCCACGAGCGGCGCCCCTGCTCCCTCCGCCACCTCGTCGGAGGAGCAGTCCGCCACTCCCTCGTCCAGCAAGAAGCCCTCGCCGGGCTCCTCGACCAGCGACTCTGCTTCGCCCGCTGGCCCTTCGTCCTCTGAGAGCCAGTCTGGCAACGCCCCCGCCTCCAGCGGCGAGAGCCAGAGCGAGCAGCAGAGCCAGCCCCCCCCGTCGAACACTGCTTCTGGCTCCGAGTCTTCGGCTGCCGAGCAGTCTTCGAATGCTCCTGAGCCCTCTTCCGCTAGCAGCACGACGGCCGTCGTTCCTGTTCCCACGAACGAGCCCTCGTCCTCGGCTTCCCAGGGCTCTTCGGAGCCTTCGGCCCGTCCCTCGTCGGCGATGCCTACCCAGTCTGGTGCCTCTCAGACTCCCTCTGGATCTGAGCCCTCCGCCCAGCCTACTGCTTCGCCCTCGCCTTCGGCCTCCAACCCTCCTCCCTCGGGCTCTGAGGGTCCCCAGCCCTCGTCCTCTGTTTCCGAGGAGCGTTCCGTCTCCGAGGGTCCTTCGGCTTCCCAGTCGGCCCAGCCCTCTGGCGGTTCCGAGACCCCCTCGCAGACCTCGTCTGAGGGACCTGCCCTGTCGTCCGACGGTGGCGTTCCCACTTCGGCCCCCGAGTCCGCTCAGCCCACCGCTTCCCCCTCCGGATCGGCTGCTGAGTCCTCGACTTCCGGCGGCGTTGTTGTTCCCGGAGGTTCCTCGCAGGAGCAGAGCGAGTCGGCCACGCCCTCCGCTGGCCCCTCTGGCTCTGCCGAGCCTAGCCCTTCCTCGTCTGGTCAGGGTGAGGCTTCTGGCTCCATCAGCGGCGAGCCCCCCATTACGTCGGGTGAGCCGACGTCCTCGGCTGGTGTTGAGCCTTCCGTCACTGGCGAGCCCTCCAACTCTGCCGAGCCGACTGCCACTCCCTCTGGCAGCGAGTCGGGATCTGCTTCTGCGTTCCCGACTTCGTCTGGTCAGGAGGTTGGTCCCTCGTCTGGTGTTGAGTCTGGCACCCAGAGCGCGTCTGTCTCCACCAGCGTCACCCCCGAGGGCTCCACCACTGTCATCGTGAACCCTCCTGTCACCGGTTCTGCCTCTGGTTCGGCTACCCCGAGCGCCACTGACATTGTCACGTCCTCGGGCCAGCAGGGCAACAGCGCTTCGGCTACGCCTACGTCGAGCGGTGGTGACTCGCAGTCTACTGCTGAGAGCTCGCCCTCGCCCGACTCGCCCAAGGGTTCGTCGCCTTCGCCCTCGGAGGACGCCGCTACCACTGCCTCGCCGTCCCCGTCGTCGAGCAGGGTCGATGCCTACACGCCGACCCAGACCAACCTCGTCATCCAGACGTACACGCCGTCTTCGTCCAACGAGCCCAGCAGCGCCACCAACACGCCCTCGCCTACGCTCCAGGCTCCCGCGATCCCGTCCAACGTTGCGCCCAGGATTGTGCCTCAGGGCAACGAGCAGCCGCAGCCGCCCAACACGGCCCTCATCTCGATCCTGCTCAACCTGAACACCCTTCCCTGGTCGTTCGTCTACGGCAACCCCGAGTCGCAGTCGCAGATCTTCATCGCGTTCCCCAAGCTGCTCTCCAATGCGCTTGACATCCCCATCACGGACGTCAGGAACGTTGCTCTGCAGATCTACCAGCCCGCGGGCAAGTCGGACCAGTTCGGCACCCAGTGGCTCGGTTACATTCCGCAGGACCAGTTCAGCACGCTCGAGGCGTACATCTCTACCCCGTCCTCGCCGCTGTACAACCAGACTGGTCTCGCCGGGCAGGTCGCTGCGCAGATCGACCCGTCGTACCCCATCACTTCGTACATGAACAAGCAGGCCCAGTCCAACCAGACTGCCCACACCGAGGCGCAGAACGACAAGCGCAAGCGCAACATCATTATTGGTGTGTGCGTTGGTGTCGGTGGTGCTCTCTGGGCCGCTATCTCTATCTGGATCTACAAGCGCCTCAAGCGCTCCAACGAGCGCGCCGTCAACAAGCGTCTGTCCGAGCACATGTCCATGTTCTCTGGCCAGAGCGGCGGCGCTGCTGCCAACCCGTTCCAGGACAACCGCCGTGTGTCGGCCACTCCCTCCATTGCCGCGTCCGAGATCGACTCGCGTCCTTCCTCGTTCTACGCGTCGCCTCTGGATAACTACCCCGCCATGCGCCGCCGCCAGGTAGAGACCTACTACTCTGACCAGGCTGCTGCGTCTGGCGCCGGTGGTGCCGGTGACCAGTCGCCCACGTCGTACGTCAACTCTGTGTTTGGCACCTCGTGGTTCCAGAACTCTACCTATGGAGGAACCACGGGCCACTCGCAGACTGGCCACTCTGCGCACGGCTCATCGTCGCCCAACCCCTTCGATGACGTCTATGCTCGCTCGTCGCCGAGCCAGCAGCGCATGTCTCTGCGTCCTCAGCGTCGTTCTATCCAGAAGACGATGATCTCGCAGCCGACGCTCCAGGCCAACTCGCTCGAGTTCAACGAATACAACGGGTACCCATAGATAGATCATGTGTAAATCACAGGCGCGGCATCGCCTCTTTAATGACGGACAATCAATCTTTATATAGTATATGACTTTTTCCCCCATCCCCATTGCTTTGCCGAGTCTGGTGCTTTGCAAGCAACTCCCCTCCCCTCCTCCACCCCTACTCTACCGTAGATTCTCCCACCCCCTCTCCATCACCTCAACCCCACACCCGCCATGGGCACCGGCACCGGTCCCATCGCATCGGATTCCCCAAGGGCACCCCGGCATTACTCCCCCGCGTTGGCAGGCGCGACACGCTGGAACGTGTATTCCGACCCGACTACCCCCGGTCAATTCAACCTTTTGACCACCCATCCGATTATTAAATGGCTGGCCATAATTTCTAATCTTTCCCCCCCCAACCCTTTCCCCTGTTAGGTCTTTTTGGTTGCGATGCATTGCGTCGTATTTAGCAGTCAAGCAGCGCGAGCGAAGCGAGCGGTGCGCATAGATCAGCGAGCGACATGAGAGAGTGGCGTGGTCAGGAAGGAGAGACGTTAGTGTGACGGCCGTGCAGTGAACGCGAGCATCTGTCGCAGGAAGGTCTTCATCGCCACTTGACGTTTGACGGTGCCAAGGGCGCCAATGGGGAATATCGAATATCAACCAAGACAAGACTTGGGCCATGTGATTGACACTGCGCAGCAAGTTACAGGCACGTCTTTGCACCGAGGAGAACAACCGGTACAACGGATCTGGAGCGATGAGCGAATCGCAGATCCAATGGCCAAGCCAAGAGAAAGTCTTTGCAGTTGTGCGCGAGGAGCGTAGATCAAGGGGCTCAGCCAACCTCGTTTGGCCAGCCTAGTGTGCGCAGTGTTGGAGACCGTAGGTCGGCTCCGGGTGGCTGTGGAGCAGCATTTCATGTCTTCTTCACCGCTCAAGACGAGCATAAGGCTATGAACTGTTCGGATGGCGTCCATCAGTGAGAAGACCGTGGTGACGGGTCTGTGCATGCCCGTGACTAGAGTTATGGTCACGGCGGTGCGAGCAGCTTCGTTCGGTGGCCCCCATGGCCCATGGCCCGGTAGAATGACGCACTACTACATATGTAGTAGTGTTTGTTTAGAGTTGGCCCTTCGAGACCCTAATTGCGAACCCACCGAAGTGATTTATATCCCGGTAAAACCGGAGTGTACGGAGTGTATACGGCATACGGCACTCTGTCCGAGTCCACCACTGTACCACTTCCACCCGTTCTGTGTCCATCCGTGTTTCCCGCCGATCCTTCCATTGCCCCGCTTGCCCGCTGCCTTGTAACCTCGCTTGCTCATCTTGTTCCACGATTCCAACAACTTGCACCGCGTACCCTCCCCCACCCACTCAGCAACGCAACGCCGCACGCCGCACGCCGCACGACGCCGCAACCTCAACGCCCTGACCCCGCCCGCCCACACCGCCCACCGCTCGACCCCTGCGTGACTTGACACTTGACAGGACTGGTGTCTACCACTTTCCTCGTCTCACAAGAGAGAAAGAAGAGTGTGCGGATGCCGCGCGACGCCCACTCACACGCCCACCGCGTCGCGGCATACCCCGCCCACGCACCGAAGCGGCATCATGGGGACGACCGAGGGGAGCGGTCGTCGTCTCCAGCCCGGTCCTCATCGTTACGGCGGCGGGGCTCAGCCAATGCCGCTGCTGCGCGTACATGTCATGTATGCATTCACACCCATTACTTGCTGCGGCGACCATGTCTGACACGGCGCAGTGGCTGTGGCTGAGACGTATGGGCGTCTGTATACCCGAAGCACGCCGAGAAGGTGCGGCGTTGCTTTTGGGTGGGACGGTGGCTGGCGGATCTACTCTTGTCCTGCCGCGGCTGCTGACTGCTTTAAACTGTCAGCAGAAGGGCTTGGGTGTGGGAAGAGAGTAGGTGAGGGAGGGATACCAGACGAGGACGAGGAATGTCGGCGGAGAGCAGAGATCTCCAGACCCGGGGTGCCCAAGTCGGAGACCCCGCTGTACGGAGTGTATACGGCATACGGCACTCTGTCCGAGTCCACCACTGTACCACTTCCACCCGTTCTGTGTCCATCCGTGTTCCCCGCCGATCCTTCCATTGCCCCGCTTGCCCGCTGCCTTGTAACCTCGCTTGCTCATCTTGTTCCACGATTCCAACAACTTGCACCGCGTACCCTCCCCCACCCACTCAGCAACGCAACGCCGCACGCCGCACGCCGCACGACGCCGCAACCTCAACGCCCTGACCCCGCCCGCCCACACCGCCCACCGCTCGACCCCTGCGTGACTTGACACTTGACAGGACTGGTGTCTACCACTTTCCTCGTCTCACAAGAGAGAAAGAAGAGTGTGCGGATGCCGCGCGACGCCCACTCACACGCCCACCGCGTCGCGGCATACCCCGCCCACGCACCGAAGCGGCATCATGGGGACGACCGAGGGGAGCGGTCGTCGTCTCCAGCCCGGTCCTCATCGTTACGGCGGCGGGGCTCAGCCAATGCCGCTGCTGCGCGGCGTAACGGCGCCTCGTCCAATGGCGCCGACCACTCCCACGACTTCAGCTACGACCTGACCTCCGACCCGGAGTCTAGCGGAGCAGCGTCGAGCTCCCCGTCTCATAAGAAACCGGCGCGGAGCGCGACGCAAATGGCCGGCGAGGATCTGTACATCCGCTTGAATGATCGGGAGGACTTTTGGGCCGAGCTTGAGGCTTTGCTCGAGTTGCCGGAGGGATGTGACCTCGTCATGCTCGATAACACCATCAGGATGTTTGTGACGATCTGCGGGGCTTATCATGGTGAGTTTGCAGGAGTGGTCCGGCAGAAGTGGATGGAGTGGGTGGTCGCGCGACCACTCCGTACTGCCTGCGGCGGGATAGTGGAAGACAGCTGCTCGGCAGTGAGTGCTCATGCTGACAACCAGACCGATACCTCCGGGATCAGCACGAGATGAATGTCGCGATCGACCTGCTCCTGAGCTCCGAGCTCTTCACGTATTACCGCGAGCGCATGGTCGGGATCATGATGGGCGATGCGCAGGAGGTGAGTCAGCTGGAGACAGCTGAAGATGGCGCTCGGAGCTGACTGGGCAGAACACGAACCCGCACGAACTGTACATCTGGTACCACATCATTCTGAACTATGGACACAGGCATCCGAGCCTTTTCCGGAGCCACAGGAGGTGGTACAAGCTGCTGCCGACGCTGGGAGAGGTCGTGGGGATGGACTACGAGGAGGTGAGTTCTGTCTTCTGGCCAGGTCACCGGTCGCTCGCTACCTAGTCACCAGTGGCTCGCTACCGCTCGCCCGCTCGCGACCCCGCTGACACCCAGAACTTCATTCTCGGCCTGCCCTCCATCGAGACCCGCTTAAGGCTGCCCGCAACCAACCTGATGTACGAAGTGTGCCGGGTCCAGCGGCTGAACGAGAGCGAGCTCGCCATCTTCGACGACCGGTTCATCGACCACCTGTTCGACCTCGTCGAGACGACGCGGAACAACCAAGACGAGTCGCTGAACTGGGCTGTGATCCGGCTGATCTGCGCGCTAAACGAGCAATTCATGGTTGCGACGCTGCCAAAGAAGAAGGTCAACACGGCGAGTACGCGAGACCTGCCGAGTTTGGCGGAACACGACAGTCCCGAGCGAGCCGTCCGGACGCGGGCACACAGCGCATCCCCGGCACCGCACAGCCAGGTCCTCGAGGACGACGGGAAGAAGCACAACCGCGTGCTTGTGGTCCTGATGCGACGGCTGGGGAGCAGCAAGACGTTTGGCGAGAACGTCATCTTCATGCTGAACCGGAGCGAGAACACGCAGACGGGCCTCTGCCTGAAACTGCTCATCCTCAAGATCCTCTACCTGCTGTTCACGACGGAGGGCACATCCGAGTACTTTTACCTGAACGACCTGCGCGTGTTGCTCGACGTGTTTATCCGTGAACTCGTCGACCTGGACGAGGACCACGAGGCCCTGCGGCACACGTACCTCCGCGTACTCTATCCACTCATCGCATTCACGCAGATGAAGCACGACCCCTACAAGCGCGAGCAGATCAAGCTCGTCCTCCGCTCCCTCGTCGGCAACCAGCACTTCAAGGACGTGAACTTGACGACGAAGCGGCTTGTGGAGCGCTGTCTCCGGCAGGCCGAGGCTCCGCTCGAGGAGCTCTGCCTCGGAAGCGTGAAGGATGCGCTGCTCTCGTCCGGCTTCGGGGGTCCGGGGGAGTTCGACAGTCCCGTGGACGTTGAGGCCGGGTCGTCCCCCACCTTGAACCGAACAGCGAAGGAGAAGAAAGTAGGCTCGATGGACAGCTACGAGGCGACGACGCGCGCGCGGCTCGGTGTCCCCAGCAGTGGGCCTATACGCAACTCGTCCCTCGTCGATCTGAGCAAGACGCTCGAGGAACGAGGCGACTCCGTCACGCCCCTCGATCGCAGCCAGACCAACACCCCCACAGAACGGAAACCGAGACGCAAAGCGCCCGCTCCACCCGCCGCTAAGCGGAAACACTCGGTCACGAGCACTACCAGCAGCGCCAGCGTCGTTAGTGACGGCCCGAGCGGGTGGATCACCTTCAGCGCGTAGGCCACCGCCGAGCGCGCAGCGCGAGGTCGTTGGATCTTCGACGTGCGGGCGAAACAGCGCGAGAAACCAGATCTACCGCCCCCCCCAGCCCTACCAGCGGCCCCGGCCGTTACCCCATATTCTTGAATCATCAGAGCTAACAGTTGTACATGTCATGTATGCATTCACACCCATTACTTGCTGCGGCGACCATGTCTGACACGGCGCAGTGGCTGTGGCTGAGACGTATGGGCGTCTGTATACCCGAAGCACGCCGAGAAGGTGCGGCGTTGCTTTTGGGTGGGACGGTGGCTGGCGGATCTACTCTTGTCCTGCCGCGGCTGCTGACTGCTTTAAACTGTCAGCAGAAGGGCTTGGGTGTGGGAAGAGAGTAGGTGAGGGAGGGATACCAGACGAGGACGAGGAATGTCGGCGGAGAGCAGAGATCTCCAGACCCGGGGTGCCCAAGTCGGAGACCCCGCATCCCAGGTCAATGCCGGCTGATCTCGCGGTATTACCGTGCGGCGAGGCGTCACTGGTTGGTCTGGGCTGGGCGACGCCCGACGAGGCCTCGCCCGACATCTGGAGACCCAGTCGTCGATCTGCATATCATCTTGCTCATCATTGCATCCCATAACTCCATCCTCACTGCCTGATCGACTACTTCTCCGTCTGAACGGCAAGGAGAAGCGGTTGTCGGCAAGCTCCGTTACGCGGCCCCCACCATTCTCCCGCAGAGAATCCCCGCAACCTCTCCCGCGGCGACTCCAGACTCCCACTTCCCCACATTCGTCACCCCCGCCTTGCTTCGTTACACTTCACCCCCCTCCGCCGCCCTCCTTCCCACTTCAAAACCCCGCCCCTCCTCGATATCCTCGGACCCGGAACAGAGGAACACGATGCTCGGCGAACTCCCCTCCGAGGTGCTTGCGGCCATCGCAACGCATCTCATCATGGACACGGGCGGCCCCCCCGTCGACCTAATCTGCACGTGTCGGGGCGCCTGTCTAGCCCTCAGTCCATCGACAAACGAGGGCCTGTATGCGGGCGTATTCCGGCAACTCTACGACACAGGCGCAGTCGAGCGACGGCTGTATGCGCTGGAAACAGCCCTGCCCGAAGTCTCGGGCAAGGGCAAGGCCAAGGCGGGCACGGTTCCGCCGAAACAGGTCTCTGCCGTGCCCAGTATTGCGAGTCTGCAGGTCGCGCTCGAGGAACCGCGCGCACCCTTCATGTCTGCTGCCAGCTCCGCCGCTATGACGAGAGATAATAGCAGAGGTCTCGGGGCAAGTGCCAAGATGCTCACTGCCGAGCTACGCAATCGGTTCCTCGCGTTTAGAAAGTTGAGAGAGGGCAGGATCGACGAGCAGGCCATGTGGGTCGTGTACCTGATGCTGATTGAGAATGGTGAGTAAGGAGTCCGAGGCCGCAGGCCGAGGACTGTTCGCCTGCTCGTTCGGAGGGCTCTCATGAGGACTCTCACGGCGAGGGGAGGACGACGGCCACGACAGCCCTTCAGGCCACCCCCGCTGACACCACAGACGGCAAGAACCTCGCCCACCTCGTCCCGCCGCTTTCTTCTCAGGGGGCCGACATTCCCGCCCTCATTGCGCGGTATCACGCCTCGAAACTTGCTATCCTCGACGCGTACCCGCCCCAGACGCCGACGGACGCGCTCGTCATGTGGTGTGCGTGGTTGCTCGATGAATATAGTGAGTCATCTTTCGGAACATTCGACCGGACATCACTCGCTCGCTGCGCTCGCTCGCTAACTCGCAGTGACAAACACGACCCCGGCAGCCATGCGCCAGCTGCGTCCGTACGTCTTCGCGGCCCAGGAATACGACATGTTCTTCGCGCCGTGGAACCTGCGTCGTCTGCCTCTTCCCGCGAACCGGGGCTCGATACCGGCCATTCCGGGCCCGTTCACGGTGAACCAGAATCCAGAGGACCACGCAGTGACAGTGAGCTACTACGGGAGCGAGCTGTCGCTGCGGCCGCCAATGCTCGCGCACGCGGCCATGCTGCGTTTCTTCACGAACCAAGACTGCGGCTTTGAGCCGGGCACGTCGCCCACGGCCTCCCCGACGTTTCCGCAACCACACACGATCCCGACGCCACCTTCCACCGCTCCGTCGTCAGTCTCAATGTCATCCAAGAGCTCGGCCGAGCTGCGCACGCTGCCGACGCCCGTGCTCGAGTCCTCGGCGCATGACGCGGATTTCGACAGGCTGTTGAGATGTACGGACGGCCGGGCGAGTGAGGGCCGCCGGCTGAAGGACTGGCACGGCCAATTCGCCGGCGCGTGGGAGGGCACCTTCACGTTCCTCGACTTTGACGCGTTCCGGGACATGCTGCTGCACGGGCACAGCCGGGCGATTTACGACGGCGCATACGGCGAGCAAGCGCAGGTGTGGAAGTTGCGCGAGACGCTCGTGCGGCCCATTCTGGCCACGCGCGCGCCGTCGCCTGTCCCCGGCGCCTCGACTGCAGCAGCAGCAGCAGCAGGAGGGGGAGGGGGGACGGACACCCCGAGCGAGGACCGGTTCGACGGGTTCCCCCTCCACGGCCCAATGACGAATGCAGGTTTCCCAGACCTACGCCCATTCCTGTCCGACCCGCTCAGTCGCCGAGCGCCAGGACAGAGTCCAGAGGACGCGATGATTGACGACGCGGTTGCGCGCCAACTCTCCGCTTTGCACGGGTACGAGGCTGTCGAGGCCTGCGACGTTGCCAGCGCCCTCGAGCATGACGACCCAGAGGCCTTGTTGCTGCTCACAGGAGTCGGACATTCGGCCTGGGGCCGGTTCTACATCTCGGGATACATCCGGCAGTGGGACGGTCTGGCCTACCTCGTCAAGGAGTACAGCCCCTATCAGCGGGGCAAGTGGGTGTACCGCGGCTATGTGCTCGGGGGGGACACTATGGTCGGCCGGTGGCGGGATACCTTCACTGCGGAGGAGTATGTGGGCTACGAGGGGACTTTTGTGCTCAAGAGGCGGTCGGAGGGATAGGCCGCCGAGGAGCGCAGCGACGAGGCGTGGTCTCTGTCCCCTTCTCTTGTCAACCTCGTGAGGCTTCCTCAGCTCGCTGCTCTTGGAGGCTCGGGCAGTGATCCCCACCCCCCTCTGCCCAGTTGAGAGTAGACGTCTAGAGATCTGGTAGCTCGCTTCGCTCGCTCGCTCGCTCGCTCGTCCCGCTCGCCTCGGCGACGTAATCTACACATACGATGCATAAATGACACATGGCTAGTCATAACTTCTACCTTTGCTTCTATCTTCAGATTAGCTAAACTCCAGGTGACTCTTCGTCCCAGGCCGCCGAGCTCTGCGACATACGAGCTCGTCAGCCCTCCAGCTCTCCAGCCCTCCAGCCGTCCAGCCCTCCAACCCTTCAACCATCCAGCCCCTCACCCCTTACGGCTCCTCGGGCCTCTCGGCCCTCAGAGAAAACTAAAGGGGCAGCCGGCCCGCACGGAATACAGACTGTGTCGCAATCCTCCTAGCCTGGTCGAGGCTGATAGCCTCGCGCCTGAGCTGCGTGCCTTCGTCCTCGTCATCGTCATCGTCCTCGGCCTGGCCGCGCATAGCCGCGTTGGCGAGGGGTGTGCGCCCCGCCGCACCAAACATGCCCCCGCCAGGACCGGTGGGCACCATTGGGGCGCCAAACACGCTCGCGCCAGCACTCGCGCCAAAGGGCTTGAAGTCGGCCACGATCTTGCGGCTCGGCGAGGTCGCCGCCGCCGCCGTGGGAGAGGTGGAGAGGGCGGCGGCGGGGGGCTTCTCGGGCGATGCGTCCCCGGATTTACGACCGGTACGGGGGGGAAGACGGCCGCCGGGGGTGTACTTGAATCCATGCGAGATGTTGTTCCGGCGGAACTTCTCGGTCAGACGGCGGCCGGACACGGGGAGGATCTGCGAGGCCGCGTCCGAGATGTACGTTGCGTTCATCCAGGTCAGGACGTTCTTACGGCTGTTGTCGGTTTGGATGTAGACGTCGGGGAGCTGGACCTGCTTCGTTTGCTCGTTACGAAGGAGCAGGCGCTCGTGGAGTTCCCTGGATGTCAGCTAAGTGTCACCGAAGCGCAGCCTGAATGTGCGACACAGGGATGAGAAAGGAGAGGCAGGGTGACTTACTGGGCAACCTCCTCGACACTCTGCATGCTCTCGCCCTTCTCCTTGATGCGCTCTGCGACCTCGCGGCCGATTTCTGTTGTCAGCTCTGGATCGTATTTGATCAGCAGCAGACTCACCAGCAATCAGACGCTCCATGTCCATGTTCTCGAGAACCGAGCCCACAATCGTCATCGCGAGCAGGTCCGCCGTCGTCAGTGGCATCATGACGCCGGACGTCATGTTGCAGATGGCCGTGAAGAAGTCGACAGCGCGCTGGGGTCAGCTTCATCCGAGACCACAGTGTAGCTCCGGCTCACTGAGTAGTTCGACAGCGTGTCCTCGCAGGCGACCATGAACTGCGGTTAGCTAAGCAGAGACTCCCCCAAAGCTTACAAAGGTGATGCCGTGCTGCGCCATCGTGCGCGCGATGACGAGCGGGTCGTGCCCGTCGGGGTCGCCCTGCTTGATCTCTGTTTTGTCAGCTCGACGGCACCAATCGAAGAGCTGGCCGCAAGCATGCTTGTTTGCTTCGCCGCATGCATGTACTCACGATCACCGCTCTCGCCGATACCATGGGGCGGAGCGTCTGCAATGAGGACGACCATGCGCGCAGCCTCGCGCCGCCACTCGAGCTCGGTCAGGCACGCGGCCATGCCAGCCGTGACAGCCTCAGGACCGTCGCCACCGCCCGCCGCTGCGGATCAGCATTTACATTCGTCACTCAGAAACAACGAACCAGTGAGACCCTTGAGGTACTTTTGCACGTCGGCAATGTCGCTCGTGAACGGGTTGAACTTGTACACGTACGTGTTGTCCTGCGGCTTGTGGTCGCGGTAGTTGACCACCTGGGGTCAGATGGGCAGTCTGGCTGTGGACTTACGGCAACTCGCAGGTCGTCTGCGCCGTTCAGCCCCTCCTCGCCGCGGATCATGTCGCAGATCGCGAAGATGTGGTCTCGCACAGAGTTGATGTAGCGCTGCATCGAGCCGGTGCAGTCGAGCACGAAGACGAGGTCGCTGGAGTCAGCTATCGCAGAAATACATAAGCCAGCTGAGTCAGTGTCCACTCACATGCACTTGCCCATGTGCCCCGCATTGTCAATGTACTTGACGTCGTAGTGGGTGACGGGCTCGGCCTTGGGCGGGGTCGCAGTCGCACTCGAGTTGTAGCTCGTGGTGAAGTACGGCGAGTAGCTCGAGTACGAGTAGGTGTGCCGCGAGGTGTCCTCGTACAAGTCCTCGTCCATTGTCGAGAGGGTGGCTGAGAGAGGAAGTCTTAGGAAGGCAAGTGTATCTGCCGTGAGATGAGCTGGGATATGGGCGGGTGTGAGAGGAGACGAGTGACGTGACGGGCAAAGGTCACTGCGTGTCTGTGTCTGAGGGGTCTGGGGGGCGTTGCGTGAACTGAGCCTGCGAGACGGGAGGTGCGAGGCTGCGAGGGGCGCGAGGGGAGAGAGGATACGACGGGAGAGATCGGTGCTCCTCAGGTGATGGGTGGCGGGGACGTAGGAGCGGGTCGGGGTGTGAGCAGTCCTCTCTATGCCGTGTCTGGGTGTGCGTGTCGAGTGTTGTTTGTTGGGGGGTGTCTGTGGAAGAGAGAGGGGGGGGGGGGAAGAGGATCGAAGTTGACCGAGCGGCGGCGATGGCGGCGCAGTGAGTGAGGTGTCGGGTGGTGGTATGCCGCACGGATGTCGCAGCACTCTCCTCCGTCCTGGCTCGGCTTTCTCTGGCCCCCGCCACGTGAAATCCAAAAGGAGACTGGGTCCCCCGCATTCTTCAGGAACAGATGTGCCTGGCATGTGGTAGGCACGCGAGATCTCTCTGCCACCTCTTGACGCGCCTACTCTGCTATCTCGTCGTCGTGTGTTGACGGGTTGCAGCGTGTGAGACTCCGTGCCTGAAATCGCGAGACGTCAACAATTCAGTCCACCAAGCCGGGCGAGTGCTGCGCGCAGTCCACCACCCAGAGACACCAGACCCGTGACCCATACACACACACACACACACACTACTGCCATCACGCAGCGGCAGTAGCACCATCTTTTGGCCACTCGACATCAACAACAAAACACTCTCAACTCTTACTCTGCTCGACCACTCCCTTCCCTCCTTCCCTCTCTTTATCCTATCTCTTCCCCCCTGGCCACGACGTGACCCGTGACTCGGCGCGTTCCGCAGCCATCACCTCTCTATTTGCACTGCACGACCTCTAACGACTACTTGTTTCCGTGTCTTTTTCCCCCAAAACACTAGTCTTGATCTTTTGCCCCCTCCCATCACACATCGGTTGGTTTCAAGCCACCACCACTCCCAGTCACCACTCTTCCGGTCCTCACCGCTCTGTCTCCAGACGCTGGTGCAGCCCCAAGTCTGTCGAGTAACTACTGGTCCAAGCGTGCCGTTGCCGCGCCGCTTCACGACACACTTTCCTTCAATAATCCAACCGCATCGCGCGCACCCAACCACGACCTTTTCTTGACCATCGTTGAAGCCGAACTTTGAAGAAGAGCCAGCAGCGCCGATAGCAATGTCTCGTCTTCCTACCTTAACAACGACGCCGAATCGCTCGCCGGCGCCGATGCCCGCCGCGACTGGCATCCCTACCCCGACATCTCGCCGACCGCGAAACTCGCTGGGTCCCAACGTCGCCGGTGCTAACCCGAGCCCGCGCGCGGACGACACCGAGAGGGAACAGGCTCTGAAAGATGTCCTTCGACGGAGACCGCCGTCTGCCCTCGGCAATGGCTCGGACGCCGACTCCCCCAGTCTCGAACGATCATTACAGGCTCCTCGCACTCTCCGGCCGAAGACGCCGAACGGTGCGGCCAGTGGCCTCGCGACCCCCTCCTCTCGCCCTGGCAGCAGGCCATCGCTGAGTGCACGGACAAGTTTATCTGCGTCCTCTGTCGGGCCTAGCAGGCGCACGTCCCTGGCCGCCGCGGCTGTGACCACTCCGACTTTTAAGCGTCCAGAAAGTCGAGCCGGCGGAAAGTGGTCGCCCGCCGTCGGAGACCGTGTTCGTCTTCCCAGTCACGGCTTCGAGGGCACCGTTCGCTACCTCGGCGAAACCCACATACGCGACGGTATCTGGGCTGGAGTGGAACTCGAGGGCCTGTTTCAAGGCAAGGGACGAAACGATGGAAGTGTCGATAAGTGAGTGGTATGTTCGGGACATGAACTGACAGATCGCAGCGTCCGATACTTCGATTGCGCTCCTAACTGTGGTATCTTCGTGCAAGCGGAGAAGCTCGCCCCGCCGACGTCAACTATGGCAAGTAGTACTTCTCGCCCTGCGTCCGCCGCCAGCCATCGATCGAATTACTCGCAGAGCGGACGAATGACACCCTCCCAGTCTGGACGGATGACACCGTCACAGAGTGGACGAATGACACCCTCGCAGAGCGGGCGCATGACCCCTTCGCAGAGGCGCGCCATGACTCCCAATTTTGGCCGCCGGGCGGACGATGACAGCTCAACGTTGCGCTCAAACGCGGCCCGTGCTGCAGAGGCCAAGATCACTGCGGGATCAAGGGCGAGCAAGTACATTGGTGTAACGGCCAAGCAGCTCGAAGCCAAGAGCGGCGCTGGGCTGGCGTCGAGCACGTCCGGCATTGCGACTCCGAAGGCGAGCAAGATTGGCGTCCCGTCGACGACGCCGATCAGCCGGGCGCGGCCCAGCATCGGCGGTGCACTCGCGACACCAAAGGCACGCGGTGCCCGACCTAGTGTCGTCGGAGGAACCGCGGCCGAGATGATGCCCCCGCCGCCATCACCGCAGATCAAGCAGCACCCTAACGCGATCCCCAACACACAGGCTCTCGAGGAGGAAATCAAGGAGCTGAAGCAGCGGAATGCGGAGCTTGAGGCGGCCAACGAAGCGGCCGAGGCCGCTGCCGCTGAGGCGAAGGCTGCCGCCGCCGAAGCCAACGAAGCTGCTGAGGCGGCCAAGTCTGCGCCTGCTCCTGAACCTGCCGAGCCGGCCGAGGACCACTCGGCGCGGCTAGCGGAGCTCGAGGCGGAAGTCAAGGCCGCAAAGGAGGAAGCCGAGTCTCTGCGGAAGGAGCTTGCGGAGTCAAGTGGCAGCGCGGCCGACAGCCGGCGGCAGAGCGAGCAGCTGCGCGAGCAACTCCAGGCGGACAGCAGCAAGCTGCAGCACGAGCTGGACGCCAAGGTCAAGGAGCTGGAGGACCTGCGCGGCGAGATGACTCTTGCTGCCGAGCGTGCGGCCAGCGAGCTCGACGCGGGTATGGAGGCCAAGCAGGCTGAGGTGCAGAAGGTCGAAGAGCGGGCTTCTGCTGCCGAATCCGAGCTCGCCGAGATGAAGAAGCTCGTCGACGAGCTTACTTTGGCTGGAAACGTGAGTTCAAGGTGTCGTCGATGAAACTGACAGACAGCAAATCATCGAGCTCAATGAGAGCAAGCAGATCTCTTTCGAGCTGCAAATCAAGGATCTCGAGGAGAAGCTTGCCAAGGCGGAGGCTGCGTCGTCCTCTGCCGGCGCAGCTGGTGGAGCCGACGGCTCGCCTCGCAGCGCCACCGCCGCCGAGATCGACAACGAAACGCTCACTGCGCAGGTGAAACACCTACAGGGCCGCATCTCCTCGCTCGAGGAGCAACTGGACGAGGCGCGCGGACAGGCGGACGAGAACTCGGACGCCTGGCTTGCCAAGTACAACAAGGTGCGCGAAGGCGAGGGCAAGTTAGCCTCCGAGCTTGCCAGCCTCAAGACGGACCTGAAGGCCGCGCAGGCGGAGACGGCCGCGCGCGACCAGCGCGTGACAGAGCTGCAGGGCGCGCTGGCCGAGAATCAGTCCGCGCTCGAGGAAGCGCGCGCCGAGATCGAGCAGTTGCGGAAGGACGCAGCCGAGGGCGAGGGCGACGCAGCGCGTCTCTCCGAGGTATCGACCGCGCTCGAAGCGGCGGAGAAGAAGATCAAGGATCTCGAAGCGGACGCCAAGGCGCGCGACGGCAACGAGGCCAGTATCCGGGGCTACCACCACATTGTGTCCGAGATGAAGAGCGAGAATGCGTCGCTCAAGGCCGAGCTCGCGTCGCTGAAGGAGGAGCTGAAGCTGCAGCAGGAGCTCGACGGCGAGGACGCGGCCGGTGGTGGAGCTGGCGACGCCAAGCTGCGCAAGCAGGTGCAGACGATGGCAGACACGATCAAGGAGTACGAGCGCGAGGTGTCCGAGCTCGAGAGCCTGGTCGAGGCCAAGATCTACCGCGAGGACGAGCTCGAGACGCAGCTGTCCGAGCTGGAACGCCAGCTCGAGCGCGTCAAGCGCGGCGACGTGCGCTTGTCCCAGTCCCTCCGCCCGCCCACGAACGGGTACGCCAACGGGCACAAGTCGCCGTCCAAGTCGCCTTCCAAGCCTCCCCCGCCTGCCGCCTCGACGCATACGCGCACCGACAGCGCCGCCTCGGTCTCGTCCGTCGCCTCGGCTGCTAGCGCCGCGTCGGGCGCCAGCGCGACGTCGGACAGCAGCAGATGCGAACTCTGCGAGGGCCCGCACGAACTCGACGCCTGTCCCGTCTTTGCGGGCAGTCTTGATACGCCCAAGACGACCCCGGGCAAGAAGGGCAAGTGGTGCCTTGACTGTGAGAGCAGCGCGCACAATACAGAGGAGTGCCCCATGGCCGACGACGTGTTCTAGGCGAGCCGCGAGCCCCGCGTCACGCGCGAGCTGTGTTGTTGAATGATTCCCTATGTCCTTTCTCGATTTCTTGGGTTATTGTGTTCCGACCTATTGCCCCACTCTCATACCAACCACAAGTCTCCGTTCCACAATGCATTAGTTTCCAGTTCCAACCTCCGGCCATTCCACATCTTGACAACCCTTCTTGACGATCATACTCCCGTCTTGTTATGCCCCAAGATACACTACGCATACCCCCCATACTTTTACAGCCCATACAGACACGGTCTGATATATTACATACAGTTTACAGCAGAGAAGAACGAAAAATGCTACACATTGCTTTGACCCTAGTCGCTGTGGGGACCCTTGAGTTCCGCGAGGATGGCCGGCGGCGGCAGATGTCCCGTGAGGAGGCACGACTTGAGCCACACCACATTGGCGAGCTTGCCACTCGCGACCATCGCGTCCGGGACAGAGATGGTCTTGTCCCTGTTCTCGACTATGATGAGGTCGTACGAGTCTGCGTTTGGCGGGAACTTGGCGCCACTCGTCAATTGTGCGCCGAGCGCGATCAGGCAGAACCGCACGAGAATCTGGTGTTAGCTCCCATTCCATATTCTGTAGCTTACCTTCAGACTCCTCCCTCTGTCAAACTTGGCACTCGGCTCGACGAACAGCACCCTCTTGCCGACCAGAGGCTGCCTCTTGCTCTTCGCGCTGGCTGCGACCCAGCCCTCGCCGCCCCAGTCGTCTGCAATGTCCTGTGACGCATAGGCTCGGAGGGAGGCGCTGTACCCCGCGGCAACGAGGAAGTTGCGCCAGCACACCGGGCCCGGCCCCTCGATCGCTGCGTCGATGTACGCCGAGCTCAGGATTGGCATGCCCGCCGCCAGGGCCGCCATCACCTTCGGCGTCATGGTTGTGCCCGGCTCGGCGTTCTGGATGAGGAAGGGCACGCCCTCGGCCGACAGTTCGTAGCTGTCGCCCGTGAGCGTGAAGACAGATTCCCAGTCGGGGACGACCACACCGCCGTGCGCTTCTATTTTCGTCTTGTAGCTGTCCTTCACGTCGCCCGTGATCAGGAATACCTTGCCTTCGAACTCGGTGCAGGGGTCCTCGGGAGCCACAGACGTCAGAGAGCCGCGCTTGCCTGACGCAGTGACGGTGGGAAAGCGCGACTCGAGCTCAATCAGTGGCACGAGACGATCGCCGTAGTTCTTGTCGATGTCCGACTGGGAGATTGCGAGCTGCTTCGTCTGGATTGAGAACGGGTTCTTCTTCAAGTCGAACGCGAAGATCTCGCCGTTCCCCGTGAAGTCCTCGTCGACGAGGTACTGCTTCTCCCCGCACCAGATCTTCTCTCCTTTGCGGATATCCAGCAGGCGCATCCGGTCCACGGGAACGGTGCGGTTCAACCCATCGTCGAAGGACACACGATAGCCCGTCTTGTTCCGAGCGGTCACAGTGCCGATGTAGTAGTCGCGCGTCTTGGTCCACAGAGCGAGAACGCGAAGAGGCTCCTCTTCGCTGTCCTGTTGTGTGGGAACGGGCGTTGGGACAGCAGACGGAGTACGAACGGTGCGGCTGGCAGAGGCGGTAGCGCGGGGGCGTGATGGACCAGCCTCGGGCTCCTTCGTCTTAGCGGCTTTCCTCGTTGACTTGGACTCAGTCTTGGTGGGCTGCCTCTTCGACTTCTTCGCCTTCTTCTGCGGCGGGCGGAACGTCTCATCCTCAGGGTCTTCGGGACCGGAGGTTGACGACTCGGAGTCTCCATCGAACGATGGTGTTGGGGACAGGTTTTTGCGCTTGTTACGCGAGGGACGACTTGCGGTGCGGTTGGATGTGACGGATGCGGAGTGGGACCCTCGCAGTCCCGACGATGGAATGCGAGACGAGCGAGAGCCTTTGCTCGCCTTGGAAGGAGAGGTCATCGTGGATGAGGGCGCCTTGCCTTTACCCTTCAACGGAGACAGCGACGGCTCCTGCGTCTGCGTCTGCGGCTGAAAGGTGTTGTCCTCGGGTTCCGACTCGGCAGAGCTGGAGGAGCTGGATGGAAGAGGACTATCCGCTACCTGCCGTCCCTTCCCCTTCCGCCCGTACTTGTTGGGACTGGGTCGAGCGACCGGGTCGTGCTCGATCGACCCCGTCTCGATCTCATGTATGCCCGTAAACACAGATGGATCCTGCGGCGGATCGACGTCCATATCCTCTTCGACGTCGGCTGTTTGCTCATCGGCGCCCACCTCAGTGGCAATTGAGTGCGTGCTCCGTTCCTTCTCGGGTTCAGCAGGCACGTTCTCAGGTGGCTGCTGAGGAGCTGTTCCAGACGGATCCTTGTACGTGTCGGTGTACGTTTCCGCTCCATCCGGGATCGGGCTGGGAGAGCGCGGCAGCACTGGCGGGGTGGGGACAGCGGACGAACGGTTGCGACGTTTGAGGAGACGGCCCTCCGAGACCCTCGACGCGGCGCTGGTGGTGCTCATCGTCGGCTTTAACGGAGTCGGCATCGACTTGATCGGCGACTGGCTCTCCATTGCCGGGTTGAGCACTTGGGTCGCTTGAAAAGAATAGTTCTGGGACTGTGACGAAGACCGATGAGGAGACGGCTCCGAGTCCATGGTCTCACCGAACAACTCTGCGTCCCCTGGGACATTGAGCGGTCCATCCTCTGAATTGGGCAGATCACCTAAGCGCCCGGGTGGCGGTGAAGATGGAATAGGCACCGCGCGAGGGGGCGATGACGGGGGCACGACGGGGCGGTCGATGTCCATGTCGTCTCGTGGCGCCTGGCCGGAATCGTCCTCAGCCGTGGGCTGCGGTTCAGGTAGGGGCGATGTTCTCGTGTTGCGAGTAGGCGACGATCGGCCACCGCCAAGCCATTGCTGAGAAGAGGATTGACCATTGATGAAAGTCGGTTCAAGGTCCACAGACTGTGGGTCCGTGGTGGGGTCGGTGGGCGCTGGTGCGTCCGTCGGATCTTCCTCGTCCGTCGAAGCGTCTGCGGACGCTTGAGCGTCCGTGGGAACATCGTCGTCGTGCTGAAAGGACGATCCGCGGTGGAAGCTAGACCTCTTCTCGTAAAGACTCTTGAAAGCCTTGGCACCTCGAGGGTTGTAATGCATGTCGCTGGCGAAGTCGCTGCTCTCCTCGTGCTCGGGACTGAGGTCTCGTTGGCGGGAAGAGCTCGCTGCGGGGAAGACCGGCTGGCGCACAGACTGGGGGGACGTCCTAGCGCTGGTTGCCTTGACTGATCCGGCTAGCTTGGTTGGTGTCGTCTGGGTGTTGCGAGCCTTGGGGTCGAAGTTTGGACGAGCGAGTCCACTGAGCGGCGTGAGGGGCGCACCCTTGGCAGACGTCTTGGACGGTGTCTTGGGCGAGAACAGTGGAGGGCTCGTTCCATCGTGCGGGCTGTGAGGGGACGAAACACTCTCTGCCTCTTCCTCCTCCCGGTCTTCAGCCTCACTATGGCTGGGCGGTGTCGTGTCGCGGGGCGATGGTTGTGTGGGCACTGATGGGGCTGCGTCACTGGTGTACGCATCGTTTGCACCTGCTGCGGCGCTGCTCGCACCTTCTTTCTCCGCAGGCGTGGGGGATGCGGCCCGTGACGACTCTTTCACCTGTTCCGGACCGCGCGATGCATCGAGCTCGTTATCCTCCCGCTCGTCGTTGTCCTCCGTGTCCGTCGGCTCCTCGATGATGCTCGTCTCTGCCTCTGCCTCCGCCGCAGTCGCCCACCTTGCTCGCTGAGAGACAGGCTGAGATTCGAGAGGAGCCGGTTGGGGATCCGAGAAGAGAATGCTCTCCTCATCCTTCTCGGTCTCCTCTAAACTTGGCTCATCGAGGGCTGATGTCGAGAGCATCTTCGGCTTTGTCGGCGCCAGGGGAAGCGTCGACTTCAGAGGGAGGGAAGTCGTTTTGAGAGGGAGAGCCGTGGACGCCGCGGTTTTGGGTGGAAGGGGAGCAGGAACAGGCTGCTGCGTTTCGTCCTCGTCGTTCAAGTCCAATGACTCATTTTGGATGTTGCTGGGCATCGTCGACTTTGGGAGTCTGGCCGTCAGCTTCTTTCTCCACCTAGCGAGCTCTTACCCGATCCTCCTTGAGGGTGCCATGGTGACGAGATTTTCAATCTGCAGAGTCAGCTGCAGAGACTATGTTAGCTCACCAAGGTCACCTCGTTCCCTCATGGTCCGGCGGATGTGCGTGGTGAGAAGAGAAGAAGGAAGAGGATACGATGGTGAAGTTGAGCAGATCCAGATCGGTGACCCAATTCAGGCACGACCGGATGAGTGGACCGTGTAAACAACCGCCGGAGCGGGACCTTCTGCGCCGCTGATAAGAGCTTAGGCGTCGGCTTGGTCGGTGGCGCTGAAGCAATTGAGGGCCAGGGGACGACAGAGCAGCGACCAGAGGCACATGTGTACGATGCTGAGCGGATAATAATGGTTCAGCATATGCATTGCTCTATCTACATCTAGTAAACACCCGGAACGATCCGCCAGGGCACCTGCTTCCTGTACTTCTCCCAGTCCTCACCGTACTTTTCCGCACAGTTGTTGTCGTCTCTCCTCTCGCGGTGAATGAGGAGGAAGCCAAAGTACGCCGAGTACAGATAGGTGAAGAGCATACCCCACGGAGCAGCTCCCTCCTGAGTGACCTGGCGGCCATCTAGCATCGTGCGCACACCAGCGCCGACGAGCCCAGTTCCGGCAGGGACGATCACGTAGCCCGCGAGACCAGTTGGGAGACAGAAGGGAAGTGACTGTATCCAGTCTCCAAAGTAGTTGATGTGGCGAGCGCGACCCCACCAGCCGCCTGTGAGGAGGCGCGTGCCGCGCTTCGTCTGGATGTACGGCATGTCCTTGACGCTCGGGTGGTCGGGGTTGGTGCGGAAGCGGTTCTTCTGGCTATTGGCCGAGCGGAAGATGTAGAGCCCAATGCTGAACACGGCCGCGATGACCGCAATGCGCGTCCAGCCAAGGTGCACGGGGTAGACGGAGAGGTAACGCGCCATGGTGCAGTAGAGGAAGGGAACCCAGACAATGTCGCCAAAGGTGAGCATGAAGCCAAGGCCGTCGTGCACAATGTCCATCATGCCCAGGATGCCCGACTCGAAATACTGTCCCTCCAGGGCGTAGTATCCCTGTACAGCCGCGACGATAAGGATACTGTCGCTGACATAGCCGTGCAGGCGAACCTGCTTCGCGATGAATGAGCAGTTCAGGAGAATCCAACCCGTCAGTCCGGGGCGCATTTCGAGCCACGCCTTGACATCGATCTCGCCAAAGAACGGCAGCGTCACGCGCGGGTTCAGCTCACGCCCGATGTAGAAGTCGTAGATGACGTTGCCGGTGTGCCCTCCCTTGGCCAGCTCGCGCATGTCCTTGTTGCCGAGCTTGACAGTGAAACTGCGCAAGTACACCCACACAGAGATCACGTAGGACAGCAGCAGGTTGCCCGTCAACAGCTGCAGGTAGTTGTCGGCGATAAACTTCCAGACAGGGAACTCGGCCCCCCAAATCAAAGTGCCGACGGCACAAGCGCCAAGCTGCACCATGGTCGCTGCCAAAGCTGGACTTTATTAGCTGATGTGACAGCCTTCATGATAGTATGACCCACCATTGAAGCGATACTTGAGCGGTTTGCCAGACTCGCGCAGCTTGGTGCCATACACTTCAGTCGCTGGCAGAATGCGGTAGAGTACGAGGCTGAGAAGATAGTACGCGGCAAGCCACGCAATCACTCTCCAGCTGAGGAAGCCCCGGAGCCCACTTTCAGGCCAGGGGATCTGCGTCTTGAGCTTTGCCCACGACAGCGAACTTGGGTGCAGCAGTGCCGGCGCCGGGCATCCAGAAACGTCGTTGCAGCCAAAATAGAGGACGTTCATGAGTAGAGGAAGACCGAAGACGATGGCGGTGGCGCCCAACCTGCGCTGGGTTGGTCAACTGTTCTCCCCGGCATCCACTCTTCTGAACTTACGGTCCGCCAAACTCGTAGCTTGGTTTCTGCGCTCCCATTTCGTCAGAGAAAGGTTGCTAGAAGAGCCTTGAAGGTCTGTGAGTGGTTATGTACTGAGCTGTTTTGTACTAAGTGGTTAGTATCTGGGCGGGCATTTTGGTGTCACCGCAGAGGCGTCGCTGATGGTACGACGGCGGAGATTTGTTTTCATCATGGTACGATTGGCGACAGAAGGCGTCGGCTGCGCGAGCACTATTCCTCGCAGACTGGACGGGCTGTCATTTGTAGTCCAGTGCAGAACTGTCCGTCTTCAGTATGCCAAGCAGCGGGCTCGATGGTCGCAATGGGCTAGATGCGCAAGATCTTGGACAGATGGGGCGGCAGGGAGCCAGATCACCCAAATACGAAGTTCGTTCATCGTCTCATCAAAGGGGATCGACGCGGAGATCTTCCACACTCCATTGTAGGTTCATGTACCACGTGGTGAGATTAACCTGCCATCTTAAGTCCTCCCTCCTTTACGCCAATCCCGGATCTTGACGAAGTCTCGGTTCTGTGGAGCAGCTAGCCTGTGCGTTGACGGACAAGGCCGATGAGGAAGCCAAGGTGTACGAGCACAGGAAGCTTGCAAAGATGAGCCGAGTCGTACGCGTTGAAGGATGCGGGGCTGCAGCGTTCTCATGATGGGTCAGGAAACGCGATCGGAAGCGATCCGCACTTGGTCCCTGCCCACGACCCACCTGCTCACGCCGTACGGTGGTCGAGGCACACGAGCCCGCGAACCCGTGACTATTTATGGCTCAGGTCCGGAGACTCCTCAGAGCCAAGAGCCGAGAGGCAACTGCTGCAAAGAGTCCGGGGGTCTCGAATGCATCCGGCCCCACCAATCACAGGGGGGCGGAATGTCGCTGAGCCTGGGAAAACACAAGGCAGAATAGCAGGCGCGAGCGCAGAGGAATCGTGTCGCGCGACCACGGTGAGTACACCGAACGTGCTCTCTGCTCGCGTAAACCGCTTCGGATTGGCAGGTCTCGCTGCCAGGACGTCACACCATGACACCTCTGTCGCCGGCATGTTCGGCGACGCTGCCTCAGGTAGAGTTCACAGCGCCCTGGCCGTCGGCCAGCTCCGTCACTCGTCTTGCCCCATGTGGGTCGTTTCTTGAATACCTGGGGCCTCGATGATGCGGATTGGAGAGCAGTTTGTCTATCGCATGCATGGGTAGAAACAGAGAGGAATCGGAATATCGACCCTATTGCGCTGCAGTGTATATCCAGAATCTCGCCACTCGGTCCGCCCGACCGCTCTCGGTCTGTGGTCTGCCCCTATGGACACCCCTATGACTGCTGTATCCTGTGGTGACTCCACATGCTTCCCTGTCCCGACGCCGGCGACCACCGGGGCCACCGGGGACCAATCGCAGTGATTACAACGCACACATCCACTGTAAGCATGGCGAACACGGCGAAAATTGCTGATCAATGCAGTCATAGGTATTCTTGCCCCTGTCGGCCATATCCGACCCTCCTCTCATGTACACTCGGCGCCCGGCGAAAGCCCGTTGCGCCAAATACAGCATGCGTTTTGCACGCTGCGTCCTTTCTTTCCCTTCCATATCTCTTGACTGCTGTTCTGTCGAGTGCTTTCGAGTCGTTCCGTGTGCTTAACGACGAGTATCAACGGATCATTAACGGACCCGACTCGATAACGACCCCCGGCACCGAAGCGCAGTCTATTTCGGTCCTCCCTGACACCTGATCCACCTGATCCGCAGGCCGACGGCCCCAACCAAAGTTCGCAGCCTTCAAGTCAACAAAAATCGGAGCGTTCCCGCCGGCCACCGACCACCGACCGACACGCGGCTCCAACATTACTCAGCGTCCCGCCGCTTGCAAACCTTGCAACCACCAACTAACCCATTGAACGCGATGGGTACCATTCGAGATCCGTCGCCGTCGTCGACGCTAGCTGCGCGCGAAGCAGCGAGCGAGACGGCAGGCGAGCCGACGCTGCCGAGTAACGGCAGCAGCTCCGAGACGGAGCGCGAAACCTACGACAAGTCTCGGGACGACAAGGGCGACTCGGATGACAGCGAAAAGGGCTTCGAGGACCGTGGAATTGTCGAGCTCGACCAGGCTGGAACGAAGCGCCGCATCCGCGTAGTCGTTGAGGACGAGACCGGCAAGGAACGCCTGAAGGATGTCGGCAGCGGCGAATACACCGCGCCCAGATGGTGAGTTACTTCGTGTGGCGAGACGGCACGCCACGCCGATCCGCACGCCGATCCATGATCTTCGCTAACACACAGGCGCCACTCGCTCCCCTTCATGAAGCCTAAGCACCCGCCGCCGCCGGCACCGCTATCCATGGACGCTCCGCCAGTGACGCCCGAAGTATCCGCCAACTGGCTCAGCTATATGACGTTCAACTGGATCAGCCCCATGATGGCACTCGGCGCCGCGCGTACCCTCGAGGCGTCGGACATGTACAAGATGGACGACAAGCGGAGTGCGGGACTTCTGGCGCAGAACCTGATGACCAACTACGAGCGGCGCAAGGAGAAGGCCACCGCGTACAACAAGAAGCTGGAGGATCCCAATACGCCGCTCCCCTTCCCGCAGCGCATCACGTACCCCCTGATGCCGCATCGGGAGAAGCGCGAGGCCGACTTCAAGAACGATAAGAGCAAGAAGAAACCCAGTCTGGCGTGGGCGCTCTCGGACACGTTCGGCATGTCCTTCTGGTCTGCGGGCATTATCAAGGTGTTCGGCGACACGTCCACGGCATGCTCTACGCTCATCATCCGTGCCCTGATCAAGTGGGCGACGCAGTGGGAGTACGCGCGCAAGGGACGGCCAGGGGTCGAGTATCCCCACATCGGACAAGGTGTCGGTTTCGCCATCGGCCTCTTCTGCCTTCTCACCTTCGGCTCCTTCTGCATGCACCACTACTTCTATCGGTCCATGGGTGTCGGCGTACTTTCACGTAGTGCGCTTATCTCGGCTATCTACCACCACTCCCTGCGGTTGACTCAGAAGGCGAGAGGCGAACATCCGAACGGCAAGATCGTCAACCACATCTCGACCGACACGGCTCGTATCGACTTCTGCGCTGGCTTCGCACACATTGCATGGACAGCTCCCGTACAGTTTGTGGTAATCTGCGTGATCCTCATCGTTCAAATTGGTTACTCTGCGTTGCCGGGGTAAGTTGTGAAGGAAAAACGAGTTGGAAGGCTCGTGGAGAGGTGGATGTGTGGTGGCGGATGATTTTCGCCACTGTGGCGATCTCACCTTTCGGACCTCCACCGGCCCATTGAGCACTGCTGACAGCCCCAGACTCGCGTTCCTGCTGATTATGGCGCCCGGACAGACAGTCATGATGCGTAGGCTGTTCGCGCTCCGCAAGAAGTCGATGATCTGGACCGACAAGCGTGCCAAGCTCCTCCAGGAGATCCTCGGTGGAATGCGCATCGTCAAGTTCATGAGCTGGGAGATGCCTTTCCTCAAGCGTCTCGGTGCTATCCGTGGAATGGAGCTCAAGTATCTCCGCCAGCTGCTCATTCAGCGCTCCGGTATGATGGCCTACGCCATGTCGCTCCCCGTCCTCGGCACCATTCTCAGCTTCATCACGTATTCGCTCACCTCGCACGACCTTGAGCCCGCCACCATTTTCACCGTCGTCTCGCTGTTCCAGATGACCCGCATGCCGTACGTCCATTTTCCCTTGCTCTCCAGTCATTCATTGTATCTCTGTCTCCAGACATTTGCGCTTCCTGGTACTACAGGCGTCTGTGCTGAGGGTGGCGGAGGTGTGTGACGAGCAACAGCTTTGAGTCATTGCGCTGTGTAACACCTCGCTATGCTCCCGCTCTGCGCCCTCAGTGCACCCTGAGGGGCGCAACAGAGGGCGCGGGCGATCGAAGCTAGTGTCGATCCTCCATCAGATCTGCACAAGTGGCAAAGTGGCACCACACCTCAGTCCCCCCAACGCACCCCGCCACCTCTCCAATCGTCTGCTTCACCATTCCACACGTCCATACTCTCTCGAGAGTGCTAAGCTTACTTCTTTAGTTTGCTCATGTTCCCGATGTGCCTGTCATCTCTGGCAGATGCGCTGAACGCGCTTGGACGTATCCAGATCCTCCTCGATGCCGAGGTCAACACCGACGAGAAGATTGTCGACTACGACATGAAGGACGCTGTGGTTATCGACCATGCGTCTTTCACGTGGGACGCTGCCCCTCCTGTTGAGGATGCCGTCGCCAAGCTTGAGGCCAAGCTCGTCGCGGCTCAGGCGAAGCAGGACCGTGCCGGCCGCAAGGAGAAGAAGGAGAAGGCCAAGAAGGCTCGCAAGGGTGACAAGTCTGGCGCCACGACTCCTGCGCCTGCCAAGACGCCCAAGAAGTCCGGCGCGGTCACTCCCGTCGTTGAGGCCGAGGCCGATGTGCCGAAGGACATCTTCAAACTGCAAGACATCAACGTCCGCATTCCGCAGGGTTCTCTCACGGCGATCGTCGGTGCTATCGGCAGCGGCAAGTCGTCCCTCCTCCAGGGTCTCATGGGCGAGATGCGCCGCACGGGCGGCAGCGTCAAGTTCAACGGCTCGACGTCGCTCTGCGCGCAGACCCCGTGGATCCAGAACGCAACCGTGCGCGAGAACATTCTCTTCGGCCAGCCCTGGAACGAGGAGCGGTACTGGGCCGCGGTCAAGAACGCGAGCCTCGAGCCCGACCTCGTCCTCCTTGAGGACGGCGACGGAACCGAGATCGGTGAGAAGGGCATTACGCTGAGTGGTGGTCAGAAACAGCGTGTCAACATTGCCCGTGCGATCTACTTTGACGCGGACATTATCGCGCTCGACGACCCGCTCTCGGCCCTCGATGCCGGCGTCGGCAAGGCCATCTTCCACAACGCCATCCTCGGCGCGCTCCACGGCAAGACCCGCATTCTCGTCACGCACGCGCTGCACTTCCTTCCCTTTGTCGACAACATCATCGTCCTCGACAACGGCCGCATCTCTGAGGTCGGCACGTACAAGGACCTCGTTTCGACCCCGAACGGCAGCTTTGCGCGCCTGATCTCTGAGTTCGGTGCTGTCGACGCCGACGAGAAGGAGGCGGGCGACGAGGAGGGTGCCATTGAACAGGACAACGAGGACAAGGCTAAGCCCATTCCCCGCTCCGAGATGGTCGCGCGCAAGGGCGGAGCCATCTCGCTCATGCAGACCGAGGAGCGTAACGAGGGCTCGATCGCCGGTGGCACCTGGGGCGGATACATCAATGCCGGTCGCGGCGTCATCATGATTCCGACGCTGCTGTTCTGCGTTTCGCTCGCGCAGGTCTTCACGATTCTGACGTCGTACTGGCTTCTGTGGTGGCAGCAGGGACACTGGGGCCTGTCGAACAACCTGTACATGGGCATCTACGCGTGTCTCGGTATCGGCTCCGCGATCTCCCTGTTCCTCATGGGCTTCTCCAACTCGATGTTCACCTACTTTGCTTCGGTGCGCCTGCACGCGCTCGCCGTGCGCCGCGTCATGTTCTCCCCGCAGGCGTTCTTCGACACGACCCCGCTCGGCCGCATCATGAACCGCTTCAGCAAGGACATTGACACGGTCGACAACACGCTCTCCGACGCTCTGCGTATGGCGATTAGCACGTGCGCCCAGATTCTTGGTGCGGTCATCCTACTCGCCATCATCTCGCCCTGGTTCCTCATCGCCGTCGCCGTTGTCCTCTTCCTCTACTGGCACTGTGCTATGTACTACCGCCGCTCGTCGCGCGAGTTTAAGCGCATTGACTCGATCCTCCGCTCCTCGCTGTACGCCCACTTCAGCGAGTCGCTCAGTGGCATCTCCACCATTCGCGCGTACGGTGAGGGCAAGCGTTTCGAGGACGAGAACGTCAAGCGCATGGATATTGAGAACAGGGCCTACTATTTAACGATTATCAGTGAGTAGAGCAGTCCCCTACATCGCAGAGGCGAGGCGCGAAGAGGGACGATTGAAAGAGGGAAGAAAAGAATTGCTGACATTCAGATCAACGTTGGCTCGGTCTCCGCCTCGACATCCTCGGCTCTCTGCTCTCGTTTGCCGTCGCTCTCATCGTCGTCTTCAACCACAAGGTCGGCGGCGCCCAGTCTGGTCTTGGTCTCTCGACGATGGTGACTGTCCAGCAGTCGTTCACCTGGCTGGTGCGCCAGCTCGCCGAGGTCGAGAACGACATGGTCGGCGCCGAGCGTATCCTCTACTACGCCAATGAGCTTGAGCAGGAGGCGCCGCAGGAGGTCATCGAGAAGAAGCCTCCTCCCAACTGGCCCTCGGCTGGCGCCATCGAGTTCAACGACGTGTACATGAAATACCGCCCTGAGTTGCCCGACGTGCTCAAGGGCCTCACCCTCAGCATCGCCGCCAACGAGAAGATCGGTATCGTCGGCCGTACCGGTGCCGGCAAGAGTAGTATCATGGTGTCGCTCTTCCGCATGGCCGAGCTGCATGCCGGCAGCATCGTCATCGACGGCGTCGACATCAGCAAGATCGGCCTCCATGACCTGCGCTCGCGCATCAGTATCATCCCCCAGGACCCGCTCCTGTTCAGTGGCACGCTGCGCAGCAACATCGACCCGTTCAACACCAAGACGGACGCCGAGTTGTATGACGCCCTGCGCCGCGCTCACCTCATCCCCGCGACGGCTGTCTACGCCGCGGAGACGGTCGAGGGTGCTGACGGAGAGAAGGAGACGGCACTTATGAATGTCAACCAGGGCTCGCGCTTCACCCTCGACTACCAGGTCGAGGAGGAGGGCGGCAACCTGTCTGTCGGTGAGCGTTCGCTCGTCTCCCTCGCCCGCGCCCTCGTTCGCGACCCCAAGGTCCTCGTTCTTGACGAGGCGACCGCGAGCGTCGACCTGGAGACCGACGCCCGCATCCAGGAGACGATCCGGCAAGAGTTCGGCGACAAGACGCTGCTCTGCATTGCGCACCGTCTCCGCACCATTCTGTCCTACGACAAGATCCTCGTCATGGCCGAGGGCCGCGTCGAGGAGTTCGACACCCCCATGGCCCTCTTCAACAAGGGCGGACACTTCCGCGAGATGTGCGACAAGTCTGGCATCGGCATCGACGCCATCACGGCCGCGTCCCAGGTCCGCTTCGAGAGCATCCAGGCTGCGTCGCCGAAGGTTCAGACCGCGCAGATCGCTCCGGACAACACGACCGGGTACGACGTGAACGAGAAGGCTCAGTAGGTTCAGTAGACCATATACTATCACACGAAAAGAAACAACAAGGTATAATAGACTTAGGTACACATACAGATCATGCATTGGCATAGTGATTCGAAGCACCGGGTGGCATTGGCCTCGCGCATGGAGTGCTATGAGCAGGCGCGCGTTTCTTAGTTAGCGCATGGGCGTCTTGGTACCCGCAGAGCACCGACAACGACGACGTGACATGCATGTATGCCCGTCGGCCTGCCTGCAGAACGGGCATGGCTGGTAGACCGCACTTGCAGGTCACTGCTACCTGGGCCGCAGCAGGGACACAACCAGTACCTCCGCTCAACCTCTGTCGATATCCGCTTCTTCGGTTCCAACAGATAGCCACTCACACCATGCGTCCGCCTTTCAATCTGCCTGTTGCGATTCGCTATGCAAACCGCCAGCCCTCACTAACTGCAAGATGAAGTGGGAGAGTACAGTCAGCTTATCTAGCGCCATCATTGTTAACGCCGCCACACCCCCACCACAGCCGAGCGCGCCAGCGACCATAGCTTTATCCGACTTCGAAGCGCCCGAAATAACATGTTCGAATTGAAACCGAATTCGACTTCTAACCGAAACCGAAAGCGAGAAGGCGAAAGGATGCGTGCACATGCGCGCACGCTCGCACAACGATTGCACGCGGACCTGCGCGGACCCAGCGTCCCCTCATCAACTCATGCCTTATCCTTATCATCTCCTGCCGATCATGCACAACCCTCCCAACCCTTTGCTGGCAACAATAGTGAATGGGGTGCCGCTGGTGCGGCACCAAGCCTACCGAAACCTATCGGAAGCACAGTTTTTCCATCCATTGTGCCAACTGCGCTCCCATTCATGATTGCATTCATGAGGCTCCTTACTCAGTTACACTCAGTTACGAGGCCAGTGCAAGCTTATGCATGCCTGATCACTCACTTTCGATCCTGTTCGCTTCTGAAGCAAACGAACAAAGCAGTGTGATAGGGATCGGGCATGATCGAGCTATTCGTGGCATTGGCTTCACGGCTCGATCCAGTGGCGCACTCGCGCAACTCTATGTGCTACTGATGTTCTGCCCGCATGTGTCGGCTACGTTCCGCACGAGTTTGTCGCAGCTGCGACACATGTGGTGCAGGCGGCGTAACCTAAGCATACCTTTCATAGAGTATTGCGTACGTTAGATTACAGTTTTGTCGGTATTCGAACTGGAACAGATGGTACAGATACGGTTTCCCGCACCAGCATGCGTATCAATATCGTCGTCAGCAGCCTACCGGCCGAACCGGCCGGCAAGAAGAGGGTGAGAGCAAGCACCCCGGAGTTAAGCCGCCGCCCGCACTGAATGCCGCACTGTGTGAGTTACATGGGTGTTGAATGGGCTGAATGGCGCGCAGATCACTATTGACGCTGCGTACCCCAGCGTCGTACTGCACGCGAGTGGTTCGTGACGAATATCAGGATTTGCGGAGGTTTCGCCACGAGTATCTGACATGGACAAATGGCATGCCCTTCGTAGGTCCGGCAGGCCGGGCTGGTCTATTAGGGGTCCTCGTGGGCGGGCTACAGTGACCATGGCCGCTCGCAGTATCGACGATAACAAAATGAACGACTGAGACAAATGAGGGAAGTCGAGGGACTGAATAGAGCAGCTGGGCGAAATACAGGATCACGCCTCGGCTCCCAGCCGACTCCTGCACATGTCAGCGTCCGCACCGCATATCGAGAGTTCCGAGGCAGCGGGCACGCTCAGATGACCGGGGGGCGCGGCATGCGTCGGCGCTACCTGGCGGGGACGATTCGGATCGCCCTCCGCATTCTCGTATCGGCATTGCGGACCGTAGCGGTCAATTCCATCATTTCATCGTCCCGAGTCTTCCGCCGAGCAGTGCGCGTGGCACGGACTGCCTTGGGGCACTGTTGCGGATGCTGCAGTACTCGTCAGTGCTTCTCAGTCGTTGCAGATGCGGAACGCTATGCTCCCTCTGCGATGCCGACGGGTTCCCATTCACTCAGTTCAAGCGAAATGCCACTCCACTTCGACGTCACTACTCTGTCACGCCTTCCATTTGCACAACGACCCGTGACTTGCAGGTGAGGTGACGGAGTACGTACAACGTGACCAGCTCCGACGGGCCTGTCACGGGCGTCGGCGGCTTGGCAGCGGAACCACCTGTCTCGGGACCGGTGATGTGCGTTAGGTTGGCGAACTTGCTGTGCTTCGCTTGCATTAAACAAGCTCAGCAACGTGGTGTTCTGCCCACGTCGCTCACCATCTGGAATGATATTCCCCGAACCTACAGCTTCGTTACGGAGCAATGAGCGTTCAGTAGTTTTCAGTGATCATTCAGTAATGCTGCACTTCGTTGGCTTGCTGAAACTCTGTTTAGTCATTAGTGAAGGGCAGCGATCCTCTGGCTGCTGGCTGAATCGAACCTTGGCCACCCGGGTGTGCTGGGTGGCATTCAGCCAGTGTCCTCGGGTCACTCGGGCGTTTGTCGCAAACCTTGCGCCAGCCACACTTAGAGCTGCCCGCGACGTGCGCACTCCATCCCGGAAGGCGTGGGCGTGCCTGCTTCGCGTGGCGCCGCAGCGGCGTGCCGGCGTAGCGAGGGTGCAGCCGTGCAACGGTGCGGCGTCGCCTCCACAACTCGGCAGTCAAGACGGACGGGCCGACTGAATGTAATGGTAGAATGAAGAGAGGCATTCACATCCCATGGCTGCAATTGCAGCAATTGCAATCGAGCGGTCCGAGGCGCCGGGATGGCTGATCGCGATCACTGAGATGCGGCCCCCTTCAGTGGTGATTGCGGAGAACGTGCTGGCTGAGATGACAAGCGGTGCCTTCAGCTGCTCCCCATGAGCGTCCCAGGTGGGGACCATATGATCACAGATGACGCGATAAGAGTGGGGGCTGGCGGCCAGCATGCTGTTCAATGCTGTGGAGGTCAATCTCTCGCTAACGAGTGATCGTGCAACTCCGTGGGCGCAAAAGCACTCTGCTCCGCGGACCTCTGAACCCCGGACGTTTGACCGAGGCCGCTGCCGGCGCTTGCTAGATCTGAGCGCTTGCCGGTGCTGCCGAGTACGATCGGATGTCGACATGATTGAACTCTGATGGTTGAGCCGCACATCTTGGGGGCCCAGAGAGGTGGTATGGGCGAAGTGGAACCTGACCGGGCTGGGACTCGATTGAGGGAGGGAATTAGAGTTGACCGTTGAATACTGCTAAGGTGTTGTTGGACCCGTTTTCAATCTCAACTGCACGATTAAGCATCAATGAACACAGCGGGCACAGGAGCAGGCGGGAGTCGCAGACACCGTAGAACATCACCGAGGACAACCGATACGTTGCAGGGTTCTGGGAACATGCATGCATGATTGAGGGTCACCGAGGGTTGCTGCAACCGCGATAACGGGCAGTCAATCAGCGACCGTATATGCAACACTAGTCGCGGCAACCTGTGGAGAGAGACGCGCTAACTGGAGCTTACATGGTTGTACAGAGTTGGAACCCCCCGATTGCAGTTGTTGAATGGGGTAAATGGCAATCTACCAGCCCGAACAATGTTCGAAAGCTTGTCGTACTTCGCGTTGCACCTTCCCAGAAGGTGCAGAAACTCTCCGCGACTGCTTTCCTTACTTTCCTGGCGAAGGGATGTCCTAGATTAACTATTCTCCGGCACCCGGCTCACTCGGCACACCCCGGGAGCTCCACATTAGGTCACCTCGGGGACCACAACACGCTGCGCAAAGCGAGGTCTGCATTTCCTGCACATCGGGAGGCTGTGCGCCGCACCCCGAACCCGGCCCGCGCCCACAGCACCCTTCACCAGCTTCTCGGATCGCCCTGTCTTGAGTGACCCGTCTGCACACCTGCCATTGACAGCAGACCGAGCCCACTTTTGGACCTCTCTCGAGGACATCGCAGCTCCGATCCGCCTCCAGCCCATACGCTGAGCAGGAATGCAGATCACACCACCGGAGAACCAATATGCGATCGCGGATAGTGAACGGGCACTGGCGGAAAAACTCCGGAACGACCCTTCACGGTTGTCTTGCACCTGGTCCTGCTGGCTGCACACGCTGCACATGCTGCAAGAGCTAAGCAGAGCTTGAGCTTCCTCGTCTTCGCTTCCATCGCTCCCTACAGGACCGATTAGTCCACCTTGGTCATCATAAGGTTTGTTGAAAGGACGCCACCGTTGGGATATTCATGGTTTCCGTGAGTTTTTCGAATCCGCACGGCCCGGAAAGTCTTTGAAAGCGTTCAAAAAGTCTGGAAAGCTCGAGGTACGACGTCGCGAGGCACTGTTCGCTCGAACACATAGAATACCACACGGCAAACGATGGCAAAACGGGGTCTGCACCCACTACCACTGTCCCCTGGCATACCTGGCACCTGAAGGGGCCAGCTGTCACGTTCAAGGCGAGGAAGTGAGGCGCACCGAAGGGGGACCGGTGGATAAGCATAGTTCAATCTCCTTCCTTAGTCAGAGTTAAAGCGCCGCGGGGCATGTGATCGCATCACGCGGCCCTTCAGGTGAGGGTGCGGTATTGGGCGAAGTCCTGACTCCAGCTCCCTTATTCTGGACATGATTTGCAGAGCACCGCCTGCGATTGTCCGACCCTTCTCGCATTAGGGCGGGGAGAACCGAGACGTCCCCGCAACTGTCGCTTCGACGTGACATGTAAACATGGCGATGAGTCCAGCCTCACCGGTGGGCATGGTGGGTTGCAACGGTTGGTCCTTCTACCGTCTGTCGAGGCATTCAGTTACGTTTGTTGCTGAGACAAGTGACGTCTTGAGCGGAATTCCAATGCTTCGCTCTTACGCAACATCTTAGACATGTCAGGCGAGCTGCCCACCTTGCTTCGTTACGGGGAGCTACGAGGTCGACAAACGAGTGTGCAGTGGACAGGCTCACTGGCTGCTAGCGAGGTTTATCCCGATCTTCACCGATCCCCAAGGGTTAGGACCCTTGGATCACCCCTCTCAGCGGAGACTATGCCGAACGTAGCTATGCCGCTCTGTGCCGCTCCTGCCGAGATAGGTTGTGGCAGGGCTCTGCGGGCTGTTGCAAGGGCTGCGAGCGCGCATTATGAGAGCGTGACTGACTTTGACGTTCCGTGCAGTGCAGAGTTGCAAGATAGGGGCTAGCTTTGAGATGGCAGGATATGCAGGAAAATTCAGAGGTCTTCAGGATATAATGATCTGAACTTTAGTTTCGAATGTGCCGGCAGAACACAGCCGTATTCAGCAGTCGTTTTGTCTGGACGTCGCTGCACCTGAACTTAGCTGATGTGCAAGATGCGCCTGACAACTGCAGACATTCCAACGGGTCAGAGCCGAGTAGAAGCAGCAAGCTCGAGGCAATGTCCGTGAGCCCACAATAGTTCTCGATGGGCTCTGAATAGACGAAAGGAGTACGTGCACCCTTCGCTTGCCGAGTCCGGCATGTTCATCGACCTTTTTACGCTTCCATGATGACCAGAAGTAGTCGAAGAAGGTGCCATGCGGAAGTCGTAAACGGCGCAGTAGAAGCGACGCTATGCATAAGGCTGAAACTGTAATGCGTAAGTTGTTCGGTATTGCGAGATTTCTGGTAAAATTCTTTGACCCATGTGCGCGATCGCAAGCAGATGTCCGTAAGCAGAGTGCGGAACACATGCCCCCAACACACCGGAATGGCCGCCGCGCTCGCCACACGCGCATGCACGTCGCGAGTGACAGCAGGCGGCTTTAGAGCTTAGATGTGATACAAACAACCCTCGGGCACAGATCTCTCTCAGGTGTAAGCCCAAAGTGCATGCATTGTGTTCAGTCTGATAACGTGAAGGTCTTTCACCGATGAGTGTTTCTGCGGCTGCTTCGCGTGCGTGGACGCGCAGCGGTCGGTCATGACTGCCGCGGTAGTTCGAGATAAGATCTGGGTGGTACACTTAGTCCGCGGAGCGGATTGGACGGTGTGCAGAACTTCGACGGAGATGACCTTGACGATTCCTCGAGCGCTGTTTGGACGCTGAGTAGGCAGGTGCGGAAATGTGAGGCCTCGATATGCTGGAAACTCTCGATCGCTACGGCATCGTCCCGTCGCGATCGTGGAAAAGGACGAGAAATAACGAAAACATCGTATTCAGCTCACCTCAGGCACCGGGCAGCGGGCAGCGAGGGTCGTTCAGTGGTTTTGGCGGTAGCATGCGTTCCACTCGCATTCTTGGGGTCTTGCTGAGACGAGGGTGACGTGTGAGGAACAATGCATGCATCACCGCTCGCCGTGTCGTGTGATGAGGGCAGCGAGACCTGCGCGGACATTGCTTGCATTCAACACATTCAGTCAACGCAGAAGGGCAAGGTGGAAGCGTTACACTTTCTTGGTGCCTTGGTGCCTTGCAGAACATCAGAATATGCCTGGACCTTGGCCATAGTAGTCTGGACGAAGGAGTAGCGGAAGAGTTCTTCCCCGTGGGTGAGGCTATGGTGAGGCTGTCAAAGAACGGGTGAACGGCCGAACCGTTGATGGATATGCAGAGTCCATGCCAGCCAGGCAGAGCGGAATAAGCATAAACGGCTGGCTGGGGAGCACAGCTCAGTGCGGAATCGCAGCCGGTCTGGAGCAGGAGGCCGTCATGTCTCAGGAGCGTACCATTGCTGTAAGCGAGGGTATCTACTCCCTGCGTTCATGTGCCCGCGTCTCCGCTGTTTTCCGTCCTCGTTCGAATGGAAGCTCCCTCGATCCCAGAGGTTCGACGGATTCGACGCTTATCGTGTACGGCAGGAGGCGTCAGCAACGTTAGCCGTGTGTATGGGACTTGGCCTTTGGTCTTGGACATTGCCAGGGATAGTGGACAGGGTGATGCGGGCAGTGACGAATGGCGAGGGTCACGACAGGACACCACAGGACACGGCAGCGTTACACCTCTGTATTTCCTGGCCAGTATTCCTGATCGACCTGATTGACATTCTCGTTTGTCGGCTGTGGACTTTGCAGAGTTCAGAGTTCGAAACAGCGAACAGTGCGTGTGTGAGGCGGCACTAGCCGGAACTTGCTGGCCTGAACGGTGCGAGAGGCATGCTGCAGCCAGTCGGGTTGTATTGAGGCATTGCGCAGCAGAGGGTAGTGAGAGATACGCGCGTCTCAAGTCAGTGCTAGAGTGTGCGGCCCGGCGCACAGATCGCTTGTAGCGAGTATCAACCTCCCGCTTGTTCGTCTTATGCCAACTGGTGCCATATGTCTGCAGTGGGCATGTGTATGCCGCTCATGTCGGCACGCGGTACGGTGAGCGGCACGGCAATCGGCAGGCCAAGCTGGCCAGACGGGCCAGACCAGTGCAGCTCGCTGTTCCTCGACCGCTAATGAATGCTGCTGAATGCCAGGTCATCGGTCAGGCCTCCGTCTCGGCATCGCCCTCGCCGAGCGATCCTAGCGCCTTTGCATGCTGTCACCGCCCGACCGAGGCGATACCGGCATACTGGCACATATGGTGCTGGCGTGTGCCGTTGCGTGCCGAGCGAGTCAGGTGCCATGCATGCCGTTGAGCATGGTCCATCTCGCGGCGCATGACGGGCTAGGTACGGTCGGGGTTCGGCGGCAGCACGTCGGTCGGGCGCGTCGGGCGGCGGCGCACAGGCGCTTTCGGGCTGGCACATTGGCACAGTGCGGGGCGAAATTGGACGGAAACAATGTGCACGGACGCACGGATAGCCAGCGGGCAGCGGGTGATGCTGCCCATCGAGGGTCGGGGAGAGGGTAGTCGCGCAGAGTCCTGCCATACTCCCAGATGGACTAGCCAGGTGCTAGGCGTGTGCCGCTCGCGGGGCCTCTCATTGCATGCTGGGGCAGGGGTCGACTTCGTGTTTCGTAAAGCGACCAACGGCAACCAGACGTTAAAGGTGGCCGTCTGTGCTATTGCAGACCCGTTAGTGCTATCTTCGCACCACGATCGATCGTGGTACCTTCATAGTGGTCCCGCGACCCGCCCTCCATCCGTTCCGGCCGCTCGGACCCAGCGGCATCGGCATCGTGTTCCATGTCCATACTGACCATCCGGTCCATAGCGTCCATTACGCATGCGTCGCACGTCACTCCGCTGCCTGGTGCAGGACGTTCTGGACGGCGTTCACTCGAAACAAGAGGGTCCAGCTCATAAACTTCCCGTATCAAGTTCGAGGTGCTGCTAAAAGTGGCCGGTGAGAGTGGGGTCAGTCGCTTCGCTGCGGAGTCATGTTACCAGGCAGGCGTTTGGTGACGCAAGCTGCGCACACGTCGAATCCAACTCGCGTGCATGCCGAGGAGCGGGAAGCACGAAAGGTCGCAAAGTCTGGACAGCCTCGAAGTCCAGAAAGGCGGTGACTATCCCCGTCTGGCGAAGGTTACGAGAGAATGTCAGGAGACGTGCAAAGGATCGAGCAGAAACCTCTTGCACCAGTAAGCGCTGTCAGCCAGAACTCTGTCCCGGTCAGTCACTTCTGCTGTTGGGCCGGAGCCAGGCCCGCAGAACCTCGAAAGCATATCTGGAAACGTCAGAGCTACCACAGTGTCGCGTGCCTGTGTGCGCGTCTCCATGTCTGCACCCAGGCCCAGCACAATGTTCAGGCCCGGATGGGTGAGTTTGCGTCCTTACACTGCCCGGCGAACAAGGGGAAGTGGGTGGGAGAGCGAGCGTTTCTATGTGGGGGGCAGAGGACCTGGGACGGAGGAGGTCGAGTGATGAGTCATGTTAAGGTTTTGTTCAGGGTGGTGTTACGTTAACGTGTGTCACAGTCTGTTCTTTTGGTTGACTTTGGTGCCGTCTCCCTTGTCGCCCTTACTCTCCCTCTTACTGCGCAAGACGGTTTCGAAATTTCAACGAGAGCATCTGCCGGCAACACCTTCGCCTCGCTCGGACCAGTGCAAAGGTGTAGAGGGCCAGAAGTGCACAACCGAAACGGGAGGAGAAGGACCCTTGCCTTCCAGAACAGCTGACGGGACCACTGGCATCATCACTGACGGCGGAGGGTACGATAAGCAGCAGCCCAGGTTCTCCCAGGTTTTCCAGGTTTTGGCCCCACGATCCACGAACGCTGGAAAGAGGGGGAGTGCGTACTCCTTTTGAGTTTGTCGAGTTTCCCAGAATGTGCCCGCTTTGTTCCTTGTTTTTGCCACTGCGCTTTCGACATGGACTGTCTCGTCCTTTGGTCGCCTGCCCGTGTCCCTCCTCGTCGTCCCGCCCCGGCTATCTGGCATGGTCAGTGCTGTACCCGTCCTTGAACCCGTCCTCAACCCGCGCGGCACGCGGCATGTAAATGCAAAAGCAGGAGGGCCCCCGTACCTATCCTCCTGATGTCAGTTGCTTCCTTTTGCATTCTTGGAGCTGTTCCGGGCCGGTGTGCCCCTCGCTTTTGCTCTATGGACGGACAGCAGAGGTGCGGAAACGCTCAAAACGTGCTACGCTACGGACACTTTCCGGCTGTTGCGTCCGGCTGAGAGCCGTATGAGACTGACTGATCTGCAGCAGGCCCTGCAACAGCCGGGCAGTACGACGCTCGTTGGGGCTATGGGGCAGTCCGAAATCGGTTGGCAGTTGTCCGAGGGTGGTCCGAATCGACAGTCCGAAGTGAGACAACGCAAGGGCACTTGCAACGGTGAGCTGCTTGAGACCGAGAATTCTAATCCGGGGGCCTGGTTTACTAGCCTCCTGGTGCTATTTACGAGCATAGGAACACGAGTTGAACTTTGGTCAGCGTGTTACCATTGGGATCGCTGGTGCGGGACCTCAGCAGGCCCTCGATAGCCCTCGATACAGGGGACAAGAGGGGATTTGAGCGGTGATACTCTGCCATTCGGGTCGCTGGCTTCGTTTCCAGCAACTCGACGATCAGCATGGAGATCCTGCACTACATTGTAGGAGTGGACGGAGCGCAGACGGCCCCGGACGCCCCACCCGTTGCCGCGCCGTGCATGGGCGAGCAGATGGGAAGTCCCGCAGTGGGTGTCCGAGGTGAAGATCGCAGACTCAAGACAGCGGACACTGCAGGATGGAGATGGAGCGTCGAACCCGAGAATGCGCGCAGCACAGGAAACAACAGCAGGCAACGTAAACCTTGTTTCCGCTGTGAATTGTCCAGCACGCGACCAAGCTTTGCTGAAAGCTCGCTCCAACAACTCTCAAGTATTCAGAGCAAGCTCAGGCTCAAACCAGTCTCTGCCCGCACAATGCGCACTTGCTGCCCGAATCCTGCTCATGGAGAAATACAAATAGTTACAAACATTTGAGATGTGTTCGACATTGCGGATGACGGTCCTTGAGATTAAGGATGAATTGTCTTTTGGTAATGCCGTCGACCTCCAGCTGAAAAGGTCAGATTACCCACGAAAAGGTCAGAAACAGCGGAGTATCGTCGGGCAGAACATGCGTCGTACTACCTTGCCAGAATGCACAACTCCCCGTTCTGCCCTCCCAATTGACCAGCTTGCCTGAATAGACAGCTGGTACCGAGCGCAAGCGCAAGCGACGCCGGGCTGGATGCAGCCAAGCAGTATGCAGTGCATCCCGGGTGCGAGTGGACGCTTATCTCTACCCGGCGTTGAAGGGTGTCACGCGCCTCCGAGCGGAGGGCGGATGTGCGGATGCCTCGGGCTGGGAGGCATGCCCGTCATATCCGCTGGCTGGCCGCTGGCTGGTTGGCCAACCAACGTCGTTCTGCCCGCTCGGCGTGCGCCGAACATTGAATCTGCTGCGTAACCCACGCCGGACCTCTCGGCGTGGGTTCGTGAGTTCCATTCAGAGAGGCCCGCAGGCACTGCTGGGTCAATCTCCACTCTGCGTCAGCTGCAGCCCGGCACGGCTGGGTCCCGTTGCGAGGTGACGGCCTCGTGACGGTGACGATGACGGCCCGGTGACAATGCAGTGCGTACGTGAGTGAATGGGAGAGTGAGTGCGTACGACAGTATGACAGATCTGCACTTCCAGCGAACAATTGTCGTTTCTCCATGGTTCAACCTTCGAACGCCACGCCAGCGTCGATCTGCCTCGCAGCTGGTGAGGATCGGCGGTAACGTCTTTTGATCGCCGCATCGATACGGGCAAATGCAGACAATGCGCCGAGACGTCTTCGCACCAGACGGGAGAAGCATGAGCATTGTTGGGGGAGAAGATTTGCGGATCCGACAGCTCCTTTTCGAGCGATGAGTGCGCGATGGGCAAGCGATTAGCGGAGGAGTTGGCCACATTGAACTTATGGGGCAGTACATTGTGCATTCAAGGTCTGGCCCAGCCAGAGCAGCCAAGGCGGCACGCGTCCTCGTCCTAAAGAGAAGATGCACGCACAAAGAGTATGCAGCGGTGCGATGGCGTGGGCGCGTCAGCAACATTCTCGCAATCAGAATGCGGGGATGTACAGGGGAGGATAAGAGGACAGGGTGGAGGCGTGAGCTGGGGCGGTGGTCGAGCAGCCCAAAAGCCCAGCGCCAGGTCTGGAATGGGGTGCTCCCTGGTCTTGATGCGACTGTTCGCTATCTGATTGCATCGATACGAGGCCCCTCTTCTGCCGCACTATGCGATATGCGATGCGAGATGGCGATACTGAGCATGCGATGCGAGACGTGCGGAACTGATTGTGCATGCGAGACACCCTCGTGTGCATGCGAGTGTCGCCAGATTGACCAGCCCGCACAGATGGCAGGTGCGATCGACGATCACAAGAGCACGCGTTCCTGATCAGGCCAGCTGAATGTTATTGCCTGCCTAATGCCCGTGCCGTTTGCAAGAAGCTGCTGCGGCCCGTCTGACCGCCGTACAGCCGTAGCCGTGCACGCCGTGGGGATGGAAGACCTCTGCGGATACTATGAATTGAACTGACAACTTGTTGCAGACGGCGGCGTATCCATGCATGCCCGCAAGCCCGAGGTGAGTTTGGGGTCCATGGGCCCCAGGACGAGCCAGGAGGATGCAGGACAGAAACGGTGCCTCAGGTATTCTCGAAGGGGCCAGTGGAGGGACACGCAGGACCAGCAATTGGGCAGCGGTGGAAAGTCAGGATCGTGGCGTTGGCCCTCTGCAGGCCCTCTATTCTGTCTGTTGTTCGTTCTACGGCGTGGCGTGCTGTTTCCAATGACACTTGCTGAATGCTTCCCAATACATCCCAATACATTCGATGGGTTGTCCCAATCGTTTCCTATGCTGCGCACATGGACGCACCGGGTTTGGAAGGGGGACGCGAACAAGAACACGTATGGGACGTGCCGGACAGGCCGGACAGGCCGTGCTGATAATCAAGGAACGCGCCAGAGGAACGCGCAGGTCCGCCATCGCCCTTCAGCCCTTCGTCGCCCTTCGTTCTGGGCCACCCAACAATCGCTAGAAACGTCTATGGACCACGTCGCGCAGGTCGGAGCTCCTCGCTTAGGAGACAGGAGGAGGCGCTGCTGCGTCGGTGTCCTCGTGGTGTATCCTGGAGGGTTAAGAAGACAGACGAAGGTACGCAGGTACGAGGGCAGACATGGTGCGACCAGGTGAGACACAAAGAAAAGCAAGCACGGTCCAACGCACGGTCATCAGTTGCAAAGTGCGATGCGAGCCGATTCACTGTTCTCGAGCAAGAATGAGGCTGTGCGCCGTGTGTTCCGATCTGCCGAGTCCGAGGGCCCTCACTCCTCCGACAGCCGTGCGCATTGCCGTGTGCGTGCCGTTGGCTGCCGTAGTGCATTCTTAGAAGCCCCAAACTGTCGGAACATCCGGGTGCCTCCTGCATTGACGCCGGTGCGCCGGTAATCCGGCGTGTTGCATGTAACCTACAGCGCTGTAGCCCCTCTGTGCGTCGCCGGAGTGTGTCTGACACTTTTGTGGCGTAGGAGCATACCCCGTGCATACCGCGCAGCACATGTGTGCGCAGGAGGCACTACTCGGCACGCAGGCACAAACAGCTGCTTGCGACACAGATGCGCGCCATAGTGGTCCTGTTGTGTTTCGAGCAGCGCACCAGAATTAGATCGCTTGGTATGCACCTCTGCCATTCGCAGCCCCCGTATTCTGCCGCCATTCTGTTACACCCCCGCAAACCCACTACGGCCACTATACAAGACCACTCCTCAGTCGATCTTGGAGTGTGTGGCTGAGACATACGAACAGCTGCCTAGGTTATCTCGTCATTTGCTCACATCACTCCCATTCTGCTAGCATGCTAGTCGGTCTACTCATGTCAGGTGCTCTGCATGGGCTGGGCGTTCCTCGAAACGTGCCGTGCAAGGAGCCGCTGCGGCTTGCTCGTGACTAACGCTGGCTCTGGTGGATCTGCCGGAATGAGTTCGAAGGAGTGTAGAACATCCTGTAGCCGGTTTCACAGAGTTGGTGGCGCCCACTCTCTCATCTCGTGAACTGCCGAGAGCACCGCTAAAGGGAAGCTACGAGAAGCACGAAGACTACGAGAACAAACGTGATGCTCGAAAACATGCGCATTCTCTGCATTCATGGGATCCGAGCACCGGCCGCGCCAGGCATCGATAGCGGGTCGCATCTGTGCGTTCCCGAAGCCCCCGAAGTCCCGAAGCCCGAGCCCGTCGCTCTCCGGCCTAGATCGTCCCCGTCCCCGACACCCCCATGCCCTCCGCTATAGTAGTGCCTCGGAGGACGGTCCGTGACGAGGCCCTCCCATGTCTCTACCCGCAGGCATCTTAGTCCATTCTAACGGTTCTAGCCACTCTAAGTGCCCCGGATCCGCACCAAGCACTATGGGAAGTATGGGGGGAGCAATGCATAGTGTCGAGTTGTCGAGTTCTCGCCAAGACACTCTCGCCACCCCCAAACACATTAGAACGCCGCACGCACGCACTACTGAATGAACCATGAATGTGCTCGTTTCGCTTCAAGTCGCTTCGGTTAGCAATGGGTGTATCGCCTTCTAGAGTTACGCAGCCACACAGACGGCTAAGCGATCGCAAGGCTGGCATGGCTGGCGATTGCTGATCTGCACTGCGGAACAGAAGAGCGCTCGCCGGTTACTACTGTCACGGAGGAGCACAATTGGGGTGGTGCGACAGTATTGCAGAGCTCAATGAGGTCTCATGTCTGCCGCCCGCGCCGCCCACCGCGCCCGAGACCGGTCAGTCACCGCGACCGCCATGTTACTCAGTTGGCTCTGAATTGCGTAGAAGCTGCCGGAGCATTGTACATGAGAAGTCCACATGTGTCTAACACTGCCTCTCCGGCGCGGAAAGAGTACCGAGCATGCCGAGCACTTTCTTTGAGATTTCGAAGTCACCACGAAGCAAACTCTTTGAGATAATGACCACGCATTTCAAACGCGGACACCGATCGCGAACTGCCCGGCACCGGCGGTACCGATACGATCGACGATCCCTCCGAACGCCCTGCCCGTATCCTTCCCTCGCCGAGCTCCGCGGCGCAGACAGAAGTGCACGTACGCACTACCCCCGCCCGCATGCTGTTGTGCCCGCATGCACGCACAAAACAAAACAGGTGTGGTTAGTTTGTTAGCTCGAACGCCACGCCGTTCGATCTCTCGAATTCAGTCTGAACTCTCGCTGCATGTCGGGAAAGTGCAGAGAGAGAGTGCAAAGAACAGGTGACCCTCTTTGTCCGGGGATATTCCGGGCGTTTACTACCTGTGGTGTATGTTCCGGATAGTGGCCCGCCTGTCCTTTTGTAACGGGGGATTTGTGCTTCTCTCCTCCGCACTTTGACTTTTTGTCTGGAGTGCGGAATTGGGCTGGCTGGGTGATCAGACTGGGAGAAGGTGCGGTACGGTGTGACGTGTATTGTGCGAAGGGCTGGGAGGCCTGGGAGGGGGAGATCGAGGCGAGGGCTTGCAAGGTTTGGACATGGTGTTGTGGGTGAGATGCCTGTCACGCAGCAGCACTGCACCAGCGTAGAAACGACGAAAAACTGTACCAGCAGCCATGGTGCACGCTGGCCAGACCTGGCCCTGAGAGGGTGGACCCTGGGTGCCCTACGCATCCCTGGAAGGGACTACCCAGGGAAGATGGGCCAGGGCGCACTCCAGGGTCCATCCAGGGCGTCGAGGGCACGCAGGGCTCAAGGGCAACACCCAGGGTATCAGTCGAAGGGCTCGAAGGGCTCCAGACGCGCCAACTCTATCCTCAAGCACCGTCCTTGTCCTCCATGTCACATCATCCACCCACCACTACCTACTCTCTCTCTCTCCACACTCCTCTTGCACGCTCTGCTTCTTGCACACCTCTCTTCATATATTACTCCTACTCTCCTTATCACCCTCTTCCCCCCTCATACCCTCCTCCTCGCTCCACCTCTCTTACTCCTTCTTCTCTCTTCAAAACGCTCAACGCTCAACTGTTAGCTTGTCCTCATCCGACTCCCTTCTCCTAACGACCACCCAGCCCTTCTCATCACCCCCCACTCTCCCTCACACCTCTTCACCACCTCAAGCGACAACCCGCCCTTCACAGCCAAAGAGCTGTCCCTTGTCACATTACCTTCACCATGCTCCTCGCTACACCGACCTTTGCCTCGGCGTCCTCTTCCGCCTCGGCCTCCTCCGTCTTCCCTACCGGCACCCCCGTCTTCACCCCGATCTCACCAGAGTTTGAGGAGCGGATCCACCCGGCCTCGCTCGACGCTTGCGGGCAGCATGACCCCGCCCTCCTCGAGCTGATCCGGTCCGACGTCTCGCGCGACCTCATCTGTAAGTTGGGCGACTAAGTGTTTCGAGTGTGGACTAGTTACCCTAACCACCCCCAGCTTTCATCTCCCGTACCACGACCTCGGTCATTGGAAGCTCAACGACCATCAGCGCCAAGGACGAGGCGCAGGCCGCGGGCATCCCCTCGCTCACCACCTTCATTGGTGTCGTGTGCGAGCAGTCCAACGTCCAAGTCTCCACCCTCCTCGCGACCATTGTCTACCTCGAGCGGCTACGCAGCCGACTGCCCCGGTTTGCTAAGGGTGAGTCCAACTAGTCGTACCCGCATCGCGGGGCGGAGCATCAGTCGCCGTGATTATGTCCAGCGCTAACCAGTCAGGCCTGCCGTGTACGCGCCACCGTGTGTTCCTCGCGACACTTATCTGCGCTGCCAAGTATCTGAACGACTCCAGCCCGAAGAACAAGCACTGGTGCCGCTACGCCCAGATGTTCTCCCAGCCCGAAGTCAACCTGATGGAGAAGCAGCTCCTATTCCTACTCGACTACGACCTTGCCGTCTCCGAGTCCGAGATTTGCCATTACGCCCGCCCCTTCCTCGAGCAGTACACGTTCGAGCCCGAGATCCCCCGCCCCGCTCTCGCCACGCCGCCGAGCACTCCCCCCGACCTCCCTCTCCCCGTCACGCCGCGCCTGCCCTCGGGCGAGACGTGCTACTACGCCGACGACGCTCCGTCTCTTGACCGCAGCGACTCGACGTCCTCTATCGGCTCGGACGGCCCGGTGACGCCCGCGTCCTCTGCCTGCTCGCCGGTGCACCGCATCGCCGTCGCCGACGCGCACACGCACGCTGCCCTCTCCCCCGCTGCCGTGCCAACAACGAAAGATGCGCGCCAGTACGTCCGCCGGCTATTCAGCCGACGTGCGTCCTCTGCCGCCGTCTAAATGACCAACCTCAACACTCTTTGAACCACCGCATCGACCCTCATTCCAACTCCTCTTTTGCATACATAGAAACATTTTGGGTTTCCGGGCCACCACCGCCCTCCGCGAGGGCGGCCATCCCCCACGCAATAACGACCAACCATAACGAGCATGCCGCGCCCGGTGCAGCGCACCCGGGCCGGTCCACGAAAAGCAACCCCCCCTGTCTGGCGGGGGGTTGAATGTAACTCCTGTAGAACGTCAATCAAACGTAGCATAGACCTGTTTCCTGGCCATTGTCAGACGAGACGTATGAATGTCACATAAACTGGAAGACAGAAGTGGTGGAGAATACCCCGCAATAGTCATGGAATGATGGCTGAGACAGAGTGGGACGGAATAGTGTGCTGGGCGCGATGGGTGAAACCGGTGAGACAGGCGTGGTGCGTGGTGCGTGGTGCGTGCGTGCGTGGTGGTGCGCAGTGGCAGGAAAAGGGTGGGGAGTACGCAGTGTCTCACCACCAGGTTCCAACTTACTGTTACACTGAGCGTCCACTGACATGTACACTGGGATCACGCACGTCTCCCCGGAATCACGACCACGACGCCGTCTCGCCATCCCTGCATGACTCCAGAGTACGAGAGTGCGTCACTGTTCCAGAAGCTCAATGTTGGGTACGACACTAGCAGTGTGTGTCCAGTTGTACAGTCTAGTGTCAAGTTTGTGCGTCAGACGTTCTGTGCATTGGGAGGACAGGCGACACGGGTCTGGTCTTCGTTCAGTCATCCTGTGGTCCGTACTCCGTGTTGTGCTGATTGCTCGGCTCGGATCGCAGCGCACATGCGTAACAGCGACACGGCATATCGGAAGACTTCAACGCCACTGACGCCGATGTCTGAGTCGGAGCCGGGTGTATTGTTGCTTGCGAGGTGCTGCGTGCTCGTGACGAGTGTGGGCTTGTCAGTTGGCCTGCAACTTCATCAGGTGCATTCAGTTGTCTCTCCTTCACTTGTGCCATGCGTTGTGCTCGGTCTGGACTGTGGCTGCGAGTCACAAGTGCTGAACAGCCGTCAATGCGACAGTCTGGGCAGCTTGTTGCGCGCCGTCATGTGCCGCTCTCGCCCATCAACAACGCGCATTACGGACACCGAAGGACACTGTGCAGCGCATGCATACTAACCAGCTACGTCGACGCGTTGGTGTGAGCGGGTGACGAACCACGGCTTCAGATCATTAATTGCGGGTAACTAGCTGCTGACCGGTGCCCGCATGCATAATCGTGTTCCCTTTCGCTCCCCCCCTTCTCGCCTGCTAGCAGGCTACTCGTGTGAGTGGTGCAGAAAGGAGAGTGTTGTGATGGTCCAGAACGCACACCTGCAAAGCTGAACAATCTGATATGACCCCTCACGCGCGCCACCCGACATGGGTAGATGGGAGAATCAGGGCAATGGGTGTCGTTTTCAGTCCCGCGTCTTCCCTTCCCTCCTGCTCTCTCCTCTCCTCTCTCTCCTCCGTCTCTCATCTGTCCCTCGCTCATACTGCGTGCCTGTCCTCCTCATCTGTCACCCGCTCTCCCACCCATACTGCTAGCTTGTCCAGTGAAAGTCGGGCGAAGGACAGACGGTACAACTGACGAATGCGACGACGACAGAACCAGGTCCTGGGTGATGGACGGGAAGAGAGTTGACCTGAGTACCAATCCTCTGAGCGCGTCCCGATGAATCTACCACTGCCCCGTTGCGCTCCCTGCGCAGTTTGGGATACGTATCGTGCAGAACTGGGCCGGGCGGGAGCACTACGGTACAACGAACGGAGCGGCGGGGTCACGCTGGAATGGAGGGAAGCTCCCTTCTTCCCAGTCACTACATATCGAGCTCACTCGACCAACTTCCTGCCCCGCGTGCCCTATGGCGCTCACGGTCTCCTGTCCTGACAGCCAGTGGCAGGTTCCGGCACTCTCCAATGACCATGAAGCACAGGTTACACGTCAGAGTCACCACGTATGTTAATCGTTATGCGGAAAGTTGGCATCCAGGACATGGCGTGACGCGGCATGACTCACGCCACTCCAATATGCCGGCAGCGTTATGGTCACTCTCTGTTGGAATTTTGCTTATCATGCAGTCACGAAGAAGCATCGGGCGTCGGGATAGAAGTCGGGCGGATGCGCGCGGGCAAGCATGCATCGGGCGTACGGGACACGACATCGTCGATGTCAGACAGGTGGACACAGGAGACGGAGGAGCGACTACGACCAGCCCGTCCAGGCAGCAACGGGGCGTGCTCTGCTTGCTCTATGTTCTTTATGTGTCTTCGGAGACTGAGAGTCGTCCCAAACTCGTCGTCGTCGCAGCATAGATTGGGAGACCTGGGGGGATCGTCGCATGTCACCTTTGCGTGTGCGCCTGGCGGGGTACCCTTCCAACACCGGCCTTGCCAGACTGCGTCGCAGGTCACTTTGGCGTGCGTCAGTAGAGGCAGAGACTCGCAAACGTGCGACACGGAGTAACTCGCACTATGAAGCATGAAGCATGGCCCATCAAGAAGCAAGAGGCACGCAGCGTACGTGCGCTCGCTTTGCTGTCGTCTTAAAGTGGCCTCGTGGAGATCGTCGCAGCTGTTTGACGTCGCAGGCTACATAACCATGCAGCGCGTAACAAGGGCCGTCTGCTGGGTCCTCGTATGGAGTCTCCAACGTAAGGAAGGTACGTCGGCGACCCAGTTTGCGCTTAGCTGACGTTAAGAGTGTGTCAGTGACTCGCTGCTTCCAACGGCTCGTAAGAAGGCACAGTTCGAGTGCGTACTCTTCCCAGTCTGGGGTATCAGCTGTGTAACACTAGTCTTCCAGCTGAACAGTGACCAGCGCTTGGTGTATATCAGAGGCTTAAGAGCATGGAGCAAGCCGCGACGCAAGCTGTGATAAGAGGCACGCCGACGACGCCGTCGCCGCACGTCCTTTCGCTGCTGCGTGGCTCCGTACTCCCCTCCCTGCTTGCTCCAGTTTCGGACTCCAGGTGCTCCAGCCGCGCACCCTGTTCCATGCATCACCGCTCAGATTACGAGGTTTCGGTCCCTGCTCCGTGCACATCCGTGCACCAGACAAGCTGACCGGCCAGCTCGCCGGCGTCGCCGGTGTCGCCGGCGTACCTGCCACTTCGAGCTGGAAACGCAGCACCCTCGGCCACTTAGACTCGAGCGTTGCCGTCCGCATGACCAGGCCTGGGTGCGTCCGTTGGACCAGCAGTGTCCGTATGCTCCGTACGCAGACCGCGTCGTGCGCGTCTGTGTGCGTTTCGTGCGTTTCGGTTGGCGGCCAGACAGGCCAGACCGGGAGTACGACGCCGGTGCTTAACGCTGCTTGCTTACGGCGTAGCTTACGGCTTGCGGCGGAGGCAAGGCACAGGAACGTCCGAGGAACGGAGGCCGCTGCTATGTCGCTTCGCTCACTCCTCTGCCCTCTGTTCTTGCCCTGCTCCGCCCTGCTCGCCCTGCTCGTTGCGTAAGACTCTGTGCGGACCGGCACCCCTGCCCTGTGCATCTGAGGCGTGTTCTGTGACTTGCGAGAGGAAAGAGAAACACTCCAGCGAGTTAGAGTTGATTCCCGCAATCCCCCTGCCACGCAAGCTGGCCAGGATGGCCAGACCTCGCACCTCCCCCTTGCAGCCCCCCTCTCGTATCCAGATGTGCTGCAAAGCAAATAGCGCACCACTCACAACTTGCGACTGGTACTTCAGTGACTACACGTAAGCAGCGTGCCTCCCGGTCCAGCCATGTTCAAGCATGTGCTGCTCAGCGTACGACGCCGGCTTTGAAACCGTCAGAAAGGACACAAGGAGCATCTCGTTACATCGCTTGCAGGACCGCTCTCGCTGTGGTCCACACCTCTATGCGAAACATGCAAAACATGCGCAACATGCATACCTGTGCCGTTCGCAACACCGGTCCGCTCCGCGCAGATCTGGGGCCATTGTCTGGGTACCCGACTCCGCTGTGACTGTCGGTTCTCAACCTCGGGTTCCGCGGGAGACTGACGGGGACCTGGTCGGGGCGATCAGGCAATCAGGCATGAACATGGGCGATCAAGCACGAGGGGATGTAACGGGGACGTTGCAGGTACCGCTAGCAAACAAGCATGTGGAGCATGACCACTCGAGGCGAGACAAAAGGTACGAGTGCCATTGCCAGCCAGCGGGCATTGTGCATTGTTGTTTTGCGGAGCGGAAGATCTCGCACAGCATGTGGTGGCAGCGCCGTGGAGCGCCTGTCTCAGCGCCTCACGCTCATCGGTCGTCAGTGCGACGCTCCTATCAAGTCACCCGTTTCCCATAGTCTCACTTCACTCAAAGTGGCGAGTACAGCAATCATGCTGCCCGCTGCCCAGTTGCCCAGCTGCCACGTCGTAAGCACCTGCATCGCCATGAGCAATATGAGCAAGAGAACGCATTCATGCCCGCTCCCAGGTGCCCAGGCACAGATTGCCGCGGAAGCACGAGCCGGTCAATGTCGTTTATTGAGGTACGCCCCCCGTGCAGTGCTGGCCAACAGGTCCCCCGCAATTGATATCTACCCGGGGCCTTGGGCTAGTGTGAGCAACCTCCGGACCGTGGTCCGCAACAATGGCTCGCATGACGAAAACTCCCCGGGCGTCCGAAGTCCGGCTGATCGCCGACTGCGCATGCGCACATGAATGAATGGGATGGTCATGGCAGTCGGAGATGAAAGCGTGGGATACTCATGGTCGTGCGTATGTGAGACCAAATGCGGAGGACTTTAGTCTCAAGCATGCCCGCAACCTTCATTTGCCATCCACGGCCTTGTCTCTGGATCGAAGTGTATTCAGCCCCATCGTCGCGAGAGGGCGGGTCGCAACCGAGATCACCTAGAGTCAACTGGTTTCAACCAGTTCTCAATGGCCACAACGCAAAACTCGATGCTCCCAGCGCCGAATTGGTGTGCGACCCGAGCTTCCCAGGCTTGCACAGAACAAGTTGGAGCTAGTGTCGCTCAACTGGAGTCGTTATCTGAGACACCCGCCAACCTTCTCGCGGCGCCAACCGAGCCCCCAAGCATGCGTACGTGCGCCACAGAGAGTTGGTAACCACACACTCGGTGAGTATCGATCAGCACAAGCATGGTGCAAGGGCAGGAACCGGGCCGTCCGCGCACCCGGTGCCATTACCGCCCGGGTGTCTCTGAACGACAGCGGCGAGCACAGTGTGCCCGCACGTGGCGCAGGATTCAGCGGGAACATGAGATTCCAATTGCTGTCTTGCCTCGTATCGCGGGAGATCGAGCAGATCCAGATGCACATCCATGTCCATGCACATGGTAACGGCGACGACGTCCGTTGCGCATGCGTGCGGGTGTGTCTGACTTTTGCTCACGGGTGCCGCGATCCAGATCGCCGTTGGTTGCAGCGAGAGCACGCACGTCAGCCACCCCGTCCCGAGGCGCCTTCTGTGCGCACGAACATCGTGCTTTGAATTGTCGGACACATGCACAGAAAGCTGGCAGCCTGGCCGTGCTGGCCTACGTCGGAGCAAGCCAAAAGTATCCCGGGCCAACTCAGGTCCACTTGCATGCTGCATACGTGCCTCGCGGCATGCTTTGGTGAAGGTGTGGTAGGAGCTGACCTGCCTGCAAAACAGGCCAGTAGGCAGCACGAAAAGAGCACGGTGCTCCCGAGATTAACGACTGAAGCTTATCTGGGCCTGACCCGTCACAGCGTGATGGCAGTCACGCTGTTCCTGCGTTCCCACAGAGCTACACCAGGTACAGGTATGCATGCATGCACCGCCTGGATCTCGGTGCTGGGCCATTCCCATGCACCGCTCGATCGGTGCCGGGCGCGCGGGTGAACATGGCGAAAAAGTAAATGTACTGAACGAGATTGGCAGGTGCGGACCAGGGACGCTTTAAGCATTGTCGGAACACCTGGCACGAGCACACCTGGCTACGCCCGCGATGACTACCAGCGAGCTAAGTGCTCAGCGACAATTCAACGCAGGCCATGTCCGGGAGTCTAATCGGCGGACCAGTTTGCGTGGGTAGCTGCAATGTCTCCTATCATTGCTGCAAATAGAGCGTAGATTGTGGCACTTGAGTGTCTACATGGCGTGGCAACTTCCTCGATGAAGCCTGTGGTCAGGCGCTCACCCGGTCCAACCAAATTGACAGCAGCGTGAGTCAGGTGCAGACCGACAGATGAAAGGCATCGAGGAACTCCGCTACCAGGGGCCGTGTGGCGGGGCCTACAAGGTCCTCCGATTCTTCAGTTTCTTTGCGGTAGGGCGACGCAGCTTGCAGCGATAGTCTGACAAAGCAGCACAGTAATGAGTCTTTCAAGTCTGGGCATGTCCCCGAAGCCATGGTTTGTGGAGCCGTACCGGTGAAAAAGGTGTAGTCCCCTGTGTGAGCGGGACGGACGAACCGGAGGACAGGCTGCACAGGCTGCACAGGCTGCACAGGCTGCACAGGCTGCACAGGCTGCACGAGCTGTCAACTCTGTCGTCGCCTGGTCAATCATACCCGCTTGCAGCCCGGTCGGTCGCGCTCTCCTTGCAATCCTGTCAGCCTCACGGACATCGATAACTCGAGGCAACCAGTCCTCGGCCGTCAGAACTTCCAGAGCTGTGTCCGTCCCCGCTTGCGCTCTCGGCGACAACCTGGAGGGAGATCAGAGGAAGCAATGCCGCTAAGCCTGCTCCCTGGGCCGTGTGTCAGTGCAGTAGGCAATAACTCAACCGTCTCAGCCTCGTTGAGCTTTCGGGTATCCCGCTGACCGCTGACAGCGACGGAGTGCTCTTTCCGGCGGCCGAGTGCCACACAGCACTGAGCTGTCCAATGAAATGCATGTGAGATGAGATTCGGTGCGGATAATAAGAAACTTAACGCTTGACCCAGGTGTACTGTTCCGTTAGCTATGACCTTCTCGACAAACCAGCTTGTACTCACGCGCTTGCGGGCCTTGGGACGGTTAGTCTTCTTACGCTCGACGATACGGGCGTCACGGAAGAGCAGACCGGCGTTGTAGAGGACCTCGCGGGACTCGGGGCGCATGATCTGGAGTGCGCGCGCGATGCCGAGGGCGACGGCGTCCTTCTGGCCCGTCGTGCCGCCTCCACGGACGAGGGCGAAGACGTTGTAAGCTCCCAGCAGACCCGTGAGGCGGAGGGGGCGGAGGACCTTTTCGCGGTCGTCGACATGGCCAAAGAACTGGGGGAGGGGGAGGTGGTTGACGAGGATCTCGGAGGAAGGGGGGCCCGTCGAGTCGCGGAGCTGGGCGAAAGTCTCGGCCGCCTCGTCGACGGCCTCGTTCGCCTCCTCGACCGCGATGCGCGCCGAGCGCCGCTCCTCGTCACTGCCCTTGTCGGCGAGCTTGGCCTCGCGCGCCTTGGAGGCCGTGAGATGCTTCTGCGCCGCGTCCAGCTTCGTCAGCGAGTCCTGGACCGAACGCTGCGCCTGCGTCGGTACGAGCCACACACGAGCGCTCGACGTCTTCCTCCGTCCGATAGCGTACGCGCGTCCGTACTCGTCCAGGTCCCGCTTGCCCTTCTTCACCTTCTTGTCCTTCTGCTCGCCCTGCTTCGTCTCGACCTGCGTCACTCCGCTCGACGCCGCAGCGTGCTTACCCGCCGCAACGGCGTCGGCCTCGGCAACAGGGTTTCCCTCCGCCGCGGCGACGAGCGCGGCCTCCTCCTCCTGCCGCGCCTTGCGGGCCATGCCTCCCTGCTCGAACGGCGCAATGACATCGGCGAGGCGCTGCGCAACATCGTGCTGGTTCGCGAGCTTGGCGATCTGGCGCATGCGCGCGAGCGCACCAAGCGTACCGACGAGATAGCCGTAGTCCTGGTCGGTGCGCATCGTGAACGCGAGCGACTCGCGTGGCAGCCACTTGTACTTCGGCACGGGCACCTTGGGCAGTCCACGGGGAAGGGGGAGGATGTACTGCTGGCGGAGCTTGGCCTCGCCCTCGCGCAGGGCCGCCTGCAGCGTCTCGATGATCGTCATGAGCTCCGGCCGCGTCGTGAAGTGGTTGTCGACGGGGCGGGGGCGGCGCTGGAACGCCACGTCGCCGTTCTCGTCCTGCCAGCGCGGGCGGAAGCCGGCACGTCGGTTGCGCTGGAATCGCGGGCCAGAGTTGTCGGAACCGGCGGACTCGGAGGCGCCCTCGGCCTGCGACGTCGACATGGCGCGAGCACCGAGGGTGCGCAGGAGTGGCCGTGTCGCGCGCCCGGCGACGCTCGCGGCGCTCGTGATCGACATCGTCATCGCGGTGCGTGTCGGTGTCGGGAGGTGGTAACGAGCTAGACGTAGGTGGTAGCTAGACCTGCGGTTCGCCCGACTTTTACCAGGTGGTCCGCAAAAGTCAGGCCGCGGGTGGACTTTCGGACCTGTCGGGACCAATCTTATCAAGTTTCATCCGACGCACACGTGTACTTTCCGCCGTCCACCGTCCTGGTCATGTTGACAACAAGTGAGCGCAATGAGCGATCGCGTGCTTAGGTAACCGTCAGCGAACGGATGCATGGAAGACCGGCTAGAGTTATCAGATAGCGAAAGTTGGTCGAACGCACCCCCTGGACCTTGACTCTGCTCTCCCGACCACACCTCCACGACAACATGACCGTCACCCCGCAGCAGATCGAGGACAAGCTCCGCGCAGCCATCCAGGTCGACCATCTCGTGCGTGTTCAATCGCAGCTCGCTGAATCGGTCCGTGTGCAAGCTGACAGCCACAGGAAATCATCGACACCAGCGGCAACTGCGGAGGTGCATACAACGTCGTCATTGTGTCGCCCGACTTTCAGAAGAAGATGACGCTGGCCAGGCATAAGATGGGTGCGTGTGCTTGTGTGCCTGCTGCCCTCACCAGTGTATTCCCAGTTGACGTATGCAGTGAACCAGATCCTGGCTGAGGAGATCGCCAACGTCCACGCCTTCTCTCAGGTACGATCAGCTTTAGGAGCTAGAGAAGTAAGCTGACATGCAGAAAACATTGACGCCCGAGCAATGGGCTAAGGAGCAGGCAAAGTAAGCGTCCTATCTGTTGTATCATTACTAGAGTCATCGTCTAAGCGGTGGGCGTTGCGGCAGGAGCTCAAGGGCGTCGGGTCCTGCCCAACGGGGGCACCCGCGCTTCGCTGTTAGCGCTTCGCGACGTCTGCGCCGATTCGCTCGCTTCGCTCGCCCGCGCTAGCAAGGTCGTATATGTGTAGCATGTAAAGGACATGAGGGCACTAAGCCAGACAGACCCAATATAATCTATGATACTGTATAAGTGGTACAACAGAGCGGAGCTTCTCTATTCTATCGCCTGACCTGACACTAACCCCTCTTCCTCCGTCCGTTCATCTGCTCCTCGTACTTCAGCCGGAGCGAGCGGTCAACTGTTTGGACATAGTACTTGCCCGAGTCGGCCTTCCAGCTGACCCAACCTGAGTAGTAGCTGTACGGCTCGCACTTGAGGATACTCGCGAACGAGTCACAGTTCATCTCGTTTATTCTGAAGCCCTCGGGCACAAAGGGTTTCAGTGAGATGATCTTAGCGCCGTCCTTCAAGTCCAAGAAAGAGTGCGTCAGTGCAATGTTCAACGACGAAGGGAACACCTCGTTGTTGACCAGCACGACGTCCGCCTTGGCCAACTGCCGCGCCACCTCGGGATGCCGCGTGAAATCGCCCTCGTAGGTGATCGCGTCTGTGTTGCCCTTGAGTGACCACATGGCCCAGCGGCGCTTGCACTCGGCGAGCTGCATGCGCGCACAGCGAGAGGGCACAGGGAGGAGCTCGAAGCCTGAACTCTTGCATCCGGCCTGCAGGGCAGCCTGCACGACACAGTTGCCGACACCGCTGCCTAAGTCCACGAAAACGCTGTCGGGGCCGAGGTCTGTCTGCTCGATGACCTTCGACATGAAGTTGTGTCGCAGCTCGCCATAAGCGTCCTCCTTCTCGTGGATGGCGGCAGCAACCTCGTCCGGGTGCTTGGGGTGGTGCTCCAGCTGGTCCGAGAAGGGGCCGACGACGCGCGAGTACGCCTGGTCGTGCACAAAGTCCACGAGCTCCGACCACTCTCGGCGCGTGATCCGGTACTCGCTGCTGTTCAAGTAGGTGGCCAGCGTACCGTCGGCCTGAATCTCGGCGAGCGCCTTGTTGAATCGCTTAACGGCCTTGACCAGTCCAGGGCCATCTCGTCGATTCGGCGCAAGGGCCCGTCGGAGAGCATCTCCGATCGTCTCGTGGGTGAGCATCGGAGAGCCCTCACCTGCCGGCGAAGCTCCTGGGGTCGGCGTGTGGAGGCGGGAGGGGACAGTCGATTCGAAGTCCCCGCTGGACTCGAGGGTGCCGAAGATATGGCTGTGAGAGGGAGGTATGTAGTCTAGCATTAGCTTTGTGGACGAGGAATACAACTCACGTTCAAGTATGAGCCTCAGCGCATTGCGGAGCTCGCTGACAGGGTTATACTCTCGTTGAGACATTGGTGTCAATAAGATGAACCTGAGCGTCAGTTTGAACTGTCCTGCTCCGCAACTTACTTCTCCGTAGCGCCTGAAGGATAACGAAGCTCGACAGAAGGGAGCGGTTCAGCATTCTCGAAGCCGGGCTGAGGGAAGTCTGAGGACTGTTAGCGAGCAGAAACGCATAACAGAGTAACTCACAAGCCTGGTACTTGTCCCTCTGCTCCTTGCTCTCTTTGTCTCCGCCGGCCCAGCCGGTCACGCGGCCCCTCAGCGCTTCCTCACACTCCACAAATCCGGCCCATCCTCTTCCCCACTCTCCGCGGGCATCGACGAGCTGCGGGCAAAAGAGTTTCCGGTCGACGGGGAGATCTGCTCCACCGATATCTGGCGTCGAGGCGCTGAGACCTACCCGCCGCCGCTTCGGAGCGAGAGCATCGTCGCTGTCGCTTTCGGAGTCGGAGGGAGGAAGAACTCGTTGCGGCGATTGCCTCCTCTTTCTGGGAGCGGGCGACGCCGTCTTCGACTTGGACACAGCGGCGTGGGCGGGCGAGTTGCGCGAGAAGGAGCTCTTCGACGAGCTCGAGGCCGGCTTGCGGTCATACGAGCTGCTTGACGGCGGTTTCTTTTGTAGCGTGACAGTCGGAGACGGCTTGGCCACCGCTGCTGGACGGTGCACGACCTTCTTGACGGTGACGGTGGACACGCCCGGCTTCGAAGACGGCTTCGAGTTGCCGAAGAACGACTGCATCGGTGTCGATCTTGGCGGCTGGTGGATGTGGGCGAGATCGAGCGGTTTGCTGACAGAGTGTAGGATGCCAAAGTCGATGGAAAACGGAGGTGCATGAAAACGCAGACACGACCACTCACCGATCCCTCTTTGTCAACACGGTCCCTGAATTTCCTTAGTAACTCATCCTGGTGGCGACTGCCGCGCACGCCGTGCCCGCCGCTTGCCCGTCGTTGGACAATGGTTCGAGCGACCCCGTCAACACACACACGTATTGGTACACTGGTCATGCATGGATATGGCACATACGTACATACAGATACACGCTCTACTCCTGCTTCCTGACCTTCACTGATCGCCCGTCCTTGATAATCTCCACAAAGTCGTCCCCGAGATCAGCGTTTTCGTCCTCCACGACCTCGCCGCTCTCCACGTCCTGGCGCTTGGGCACTTGCCCGTCCTCCAGCTCGTCGGCCTTCCTCTTAAGAGCCGAAGCTGCCGCTTCCTTTTTCTCCTCCTCGGCCTTGGCTGCAGCAACGAGACCCTCGGCGCGGCGCTCACGGTTGGCGGCGTTGATCTGACCCTTGGTGCGGGTAGTTTCGCCGTCCTTGGCCTCGGTTCCGTTCGCCGCAGAGTCGCTGGCCTTGGCGGCGTCGGCGGCCACACGAGCGGGGTTGAACTTCTTGTACTTTTCGTAATCCTGAACAACACTCATTCCGAGCAGATGCTTATGTCAGCTAACGCACACACACTTCGGTAGCTCACCCTGAACGTGTCGATGATGATGGTGCGGTCCGGGTTCTTGAGGTCGACGCTGTGCGCGGGGTTGAGCTTGGTGACCTCGTCCGCAACGGCCTTGATAATCTCGAGGCGATCCAGAGCATTCGAGTTGCGCGAGTGGGTTTGAATGCCGAACTGATGTCAGCTGGAGCAAACAAACATTCCCTAGCTTACCTTCAGTCCGCGGTCATCGTCCGTTTTGAAGCCGTCGGGGAGCACCTTCAGCGACGCCTCCTTGAGCTCCTCCATGTCGGCCCTACCGACAGCGTGGAAAGGGATGATGCGCTGCGCAAAACGGAAGCTGCACTTTTGGGTCCTCTCGGCCTTCTCGAGGATGAAGCGAACAAGTTTGGAAGGGTCGAGCGGCTCGAGAACGATAATATAGCAGACTGATTGTTACATTCGAACACCCAACTGCAACTCACCACAGGGCGCCTCGCGCTTGCACACACGGAAACGGGTGGACTTCTGCACCTGCTTCTGGTTCATGCCCTCGAGCTCCTTCTTGAGCATGTCCTCGATGTCTCCGTCTTCCTCGTCGTCCTCCTTGCCTTCCTCGGGGTAGAGCTCGTCCGCCGCCTCCTCGAGCGCTTCGAGGATCTCGCGCTCGGCCGTAATCTCCTTGCCTTGCACTGTCGTCACCGCGATGCCGGGAGCAGTGTACATCTCGGGCTGCTCGTTAGCTCATGGCAACTGACTGCAAGCTGGGGGAAGGAAGACACTCACTAGAGGCTGGGTGCGGTACTTGGTCGAGGATCCGCCAGCGAACACGCCCTGGCCATCGCCGCCGCGAGGCGGACCGCCCTTGGACCCGTGCCACTTCTTGCCTCGGTTTCCGCCTTTGCCGCCGCGAGCCATAGTGTCCGAGGGTTTGTTGTTGACTTTGCGGCGTCCTTTGGACAAGCCGAAATTATGGTGGCCGATCCGGAAGCAACACGATCATGATGCGGAGAGTGTGCTATGTCCGCTCATCCACCTCCACCAGACCGAGATCGAGAAGGCCCGTTCGTGACCATCACCATCACCCACACTCTCTTTCAGGTTTGTTTGTCACTTCGAGTTCGATCAAGCATGCGGAATGCAACTTAGGTTGGTCCAGATCCGATCGCAACGTCATGCATCCCGAGAAGACCAGGAAGTAGCGAGGATATGACGCAGGGGAGTCACTGGGTGCTTGTCGGCTTCCCGGAACGACGGGAGATCGGCGATCGAGCTGGTGACTGGTGTTGTTTTCGTGACGACGATCCTCACAAGGTGAGCACCAAGTACGCCAGATGTGGACATGGCGACTTGGTGATGCAAGCACAACAACAAGCGCACCGGCGACTAACGCTTAATGTACGCCGGACGTGCCGGGAGGTCTACCGGTGATTCCACCGGAAGCGATTGGTGGTCTGACGTCGTACTGTCGTCGGGCTTGCAGTTGATCGACCGCGGGATTCGGTTCCAGCCGCCATCGACTAGTCCTGCTTGCAATCCACTAGGGGTTCGCCGCTAGATATCTGGAGACCGTTCGTATCCGCTGACAACCGTCTCGTCTTGGCCTGACGGACCCCATTTCACAGGTCTCAATGCTTGAATCGCACTCTTGTTGTTACTGCTGTCACGCGCGTCTATAGCTTGTAGCTTGTAGCCAAAGTCGCAGCAAGCGCATTCCCAAGAGAGGGACCGTGTGGGTCTAACACTGTTCCGTGCAGCGGTTGGTGAAGGAGGAACGAGTGGAGTATGTGAGCGAAGCGTGGGTGTTGCAATTGAGTGGGGAGAGCTAGAAGGAGGCAAGAGGCATAGTGGGTCGCTCGATCGTACGTAGTCGTGTTGATGAAACCATGAAGTGGTTGCCGTCGCGCCATGCGAGGTGTCTTGAACCCAGTTCTGGCGTCAGTCTGAAGTCAAACTGGAGTCAGTTCTGATTCCAGTTGTTCCTACTCTGCAGCGTTCCTCCGTGGCCCCTGCCTTTCCTCTCTAACGTCCCCGTTCCTTCGGTACCTTGCCCCAGTATGGGGTCGAACGTACGTAGCTTAGCTGTGACGACGATTGTACACCACGGGGCAACGAAGTGCGGGGAGAAATGAGTACACCTAACCCATAACTCTGACTGGGCGAACGGTGAGTTCAGCCCGTCAGACTATCAGAGCGTGGTGTTGCGTCAGCGCGAGGATAACGTCAACCTGAAGCGGCAAGTGGCAATGAACGTAAGGGGCAAGTGATCGACGCGCACCCGAAAAGCGTAGCTTGACAAACTGGCACAGTTTCGCATTCCCCTCCGACTGGACCCACCACAACGGCGACAGCACCCCCCACTGGACAGTGGAGCAAAATGTAACTGAGTCTGACGATGTCGAGCCCGCGAGCGTGCTCATTTAGGTACAACTACTTTGCCGGTGACGTTAGTCGCCGTGCGGTTCCGCCTCCCCCTCCTCTCTGGCTCTCCGCTGGCTCGACTGGTGCGGATCCAGCAGACTGGCAATCTCCCCGAGGCTGCCGGCAGCAGCACGGCAGCCCCGGAGACCCGAGGTAGCAACAGATGATCTGCGTTTAGACCCTTTGCTGGAGTCGCCACCCACTATACGGAGCGACACCGATGTATTGCGTAGCCCACTGCTGGCCACCGGTCGTGTCAAGTCGTCATATACCGCGCCGCGTCAACAACTGAGGCCAGTGAGGTATATAAGACCTAGGTCGTCGGTATGCATTCAGACTCTTCCTTGAGATCCATCCATCTCCCCACCAAGACGTCTGGTGGCGTTCTTTCGTTCATAACCCGAGCCGGCCCATCTCCCCCGCAGCCATCGTTGGCCATCCCAGACGTTGCGGCAGGGGACGCCGGCTCGATACGTTCGCCTTCAACACAAACCGCACACACATCTTTCTTTGCAATAGCGCACACACATACACATACACACTTTGTTGTTTGTTTGTTTGTTTGTTCTTTTCTTTCACTCTTTTTTCGTATAGTTGTCGACAATCATAAAGCAATTCACGACCACTGCGTACACGACAGTGCTCACTGTTTGTAGCCCATAACAAATCAACAGCCGACCGCACACGGCCCTCAACCCTCCTAAAGACTTGCGCCCGCGCAAGCACATACACGCAACTAGCCTATACGCCGCCATGGCCACGACACGGCGGCAGTTTTCCCTCTCTCCATCCATGGTCCGTACACGGCGCTTCTGGGCTCGAAGCACGACGAGCCCGACTCGCATCGACTCTCATACACGAACCCAGAGAGCGGAAAGCACCCAATACCGTCTTGCCTCTGTGTGCGCGCACGCAGGCGCCGGGCGGCATTGGCTGTTCCTTCTGTCTGAGCTTCCTCTTCCTTGTTCTCTCTACCATGGATATGCCCATTCATCTGCGCATGATGTATGCAATGATCTTAGAGTCTGACTCTGACTGCGAAGCTTGATCTATTCATGAACTGCGCAGAATGCTGTGGGGCAGCGATCAGACCATCATCGTGGGTCCAACTAAAGCATGGAGCTGCCCTAGTTCTTTACCGTCGCTAGTGATGGAGCTGCTCGGATCGACGCTCGAAACGAATGATTGCATACCGCGGTCTAGTTGCTAGCCGGAATGACAACCTTACAGAACCTACGTACCCTACGAAGGACTAGGCATCGCGTGAATCTCGCTTGCAGAATGACTTGCGGAGTCGGTGGAGGCGTCAATCCAGTTTCCGCCCTCAGGCTCCCCGGTAGACGGAATTGCAGAGGCCGAGGCGGCCAGCGCGCTCGAAGCCGAATCCGAAGGCGAAGGGTCCATCCAATTGCCCGAGTCACTGGCAGGAGAGGAGGCGGCAGGTGAGCCGGACGAAGCGGTACCGTTAGAAGGGGCGGGCATGCTGGAGTTGCCGGCCGGCGAGCTACCGCTAGCAGCCGAAGAAGATGGACTGGACATGTCTGGCGCCTCGCGAGCTACGGACGTAGGGTTGGCTGCGGGAGCGGAGGAGGACCCTGTGGCGGAGACGATAGAGGCCGAGTCACTAGATCCCGGCGAGAGGCTGGGCATGCTCGAAGCACTGCTATAAGGCATAGCACACATTGCGGGAGCGCTAGTGGAGGTGCTTGTGCTGGAGACGGAGCTTGTGGTAGCAGATGCCGATGTAGTCGAAGAACTCGACATGGTCGTGGCTGGACTGGAGACAGCGGCAGAGACTAGTGAGCTGGAGATGCTAGGTGATGTGCTTGGCTTGGTAGAAGGTGTCGAGCCATTCGAGCCGACGGACGTGCTGGAAGAGGCTCCATTTGAAGTCGCCGATGCCATCAGCGACGTAGTAGTTGCGCTTGAGCTAGCCTCGTCAGTGGAGTCATCTTCGTACCCCCATTCTTCGCAGTCGCTACTCTCAAGCACGCTGGCGAGGAACTCGGATGGTTTCTGCTGTCAGCTATGCACTTCATATACTCCAGCTTACCTCCTCGTCCTTCCACTGCCAGAACATGAGGGATTCGGGCCACTCAAAGTCGTTCAAGGCGAAACACTGGCCGAGGTCGTCAGGCGTCATGAACCTGGGGCGTCAGCTGTTGGCAACACACAGGCAGCTGTTTAACTCACCCAGACGCCGCCTCACCCTTGGCGACGGGCTTGCCGAGCACGAGCTTCTCCCGAGGGATGCCGAGACCCTCATGCAGCTCCTTGATTGACGTCTTGGGGTATTGCGTGCGGCTCGCGTCGGTCATGACGGACTCGCAGTCCTCGTACTGTCCCTCCTGATTGTAGTACTGAAGATTGTAGAAATCGACGCCGTCGCCGGCCTGCTTGTGGAAGCCGGCGTAGGCTCCGTCCTTGTACTTGTCCTCGGCGAGCCAGGGTGCGATGGGAGCGTGCGAGATCAGGTGGGTTGGCAGCTTCTCCCGAAGTCTCTTCTGGAATGCTGGGCCAAGTTAGCACAGCAGGAGTTTCTAACCTACGGGTCAACCAAGCGACAGCTTCGCCTGCGTTCATCGCGTCAAAGTCCTCGTAGTCGGCGTCGACGCCGTCGAAACCATACTGAAGCGTGAAGTTTGCGACCTCGTCGGCGAACTTTACAGGGTCGCACTTCTCCTTGCTTGTCGGTGCGTCTGTCGAACCGAACAGGGAGAACATGACCGCGATGCCGCGCTCGTGGTACGCGTCGAGTAAGGATTGTCGTTTCTTCGACTCCATGTCGGCCCATGCTTTCGCGTTCTGTCGTCAGCCTACAAAGAGCCCTTTCGAAGCTTGATGCGTGTGCTCACATCGAACGCCTTCCTTCCGTCCGCTAGATAGACGCTGATAATGAGGCGGTTGAAGTCGCCCAGCTGGTCCGGATCGGGGAAGCCAGTCTCAGACTTTGTGGCGAGGTTTGCATAGATGACTCGGTGGGGTGCAGTCCAGCTGCTGTTGCCGCCAGGGCTAATAGAACCACCAATCGTCGAGTTACCGTTGGTGCCGTTGGTACCTTCTCGCGAGCCAGATGAGCCGGTCGTGTTCAATCCTGTGAAACTTGTAGATGTTGAATTAGATGCTTCATGCGAAGGGGAAGTCGCTGAGGTGGTCGAGTTCGCAAGCTGAGCGACGTAACTTTGCTCAATGCAGTTGTAATAGGGGGACATCCTGGTCTCAGCGCTGAGTGGCCCTGCGAAAGCTTACACGCAGACCTGCTTCTCCGTACATGTCTGAATGGTGGTCCATACTCCATTGCCGCACACTGTGGTAAGCGCCGTCACCCACTTTGCTCATCCTGTAAATTCTGGCCGGAACATTGGAAAGCGCCATGGGAGCATTCGCTTTTGGTTATCTGGTTGGTCGTGCTGTTGATAGGTGTGGCTGATACCTGGGCGGCGACAGTCGAGCCGGTAGAAGAGGTTGTAGCGGTTGAAGAGGAGGCACCGTGTCCAGCAACGGCACCTCCAGACTGACTGGCAGCCTTATTGGCAGTGGCAGGCTCTCCTCGACCAGCGAGGGAAGAATGCCAGATGGGACTTGAAGAGACGCAAGTTGAAAGGGACAAAGCAGCGAGAACGTTGAGAAGCATGTTCACAGACAGACTTGATGGCACAGTTGCGCAAGTGGTTAGTGTTGACAGAGAAGGGGGGCAAACAGGCAGAACGCACGCTCAGCTCGACTTATGAACGTGCAGTCCACCGCTCACCAGGTAGCTCTGGCCCAGTGGACAAACGCGATAGCTTCTACCGCTGCAGTGCCGCGCTCCAAACTATTGTCGTAACAACGGCCTTATTGAAGATAAGACGACGATCACTCATGAAACGGTCGATCTCCCAGGCTCTTTGTGCTTTGACACCTGATCGTCAGTGCCAGGAGGGATACAATGAATGTGATACCGTCAGTGGTGCCATGTCAGTGCAGGAGCTGATAGAGATACAGTTGCATGGCGACGCAGTCGCGAGAGCAGTGACTAAACGTACTTTTCATCGACCAGCGAGTGAATTAGCGAGTAAGGATGTCACTCCTCGGCGGAGTTTGAAGAGCCTCCACCGTCGCCCCCCGAACCCTCGCTTTCTCCGGTCCAGCCAGAGGAAGCCGCGGAGCTAGCTCCCGTTGGAGATTCTGCGCCGTCGCCATGAGCCCCACTGCCCTTGGGGAAAGAGGTGCTGTCGACGTCGCTACCGGTCGAGGCATCGCCAGCGCCAGCGCCGCCGATAACCGTGTTAAGAATCTCGACATTGTTCTGCTATTAGCTCGTCGGAACCTACGGGATTTGCCAGCTTTCACTCACAACTTCCGCACTCCATTGCCAGAACATGATGTTCGTTTGGCCACCCAGCGACTTGACTTCGGCGATACACTTGGCAAGCGTAGCTGGTTCGATATAGCCCGTGTTGGCTTCGCCCGATGCTATCGGCTTGCCAATAACGAGCTTCTCCCAGGGGATGCCCATCGAGTTGAGCTGCTTGACCGCCGTGCCGGGGTACGTGGATCCAGAGTCCATGACGAGAGACTGGCGTCAGTTCATCAATCTGAGAGCGACATAACTCACCTTGCAGTCCTTGTAGTTGTCCTCAGCATTGTAGTACTGCAGGTTGAAGAAGTCGAGCTCGTCCCCGATGTTCTTGAAGATGGTCTCATAAGCGCCGTCTGGGTATGCGCTGCCTTGGAACCAGGGGCTGATGGGCGCGTGAGAGATGAGATAGTCGGGACCGAGGTTAGAGCGGAGCGCCTTGTGGAACTCGGTCACCCAAGCAGCAGACTTGCCAGCGTCCGCGGCATCGAAGTCTGTTGTCAGCTAAGCTGTTGCAGCCCCATAAGTCTGAAAGGAACTCACCTTCATAATCAATGTCAGCACCGTCAAAGCCATACTTCTTGACGTAGTCGGCGACGGTGGAGGCGAACTCCGTCGGACTGATGCCTGAGGTCGTGGGCTTGTCTTCGGCACCGAACACGGCAAGCATGACGGCGATGCCGGCTTCGTGATAGCTGTCAAGCGTCTGCTTGCGAGTGGCCTCGTCGAGATCTACCCAAGTCTGCACAGTCGATGCGTCAAGACCCTTGGTGGTGAGGAAGGCGAGCATCAAACGGTTGTACTGCCCGAGCTCCTCGACAGTGGGAGGCTTGTTGCCTCCGCCAGGGAAGACTTCTGATTGTTAGCTAAGAGAAGGGACATGCAAGGAGCTCACTGTTCGCATAGATGACGTGGTGAGGGGCAGAAAACTTGGTCGAGCCACCAGATCCTGACGAGGAGAGGGAGCCGGAGGAGGAAGATGGGTGTTCAGCGGAGACTGATGGAGTGGACGCGTGACCAGAAGAACCCTGCGCAGCCGCCGATCCAGGGGAAGTCGCGGAAGCCTGGTTGTCGGGCTTCCAGCCAGACTCACTGGCACCGCCAGCAGCGGACGCCGACGAGTCAGGGGACCAAGCAGAAGTAGAGGCTCCGTTGGCGCCCTCGCCAGAACCATCATCGAGCGGCACCTGATCTCCGCCGTTGTCCTTGTGCTTAGACTTGCGGCGCGCGATGCGGTTGTACCGGTGAGCGGAGGACGTGGTCGCACGGGGCAAGGACTTCAGAAAGGAATCCCGAAAAAACTGAGCGGGAAATGGAAGGATGGAGCGAAAGGAATGGCTGAAAGAGCGTTTGCGGGCGGAGTCTTCGCCACCAGCGCCTTCCTCGGCGGACGGGTCAGAGCTGGAGTCGTCAGAGGCTGCGGAGGAGCCCTCATCACCGGTCTCGGAAGCAGAGGGATCATTCTCGCCAGAATCGGAGGAGCTGGAGGCATCGCCCTCGCCCCCGTCGGCAGAACCGGAGAAGTCTTCCTCGCCGGAGCCCGAAGCGCTCGAAGAGCCCTCGTCACTGCTGAAAGAGCCAGAGGCGCCGTCGTCGATGACAGCAGTAGCGTTGGGGTAGGGAATGCCAGTCGCATTGGCGGTGCAGTTGGTCACATTGAGGCAAAGTGTGCCGTTGAGGGAGAGATCGGGGGCACCAGAGGTCAGATCGGCGGCCGGGGAAGCATCCGAGGCGCCGGTTTCACCAGAAGACGACTCTTGGGTGGCAGAATCAGAGTTAGAATCAGACGAGTCGGAGTCACCCGATTCGTCGCCATCAGACTCGCCTTCATCAGATTCTTCGCTCGATCCAGAGTCGCCGAATGACTCAGAAGAAGAAGATCCAGTAGCGAAAGCTTCCGATGCGGCGGCGGCGCTGTCGGAGGCGTAAACAGCGGCTGAGTCGTCCCCTGGGATAGAACCAGAGCTGGACTCGTCACCCGAATCGGAGGAGTCGCCGCTGGGAGTGTCGTAGGATGCCGAAGCTGTGGAGGAAGCACCGGAGGAGACATCATCGCTAGAACCGGCCGAAGCAGAGGGAGTAGCAGACGTACCGCTCGCGCCGTAGTCGCCCGAAGCGTCTCCCGAAGCAGCACCGTCCCCGCTGGCAGGGTGCTCCGAGGAGCCACCACTGTCTGCCGAAGCAGTGGCTGAGGTTCCGGCTGCCGAGCCTGAGTCGTCTGCAGTGCCAGAGTCCGAGTCGCCGCCGCCCATGGTAGCAGACGCCGATGCAGATTCGCTGTACGAGGCAGCACTTGAAGCCTCAGACTCGGATCCGCTAGATGATCCCGAAGCGGAGGCGTCGGCCACAGAGGCGGAGGCTCCCGAACCACCGTAGGAGGCGGAGGTACTAAAGATAGTAGTGTCACCGCCGACGCTGCCAGTGGGGTAGGCAGCACCAGAAGCGGAGCCTGAATCATCGCTGCCTGAAGCGGCAGAAGCGGAAGCCGAAGAGTCGGCGGAGGCGGAGTCAGAGACGCTGTCGTACGAGTCGGGGCCCGAGGACGAATCACCAAAGGCAGCAGTGGCGGTAGCGGTGGCCGATCCACCAGCAGAGGCACCAGAGCCCTCAGAGGACCAGCCCCAGGAGGTCTCACTGCCAGAACCAGCGCCAGAGCCTGAGGCTGAAGCGGACACGCCACCGTCACCAGAGCTGTTGCCTGAGCCCGAGGAAGAGCCAGAGTCGGACTCAGATTCGGAGCCGGAGTCGCCGCCTGTGTCGAGCGAGCCGGAAGAGTCCGCGGGGGCCTCACCATCGGCGCCTGGCATGCTGCCTGATCCAGCAGCGGAAGCGGGAGTTGAACTAGAAGACGCACCAATACCCGCCCCGCCAGCGCTGCCGGAGGCTGAAGCAGAGGTTGGAATAGTGGTGACCGAGGCAGTGTCAGAGCCGGACATGCTGCCGAGTGAGACGCTTACACTAGAGGCAGAGCCAGACGCGGTCGAACCAGTCGGCGAGCCGGCGTAAGAGCCCATCGATCCGGTGCCGGCGGTTGACGAAAGCGAGTCGGGCATCGAAGAGGCTGCAGAAGCGCTTGAGGGAAGAGGCGCAGATGGCACCGCACCCGAGGGCAGAGGGGCAGAGGACACCGCCGCCGAGGCGACCCCAGAAGAAGCAATCGCGGAGGACGGAACCGCAGCTGAAGAGGCGGCACCACCAGACGCGGCTGAGGATGGGGCTCCAGACGGGGCGGAGGCGCCTTATGAAGCAGAGGCGCCAGTTTGGGCAGAGGCGCCAGTTGCAGAGTAGGATCCGGAAGGAGCGTATTCGTCGGAGGCAGAGGCACCAGCAGAAGCGGAGTAGCCGCCGGACGAGAGGGCACGCGGCCCGATCGAGCCGGTGGCGTAGGCTGAACCACCAGCAGCGTACCCATAGCCATCGGCGGAACCGGTGGCGCGGGTGGGCTCGCCAGGGTTGGGAGTACCTCCAGCATAGGACCCGCCATCGTAGGACCCAATGTAAGAGAAGCGTGCTTTGAGATCTGGAGTTGGGGTGCCGGCGTGTTCGGCGGAAGTGTCGTAGTATTTGGCGGAAGTCGCGTAGTTGGGTGCAGCAGCCGTCAGCCTGTCGAAGTACGGCCTTGGAGAGACAGAGCCTTCGTACGCGCGTTTCTTCAAGCGAGCCTTGTAGAAGTCGTCGTCGGATGACAAGAGTTGATGGAGATCCGTGGAGTCTTGAGGGTCGCCGGGACTCTCGAGGGGCTGGGGGGTATCGGAACCCGAGACGGCCTTGGGCAGTGGGTCACCGGGCACGGACTCGTCGCGGCGCACTGGGCCGGCCGGCGCAGCGTAGGTCGAAGCGAGGAGGGGAAGGAGAGCGACCAGCGCAATGTGGGAACGCATGCTGAATGAGAGTGTTTGTGGGGAGGTCTCTTCGCCACTGGCGCCAGCTCTTAAGTACTTACATCCTGCTGTTAGCGGGCGTGAGGCCGGTCGATGGAGTGCTTGCTCAGAGCGCACCTCGAAGGTGTGAAGCTCGCACTGTGCCACCGCTGTGTCGCCACTTGCGCGGAGATCGACCAAGCTGTAAATGTGAAAACTGCGAAGTCTCTGAAACTTAGGTGAGGCAATGATTAAGCATGCATTACACTTCCTCCTGACATCGAGGTCTGATCGAGGTTTCGCAGTATGTGATGTGATTATGTTGTTTCGAACGTAAGCGTCGTAGCGCCGATCGAGACCCGCGCCTGCCGGTTCGCGAGCCACGAAACCCGTACGTCGCTGAGGGCTCCGACGTCTCCGAGAGGTTCTGCTTGTCAGTCATGGTCTCGACTCCACCCTGATGGTGGTCTCGAATCTGCCCCTGCTGTTCCCAGTGCCACACTCGATACACCAGGCCAGGCACGGATGTGAGATCACTTCCCCTCCCCGTCATTACTCACCATCATCGGCGCGGACGAAGGGGATGCGGCGATATGGCTCGCCGGGTTTGCCGCCTTGCCGCGGCGGTCCGCCGACATTGAAGAAGCCGCTAATGCTGGAGCCGACCTTCCAGACTGTCGCATCGCTCTCCTCGAGTGAAACAGTGACGAGTCGCCGCCCATCGGGCGCGAAGGACACGGCGCTGACCGCCTTGTGGTGCGGCTCTAGCACATACAGCCGCGATGCAGTCTTCAGGTCATACATGATGACTGCGCCCTCGTTCGTGCCCACGGCAAGACGCTGAGTGTGCGCACAGAAGTCGACTGTGGTGAACCTGCAGGTTTGATCAGCTGATTGTGCCTTCGTGGAGGCGGTGCGGCACCAATGTGCCTTGCACACAAGTGTGGTTTTGAAAACACTCACGCTGAAACGAGCTCGTTTAGGATCACGGTCGCGGCCTGCCAGACGTCGTCGCGCATCTTCCCTACGTTTGGGTCGAGACTCTTCACGACCGCCTCGCAGATGCGGGGAAGGCCATTCTCGAGCAGTGCTGGGCGGCGGCGAGCCATGAACACGCACAACTTCATGACAGCCGTGCGGTCGTCGACGGTCTTAGCGTCCATAATGTCCTGGCTCAGCGTCGACATAAAGAGTGGGGCGTTCGAGGAGGCAACATTCAGTACAGCCAGGCGCGCCTGCGCCGCAACCGAAGCCGCATTCGGCAGAGATGAATCCTTGTGCGTTGCGAGGTAGAACAGCCGCCGCAACAGGTCCATGGGGTCCAGGTACGTCTGCCAGGTTGTGAAGCCTTTCGAACAGAGCTCGATGGCGAGCCCGACATGCGTGTACTTCGGGTCATTCAGGTATAGCTCAATCGACGCAGCCGCATCCTTCAGTGCCGTGGGGTTCATGCACGCGAAGCGGTGGATGGCAATGCCACCGATGACCGTCAGAGCCTGAGTAGACGCCTCAGACATAGCCTGATCAGCGGAAACTCGAGTGGGCACTGTGATGAGTTAGTGAGGCGCCCGAGGAGAGACTCACAATGATCCTGTCTCGCCTCGACGAGCTTCTCGATATCCTCGTTCGGCATCCTGCTCAATCGAGCACCGAAAAGCATGCGAGCTGATTGATGCACATCCACGGCAGTGTCGAGGTAGTATCCGGCGAACAGATCAATTCCGGCCTCCACTGTATCCTCTGGAAGACATGCGGAGTAGTACGCGACGACGTCTGCCGCACTGTCTTCGTATTCTGTCCATTAGCACACATTAGCACACTTCCGGAATGGTAGTCTCACGTGGAGATTCCATGAACGGGCGCAGGAGCGTCACAATCGCGAGCTGCCGCAGTCCTGTAGCGGTGGCAGATATCTTCCACGCAGCGAGGCTGTTTGCATACGACAAGATGGATGTCCCGTGTTGCCTGGCGTTAGCTTTGGCGATGTTACAGCAGCTCACCCTTCGAGCCCCACTGCGACTGCCTGCTTCGGCGGCTTGATGCCCAGCTTGCTCTCGCAGACCTCGTCAATTCCGGCGTTGATGCCGAAGGTTAGGAAAACCGACAGCAGGCCGCGGCAGACATCCAAGGCATTGTCATCCGGATGCGCATTGAGCCACGTCGCCAGCTGGCGCAAGTCGAGCTGAAGCAATCGGCCGAGATTGGAACCCAGCGGCGTCGGGCCATTGACCTTGGTCAAGGGCCCATCAATCGCTGGCGGGTCGTAGAACCGGACCTCGACCCAGTCACCGACGTTGAGCATGTCGTCCGCCGCGTCGAGACCAGTTGATCGACGGAACTCGCCTGTCTCAAAGTTCCATACTCGAGCCTTGGCGTTCTCATACGCCAGCAGGATACTGTGGCCGCCGACAAAGATGCGAGTCATCGGAGCGCGCGCAGCGGGGATCACGAACATGTCGTCCATCTCCTTCAAGTCCAGCACAGCGACTGTTCCTCGTTCCGAAGTGCAGAGCAGCTTGCCAGCGAGCTTCCCAGCTTTCGTGGAGTTGGGATCAATGAGTGTCGCTGAGCGCACCGGGTCATCGAACAATGTCCATGTGCCTCGTGGCTTGAGCGGCGATGCGTCGAACAACCGGATGGATCCATCGGCGTCACCGGCCACGAAGAGATGTCCGCCCTCGGCGTATTGCGAGGGAATAACGCAGGAAAACGTCACCGGGGAAGGGAACCGGTCAATGTCCGTCTCATCGTGTACCGGAGCCTTCTCCTGGAGGAAATCGGACAATGTCTGGCTGGCCACACATCCGTCATCTATGCGTTAGCTAACCCCCAAGTTCCAAAAGCTTACTATCGGCGACGAAAACAGTGCTCGGCCCATACGGGCACAGGTTATCGCCGGCGGTGGGCTGTTCTAACCGTTGTTCTGTCTTTCGTTCCAATGTCCCAAGGTCGACGTTGATGACGGCGCTTGACTCAGTCGCATACAGCGTTCCGCTTGAAATGCAAGCAGAGTCAGCAGGGAATGTCCGTCTAGGGGTCCACTTCAAGCTCGGCTGCAGCGGACCCTGGCGGCTGTAGACTTGCGTGTCGGCTTCCGTGACGATGCAAACGTCATGCCACCCAGACGTGAATACAGCATCAGAGATCTTGGCAGCCTCCGCGTCGAGCACGATCTCGCCTCGGACGTGGAGCTTCTTTCCGTCAAAGTCGAAAGCCTGTCAGTCAGCAACTGAACTCATCGCCTACCAGCTCACCTCAATATACTTGTCCGTAAGGCCAAGACCCTGACCATTCTCGTGCAGCAGGATGCGATCCCACAGGCTGCCCCCGTCTCTCTGTACCTCGACGCCTGCTTCAACGCCGGCTGTCGGTGGCTCGTGAACGCTGTTAGCGTGGTCCCTCTCAGCGACCTTCTTGTTGCCGAGGAGCTTCGCCAGGCCCAGCTCATGTCGAGCACTCGTCGCGCGCACCGAAGCTAAAGCACCTGGTCTCCGCTGCCCATCAGGCCGGAGATAGGGCGAGGATCCGGCCGACGTTGATGGACTGGCGGGTCCGCTCGCGCTACGCTGTTTCGGGCTGTCGTGGGGGGACACCGGGGCGTGAGAGCGACTCGTAGGCGCTGATGACGGGAAGTTGATCGGATACGAGGTCAGAGATTCGCCGCTCGAGTGGAGGAGGTAGCTAGACTCTCCACCCGATGTGACGCCTACATCACCAATGCCGGGCAGCTCTAACGTGGCGACGCACTTGTAGCCGGGGACGTTCAGCATGACTACCCGAGTTACGTCGCCATTCGGGCTCGGCCATGGACTTGGCCACGGCTCGCCATGAGCAATTAACAAGGTGCCCTCCTCACGAACGGCGAGGTGGACCCCCCGCCAGAGCCAGCTGTGGGTGAGTTTCGGCAGTTTGCCGTCGACGGACACGAAGTCGAGGCTCGTCGCGGACACCGGGTCGAGCGTCTGCAGCGAAATGATGTCGAGCAAGCCCACGTCTCGCAGTACGACGAGACAACCCACGTCCTCCATCACAGCAACGTCAATGATGGCCCCTCGCTCGGGATTCGGCAGGACGACGCGGACTGGTGGCTTGGCGTCGTCGCCGAGTCGAGGTGTCGGGCACGACGAAGACCCGCTCTCCTTGCCCGCGCCCTCCTTGCCTGCTCTCGAAGCAATGACGGCAAGGTCGTCCTTCTCCTTGACATCCTCAGCCTCCTCCTTCGCCATCTCGGCCTCCACTGCCATCTCGTCCTGTTTCCACTTCGTCTTGGCTGCGAGGTCATCGTCATCCTTCTTGCCCCACAACCCGGATAGCCGATGCGTGATACCGGTTCCGGTCGAGTCCGCCTTGCTCGTGTTGGAGGCAGAAGAACGAGGCGTCTCGTCTCCCCGTGTTGACGAATCTCGGCTGGGCACCTGGATTCCGCGCCGAGTCAGTCCGGCGAGTCCAAGTCCGAGACTGGACCGTTCGTCAGACTCAACCTGCTCGCGCAGGTAGTCGCGCAGGTCCGCACGGTCCGATACGGAGTTGCGATGGGCATGACCATCCGGAGGGGCAGGTGCAGCGGTGGCGTCGGAAACGGAGGTGAGTGTTGGGGAGGTGAGGGAAAGTGAAGCTCGGGGAGTGGAGGATGATGGGCTGAAAGGCCTTCGAGAACCGGAGAGAATGGAGGAGGCGGATGACGTAGCGCGTGGGCGACCAACCGGTCGAGGGCTCGAGGCATAGGCTTCAGGCAGCGAGAGATCGGGGACGAGGCTGTTGGAAGGGCCGACACAGGATGTAGTGACCCAGACGGTGTTGTCTTCGCAGGCGAGGGCGACCTGGCGTGTCGATCCCACCGACCAGGCGGCTATCTTCACCGGCCGTGCAGGCAGCGCACCTCCTACCTGCACATCAGGCAGAAAGGGCAGAATCGGCGGAGGCGGCCGAGTCATGAAATGTAGGAGTGATTGATGAGAAGTGCGAAGTCGCAATGCTGAATGCGGGGTCGTCAAGAGGAGGATCCAGGGCGATCGGCTGTGGTCGGTGTGCGCCGAGTGTCATGGTCTGATGATGTCAGGGCGCCAAAAAGGCGCGTACCACGGACAGTACGGCCTTCATCCCGATTCGAATCAGCTTGTGACTTCCGACAACACCAATACCGGCCACGTTGGTCGCGGCACACGGTTCTGGAGGAGTTGCTAGACAGAAACTTCATCTCTTCTACGATTTGTACAACATTTGCCCTGCGGCAGGGCGGTTCCCAGAATCACTAGCCGCGTGCTCGCAGGTCCCCAGCGAGCTGCTGCATTCGCATTCCCTTGTCGTAGTCAGGGGTCCCTGGTCCTTGACCCTCCCGAGAAGCCTTGTCAAGGAGAATCAAGCCTCCAGTCCCGAGCGCAGTGATGAGACTCTCCCTGTCCGTGCTGCAGTCCATGCCCTCGTTTTGGACACGGTTACAGAGCTCAAGTCCGAGGCCTCCGTGGGTGTTTTCGTCCTGGCCAGCGCCTACCTGAGCAACAGCACAGTACGCCGTGGCGAGAACGGCAAGAACATTGATGAGCTTCATGATGGTGGCCGTGAGGGTTGGGATGACAAGCGATAATGTCTGTGTCGATGGACTAGGTGGTTCGCAGAAGTGGGCGAGTTCGTACGAAGGTGTTATTAGAAGCGATGAGTCTGGAGCTGGCATGAGTCGCCCCAACATCTACTTATATACTATCACGGGCTCTTCTTTCTCAAATCCCAGACCGAAGAGGGCGGCGGTCGATAACATGGCCGATCGCGGAACTGATGAAGTGAGGGCTGAGCACGATATCACTGCAGGCGGGGGTGCCGCCCGAACTCAGCGTAAAGCGGTGTTTACGGCACCACAGCATAGTGTTTCACTACTGCGATCAGTCTATCACTTGATACCACTGCAACCGCCTTCAGCAGGAAACAGAACTTGACGCCTCACAAGCTCACAAGCCTCTGGGGAGCCGCGCTGTTCTTTTCCCTCTAAACGTCTGGGAATTTGGGAGGCCTCAAGACAATTTGCCCCGGCCTTGTGACTGGAGTGCCCAGACGCTGGCACCTGAGCCACGTCTGTGGGCCACTAACCCAGGGGAGCAGCGAAGCCCCAATCGCTCTACCAACGAGCCTGTTTCCTGCAAAACCGGGCCTGAGTGAAGCCTTCTATGCCTACTGACAAGCCATCTATGCCTACTGACAGAGCCTTCTATGCCTACTGATAGAGCCGAGCCTTCTATGCCTACTGATTTGCGGTGCACCCTGGGGAGTATTTAGTGTGGGGAGGATGCTGTGTCGTAAAGCACTCCGACCCGTCAGGTGATTGTCATGAAACCTCCAGCTGTGACAACCATCCATCTTCGTCGAGTGAGGCTGTGCATGATAACCAACGTCGCAGTATGGCGATGTACATATCGCAATGTGCCGACCATGCACAGCCATGACCACATTATCGCCGGGATGTGCTGTGCGAGGGATCCATTGCGGGTGCTTTGAGTTGGGGCGTGGGGCTGTTTCATCGCCTACTGGGAGCTCGCCTTGTGCGCCTTCAACTTCTCCAGCAGGTTCTTGCGCCTCTCATACTCCTCCCAGCTCTGAATGCTGTGATCCTGCTCCCAGAGCCCGTACCAGATATCTCCAGTTGTGGCGACGATGATCATGAGGTCATCGATCTTCTGGCAGCAGCCGAGACCGAAAGACTTGACTTCGGTACAGAGGTCGGCCCCCAGGCCGCAGTCGGCGGGCTGCTCATCCCTAATTCCTAATGGGGAGGGAAGGGCGAGGACCGAAGTGGCTAAGGCGAAAGCGAGGATGGCGGAGAACTTCATCGTGAGGAGCGAGGGGCTTGTGGTTGGGTTTAGTTGAGGCGAGGGCCCGGAAACGAGTCCAATGAGAATCAAGCGACTGAGGCGTTGGCCTGTGAAGAGACTGGGATGGCAAGGGGCTCTTATACCCGTATTCGGCACTGGGCTTTCTGCACCAAGCCTGCTCGTGCAGGAATCACACACTCGGTCGTCGGCCCAAGACGACGAGACGAAGCAGAGTGGGATGTGAGTCCATCGGTGGAAATGTGACTGGTATTGGTCTGGTTCGAAGCATAAACACCTCTAATCGTGCGAGTGAGAAAGAGTCGTACCTCGGTCGATCGACTCATGTCACGCACGTCCACGCAATTCCGGCCTCGCCGGATCGCTTCAGCGTGAAAGAGAGCTTCGAGTTGTCGGGGGCTGGTAGACGTAAGACTGGATACTTGTGGCCAACGTACATAATCGGCATCTCAGTCCCCTGTATCTAAACAACTGCTGACTGTCGACGTTCCGTGTAAGGACTCTCGGGCGGCCTGGCGACCCAAAGCAGCACCGTCCTGGGAACGTCTTCCCGCATACCGAAAGGCGGTTAAGCATACACCTTCCCTTGCGACCCATTGGGTAGGTAGCCCGGGTCACCCGCCGAGGTTGATCAGGCAGCGGGCTTTACGACCTATTGAATTCACCGGAACTGTGTGCGGAAGCACGGCCTGATCCGTTCCTACTCCGTCTTAAGCTTTTCGACGTCAGCCAGTGGCATCATAGTCGGTGACGACGTGTCACGCCGAATGTGCCTTCCGCGGCCGTCGTAGACGAGCGAAGCTTTGCCGATGGCGCGGCTCTGATAACTCAGCTGAAGCACGGTGATCACAGGCCGCGCCGACGCCGTCCAGTGACAAGGTACCTCCAAACCTTCTCTGGGAGTGCCGTTCCCTTGGGCGGATGCCGACAGGGCAGTGCAGATGTACCCTGGGATCGAACCCGCGATAATGCCTTGACCTGGAGCATTGGTGGAGGAGCTGCGTGTGAGCTATGTGTCAACGCCGCACACTGTTAGTTGTCATTGGGTCAGTCCTCTGGGCTCTTCCTTTCCTTGAGTCGGGTACAGAGTCACTCCTCACCGTCAGCACAACGCCCGCGTGAGTTGTGGATCGCGGGCGAAGGTGTAAATTACGGAAACCGATCCGTTGACCCACAGATCCGGTGACCGGAGTCCATTGACTCTCATCCGAAGTCGACGACAGAGGACTTTGAATATGCAGGAATCTGAGGTGATGATCTTCAAGGAGAGGGACCCAAGGAGTGTAGGTAAAGTTGGAGAGAGATCGAGATGAGCGAACAACTGATTCGGGCAGGGCGCCAAAAGTCGCGCGGGCGTGAATCGAAACGGGCTCAGACCCCGGCAACGTGTTTACGTGCCTGACACGACCCGGGCGGACATAACCGACTCGCGCTGGCGATGACCTACGGGCTATGAACCCTGGGTGTCCGAGTCGACTCAGATTCGGACTCGGACAACGTCGACATCGTTGCGCCGTTCTTCAAGACCTTGCTCCGTCGCCAACGTTGCCCCCCAATCGCTAGACAAGACGATATGACTCAGCTCAGCCCCGAGGCTCTCAACGAGCTCGCACGCCGCGATGTCGCCACGCCCATCACTGGCGATGAACTTCAAACCGCCCTTGCCTCCCCACCTTTCGTCGACGGCGGCTTGATCAACCTCCGCGACCTCGGCCTCGTCCCCAACTGCCCTATTCCCGCGGGAAAGTTCTTCCGCTGCGGACAAATCGTGGAGAGCGACCAGGCGAACCAGTGGATCCGCGATCATGTGAAGGTCATCGTTGACCTTCGCAAGGCGGGCGAGCGCAAGAGAAGTCCGGACCCCGAGATTGAGGGTGTCGATAACATCTGGTACGACCCTGAGCAGGACGGCTGGAAGGCGCAGAAGCTTCTGATTGAGGACTTTGAGCGTGAGAACGGCTCAGCCATCGGCTGGGCTGAGCAATATGTCCTCGTTTTGCGGTACTACCACCGTACCTTCCGCGCCGCCCTCGAGCACATCAGGGACCACCCGGAGGACCCCATGCTGTTCCACTGCTCTGCCGGGCGCGACCGCACCGGCATCTTCGCGTGGATCCTGGAGTATCTCGCCGGAACTCCCGAGAAGGATAGGACGTTCGATTACCTGTTGACCCGTATTGGCATCGAGCCCGCGCGCCTCATGTTTGAGAACCACTTCAAGACCAGCTGGGGCATCACCGACCTGACGAATAAGGGCTATCTGAATGCCATGACGCTTTCGCCGGACTGCTTCACCCTTGTCACGGAGGAGGTCACCAAGGAGTACGGCGGGTGGGACGAGTACCTGGAGAAGAAGCTTGGGTTCTCCAAGGAGGACCTCGACAAGATCAGGGCGAACCTGACGAAGTAGACTAAACTGTATCCACGCTGTGTAAAAGAAGCTTAACGAATTCAGACGACCCTCATGTTCGGCGACGGCGCTTGCGCACGACACGGCGCCCGCAGCTGGTGCGTCTGACGGCGCATTCGCCGATCAGCGGATCGACTAGTGTCCGTCGTAGACCATGCAGCACGTCATGTCCCCGCATTCCACGAGTGGCACATGAACCTGTTAAATTCATCCGATGGAGATTAACCTACAGACTACCACATCACCGAGACCGATCGCATGTCGTCTCTTTATCAATCGCCGTACAATCGCGCGATCAACGTAGATACATAACCATGTGCTGCGTAGAGGACTTATCGGCCGGAACCTGGTCTTAATTTCCAACAGGAGCCCACGCCGGCTTCGTCAATGAACGTGCACTATTCCTGGCCGCTGCCGTCACATTACGGAGGTGCTAAGTCGATAGCAGCGCGTCACACGCCGATGCTTGCGGCGCAGGCGCCGGCGAGAGCACCATGCTAGTTGGGCTCCAATGGATATTTAAGTGGCAGTGTCTTGAGCGTTGTGGCCCTTCCAAGCTACAAGCCAGTCTCCTCGCCATGCTCAAGACGTCCACCGCCTTTGTTCTTCTCGCTTCTCTTGTCAGCGCTGCTCCCACAGCCCTTGACAAACCCTTGACAGTTCCTCTGTCGCGCGACGTGGCTAAGCCGGCCGCCTCACCTGAGGAACAAGCGTTCCGCAGCGACGTTCACCTGCTCTCCAAGTGGCCCCAGCTGCTGTACCCCGAGGCGCGCTCTAAGATCCGCTCCAAGCTTCGCTCCAAAACGCAGGGGGACGCTGTTACCGAGGAGTGAGTACGCAGCACAGAATGTTACATAGCTTACGCAACCAGCCTGAACAACTTCTACGATGTGACATACACTGCGGACTTCCAGTTTGGCACTCCTCCCCAATCCTTCCCCGTCATCGTTGACACGGGCTCTCCGCAGTTCTGGCTGTACTCGGAGAAGTGTGTGGGCTGCGGCAAGGGCCATGTTGACACGACCAAGTCGTCCACATTCCACTCCACCGGTCGCAACCTCACCATCAGCTACGGTGAGGGTGACACCTCCGTTTCGGGCACCTGGGGTAACGACCGCATCGGCTTTGGCGGCATTTTCACCGACAATGCGACCGTGGGCATCATGGATGAGTCCGTGAAGATGAACTTGCAAGACATCAGTGCCGGAATCTCCGGCTGGAGTTGGCCGCTCACCCGCAACGGCACTACACTCGAGCCTCTCCCTTGGGTGCAAGCGACGAAGGGCCAGTGGAAGAACAAGGAGTTCGGCATGTACCTCAACCGCCAGGGTTTTGGTGCTCAGCTACAGCACGTCAACTCGACGCGCCCGACTGGCGCTCTCACCGTGAACGGCGTCGACCGCCAGTTCTTCGACGGTGAGCTCGAGTACTTCCCTCGCAAGGTGCTGGATGAGCGCACCCACTTTGCGTGGGGTATCGATCTGGACGGCGTGACTGTCGACGGCAAGTTCTTCGACACCAAGGGCAACGGTGCCGTCCTCGACTCGGGCACCACTCTCATCTACGGCCCGAAGGATGTCGTCACGGAGATCTATAAGCAGATCCCCAACGCCATTGACACTGGTGACGGCATGTTCATTCTTCCGGACTGCACCACGAACCACACTGTTTCGTTCCGCTTCGGCGGGAAAGAGTTCCCCATCTTCTCACCCGACTTCGGCTCGGTCAGCCTTTTCGGATGCCAGGGCGCCATCACTTACGCTGAAAAGCTCGACTTCAAGAACAACTGGCTTATCGGAGATGCTTTCCTCAAGTCTTACTACACCGCGTACAGCTACGACCCCCCTCAGGTCGGCTTCGCCAAGGTCAAGCCCAACCTCTAAGGTGTTGGCAGAAAGTCTCCATACCTGATTCGGTCCGTATCCAAAAGATTTCTCAAAGTAGCCGAAAAGAAATGATAAGATGAAACAAGGTGCCGATTATACATCCGCTTCACTGAGGCGCTGCAATCCACATCGTCCAACAAGAACGAATTTTCAAGTCCTCTCAGCTGTCCACAACGTTCACGAGGCGTGGAAGCCTGTTGAAAGGGCCGTAAGAGCTCAAAAAGTGACCTCTGGCGGGGTCGAACCGCCGACCTTATGCGTAAGACGTCGAGTGTTAAGCATACGCTCTAACCAACTGAGCTAAGTGGCCTTGATTGGTTGCCTAGGCAGCTCTCTGGCCCGCGTCGGCAGCGGCATCGGCGCGAACGAGCGCCCGCATTCTGGGTCTTCTGAGGTTGACCATCGATTACAGGAACCCGTGGCCTTCTGCTGAGCGGCTGAACTTTCCGTAGAAGTTGAGATGGAGCCTCCGCGAAGATCAGAACTCCGTAAAACGGTCGGTGGCGTTTTGGCTATTTTTCGTGATTTCCAGGCAGCGATTCGGGTGCAGCTCTGGTCGGCACGAATACGTCACTTCGCCTCAAACTAAGCGCGCTGTTCTTGCGTTGCGTAGAGATAGTGGAGTCCACCGGTAGTGCGGCCAAGTATGTGTATTGAGTGGAGGTACTGTAGACACGCACAGGGTGGCCATGGCTACCTGACCTTTCGGCTTGTATAAGATATGATTCTTCGATGGGCTGCATTAGTATCACCTTTCGGAAAACTGAGAAGGTCCATGATTATATCATAAGAGTCCAGTGTCTACAGGCATAGTCCAGTGTTTTGGTTCGTAGGTGTGTGCCGCCCGCGTTGGGGTCAAGGGGAGAAGCTAGGTCGACTATTGCGTGTGTGTCCGTCGTTTTCTGTCGTTGAGTTAGGAAGGCTTCAGATCTCCCATCAACCGTTCGGTCGGAAAGAGAACCTGACTAGCAAGGCTCGGGGTCCCGCCGGATGCCCGAGCTCCTCCTCACTCAACAACCTACTCTTCGTGTCACTGCACATCGTAGTTGACCCCGTACCCCTCCGCCGGCACTGACGGCGCTCACATCGCGTTGTAGGTTGGGGCTGCGAATCCCTTGTCCTTCGAGCTCTGAGGCATGTCATCGCCGTTGAGAGCGAGTGCCGGAATGTCCGTCGACTTGAAAACACGTGGGAGGCTGTCCGAGCTGTCGATGAGGGTGGGAGTACCGGTGTTAGACTCGGGCGGCGTAGGCAGTGCATCGTGGGAAGCGGAAGCAGTCGTGTTGCAGGGGCGCAATTTGGCAGCACACGCGGGATAAGCAGTCGAGGGCTGCATGTCGGACTCGTACAGCAGGTGCGAACCGGCGACCGGTAAGGAGACGTAGCGACCGTCCACAAGGGGCTCGGGAACGGGGAAGACGATGTTGCGATCGGCGGCAGGGCTACGAGCAGAGGCAGAAGGGGCAGTAATGAAGATGTTGCCAGCGTCATTCCAAGGCACGGGCGTGTGTATCGGGCCGCGAGTTGAGGGTCGGGCGCGATCCTGAAGGAACGCATTCTCCTTGTTGATAATCTTAGCGAAAGTACAGCCGTGGGGGCAACGAGGTGGGTTGGGGAGGTTCCGCTTGCAGCGGTCCACGAGGTGGTACATGTGTTCGCGAGAGCAGCACCAAACACTTGCATCGTTGGTGGACCTGCAGAGTGGGTCATCAGGTCCGTGAGACCAGTGCAGAGGGTCCGTCGTGTCGTTCGGGCACTCAAAGTTGGGGGTCAGGATGCGATAATCGTGAATCGTGCGCTTCACAGGCGTCCCAAGGACTCGAGTGGTCTTGACCGCCTCAATGACCAGAATGTAGAAACAGTCATCATGCCAAGGGTACTTCGCAGACGTAACGGGAAGGGTCGGGGCATACGTGCTTGCAGTCGAGGTCGAGGTGCGGGCGTCGGCAGGTCCAGCGGAGTTGATAAGGTCAATTACATCTTGAAACAGAGCGGGGGAATCGGGCTTCTCCGCGTTGTTCTCGGGCTGACCGTTGGGAGTCGAGATGAAAGGAGTAGCGGGACGCTCCTCAAGACGATTGAAGACCCGCTTAACAAACTTGCGGAAGCGCTTGAACATGTTGGCTGTACGACCAGTGGTCGAGAGTCAGGAGGTGATGAGAAGAAGGAGGGACAGTGATGAACATCTCTGGGTTTATAACACTTCGTCGTAACTGCGAACCGGCCTCGGCGTCTGGTCAACCGGACCTCAGTCCGCATTGAGGCGAGCAGGCCAGGTGTGTATCGCGATAAGGCAGGCATCGCGCAATCTCGCTCGTCCCATCCGGCAAGCATGTCAACTCTGCAGTACACGGCGCGAGACACCGCCTTCAGTCCGCTGAGTAGCGCCCTCCCTTGCCTGGGGCAAGTTAAAGACCAAGATAGGGTTGTGTGGCCACTGGAGGTGTATCGGAACTTGTCCATCAACCCGGTCAAGTCGTTTGCGTCCGTCTGCAAGTGAGTTTTCAGAAATTCATGAGATCTCAACCTAGCCGACGTACTCTGTCACCTGGTGTCTGGAGGGACTGGGTGCTCGGGAAAATCCTCCAAAACTAGATAGCATGCCAGGCAAAGGAGGAGTGGAGGTGTATGCCGGTGTTGAACCTGCGATGGCGCCCCCATCTCCACGCACGTCCCGATGGCCCTCGGAAGCTTGGAGAGGTGCACAGAGGGCGAGACTGAGATCTGACTATGTGTGGGCGTTTCTCTTGGCGAGGAAAGCTGTGCAGTGGGACGAGTACGTGAACACTTTGCATCTGTAGTAAGGACCTGGAGACGGACCGGAAAGGACGAAGAACCGAGATCAACGTGGCGAGTAGGACCGAGGTCGACGTGGAGCATGAAGAACAGGTTTGCTAGGACCAGCCTGCTGACTGTTCATCACTCCGGAAGCGCGGCGAATGCCGGCATGAAGTCCTTCAGCGGGCCGACGCGGACGGCGTCTCGGTCGGGGTTGAAAGAGTCGTCGAAACCGCCGTCCTCATTGACGCACCAGGGGCGGATGGCGTACACGGTCTCGGCTTCGCGGTCTACGCAGGGACAGGCTGCGTCATCGGGGCTGTGCGTCCAGTGAAGAGGTGCGTCGACTCCACGAGGACAGTCATAGCCCGGGGAGAGGATGCGTGCGTAGGAGAAGGGGTGGCGGTCGATCGACTTGAACCAGATCGTTCGGGTGCTGTTGGTCCAAGTGTACCCCCCGTACACGACGAAGACGAGGTCCCTGAGAAGCTTGCTCTTAGTGAGAGGGTGGAGCTCGCTAACCAAGTCCTCAAAGCGGCTGAGCCCTAGAGCTTCGTGAGCGTCGTGAGACGCGTGAGACGCAACCGACACGGCCCACTCGCGGACGGGATAGGCGGACATCGAACCGGCCAGTTGGGTGGTTTCGGCGTCATCTTCCACAAGTACTTGAACGCTGGCGGTGATGTGAAGGATAGCCTTGATTGTGATGTACAGCTTGCTGCCATATTGCCGCCTCGCTGCATCCACCATGGCGTCACCGAGCTCCTTCAGTGTAGAGTCGATGAGGTTGTGAATGTCGGAGTCCGGCAGGAACTCCTCCTCGTTAGTGGAGAGTGTCTGAATCAAGCACAGTGGTCGTGATTCGGGATCAACCGGAGCAGACTCAAGAAGGACTTGAGTCCACGCTTTGGTACGCAGTTCGACCTGTACTTCGGCAAGCATGGACGATGGAGTAGCGTCGAGGACGGCTCCCCGGATTTCTTCCGTGAGGAGCGACAGTTTCTCCTTCATCAAGCTCTTGGCGATCGTATCCTTACGCACGGGAAGCTTTCGCAACTTCTGGTGCTCTTGGGGAACGGAGGGGGTTGGTTGGCTGGTGTATTGGCGCCTGTAGGATGGCAAATGGATTGTGGCTTGACGTGTCTCCGTGACGGTGCTGGAGTCGGAGCTTTGGTTGCCCTTTTCGTCGTGCGAGTGCGCTGAGGCTGAGTGCGCGGAGCGAGGACCAGACGAAACCGGGGCAGACGTGGGGTTGATGGGGCTTTGAAGGTCGTGATCACCATCAGTGACACTGGTGGAGACGGGGGGGGCAGAGCCGAACACGTCCCCTATGTCAACAGAGGAACGCGCCTGGGCCGAGGAGCGGTGAGATGTTGCTGAGCTCTGATCGTCGTTGAGACCGATTCTCTCATAGCCGCCATCTTTCGCACGTCCGAATCTGAGCTTGAACTTTTCGACCGCGCGCTTGATGGCAGCGCGTAGAGCCATGATGTCGTAGAGCTAGCGTCGAGTGTTGATCGAGAGTGTCGTAAAGGGCGGTAGAGTTGAGGTTGAACTGGTGGAATTAGATGGAGGAGATGATGATGATGACGATGATGATGGTGAGGTGGAAGACGAGCAGAAGAAGCACAGGCGAGCACGACACTGATGTGAGCAGCTTTTGATGGACTAGCGGTCACTGAGGTGTCGACAATGCGTGTGTGTGTGCACTCCGCAGCTTCCACGCAGGACGTCGACTTGGCAGCGTCCCTCTCGCGCTCCTCTCGCGCCACACTGGAATGTGACGGAACTCGTCGCGCAGCCTCGCGCCTCCATCACTCTCGCGGCACCATCAGTTCATCACCGTCTTCTAGTGATAAGCGAAAACACGCTGGGATGCTGTCCAGCTCCGACTTGCTAATGTCTAACGAGTGTGCATATCTACTCTGACGCATACTACCCTCCAGGATTAAGAATTGAGAAGAACATGCAATTGAAGAGGAACGAGAAATCAAACCGCACAGAAACTATGATGCTACTCCTTGTCCCCAACCTTGACATACTTGTAATACCCGAGCGCGCGCTTGACAGGCCCAGGAACCTTGTCGAAAGCAGCCTCATTGACGCGGACAAACTCATGCAGCTCGAGGAAGCAGGGCCCCTGGCCGCGGCAAACAGCAACTCCAGCCAGAGGGTCCTTGAAGTGCTCGCACTCGTCCTCGAACCAGACGGCGCGATGCCATCGCCGAACCGTAACGTGGCGCCCGAGAATCTTCACGCTTGCGCTCTCGTGAACGACGCCCAGCTTGAGCGTGCCGCGGGCCACGGCGGGACCGTACTTGCGGAAGAAAGCGCGGTCCACGTTCTGCAGCGCGAGCCAGGTCTGGTGCGCACTGAGGGCGGGACGGATTTCGATGGCGTCCTGCGCGTTGAAGTTAGGCGGAGAGGAGGCGTGCTGGTGCGCGGCCATGATTGCGTGGCGGTCGGGCTTGGGCGCGGGGCCGAGGGAGGAGAAGGAGAGCCAGGTTCGCTCCTCCCCCGAGAAGAGGGAGTGGCGCACGGCTCCGGTCGGGTCGCGCATGGCAGTCGTGTCGAGGTCGAGATGGGGGAGCTCGGGGGGCGTGGGCGAGACGACGGGGACGGGGGCGGAGATGGCGCCACGACGCTTGTAGTGGTCGTAGATGGGGGTGCCGGGATTGTTGTTGTCGGTCATGCGCAAAAGCAAAAGCAGGGAGTGATGGTTGCGGCGCTTCGTGAACTCGAGACTGGACGCGGGAGAGGTCGCGGAGGAGGTCGGGGGAGAGGGCTCGGGGGAAGAGTGATACGAGGAAAGAGCGACAGTGGAAGAAGAAGAATACCAAGTGGAAGAATCCTCGAGGTTGAATCCCTGTTGGAAGTAGCCGTGGGGGTTGGAGAGGAAGGAAAAGTAGCCACCAGCCATCCTTTCGGGTGGCCACGGGTTTGGAAGGAGCGTGTGTGTCTGCTGCATCGACACGATGCAGACGTGCCTTCTTATACACCTGTGTGGACCTCCACCCTCCACCCTCCATGGAGGCTTGTTCATCAGCAATGGACATTTCAACAGCGATGAACACTGGAGAAAGCTTGAAGGAGTACATTGATGGACAGTGAGCTCGGTACAGTGAAATCAGAACAATTGCGCAAAATCCGGAGGCAGTGCCACGCCTTCGAGGCACAACGGTGAGCGTCATGTAACAAAAGAAGCAGGCCGTAGTGCTCGCATCGGGAGGACGCTGATGCACAGGAGACTGTACTTCACAGAATTGGCGTGAGGATAATGGCGAGGAACTATCTCTGCAGAGTGTGATCGTTCGGTCGCGTGGTAGCGAGCCGGTGATGAGCATCATCAGAGATGGCCGCCACCTATGCTCCAGTGTGCACCGAGATGTTCAACGCCATTTTCTGCATACGGTAACTATCAAACGGAAACGATACTGTGAACTTTCCAACGTTGAGTGGCAGTGCTGTTGTGGAGTCGGGCTATAAAATGAAGTGTGAGGTGTTGGATGGACGACTATTGACATTGGTGGTGATGAGGCGAGTTCGTGATGCGAGTTCGTGCCCTGGTGTGACGTGACTTCAGGAATGGGAGTGAGGACTGAGAATCAGAATAGAGGTCGGAAGTACTGTACTGTTACAGAGGCGGAAGGGTTGATGTGGTGGCATGCGTTCGGTTGGAAGTTGGTTGAATATCATGCGACGGGAGAAGTATGCTGCCTCTCGGTCTGCAGCTACTTGACGAATTGTCTAGCCCCGAGCGGCACGGCATTAAGTGGGCTCAGCGACGCCCACCCCCCTGTCCATACCTGATCCACTCCCTCTCCTTCACCCCCTCCCTCCTATCCAAGCTTTTCGCACAGCTCTCAGAGCATTCAGCAGTATGCTGATGCCACTCATGCCTCTGTGCGGGCCCGGCATGGTCCTTCCAATCATACTGCGCATACCCCCCGGCATCCATCCTCATATTAGCCGTCCAGGCGGCATTGCGCGACTCGCGCTCCCTTCTCTGACCCCAAGACTCCTGCTCGCGTGGCACGGGGGCGTAGTTGGAAGCAAGGAAGCGCTGTGCAGCGGCCGGGTCGTAGGTGTGGTTACTCTGGCACACGGAGCCAGGGCAGGACTGGTGCGTGCACGCTCTGGGGTTACGCACTGGAGTGGAAGCGGAGGGAGGGTGGTGGGAGTCGTGCGAAGAGTAGGACACATTGGCCATACTCGCCCCCGTGCCCACGACATATGGCGGAGACACATACGCCCGGGGATAGCTCGCGCTCGAACTGAAGCCCGACCGGGCCGACGTCGCTGTGGCGTAGGACGCGTAGGACGCGTAGGACGCGCCGCTGGCTGAGGAGACGTGGGACGAGTCGCTCGCGTATCCTCCGGAGAGGGAGGGGTCGGGACGATAGTCGGGCGAGGGCTGGCGATAGCCTCCGGAACCGTACGGCCCATGGAGGGGGAGAGCTGCGGGCATGGGAGGCCGAGGGGGCTGGTGCACGTCGTACCGCGTGTAAGGGGGTGGATTTGCGCGACGAGCGTCAAAGGGGGGAAGATTTGCCTCTGGATCCTGCCTGTTGCTGTTTGGGCGGAAGAAGTTGCTCATGTCGTCTCCTGTAGAGGCTTGGGGTGCCAAGACGGAAGTCAGCGATGTCCTTCGACTTGAGTCCCACTTCGAATCGTCGAGTCGAGCTTCGAGAGTCGAGAGGTGGGATGAAGAAGGACCGCAGGCCAGGATGTCCTGGGATCTATATAGCCTGCTCTGGCATCGGCACACAGGGGCGAGAGGATGCAACGAGGAATACCGAGCTGCGACTTCGTTGGAGTTCCAAGCAGTGCGAAGGTGCGCATGAGTGTGAGAATACGGGGAGGGATGGAACGGTCACACTACGGCTGTATCTGTTCTGCACGCCCAGTTGACTAGGGTCTGCGCAGCACGCATCCCAGTACAAGCGAGCAGGTTGCGCCAAGCACGAGGATACGAGCCTGGCGCTTAATGAGGGCTCTGGCTGCTTCAAAGAATGTTCGACGGCCCATGTGCATTTGGCCTGGGAGGGTGAAGTGAGCTGTGGCACCCCCCCATTTCGTGCCAACGCTCAATGGCTATCGAGTAATGGTACATTTGCACTATTGTATCCCTACTGAGATCTGATTCTACTGGATTCTAATCGTATGTCCTCGCTTCCTTCACACCTCGCGTGCCGCGCCACGCCGTACGTCCGCGCTCCGCTCTCTGACGCTCGCTCCCCGCGCGCACCTAGTCGTCCTCATCCATACTCTCGTCCTCATCGCTGCTCTCCCCCTCGGCCACGACGAGCGGGTCGAGGTCAAAGTCCTGGTCTGCGCCCGAGTAGCTGTCACTGATCAAGTACAGCTTGAGGTTGTGCGTGCCCTGCGGGAGCGTAAACTCGAGCTTGGCATTGAGACGCGCCTTGACCGTGACCTTCTTGATGGCGTAGAGGTTCTTGGACTTGGCGTCGCCCACAACGAGCCACCATTGCACCATCTTGCGGTGCGGGAAGAGGGGCGCGTCGGCCGCCATGTCGTCGGGGTCGTCTTCGTCCGCCTCGCGGTCCAGCGTGACCTTGAGCGTGACTGGCGTCGAGGAGTCGAGACTGTCCGCGTCCTCCACCTCGTATGCGACTTCAATGTTCGGGTACGAGTTGACGAACTTGGCCACACGCGCCAACTGGCGGTCGTTCATCTGCAGCAGCTCGTTGCGCTGGTCGTCCTCCAGCTCCATGATGTCGTAGACGCTGTCGAGACCCGCGTCCTTGAACCGCTGCAGCACGGGGCCGTCAAAGTACGGCACCTGCTTGAGCGGCGAGTCGCGATCCCAGATGGCCTGCACGCACATCTGCGACAGGTCCATGGCGCCGAGACAATTGAGGTACGACTTGGACGACATGACATCCACGCACGCAGACAGGAGGCCAGTGACCTTGCCGAGGATGGCGGCCTGGTCGATGACGAGGTCGGGGGGCAGGTGCAGGCGGCTGAAGTGCGCCTGCAGCAGGAGGTACGTCTTGAAGTACGGGGAGTGGAAATCGGGCTTGGCGACCTTGACGGGGACGCGGTCGTAGATGCGGGACAGGATCGAGTCCTCGTGATGCCTAATGGGCACGGTCTCGAACTCGTTGGCAGACGAGACAATCTCGAGCAAACCCTTGAGCTTGGTCGTGTCCTTGATCGAGGCGGAGAACGTCTCGACAGTGATGTACGAGATGTAGTAGAAGGACGCAATCATGCCCAGGTTATTCGGGAGAAGGTCCATGTCATCCTGCACAATGATGCAGTCTGACTCGGCGAGGTCGTTGACCGTGTTCTCGACAAGCTCGGACAGGTACTCGGCGACGTGGGTCGGGGACGTGCCCTGCAGGTTGTAGAAGCCCGGGTTCTGCGCGAGGCGGCGGTAGAACCACGTCCACGTGCACCAGTCGACCGCCTCCTGCTTGTTCTCGATCGTGCGCGCAACAATCTCGGCGTTGAAATGGTCGTGCAGGTAGCTCGGCAAGCTCGACTCCACCGGCAGCGCCTCGTTCAGGAACTTCTTGAAGAAGTCCTTGCGCGTCTGCTGGCACATGAGGACACAGCGAGACGAGCTGTCAATCGTCGGTCGGCACGCGCGGCCCATCATCTGCAGCACGTCCGCGATGGCGTAGTCGACGTAGCGGTGCTCCTGGCCGTCAAAGTACTGCACGCCCATGATGATGACCATGTAGGACGAGACGGGGAGAGACCACGCCGTGTCCTTGCTCGCGACGAGCACCTTGATGGCGCCAGTGTCAAAGAGACCGGTCACGATGCGCTTGTCCTTCTTACTGAGCGCCTCGTGGTAGTAGCCGATACCGTACCTCAGAGTCTCAGCGAGCTCCTGGTCATCGAGGCGGTCCAGGTGCGGCGCGAGCTCCTCGGGGTCGACGTTGAGGAAACGCTGCTCATCGTCGTCGGCGAGCACGTACGTGACGAGGTCGTTGGCCGTGAGCTTGGACTGCTTGCGGCTCGCGACGAAAATGATCGTCGGCCGTCCCTTGGCGTTCTCGACCATGGACAGGTACGCGGGCTTGGCCATGGCCAGCATGAGCGACGGGAAGTGAGGGACATTAAAGCTCTGGAGGTGCACCTCGAGAGGGAGGGGACGGGCAGCCGGCGAGAAGTTGAACACGTTCTGCGACGACGCGCCGATCCAGTCTCCGAGGTCACGGGCGTTGGCGAGAGAGACTGAGCAGGCCACGATACGAGTCGGCTTGCCGGTCTGCTGCGAAACATAGCGGGTACGCGAGACAATGACCTCGTACGTGGAGCCGACATCGCCACCGATGAGCTGGAGCTCGTCGGCGATGAGAAGACCAATCTCCTGCACGTCCTTGCGCGACTTCCATCGGCGCGAGAGAAGGTCCCACTGTGCGGGCGTGCACACGGTGATGTCAGACTTGCGGAGGAGAGCCAGGTCAGCGGTCGCCTCGCCAGTGAGCGCAACAACCTCTTTGTTGAGCGGCTTGAACTTCTCCGACCACTCGGCAACGCGCATGTCGACCATCTCCTGGTACGGCTCGATGCAAACGGCGCGCGGCGGGTCGCGCTGGCTCCAGAGACGGAGGAGGGCGAACTCGGCGCAGAACGTCTTGCCAGAACCGGTAGGGGCACCGATGAAGACATTGTCGTCGGTCGTGAAGAGCGCCTGGAAGACCTGCGTTTGGATCTTGTTGAACGACTTGAAGGGGTAGAGGTTCTCGAACGCCTTGTTGTGCAGCGCCGAGACGGGGAGGGGCTGGAGGTCCAGCAGAGGAGTGTGGGGAGGGAAAGGCTCGGGACGGATCAGGTGCTGGAACGAGACGGGCAGGCGCGTCTCGCTCTGCATCCAGCGGTCCGAAATGACCGAGATATAGTAGTTGGGCGGGACGGGATCCGAGATCGGCACGGTGATGGTGACGTAGTGCTCATCCGTGGCAAACTTCTCGCGGAGCACGAAGGTGTCGTGGAAAAGAATGCGCTCGCCATCAACGTCCTCGACGAGGATCCAGAAAAGCTGGGTCTGGCCGTGGATGTCGTAGTCCCAGACGAAGTCGGGGGTGATCGTCAGGTTGATCTTGAGCAGCGAGCGGGTGAGCGGGAGCACGTGCGCCTGCAGGTCAAGGCGCGGGAACTTGTGCACGAGCGACTCGATCATCTGACCAGACTTGGGGAGACCAATCAGCTCGCCAAGCTCCGCGGCGTCGAGGTCAAAGTAGCGGTGCCACGGGAACTCCTTGCGCTCGGCACGGGTGACGATCTCGGGACGGATGCGAGGGAACTGGCGGAGGGGGGACATGGCCTTCCACATCCTGCGCTCAACCATCTTGCACATATCGAGGGCGAGGTGGGTCGGCTGAGCCCATCCCTTCTTCAGACAAATCTCAAACATGGCGCGCAGAATACGACCAGCAGACTGCTGAACGAAGACCATGTCGGTGACAATGTCGAAACCGCTAAGCTTGAGCTGCGAGATGTACGCCTGAAGGAGCACGTTGACCTTGGCGACCGGCTCGTCAACGCTCTCCTTGACGGGAATCGGAACACGCTCGAGCAGCTTGGCGAGCTCCAGCTTCTCCTCCTGACGAACTGGGATGAGCTTGAACTCGTTGGACAGCGCGAAGACACGGAACAGGTCGATGAGACCGAGTCCGGGCTTGAGGTGCTTGTTGTAAGTCGCCATGGACGAGTACGTGATGTAGTAGTGCGAGGCGATACGGCCGAGGTCGGTCGACTGGAAGACGCCGGTGGCGCGGTCGTAGCGAATGAGGCCGCCCTTCTCGAGCTGAACAGCGGCGGAGTGGATGAGGTCCGCACGCTTCTGGACGAGAGCGGCGTCGCCCTCGAGGTAGTCGGCACCGACGTTGTAGAGACCAGGCGATCCGAGCATGCGCACGTAAAGGTAGGTGTAACCAAGCCACTGCACACCCTCGTCGCGGTTGCGAACCGAGCCCAGGACAATCTCGGCGTTGAGGTTGTCGATGAGACGCGAGACGAACTGCGACTCGATCGGGAGCTGCTGGTTCATCAGACTGGTGTAGTACTGCAGCTCGCCGTGGTTCGTGATGATGATACCCTCTCCGAAAGTGTCGAACTGCGGTCGTCCGGCACGACCGAGCATCTGCAGCACGTCCTGCGGCGAAAGCTCGGACCAGCGACCCTTCTCAGGGTTGTACACCTGGGTGCCCTTGATGATAACCGTGTGGGCGGGCAGGTTGACACCCCAAGCGAGGGTGGCGGTACAGACGAGCACCTGGATGTGACCCTCGAGGAAGAGGTCCTCGACAACGGTACGGTCCTCGCGGCTCATACCGGCGTGGTGGATACCGAAACCAAAGGGCAGAAGGTCCTTGAGGTTGAGATCCTTGCACTCGTTCGCCTCGTGAATGAGGACCTCACGAGAGGCGCCCTCGGGGTTGATAAACTGGGTCAGAGTGTCCTTCTCCATGGCCATGTCGCGGAGGAACTTGGCCGTCTTGGCAGTCTCCTTTCGCGAGTGCACGAACACAAGTGTCTGCGACTTGCCAGCCTGGTTCAGAACCTTCTCGTAGCACACCTCGTTGATCGTCTGAAGACGCTTGATAGCCTTCTTCTCCGTAACACCGATGAACTGCTGCTTGAGGCCGACTGGTCGGTACGAAGCGTCAAAGTAGAAGAGACCCTTCTTGGTGTCGACACGGAGGAAGGCGGCGACATCCTTGTAGTTCGGAAGCGTGGCGGAAAGACCAACGACACGAACCTCATCACGGGTCTGGTCCATCTTGCGGATAGTACGCGAGAGGATCGACTCGAGGACCGGTCCACGGTCATCGTGGAGCAAGTGGATCTCGTCAACGATGATGAGACGGACGAGGTTGGTGTAGCTCGTGTCGGTAGCCTTACGGGTAATAACGTCGTACTTCTCGGGAGTCGTAACGATAATCTGCGTCTCCGTGATCTGCTGCTTGGTGAGCTGCGAGTCACCGGTGAGCTCGGCAACCTTGATGCCAAGGTCCTTGAAACGCTTGCTGAAAGCAGCAACCTGCTCCTGCACAAGCGCCTTCATGGGCGAGACGTAGATAATCTTGAACGAGTCGAGGTCGATGTGTCCAGTCTCAGGATCCCGGAACTGGCCGATTGTGCGGAGCATGGCGAGCGCGGCACAGTTCGTCTTACCGGCACCAGTGGGCGCACAGATAAGCATCGGCTCGTTGGTCTCAAAGGCAATCGGGTAGACCTTGCTCTGGATCGGGTTGAGCTTGGTCGCGTTCACGCTCTGCCACACCGGCTGCGTCCAATCGGGCATCGCCGTGACGGGTACGAGCTCTCCGGGCTGCAGCTCGCGGCGCTTCGGCTCCGGGACGTGAATCTCCTCGTATCCCTTGAACTGACGCTTGAACGAGCCTTCCGGAAGCTTGACCTTCTTGCGGGACATGAGGTGTCCACCTTCAGAGAAGACCAATGAGTCGATGTCGATGACTCGTTGCGGCTGCGCGACCGACCCAGGAGCGAGAGTAGCCTTCTTGGGGACGACGATAGCCTGGTCCTCCTGCTCGTCTTTCCGTCCGCCGCGCAAGTCGCGCAGAATCCATCCCACACCACGCTCACGCATCGCCACCTCGATGTCCTGACGGCCGTTCTCGTCCGCACGTGCGAGCTTGGTGCACCACACGATCACGTCGCGGTTCTTCGTGAGCGTCGCAATGAGGTCGAAGTGTTCGTAACCGAACATCTCGGCGAGAGAGTTCTCAAGGTCGCGGAGCTCAGCCTCCGAGCCGAGAAGATCGAGAGCCTGCTGCGTGAAGTCGGCAGCCTGGACGGGGTCGGGGTAGTAGGAGCCGATGAGACGCTGGAGCCAGAACCCATCCACCTCGTGCGGTGAAACCTTGTCCGACTTCTCCTTCTGCTTCGTTCCAGACTTGCCGACCACGACGGCGTCATCCTCGTCCATAGGCTCGGCCTCGGCTTCCTCCTCTTCCTTGTCCTCGTCCTCGTCCTCATCCTCATCCTCGTCGTCAGAGGCGCGGTTCTTGATCTCAAAGTCCTCCTCGTCATCGTCGTCATCGTCCTCGAACAAAACGGCGACACCCTCGTTGTCGACAGCACGCTCGCGGTCGTCGCCGGTCGGTCCCTCCTCTTCCTCGGTGTAGTCGGTGATCTTCTTGCTGAGGTTGACAAGCTGGCCCCAGGCATCCTCCGTGACGGATCCGACAATCGATTCGACCTCCTTGCGCTTGTCAAACTCCTTCATGTCCTCGTCCTTGAGCGACTCGAGAATGGTGTCAGTGGCGGATCGCACGACCTCGGACGTCTGGTCTCCGAGCTGGCGGTGGACGAGGCCGAGCAGGAGCTCATAGACCTCGCTGGTCTCAGCGGTACGCGGCCGATACCGCAGCCCTTCCATCTCGGCGACAGAGGCGAGAACGTCGGCAGCTCCAAAGCGCGCTGTTGAAGCCTCCTGCGCACGGCGGATGGCGCGCTCCTCGGCCTCGGCTTGCGATCGCTGAGCCTTGGCCTTCTTCTTCTCAAGATCCTTCGGAGCTTCATGCTGAACGCGTGATCCCATGTCCTTTACACTGATTCGTCCAACAAGCGACTCGGGCTGTCCGGTAGGCTCATCGCTCCTGATCACGGATCGATCTGTGGGTGACATCAGCATCATCGATTTGCCACCTAAAATCTCGAAACAGCTTACCCTGGTTGACGACGAGACTACTGATAGCTCCGTAGTTGAACTGGGACAAATCCCTCTTGCCGCTTCCCGACATCTTGACAGATTATGCGATGCTGGTGATATTACAGAAGTATGCGAGAGTGGCGGGGCCGGTTGGCGACTTTTGACTGCTGTTAATCGTGCAATCGTTTTCGGAAGGCGTCGAGCTGGGGAATGTACACAGAGATGATCCTTCGTCCGCGGGTTGTCCTTCAGGTGTGTGCAACCTGGTGGCACTCTTTGGGTAAGGGCGCGCGAGGACGGAGTTGGCGGATGGAGGTTGCTCTTGGACGAGCTCTTGGTTGTAACCGTCGAGTTGAGATTGTTAGTTGATTGAAACGCGAGGATCGATACGTGGGGGGATTGGACAAAGAAGCAGTTTTTGATAAGGTATGACGTGTGCTAGAGAGACACATTTCTGAAGTCAGCACCTTGTTTGACCATCCCTGTTAAGGGTGGCGACAGGGCATTGACAATTGGAGTGAGGAGTGTTTGCGCAAATTTGATATACGGATGTGCCTAGGAGGGAAGATGGAGCCGTGAGCCGAGTGGCCCCTGTGCTCGAGGCTCTGGTGATGCGCCCAGGGGAGGAGGGGGGTGGATGTTTGGAGCCGTCGGTCAGTGGGCACCAAGCGTCGTCGCAAGTCGCAGGTTTTGGTCATGGGGTGGAGACACGAACGAGGACGAGACCAAATCGACCAAAACATTTGGCTCCGCTCATCCCATCGAGCGCACCATGACCAACCAACGCACACCCACCGACGACGCACAACGCCAGAGCATTGTCCCAGTCCATCGCGGCAATCGTCCATACCCCCCTTACCGCTCACTCACTCACTGCATGCACATCCTCCCCCTCCCCCCCCTTGCTCGATGCGCTGGCACCTGACTACTGAAGCTACCTACCTGTGACCATTCAGCAAGACAAGCATGGTTACAACCACCTGACCCTGGCACAACCGGGGTAAGCTGGCTGGGTGATTAGGCTCGCATGGTACGCCTGCCCGGTGTGTGGTTGGGCCTTGGGCGGTGCAGCGTACGGCCGCACTCTCTGGCCATACGGGCGGCCTGCGTCCGTCTGGCCGCCCGTCCTGGCTGTCCTGGCCTACTCAGCCTACCTCACCCAACGGCCAGCTCCAGCCAAACTCACTCAGCCTAACAGTCTCCTCTGGCTGGCTGGCTGCTGGCCGCTGGGCCACCTCTGAGCCTCCTAGCCACTGGCTCTGGCTCTGGCACTTGGTGAGAGGACACCCAACTTGGACTTTTGGCCGTCTCCTCTCTCAACTACAGACTTTTACTCTCTCCAAATCCACTCATCCCATTTTTCGATCCAACCACTTCCCCCCCTCTTCCCCACCCCTCTCCCTTCCTCGCCATCTCTCTTCCCCTCTCCTCGCCGTCTCCACCGCCTCCCTCGCCCCCGACACCTCGACTACGACCAAAAAATCACTCATCGACCGAGTTTTATGTTCTCATCCTCGAACTTGATCCATCACTCTTCCCCTCCTCTCTCCCTCCTCTCGCTGGCTCCCTCGAGCAGCTTTTTCGCCACCACCAACCGACCTGCATCCCGTCGTCCTCTCAGCTTCATCTCGTCCGAGTCATTGCGCTGAACACGGCGAGTGCAACACTTCACCCTTTGTCCCCTCGCTCGCTGCTTCCCGTGTACGGTGGGTCTCCTTAGTTGGTGAACTCACTCGGGACACACCCTCCCTGCTGGAACCCCCCTTGCGGCATCCCTGCCACCCGGCACAGCGAGCGTCCTTCTCAGCGCCCCATCCGTTCAACCCTTTGCGCGCATCGTCTGTGTCATTCAGGAGTAGTTCGTCTCTGGTGGTCGCCGTTCGTCACTCGACTCCTCGCACCTAGAGCGACTTTTCAGCGTTTGACCCGACTCACCGCCAACGCCCCCACAGTGCAGTCCGTTGACTTACCATCCACCAACTAGACTGGTCTCAGACCGGTAGCCCCGGCCTGCAACCTGTCAGTTGGTCACCACCGGCCTCATGAGTGTTACCGTCGACACGAGGCCACCAGCAGGTGTGCCTCCCCAAGACCACCGAGCACCGAACGACCCCACACCAATAAGCAGTTTACGGTCCGAGGATGTCGACACGGAGACGAGTCGCCACCGCCCAACCGAAACCGGCTACCCGTCAACGGCGGGTCCTTCGCGACAAGTCGACATGGATACCGCCCTCAATGGTCGCCGTGACAGCGGGACAAGGGGATCGAAGTCTTCCGACAACTCGAGTGAGCCGCTTTCCTCCTCGAATGCAGCGTCAGAAGAGGCAGCCGCTCTGCTGCTGAACTTCTCCGCAGTCGGTGACCACCCTTTGCCAACCATTCCTGAACGACCGTCACAAGCGCGACCAAGTGCGGTGGCGACTTCGTCCACCTATCCGAACACACCCCCTCACGATTCGCCTCACACGACGCACGAATCTGCCGCCGCCCCCACACCATCCTCTCCCCCTTCCCTTCCCACTCCAGCAGCTGCCAGCCCAGAAGCGCAGTCGAAGCAATCCAAGTCCAAGCGGAAACGCAACGCTACCGCAGGACCATCACGACAATCGTCCGCCGAACCTGAACGACCGGGACACTGGATGGGAGAAGACAACGCTGTCATCCGCTGTATCTGTGGATTCACGGAAGACGACGGTTTCACCATCCAGTGCGAAGGCTGCAACGCTTGGGAGCATGGACTGTGTTTCGGGTACCAGGATGAGGCATCTGTTCCCGACACGTACTTCTGTGAGCTGTGCATGCCGCGGAAAGTCGACGCCGACCGCGCGCGTGCCCTGCAGGCGCCCCGCATCGCCTACACGCGACTAGTGCGTCCACAGGAATCGACCGAACAGGGCAAGAAATCTCGACCAAAGACGAAACGTCAACGGACGGATCGAGCGTCAGCGTCGGAGCGAGCGGCAGCGGCGGAGGACACTAGCAACGGTGGCAACGGCTCTTCGGCTCCAACACCAGCCGAGGATACGTCCATGGCACCCCCCAACAACAAACCGAAGCGTAAAGCGGGTCCTTCGCACAAGCCCCGCAATGCGTCTCGGGCTCTCAACGATCTGAAGGAGGAAGACGACTTCTTCCGTGTCGTTCCGTGGGAGATGGAGTACACGCCCATGAAGGACAACATCATTCGCGGCGCGCCGGCTCGCCACGCGATGACTCAACTGTATCGCGAATGGATCGATGTCGACGAGAACAGCCCGCCACGGAAGGGCCGAGCTTCCTACCACGACTCTGGACTGCCGTCTCCAACTGAGACCGGTGCCCTCCGCCTCTCGCCTGACATGTTCACATCCCCCGACTTCTCGACTCTCGGCCCTCCTGTTCCACCAGTCACATTGTCGGGAACCGATCTCTCCAGCCTCTCTGCCCCCACGTCCATCCGGCCAGTCGACGACAATCACTGCTTCTTACCCCTGAAGTACATCGAGCCGAGCTCCGGTATTTACGCTCGGCCAACACTGTATGGTGTTTTCGTCAACGAGGCGGTTAATGCAGGTGGATTCCTGGGCGAGTTCCGCGGCGAGATCATCGACTCTGCGTCGTATCGCAAGGACCCAATCAACCAGTACTCGGCTCTTGGTATCCCCAAGCCGTACGTCCACTCAGTCGGCCCCCCCGTAAACCTCATGCTCGACGCTCGCTCGTACGGATGCGACAACCGGTTCGTACGAAGCGGATGCCACCCCAACGCTGTCGTTCGCCCGCTCTTGTTCCGATCTACCGAGGATCAAGACCAGAAGCCCAAGCTCCGGTTTGGTATCTTCGCCTCCCGCGATCTGTCTAAGAACGAGGAAATTGTCCTGGGCTGGGAATGGGATGACCAGCATGTCGTTCACACGTTGCGCGCGGTAATCGATTCGACTCTGAAGAGTGGAGCTTCCAAGCCTCCAATTGCGCCTGAAACGATGGATCGATTAGCGCTCAAGTTTGATTCGATCCTCACCAACATCTTTGGCACATTCCAGTCGTGTGCCTGCACTGTGACAACAGACTGCGCGTTTTCCCAAATGCGAAGGCTGGTGTCAGGGCAGACATTCCATGGAGTTAGTGGCTCCCGTGCCAGGAAGCGCATCGACCTTGGCGAACTCATTGGCGCAGTCCGTGGCTGGCGCCGCCGAGAATTGGAAGCTGCTGAGGCTGCGAAGGCACGCCGCTTTGCCTCTTCTGGGGAATGGGAGCTTTGGCGTACGGGACCCGCGAAGAGCCCGTCTGACGACGACGAAGTGAAACACGACGAATCGACGCCATCTCGACCAGCATCGACCGCGGATCAGTCTGATCACGGAATGGATGTCGACGAGCCGGCCGCGGGCGACGAAGAGCCTCCTGTTGTGGACGAGCCCCCTTCGGAGCCCGCGGCGGAACCAACTGTCGCTGCCGAGAGGGACGACGACGAGACGGAGGATGAGCTTCCGCCTCCTGTGGCACCCTCTGCTCCCGAGCCCGAGCCTGAGCCTAAACTGGACGAGCCTGTCGAGACGGCTGCCACCACCGAGGCTGTCCCGTCGGCCGACTCTGCCGATTCTGCCCCGGCTGCCCCAGCTGCGGCAGATGCTGTGGAGGAGGTTGCCCCGATCCTTGAGGAGCCTGCCACCGCTGACCTTGCGGAGAAGGCGACGGTGACGGAGGAGCCTCCGAAGACCGACGAGGAGCCTGCCAAGCCGGAAGAGGCTCTGGTCACTGGCGCCGAAGCGGCCGAGCCGCCGAAGGACGACGCCATGCAAGTGGATGAAGTCGAACCGACTGCTGAACCGCCAAAGCCTGAACCCGAGGTGGCAACGGAGCAGAAGGATGAGGACGAAACCGAGGATGAGAAGGACGGCATGAAGACGCCGGTGCCTCAAAACACCGCCAATGCGATTCCTGAGCAACCGTCGTCGGTCCTCTCGTCTCTTCCTTCCGACCAGATTGAGCATCCCGAACCCGAAGGCGAAGAGGAGCTCTCGGGCAATGAGTCCGAGGCTACGACCGTCACTGTTGTCCGCTCCGAATTGAGCGACAACGACTCTGGGTCTGAGGATATTCACCCGCCCACGATCAGGCGCGGTCGCCGTGTCGTTTCCCCTGTTGCCGAGTCGTCCACGAAGCGTTCTGACAAGAAGCTCAAGTCTCGCCAGAAGGAGCCGGCCAAGAAGGCGCCCGAGTCTGTTCGATCCACCAACAAGCGTCGTTCCCGCAAGAACATCATTGCGTCCAGCGACGAGGGCAGTTCTGAGGATGAGGCACCCAGCTCTTTCAGGCGCAACAAGTCGCAGCGTTCCAGCCCCTCCAAGCCGCCCAAGAAGTCTCTGGTCCGCAAGGCTCCTCAGTCTGACAGCGACCTGAGCGAGGCTGAGAAGGAGAACGTGCCCAAGTCCCGCAAGGCTGACGCGCGCAAGCCCAGTTCCAGCAAGAAGCAGAAGCTTGACCGTGACAGCCGCGAGGCGTCCAAGTCCTCTGTTCGTGGCCCGTCCCCGCGCCCTCCAAAACCTCGCTCCAAGGGCAAGGCTGTGGCGGACGACGACGAGCTTCCCGTCAAGACCGAGAGGCGCTCTCGCAAGGTGATTCCGTCGTCTCCGCCTCCTGACGGGGATGAGAAGGACTCTGCTATGGACGTCGACAACGATGACGTCAAGCCTCCCAAGTCCAAGGACTCGACACGGTCCAAGGATTCGGGCAAGTCGAAAGATGTCATCAAGTCCAAAGAGTCGATCAAGTCCAAGGAGTCGATCAAGTCCAAGGATTCTGTCAAGTCCAAGGATTCAATCAAGTCTAAGGACTCGGCCAAGTCTGACGACGCCATCAAGTCCAAGGACAGATCGAAGGAGAAGGTTAAGGAGCCGACCAGCTCGAAGGAGTCCAAATCCAAGGCGTCCAAGGATCTGGAGCCGAAGACGAAGGAGGCCAAGTCCATGGGTCCCTCAAAGGAGCCTTCACCCGCTCCGAAGGAGACTCGAGAGGCTAGTCCTGAGCTTAGTCCCCCTCCTCGTGAGACCAAGGAGCCTTCGCCCGTGAAGGAGCTGTCCCCGCCTCCGCGCGAGTCGCCTGCTCCCGCTGCGAAGGAGTCGACTCCGCCGGCGAAGGGTTTAACGCCGCCTCCCAAGGAGCTTGTTTCGCCTATCAAACGTCCACAGACGCCTCCCCCCGAGTCGTCGCCTGCCAAGGAGGCTGCAAAGGAGGACAAGGAGTCCACTCCCCCTCCCAAGGAGCCTACTCCTCCACTCAAGGAGCCGACGCCGCCGCCTCCCAAGAAGGTCTCGATGAAGGAGTATCTCGCCACGCACAAGATTCGCAAGGTGTCTCACCAGTCCGATTCCACTGATACTGCTGGCGAGTCGAAGACCCCGACAGATGCAAAGGAGCCCAAGAACGACAAGGAGTCCAAGGACGCAAAGGAGGCCAAGGAGCAGCAGGAAGAGGGCGCCGCCGCTGATCGTTCTACTGCGCGCCTGAACCTTCTGGAGCACCTGCCTTCTGCTCGCCCTCCGTCTGCGGGTAGCACGCCCACCAGCGCCACCACGACGCAGAGTTCAGCCTATGTTCCCCGCACCGACTACTTTGGGAACGGCCCCAACTCTGCTGGCTCTACGACGTCTACGCCGCAGTCCAACTACGTCCCTCGTCCGAGCCCCAGCTATGTGCCTCGTTCTCTTCCCGACGAGTCCCCCGCCAGTGTCGGATCCTTTACGTCGCCGTCCACAGCCTATGTTCCTCGCGACAGCTTCCCTCCCGACCCGAGCGTCAGTCCGGTCGCGCCTCGTCACGCGCTTCCTCACCAGACACCCCCGCGCTCGTCGCACAACCTGCCCGACATGCCTCCGCCTCTGGCGCAGCGTGACGGCCCTCCGCACTACCGTGCACCCCCCACCGGTCCCCGAGCCGCTCCCACTGGCGTCCCCGAGCCGCTCCCACTGGCCCGCGCGGCAGCTGGTCTGGCAGCTCTGGTGGACCACCCCACAGTTCCGGCAACGGCCCCGTCTCGCCCGTGGCGCCGTTGCGCGGCAACTACCCCCCGCGTGGCGGCTTCAGCTCGTCGCGCGGGGGCTTCAACGACCGCCCCCGAGGTTTCTTCGGCGGGCGGCTACCGCGGCCGCGGACGAGGCATGTAACAGTACTTGAATGAACCCCCAAAAGCCTCAAAAGTCAAGTCGTCCTCCGAGCAGTTAGAAGTGAATATTGGTTTTTGTTTATTGGTCTGCGCAGACCCGTCTTTCGTCCCGAGGTGTAGCTTGCGCGCACCCCGTGTTTCTGCTTTTTCATACGACTTCGTTTCGCTTAGTTTTCCGCTTTTATACAACACACATGTGTCTGCGCGCCCATAGAAATGTACCAATTGAAATGCCAACTCAAGTATAATCAATGAAGTCCATGGAACACTGCTAGTAGTTACAGAATTAGAAAGCCCAGAGCTCAGACACGACATCCTTGTCCTCCCCAAACCCACCGTCTCCCGATGGGAACGGGGCGGGCATATCCTCGGGCTTGCCCAGCTCGAGCTGCACAGAAAGCGCAGGGGGATTTTTGATCTTGCGCTCAGCCTCGGTATTGAACAGCGTCTGGTATCCATGATCAAGGAAATCTTCAAGGAGGAAGGGGGGTTTCGTGAATTGTTCCTCGAAGACCTGGGCCATGACGGCAATACTCGCGAGATAGTGTTTTCGCACGGCGCCGAGTTCCCACACGCTTCCGTCAATCGCCTTGGTCGACAGGGGGTTGGGCTCCGTGGCGTCGTAGGGGTCGAGGTCCTGCCCGTCGTCCAAGCGGTGGAGCATCGGCATCGTCCCGGATGCTTCTTGAAGAGGTTGTACGTGAAGGGGATGACGAGCACGGCGCCGGCCGGCGGGGCCGTCAGCGCCAAACGCGCGAGCCTCTTGATAAAACTGGCGACAATGGCAGCGGGGAGAAGCGGGGAGGAGAGGAAGACCTCGAGGAGACGGAAGAAACGCGCGCGATACCTCGCATGCAGCACCTCGGGGGTCAGGAGCGCATAGAGGCGCGTGTAGAAGTTGGGATAGTCGAGATTGTAAGCCGTCATGAGGACGTAGAGTCCGTTCATGGCGAGCATGGCGTGTGCGCCGCCCCGGTCGACGGTGGCGCCCAGCCAGTCGGCGACTATGACGCGGCGACTCGCAGACATGTACGCGAGGATGCCCCGCTCGCCGTGCAGGTTGGTCAGCACGCGGCGCTCCCACCCCTTCTCGAGCGGATAGGAGAGGACACCCTCCCATGCTGCCGTGTACGCCGCCGTGTGCGCAGCCAGGGAGTGCACGGCCGCTGCAGTCCCCAATGCGGCAGTGCGCTGCCGCTTCTTCCCCGCCAGCTGCTCCTCCTCCTCGTCCGAGGGCTCGTCATACGCCTCCATCCAGTCCGGGAGCGCGTCGACTTCCTTCTTCCCCTTCTTGCCTTTCTTGCTCTTGGCCTTCTTAGCGGAAGATGGGTTAGCCTTGAGCCCGGGGATGAAGAAGGCGTTGATGTCCCCCTGCTCCTTGGGGAGGTAGATCAGGTGCACGAGCTGGTTGAGCAGATTGTCGACATGCTGCAGCGGGAGGAAGGAGGGGATCTCGCGGAAGAAGAAGAGACGCAGGTCGTCGTACTTGGCCCAGTAGTCGTCTACGGCCGCGCCGGCCACGTCGAGGGGCAGTTCGCCCGAGGGACCCTCCTGATTCTCCTCCAGCGTCGAGTCGTGGGAAGAGGCGCCGCGTTGACTGTCGGGCGGGGCGAGGAGGTAGGAAACGAGGATGCGGAAGTAGGGCAGGTGGATGGGCACGCCCGCGCTCTCGGACAGGGGCACGAGGAGCGCGAAGAGGAGCTGCAGCGCCGAGCTCTGTCATGTCAGTCTACACCCTTCCAGCTGTTACCGTTGCCGCGTCGCCGCGTCGCCGCTATCGCGGCACCTCATAAACTCACCCTAAGTGCCGCCTCGGAATCATGCAGCAGCCCGCCCAGGATCGCCGCATACTCCAGCAACCGGTCGCGCAGCCAGCTCTTGACCTTGCCTCCGTCCTTCACTTCAGCAGACTCTCTCTCCTTCGGTCCCGTGATACCACCCACTCGGCCCTGGGCCAGCTGCACACCAAAGACGCGGTACAGCGCCCAGACGGCCTTGTGCACGACCTCGGGGTTGGCGTGCCGCGCGAGGGCCAGAAGCGCGAGGATCGGGTTCGGGTCCGCTGGCTTGGCCGTAAGAGCCTCCTCCAGTTTCTGAACCTGGAGCAGTGGTGATGGCGCCATGGTTGTGCTTGGGGTGTAGATTTGTTGTTACGAGTAGTTGGTGAGCGGCGGCGATGAGCACCAAGGATTCAGAAATCTGTGGTGGACTAAGGGGGGATCTCCGCACCCCTCCTGACTTATTTTCCCACGGCCGTCTGTAATCATCTTCAAACAAGACTTTATGTCTAATGCAGATTTGACCCCGCTCCTAATCCGCTTAACAAGCTCACGTCAACCCGCATTGTCCACCGCTGAAGCGCTGAGGTTCGAGTCGCTTCCCCACGCTCGCCCGTTCCTCGGTCCTTGCCAGTTCTGTGACGCAACAACCTACCTGTTGCTCATTTTGCACTTCTACCAACTCTTGCACCTGCAACACAACACACGAGCCATGCCGCCCACACGCCCCAGCACCGCGACGGCCACCCCGCCCTACCCCTCCTCACGGCCGGGATCGAGCCGCCCCGACTCCCCCGCCAAGAGCGCGACGGCCAATTCGTCACTGATCCTGAGGAAGCAGCTTATGGGTATGTACGACGCGACGCGGGCGACTGGAGGGAGGTCGCGGTAATGAAGGAGGGAAGGAAGGAAGGGAAGGGAGTGGTGGGAGAGTGCGGTGGCGCGCGGTGTCTGACTCAACGCACTGACGGCGGTGTTAGCCAAGCGCCGCCGCCGCCAGATTGCCGTGATGACAACGCGATGGCCAGAGCATGTAGTGACACGCGCGAGAGGGGCGAAAGAGCTAGCCACCTTGTGCCTTCGAGCTGACCCCAGACCTCCAGCGCAATCCCGTCGACGGCTTCAGCGCCGGTCTCGTCGACGACGACAACATTCTCGAGTGGTCCATCGTTATCATGGGGTGAGCTGACCGCGTGCGTGCTTAGCTGACGACAGACCGACGGATACGCTTTGGGAGGGCGCTATTCTCAAGGCGCGCCTCATCTTCCCTCCTGTGAGTACTGAGTACCTCACCCGCTGTGGCTGCCGACACTGCTTGTGCTCGTGCAGCCTCTGTTCCGTGACGAGCTACTGGGGTTTCCTGCACGAGCTGACCATCAGGAATACCCGCTGCTCCCGCCCAAGATGGTGTTCGACTCGGAGATGTGGCACCCGAACAGTGAGTGGTACATGGACGACTGGTGAAGTGGTAGAGGGAGCGAGAAAGGCTCAGTGGTGAACAGCGAGGAAGGACAGCGCGTTGCGGATGTCGCACCGGGCGTGCGCCGACGTCGTCGGACGTGCCAGCGGAGCTGTGTGCTTGTGGAAGTTTCGAGCGGACTGCGGCGCCACTTTGGGCAGGAAAGTGTCACTTAAGTGATGCTCAGCCATGTCGATCGCACCGTTTGTGACGCCGCCGCGCATTGTCGCCCGCCTCTCATCATGCGTGAACGACCTCATCCCATCTCATCAATGTCTACCCCCATCGCAGCCCAGTCCCAGCTGTCGGACAGTCTGCATTCAGCTAACACCAGTCTATAACACGGGCGCGCGCAAGGGCGAGGTCTGCGTGTCGATCCTGCACGCGCCAGGCGAGGACCAGTGGGGCTACGAGGACGCGGGCGAGCGCTGGCTGCCAGTGCACACTGTCGAGACTGTGCTGATCTCGGTCATTTCGCTCCTGTCCGCCGACGTGCCCGACCTCAACTCGCCCGCCAACGTCGACGCCGCCAAGGAGGTCCGCGAGGACTACCCCGCGTACAAGAAGAGGGTCAAGCGCCTCGCGCGCAGGAGTGCAGAGGAGGCGTATGACTGAGTGTGTGGCTGTGGACGAAGCGTATCGGTGCGGGCTACAGGTCTGCGCTCGATACGCGATGTCAACGTTGGTCGTCGGCCGACTGCATGCTGGCCGCCAAGTGTGGGCAGCCTGCAGGCGCACGCGATTGACCCTGTTTCGCTCATTTGCATGGACGGGCCGCTCCCCTACTCTCTCAAGCCACCACACCCCACCAGACTTGGTCTCAGTTAGCTGAGGCAAAGGACAAGTCGCCCGGGCCCGTGCCCCCCGTTCTCCCCTCCAATAGCTCCCAGTTTCCTTCCAGACGTTCATGTACAACAATGATATATTGTGTGTTGAAGTTACAACAGGGGTGTCTATGTGCTAACTAGGTTCTCTTCTGCTGGGGAGAAATAAGGGTGGATCGTGGGAGAACACGAATGAAGAGGGACTGCTCTCTGCCCTTGCAGTTTGAGGCTGGACTAGGCTATGAGGCGGCATCAGCACTCTGGAGCCACGGCCCTCCAGCCTTCGGCTGTCAGGCCTACTCCGTCTACACCGTCTCCATCCCAAACACGCGCCACGCAACGACCTCTCCCTCCTGCACATTGACGACATAGCTCTCAAGCGTCATGTCGATCCACGGCCGCGTGCGCGCGCCATCAAACATGGCCCCTTGGAGGATATTCTCGACCTTTGGTCTTAGGGCTGGAATGGCAGTCGCGCGCAGTTTGCCTATCCCCGAGCTGGACTCGTGGGCGAGGGAGGGTAGGGGCGGTAGGATACGGGATGCTTGTGGGTCTGGAGGTCAGCTTTTGATGCCTTCGTAGCTATTGCCTCATCGTTCCGGCTCTGGGGGTTGCGAGCGGGGAAGAGTACGTAAATGGAGCGGGGGAAGAAAAGAAAGGGATGGGCTGTGGCCTGGCGGCCCCAGCCCCAACTCACCACTCATGACGACCACGAGCTGCCCGCCCACCTCGTCCTCGAGCAGGAGCACAAACTGCCACCGCACCTCGGCGTGTCTGTAGCCCGTATCCTCGCAGCTCTTGCAGTACGTATCCGGAATAGCGCGACTGCACTTGCGACACCAGAGCACGGCGAGGTCATCGGCCTTGCTGCCCCTTGCGCCCCGGCCGACGAGTTCGCGCACACGGACCAGGATCCGATATCGGTTCGGCACGGTCAGATTCTCCCTCAAGTTCTTCAGCGAGGGACTGGGCTGGTGCAGGATCGGATCGGTGTGGGTCGTCTTCAGGTGTGTAGCGATCACGCGCTCTGGTTCGCGTTCGGGCTCGCGCTTGACTTCCTCTGGCTCGTACTGAGGCATGTACCGCGGGTCGGCTTGGCCGTCGGGCACTTTTCCCTTCTTCCAATCCTTCAGGCGTCTGGTGGTCAGCTTCGTGTCAGAACTGAAGCTTACTTCTCGATAATGACTGCCCGCTCATCACCAGCCGGCACGAGGAAGTGGCGGCGCGACTTCCACCCGTCCCGCTCCTGCTGCAGCGTGACCTTGTCGGACCAAATGAGCTCGAGCTGCCCCGCATACCGCTTCACGCGGACGTTGGGGAAGCGCACGATCTGGCCCGGCGCAAAGGCGGGCCCGACGGGGTCGTTCTGCACGGCGAGCGTGAAGATGGAGCCGCGGGGGAGCCAGGGGTATCGCGTTCCGACGCCGTGGAAGTCGCGCACCTCGTCGCCCGACACGGTCCCGTCGGCAATGTACAGCTCGTACTTTGGGAAATTGCCGCCACGTGTGTTCAGCTGCATGTCGAGGATCTGCTGTTAGCTAGGGAGGTTGCGAAAAAGCTCACCTTGCCCGTCAGTTGGAAGTACTGAGCCTCCTTGATCGAGCCCAGCTCGACGTCCTGCCGCCCCCGGTTCGAGTCGCCAACTGCCGCATTCGTCGTGAGGGTGCCTCGCCATTATCGGCCCACCACTGCTGCAGCTGCTGCAGGCGCTCGACCTCTTGCGGCGAGAGCCCCTCGCCGCTCGTGCCTGTCGTGACGACCTCGCCCTCGCGCAAAGCGTACAGCACACAAGACCCGTTCGAGTACATCTGCCCCTTGGCTTTGTTGTTGTACGTCGTGATCTGAGGTCAGCGTGCTGAATCATTCCGCCGAGGAGCGCGGCACGACACGGCAGAGCACGGCACGCGGCATGCCACGCCTGGATACCAGGATACGAACCTTGAGTGCCCGGAAGAGAATCGGCATGCCGGCGCTCAGGAGATGCAGCGGCGCCTCCGTCTTGCGGAACAGCGTGACGACCATGTCCTCCGACGCATTGCCCTGCGTGTGCGACGAAGGGTCGGCAATCACGACCGTTAGGCTTCGGTCTCCTGTACCTTGTGTCAGTTGCAATTACCACAGGAGAGACAGGAATATGTACCTGTTGGGGTGATTCGCATGCCCTTGACGTCGACGATGACGGCGGCAACGTTGGCGGACGAGCGCGACGCCGCCTCACGCAGCGTCACATATGTTCTGGGAATCGATCGGCCCTGGAAGTCAGCTGACAACTGGTTGAACCGCTGGGATCACAGTGGGTAAGCTTAAAAGTGCCACTCACATGCACTTGCAGGCCGCGGTGAAGCACCTCGGCATCTGCGCGCCGCTGGGCCAGCGCCGCCTCCGCCTCCCGGAGCTGTGCCTGGCGCATGCGAAGTGCGCTGGCCTCTGCCGCCGCCCTCGTCTCCGCCTCGCGACGCGGATCCAAAGGAGCAGCTGGCTGCACATGGTGCTGTTCCCCGTGGTCGATACGAGTCTTCTTCTGTCCGGCGTGGGCAGGTGACTCCTCGTCGTCGCGTGGACGCTTCGCGCGCTGCGGATGTGGCTCATGCAGTATGGCGCCATCTGTCGGTCGGAGACGTACCCGCTGCTGGAGTGCAGGTGCAGGCGCCACACTCCGAGACTCTACCTGTGCTGCTGCAGCTGCATCAGGGCGGCGAGCGATGGCCGCGGTGGAGTCCGAGACACCGCGCTCAGTCTGCACCTCCGCACCTTCCGCACCTCCTGCAGCAGATGCAGCAGCAAGCAGAGTACGCCGCTTAGCCTCCATCTCTATAGCCGAGAGTTGCTTATCGGGGAAATAGCTGTCCTCAATTTCGCTGTTTTCGCTCATTTCGGTCGGCCGCGTTCCTGGCGAGCTCCACCCAAGTTGTCCTTCCCTGGTACTCGCCCTGGTGACACTTTCTCCCGCCGCCGGATCAAGGTTAAGCTTGGCCTTGCCGCTCTCGCCCTTGGCGAGTTCCATGCTGCTGGGAGGCGTATCAACCGTCTCGGGGCGGGAGGACAGCACAGTGCTCGGCGACGGGAGGAGCGGCCTGAACGGCGGAGACGCCGGAGCATGAGGTGGTGCCACAGAGCCGGGACCGTGGGACGACAGGTTGACTGTAGTGCGAGGGTCCCGAACAGTGTCCGTGGTATTCTGGGCCACAGTGTGAATGGACGCAGACGTATCCACAGCAGCTTCCCCTGCTGCTAGCGCCGGAGCCGGAGTCGGAGCCGGGGCGGGGAGCGGCCGCAAAGGCGAGCGCCGCTCACTTCCGCGCGGTGCGGAAGTGGATGCGGATGCATGCCCAGCAGCGTGGACAGCCTTAATCTCACTCCTAATTGTAAACTGGGGGACTGCCGAAAGTGGACGCATCGCAGGAACAGCGCCGCCATGACGGGTTACGTCACCTCGCGTCAACTCTGTCTGGGCGGCGGTCGTCGGGTGCATTGGCGGAGCACTCGGTACACTTGGTGCAGGCGACGGAGAGAACCAGTCGTCTGCGCGCGATCTGGAAGAGGGCTTCGGACGTTCGCATTCTGCACAAGCTCGTCAGTACGGTTTCATCAGATGGAAGGGATTCCGGGAGACGCGTGAGTGGAGGTAGATAATGGCCGGAACGTACTGAGAAATTCATGACGGATTCCGTCAACAGTTACGACCCTACTGCCGGTCGCCCGAATCTTGACCACAGGTGTGCGGTCGCCCATCTCGCCTCGCCCGAGGACCTTGGCGCCGGCGCAGTCGACAGTGAGCGTCGATCCTAGGCTGCGCTTGAGGAGATCATAGTTTGCGTCTCTGGCTTGGGCAACGAGGGCGGCATCGTCAGACGGGGAAGGAAGAAGGATAAAGCGGACCATGATGGTGCGCCGGTGCTGCTTGGACTGGACATAGTCCGAGGATGCGGCCAGCTTGACCTTGATTGCAAAATCCAAGTGGAGTTCATCTTCCTCTGGCTTGGGCGTGTAGAGCAGCTTGAGGCTGCCCGTCAGCTGGCCCGTGGGGAAGTCGGTACCGGGCGTGAGCTGGTCGTAGGCGAGGGTGTTGCGAGCATCGGCGCCGGCGCTGCTGCTTCCTGCCGGAGAAGCATGGGCGGCCACGGACTTCAGCGGGTGCTGATGTCGTGACATGGCGGGACGATGTCGACTGCAGACAGGTGGTGTGTCGAGATGTCGCGCGCGTGGTCGTTGATTGTGGTATCAGTTGAATGGTGGCCAGAGATAATCGCCTGGGCTATTGTTTTGGAATTGCGCGTGGTTGAGGAACAGCACCCACCGTGTGATTGGTGGAGGGTCATTGTTGACACCGGCGTTTGAACTTGGGCATTTGAAACCATGGCTTGGACTCATGGCCCTGCCCTCGCCCAGGTGACGGCATGAGGAACCAGGCACGGAAGCAAAAGCGCCATCGACGACCAACTTTCGGTTCCTCGCCGTCGCCCTTTGCATCGCTCATCAGCAATCAGCGAGATGAGAAAAGGAGGACAGACAGACCTGACAGGCGCGTGCAAAAGGATCAAAGGGTGCGGTAAGCTTCGTGCAGGGTCGGGCTGGAGCATGCCTGAATCACTGGCTGATGCACCACCCCTAGTGGCTCCTGGCAGATCTCTAGCCCAGCGAATGAGCGGTCGCGCCGAGAGTTGCAGGGAGAGACAAGACACGCAAGGGTGGAACAGGTGGGTGCGCCACTGGTACGCAGCTGGTACACTGGGCTTGCATGTCAGATCTCTCCAAGTGGCCAAGTGGCGGATGGCGCGGTATGCAGGACATGCACGACAGACGAGTGCGGCGGCGGATGCTGACACGCACAGTGAGCTTCCTTCACGATAGCCGCACCACCGAGTGCCTTCTGATGGATTCTGTATGGACCTGCGGTTGTCTTGCTACTCTGGGTGATTATCTGTTTGTATCTGCGCAGGGCGGGCGCCGAGCGGCCGGCACGGCCTCCGCGTCGCCGCCCGCCTGTCCACTGTCCTCGATGGCCCTCCGCTCTGTCAATCCAGAGCAGAGGCAGCATCTGCCTCGAGTAGGCCAGGAACCAGGCCCGGGCAATACCTTTACGCAACCTCTTAATTGACTGCCTTTTCGCGGTGTGACATCACCTTGAATGTGGAGATTCTGGACTATCTCGCGAGCCTCAAGGCTTAGTGTGCGTTTTTCCGTCAGCGTCGCACTCCAGAGAAGGCGTCGTCTGTCCGTTCCAACGAAGTTAGTGTTTATCGAGTCGTCGCTTTCGTCGTCGGTGTCGTCGGCCCCGGGGTACGCAGCAGCGCAGCAATGGGCCGATGCAGCACATGGATCGGACTTGTCTGGCCAGAAGAAAGTTTTACGGTATGGAGTATGCATACGGCGTGCGATCGCACTGGTTTGTCGTGGATCCACGACGAGTCGACTTCATGCACCTCTGCGGCACGGCTTAGTTGCTCGTTGCCAAGATCGGCGGGCCGAGACACTTGGTCCACGGTACGTGACAACCTCTTTGCACCCGATGCATGGATCCGAGGTGGACCCCACTTTAGGCTGATGTCGACGCGCGGCAGGGCAGACGTCGCGCTTCATTCCATCCCCCTCGCTTGGCCAAAGGATGCTCAAAGGAGGTCTCGATACGCGACGATCTACGTTGGCTGATAATCTGCTTTGCTCCGCGCACTCGCTTTCGCCATGTCGGCATGGAACATGCACGCGTCGTGGCTTGCCGCGTGCACGGGCTAAGAGTGGGGGCAATAAAGGAGAGAAGAAAAGAACATCAGCTCGGTCATGTCAGCTGGGAGCGAACAGAGCTCCGAGGGTGCACACCATCTAGCGTGGCTGCCACACTGATAAGGTCACTCGATCCTAAAGAGGATCAGGTCAGCCGCGGTATTCCGCAATCCGCACTTCCACGCACTACTTGCAGATAGTGGACCTGCTGTCGTCTGAGACAGCTGGGCGTTGAATATAGCAACACCGCTGCGCGGTCGTGCGGCGCCGTGTCGATGTGATACTGTGCCGCAGCATGCTGTCCGACTTCGCCGTACGCGCCGAACGTGCCGTTTGCCCGGCTGCGGAGTACTTTTTTATTCGCTTGGCAGTGCAGCGCAGATCTTCCTGATATTTACCCTCGGAACAGTTCTTCGAAGGACGCTATTACTAAGGTCAGGTCTTAGTCGCGGAGGACGGTCCTGTTGATGCCGGCACCACCCTAATCAGCCGCGCAGTCAGGTGTCCTTCTAATCTTCGCTTCTCCCGAGCATGCCGAGCAGAGGGATTTCTAGTGGTCTTGAGCATTCAACAGAAACAGTGGGCTCCCTCGGTGGGGTGAGGGTCAGGATCCGCAGCTCTCAGTACAGCCGGCACGCGGCGTTTAGCACCAAAGTGCCCCGCCACTGCGACGGGTTGCTTGATTATAGGATCATGTTCAGCACTAGCGGTAAGCGACGCCCCGCCGGCGGCAGCGAGCTAGCATGAAACACGAGCTGGAATGCGAACAGACATCACGGCGTCTGCGTCCCCGCCCTGCCTGCCGTCGACAGCGAGCTCCTGTCCCGAGGTTGCGGGCCGGGATTGACAACGACCATGCCGAGGACCTGGGTCAGGACGTTGGACATGGGATGGGACTCCCGTTGCGAGGCAGCTTGCTGCTGTTAGCTGGCAGATACGCGGGGTGGGTCTGGATATGGAGGTATATCCATCATATCACGTCGGATGATCTGGTATACACGGCCGGAGGTTTGATAGCACCTGACTGAGTGGAAGATCATTTGCCCAGGACCGCGGCTTCCCCGCAGTTTGACGACGCGCGCGCCTTGGGCAGCGTTGTCTTGGGATGTCTGAGAGGGCTCCGAGATCCGAGAGAAGGCGAGATGCCGAGAGAGGCTAGATCATAGAAGTCGTATCAGAAGCGAGAGGTGGAGGTCAGAGTGCAAGAAGACGGCTTGGAGATCCCTCTCGAGCGCTCTGGAGAGCACTGGCTGATTACAGAATTACGGTTGAATGAGACCAAATGGCACAGGGAAGAACGCAAGGGGGAAAGGCATTCAAGGCAGTCAGGGAAGGCAAACATCCAGGGCGAGGAACTGATTGGGTGAAGGAGCAGGCACGTCATCAGAGTCGTCTTACGGTGGCGGCGGCGGCGGAAAGCAGGTTCCCAAGAGGCAAGAACGGCGTGCTGTCAGTGGAGAGTAGTCAACGTCAAGGAAGGAAGAGAAGGGAGGACGATGCCGGCGACGGAGTGGCGGAAAGCCAAGAGCGGAGAGCGGTGCCAAGGTTGCAGGATGAATGTGCAGCGGCGTGGTAGTGCAGGTACAGAGTGAGATGAATGTCAGTGTGGACGTGTGTACAGTGTGTGGAGGGCGGGGTTGAGAGTAGCAATAATGTGAAGAGTGAGGCTAGCGAGCTAGCGAGCCAAAATGGTCGTGGCCCAGGTCCCGTTGCGTCGATCCGGTGAACCCTGTTGGGCTGGGGAAAGGGAAGGGCGCTAGCAGGGAAGGCAGGCGTTCCCAGAGCGTGCGATGGGTGGTGACCCTTGCCCCGCACCTTGTCTCCCTCTGCTCCCCTGCCTGCAAGTCAGCTGGACCACCTCCTCTGCTCTGATGCCCCCGCCCTCGCAACCTCTTTTGGCCACTGTTCCCCACCTTGTCCTCAAGCAGCCGCCTGCTCGCGAGCGGTGTGACGCTGGTATCATGCAGTGGGCAGTCGGCAGTCCGCAGCAGGCAGTGGGCGCTTTGTATGTATTCCTGGCTGTTTGGGGGGCGGTTGGGCCACGGACCCTCTGGCCGTTTGCCTCGCATCTGTGTGGTGAACGCGTTGTGTGGAACGGAACGACTTCGTCAGCCGTGAATCTGAATCATCCAGTCCCGGTCTAGGTCTTCGGGTCTTCGTAAGCTGGTCGACGCCTGCCGTCGCCTGCCGCTGCGTCCTCGGACACCACTCGCTTTCTGCTCCGCCGTCCTCGGGTCCTCTGCCCTCGTGCCCTCCGCCCTTGTCAAGGAGGTGTGCCGTCTGGCCCGCTCGCTCAACTGCACAGCACACGGCACGGCACGCGCACCCACACCCTGGCGTCTCCGCACCCCCCACCCTCTCGGCCCTCAATGCCCTCAAAGCCCCCTCTCCCTCTCCCTCTCCCTCTCCCTCACCCCTCAACCCCCGTCCCTCACCCTCACGGTCCTCAGCCTCAGCCTCCCTCAGGCTCCGTATCACACGCTAAGTTACCGGCGCCAGTACCAGCGTACCAGCGCTCCTGCTGATTCCTTGGATCGTTGCGAGCTAGTCGACCCCTCCTGTGCACTTGCGACTTAGGCTCTGGTTTGGTCCTGATCTTGTTTCTGGTCGGTCCTGGTCCTGAACCTATCTCTGCGACCTGGTGACGAGCTGTCCATCTGACCAGCAGTCGGCCAGTCGGGCCATTCGTCAAGCCTGGCAAGCGCGACAAAGCCGCCCCCAAGTTTATCCAGCTCCCAGTTCCCAGATTACGTCCAGACACGGTTCATTATTGTCCACCGCCTGTAGCCTACAGCCAGCAGCCAGCCCTCAACTGGGACCCAAGCACTGGGCACACACACACACACGCACACCACCACCGCTCACCGCACCACTGCAGCCGCACCCAGACCCAGGCCACCCCGCCCCCGCCCCGCCGTGCCGTGCACCCGTGCCGCCCTACCGCCGTGCCACCGTCCACACCCGTGCCTGCTCACATTCACCCCTCACCACCGGTTATTCATTCAACCAACACCATCCATCTGCCCGCGACTCGTCTTCTCATCCTTTTGTCTTCCCCACACATACTCGTATCGTGTCAGCCAACTCTCACACACGCACCCCCACACACACATACACACACCGCCCCTCACCCTCCCAACCCTCTGCCGCCATCGTCATCCCATCGATCGCTGTCGTCCCCCGCTTCCCCCCCGGCTCGACTGCCCGTCACCAATACTCCATTCTTCAGTTGCCAGCCGCCTGCTCGGTTCAAGCCCAAGTTGGTCACGTCCTGCTCACGCGCACGCCTCCTTCAGTCCGAGCTCAATTCTACCACATTAGTACAACTCTCAGTTGCCCCTTTTGCCCCAACATCGCCCACCACCACAACTCTTCATCGTGTCTTCCGACCAGTTTGACGCCCCGCCCAACATGCAGGACGGCGACCCCCATCGCGTCCTTGCACGCAATGCCGCCTGCCATCAGTGCAGGCGAAGAAAACTGGTACGTTGCTTTGCCTCCACCTTTCCCCTTCACCTCGACCGGTTTCCCCGCTTTTAGGGCTGTCCCACTCAAGCGGACCCTACGTCCCGACGTCGACCTCGCTTTCTCTGCGAGGACGCACTGCTGACAGTTACCAGAAATGCGATGCGATGCGTCCCACCTGTGGCAACTGTCGCAAGCCCCGTCAACGAGGTCCGATCAAGTATGAACCGCCGGAACCGTGTACCTGGGACGAGATACGTGACCCATCTGCACGGACACTTCGGAAACGAGAGAACAAGAGACGCAAGATGCACGAGTTGGAGGCTCCCCAAGACGGCTTCCAGCAGCCTTGGCAGGACCAACAGCAGCCCCAGTCTCAGCAACAACAGCAGCAGAATCTCTCGCAAGCGGGACCATCTCAGCCGCATGGATCTCAAGGTCAGATTCCGACATTGTCACAGAGCTATGAGGAACAAGACCATGACAACCTCTGTGAGTGTCACTGAAACACAGCTGGACATCCGGCGGAAAAGATCATAAGCTTACTCATCGAAGACCAAGAGCCATACAACCAGACACCAGTCATCACTGAGCCGATCAATGGTCTTGGTATGACTGGCACAGGTCAACCTTTCCAGCCTGGACCGTCCGTAATCTACCCGAGCACGTTTGCCTCCAACCAGTTCAACAGTCCGGTTCACCCGAATGGCTCAGCTGGTGAAGCCAGTGGAAGTCGCCTTCCTTCCCGAGCTCCGGAGACCAAGCCTACCTTCAGCGGAGGGCTCATCTGGCCTGAGTGAGTGGGCCTGATCCAAATGCGTATCGGTGCATGCTAACGGTCAGCTGGCCTCAGAATCTGCCCTCCCCTGCGGTGGTCGACCATGTCGTCAACGTTTTCTTCGACCGTGTGCCTACGGTCCCAAAGATGTTCAACCGCGCACACTTGTTCAGCTCCCTGCAGCTTCCCCCATGGCATCCAAACTTCCCGGTATGTTGACAAGTCAGGGGCGGAAGATCAGTTCGCTGACGCATCCCTCAGAATACAATGGTGTTGCACGGCATTCTGGCGATTACGGCTCCTTTCCTCTCACCCGAAACCGTAGCCTCGCGCGAGTACTTCCCTGTGGGCACGAAGGCCAGCGAGACCCTCCACCCGGAGCACGACCTCAACATGGAGTCTTCCATGCGTTCCATCCCCTTCATCTCGGTAATGGGCGGGCAGATTGTCGACCAGTCGAACGCTCTCACACGATTCCAGATGTGGCATCGCCGACGATGCCTGCAGGGAGTGGGAGACGCCGTCAACAGTGGTGACATCTTGGCTGGAGTGCAATGTAAGCCACACCTTCGAGACAGCCGCTGACCGCACAGCCCTGACGCTCGCCGTGCAGATGGATTTCGCCAACGGATGGTTCACTGATGTCTTCATGGAATCTGCCTGTGCCGTTCGCATGGCCCTTCCTCAGTACCTGCACCTCTCGTCCTGTACGTCTTTCTCAGGCACCCCGTGGCATCGCTGACTGTTCCTAGTGAAAGAGCGTGACTCCCTCCTGCACAACCCTGTGCTCGTCGCACCTGCACAGTCGGCCCTTGAGCAAGCGGAGCAGGACAGGACGTGGTGGTGAGTAGTTCGGTTGGAGCCGGCAGGCGATTGAGCTAACGATACAGGCTGACCTACTACGTGGAGAGAATGTCGACCTGCGGCACCGCCTGGCCGACCGCCGTTGCCGACAACGAGATCTCGGTGGAGATGCCCGTCATTCAGCACATCTACGACACCTCTTCTCACGACGGTCTGGTCGGCGTTCAGAGCTTCAAGTCTCCAGACTTCTACTCTGAACACCCGCCGCAGCACATGGACAGCCTCAATCTTCTGATCAAGGCTATGCGACTGTATGGCGAAACCAGCACCTTCATCCGACGATACACGCAGGACACGCACACGTACGCCCGCTACCTCTCCGACCCGGAACTCCGACGGCTCATGATGGACATTAACACCTTCCGAATGAGCTTCCCTCCGCAGCTGCGCCGGCCTATGCAGCCCACGAGGGACGGTGGCGAGGCAATCGATGCCGACCTGTTCACGGCTATCTCTCTAACGCACGCCTGTGTTCTGAACCTCGGCCAAGCCCTGATTACGCACTTGACCTGGAATGACGAAGCCGCCAAGATGATTCTGTCCGCGGTCCGCGCCATTCTGTCGCTGCTGTTTGACCTGCAGGCGACCAGCTACGATTGTGAGCTCACTACTAGGTGACGTTTGGGGAGCCACTAACGCCCAGTGACGCTACTTCCGCCAGTCAATTCGTTCATCTGGGGCCAAGCGACTAGATGCCTCTTGCGCTTCATCAATTCCGCTAGGCTGTCCAACAACCACGTTGCGTCTAATGTGTTCGAGGCCGAGGTGCAGGAGTTCCAGTGAGTACCAGCTTACCAAGTTGGACGCTTGAGCTGACGACTCAGCCGTGCCCATGTGCTGTACGCCCAGCGTCATCCTCTCGCTGTTAGGCACCTCAAGCTCGTCGAGACATTCAAGGAGCAGGTTGCCAAGCTGGCAGACGACCAGGTCCGGCTCGTGCCGACACATGACCTCATCTTCGATGCCGAGTACGGAATCAAGGCTGCTCGCCGCAAGTCTATCTCGTCCCTCACTTCCCCTGTGGTTGCCGAGGCACTGGCGACACCGACTCCGTCGCAGACCGGATCGCTGCACTCGGCAGGCAGCCAGACTTCTCCCGCGGCTACCTCGGCGCAACAGGTGCCGCAGTCGAACCAGAAGCTCGGAACAGCCGCGGCTGGGCAGCACCGATCAGCGTCGCAGCCGGTCACGGGCAGCGCGCGCGTCAAGATGTCCCCGAACCCTCGCGTTAACCCGAACGGAACGCCTAACGGGCTCTCGAACACGGTTAGCCCCATGCCGAGCCCGATGCAGGGATCTGGAGCGGCCATGCACCAGGTTCCGCCCGTGCAGCAGCCGCAAGCCCAGCAACAGCAGCCGCAGCAGCAGCAGCAGTTTGTGCCACCCCAGCCCCAGCCGCTGCAGCAGCCTCAACCCCAGCAGCAGTCTCAGCAGATGCCGGGCCAGCAGCCGCAGGTCCAGCAACAGCAGGGCCAGCAGCGCATGCCGCCTCAGCCAATGACGCAGCAACAGCAACAACAACAACAGTTCATCCAGCAGCAGCAGGCGAACCTGTTCTCTGGCTTCAACGCCGCCGGCGAGGTGCCCCTCCCGGGCTGGTTCCAGACGTACGATGGCTTTGACGTCAACTCGTACTCGTTCGATGTCGAGCAGATGGCGAACCTGTTCCAGACACACGATCCGAACGGAACGTTTGACGGCTCGCATCTCGTGTACAACTTGTCGTGATTTACAGTTTTCTCTCTCCTCACCGTTCTTCATAAGTCAATAAACAGTCATACCCGTAACCGTAACACTAGCACTACTTCTATACACATACAACCTAAGATGTAACTCGTAAGAATCTTGTCGTATGCGCAGCATCAGCGCATCAGCATCAGTGCTTCAGAAGTGGTTCACCCGGTGCTATCTCAGTCCATAGCCGCAAACGAGCCGCAAGCCAGATCTCCTTGGGGCGAGGTGGGCGGGGTAGACTCCGATCAATCGGATTGACCAACTCCGGGTCCTCCGGCCCGGCCAACCGGCGCGACCGGCGTTGACTGGGCGGTAAATGACGGTCCCCCCAGTTCCCAGGTGGAGGACAAGGACCCTGGCGTGCCCACTGACCATGCACTACCGGATAGCCAGCTAGTTCTTGCAACAACCACATGTTCCGCCGACTCTTGCACACGACAGCACGAAGAAGCATGCCGCAGAAGATTCTCATGTGAGTGGGCTCTAACGCGAGCGCCGAGCGCAGCGAGCGTCCCGCACCTCACAGATCGTGGTGGTCTTGCCCCGGGATCATCCCTCCCACACACCCGAAGCTAGGATGGCGGGGAAGGTGCCGGCGGTGACAGCTCCGTTTCGTCGGTGCCATCCCCGCCAGCACGCACCGATATTGCGAGGGGCACAAAGATGTGGGGAATTGAGGACGGCGAGCGGGGAGACAGAATGGGCCGAGGTGCCAAGGGGAGGCGAGGAGATCGACTCGGAGCCTAGCGCGCAGCCAAGCTTCATTCTGGGCCCAACAGCCGGGTGAATGTTAGTGCTGATGGCGTTCTTGGTGTGCTGTTGAGTCTAGGCGGCAGAACTGCGTCGCCTGTAGCCCTGTCTGCAAGGCGTTGGGGCTCCGGTTGACCTTCCTCGCGACTCCCTGCTCTCCTACCCCCCTACTCCCTGCCGTATCATGCCATGTCTAGCTCCCCGAAACAGCCAGAGATTTCCAGGCTGACCCCAGCACCCGCAACGTCGGCCCCGAGGCCATGGCCAAGCTCGAGGCGTCGCCGTTCGAGCTCATCGTGAACCCCGAGGACGCGGCGCCGGAACGCTCCTGGGTCCTCGAGCACCTCAAGGACCCCGAGGTTGCGGCCGCGTGCATCATGCACGGCCAGGCGAGCGACAAGGTTGACAAGGAGTTTATCGACGCGTGCGGGCCGGGGGTTAAGTGTATCTCGACGTTCTCTGTTGGCTTTGGTGAGTGTGGTCAGGGTTGTGCGGCGCTCGTCATCTCATGCAGTTGACGCGATCGTCCCGCGGCCCTGGTCCTCCTTCGTCGGACTTGGTCGGCTGATACCAGACCACATCGACGTCCCGCTCGCGAACAAGAAGGGCATCAAGATCGGGCACACGCCTGGCGTGCTCTCCGACGCCGTGGCGGACATCACGATCGCGCTCCTCCTCATGGCCATGAGGCGGATGGGCGAGGGCATCGAGATCGTGAAGGAGGGCCGATGGCCTCAGATCCCCTGGGCGCCGTTCGTCATGTGCGGTCCCTCGATCGGGCACCCGAACCTCACGATCGGATTCCTGGGCTTCGGCCGCATCTCGCAAGTGACGCTCGACCGTCTCGTGGCGTTCACGAACAAGGACCAGCCTCCCAAGATCCTCTACACGAGCTCGAAGGCGCGCCCGAACCAGGCCGAGATCGACGCCGACTTCAGCAAACAGTGGGACGGCAAGGTCGCCTCCGTCTCGCGCGTGGAGGCGGACGAGCTGGCCGAAAAGTCGGACATTGTCATTGTGCTCTGTGCGCTGAACGAGAGCACGAAGGACCTCGTGAACAAGGACTTCCTGAAGAAGATGAAGAAGACGGCAGTGCTCGTCAACTCTGCCCGAGGCCCCATTGTCAACAGCGACGACCTCGCCGATGCCCTCGACCAGGGCGAGATCTTCGCTGCCGGCCTCGACGTCATCACGGGCGAGCCCAACATTAGCCCGGACCACAGGCTCGTGAAACACCCCAAGTGCGTCGTCATTCCGCACATGGGGAGTGCGGACTATGACACGAGGAACGCCATGGCGGACCTGTGTGTCCGGAACGCTATCGCCGGCGCGGAGGGGAAGCCGCTCCCGGCTGAGGTTAAGGTGTAGGCGTAGCGACGAGCGGCGAGCGGCGAGACCGGAGGTCGAGCCGTGAGTGCTTCCTTGCACTTGCGCTTGCGTTTCGCGCTTCGCGGTGCTAGATAGTATTGTAGGGGTCAGTAGACGGTAGTTAGAACTCATGCGAACAGAAACAAATACATGGGATATACTGCGAACCAAGAACCTCATTTTTCTTCTCTTCCCCTTCCCGGGGGCCGCTTAGATCCTCCAAACCTCACTCCTCGCGCGCTCCGCGACCCCGTGCGTCGTGTATCCCTCCTCGTCGACCTGCTCCAGCCGCTCGGGAGATGAGGGATGGACAGTGATCTTGGCAAAGGTGCCAGGCGCATTAGCGCGCGACAAATGGCCGGGGTTAACAACCAGCGTCTCGTCGACAATCTTGGAAAAGTGCCTCAACTTGCTGGGCAGGATGAGCACATCCGGCGCCGTGTCGCCGAGCGACATCTGGTCCCAGTGCGTGACGTCGAGATTGACCTCGTGCGCCAGCGCCTCCGGCGCGGGAAAGAGGGGGTAGAAGCTCCTCTGCCCCAGCACATGCCGCACGAGGTTGGCCATGGCGTCGCCCTGCGGATTCCTGTTGACGGGCGTAGAGGGGTCCGGCTCCGCCTCCTCGGCGCGCTGGAAGAGCTCCTCGCGCCGCAGGTGGAAGAGCGTGTCCACGCTTGATGTGGAGATGACCACCTCGTTGAGCGAAAAGGTGCACGGGTTCGGGAGCACCTTGACGCGCTTGCTCAGGCCGAGGCCGTCGCGCTCCAGCATCGCCTGCGGAAACGCGGCGTGGCGCGAGAGCAGGTCGCGCACACTCGGGATCAGGATCACGACCGTGCCCGGGGACTCCTCGTTGATGCGGGCAAGGCGGCTGGCGATCTGTTGCCGGAACAGCTCGACTGGGGTCTGGCGCAGAGCGCCAGAGGCGATGGCGGGGTGGTGCGCGTCGACGAACGGGCCGAGCATGATGACCGCGTCCGGGCGCTCGTCGCAGACCACGTCCACCAGCGCGTCCAGCGGCTCGTACTCCAGGTTATTGTCCAGTGTGTATGGGCCGGCGCAGGAGTAGATCGACATCGGGAGGCCGCCCAGCCGCTCGCCCTGCTGGTACTGCACGATCTCGTCGGGCAGGGACGACGGGAGGATCTGCGCCGGCGGCATGAGCACCTCGTCCGCGACGTAGGCGTCGCCGCCCCCGTTCCGTCCCTTCACGCACACGAGGCAGCCGGGGAACAGCCCGAAGCCTCGGACACCCGGCGCGCCGCCTCGGACCTTGACGTCCGGGCTGAAGCGGAGGGGGACAATGTTGCCGCCGCCAAACTGCCGGCTCGACTGCAGGTACAGGCTGCCCACCGTCGCCTTGTTGCTGTCCGTGGGCGGGGAGAGGATGCGGCCGACCGTGTACGTCGCGTCCTCGGCGGGCACGTGCGGATCGCCCAGCTCCGTCAGCCCATAGGCGTCCATGATCGTGAAGGCGAAGGTGTCGATTTGCTCGTCGAGCGCCTCGGACCGCGCACTCATCTTCTCGAACATGTAGCGATAGTCCCAGGCTTTGGGGTCCTCGGTCGCCGTGAGCTGGACGCGCGGCCGGGCTACGCCAGCTGGCACACCGGAACCAGGGGAGAGGTGTCCGTTCAGAGTCTCCTGCAGGTGGTGCGGCTGAGCACGCGCGTGGAACGGCTGTGTTGTCGCCGTCATCATTCTGTGGTCAGCTTGGCCGTAGGCAACAAAGCTTACCCGTTCGGCGACTCAGCGCCTGATACCGGGCTCGAGGGCGCGATACCGTCCTTGCCCAACGGCGTTGAGACGGGAACAGCGAGTCGAGACGGCCCAGAGGGGCGGTAGCTGCTGGCTGTCGGGATGGGGCCAGTTGGCGTACGATGCGGCGTGCTCATGCTAGACGGCGAGGGCACATTCGCATTGTTGCTCGTGTTCGACAGTTGCGTCGCGACATTGCGCTTCTTCACCGGCGTCGAGAGGCCATCAAGGCTGCTTGTCAGCTTGCGTGCAAGTGTAAAAGAGCTCACAATCCTCCGAGGTCCGCGACCGCCGCGTTCTTCCGCCGCACACCGGCAACCTTGGTGTCGCCGTTGTTGACGCTACTGGCAGCCTTGCTCGCCTTGCTCTGGCTCTCGCGCTGAATTTCCTTGCGCAGCTCGCGCGCGACGTCGAGGTTGAACTTGGACAGCTTCTGCCTCAGTCCGCTCGGCCGCGACATCAGGAACGCCTCGTACTTGAAGAACAGGTCCTGCGCCGAGAGCGAGTACATGCGGAGCATCGACAGACCTGTTGTCAGCTCACGCGCAAGCTTGCAGCTTACACTCTGCCATGACGTCCTCGTGCTCTGAGACAGCACCCTTGAAGCATCTTGTGAGGTCGGCGCGCGCTCCGTCGTCTGCGGTCGTCATGGTTGGCTGGGTTGGTGGTTGTGAGAGCAGTCTACTCGCTGAACATTGTCAACATGAGCGGAGGGCGCGTTAACGCGTCGCGACGCGGAGTCAGGCTCACGTGGTTGCGAAAGTCAACGGCTGCGCGATGTCAGCCACAACTTGGGGAAATGAATAACATCGGAGAGGGGCCGGATGTCCGCTCGGTTGACTGGATCTGGTGAGCCCCGCATTCCAGACTGCCCAGAAGTCGCAACACGCGACCATCATCATCAAGATCATCTCGAACGCATTCCTTTCCTTCGACTAACTGGATCTGGCGCTTATCGCTGTCCTCGGAGCAAGACCTTCCATCTTTGGTTCTGCGTTTACGAGCTGCGCACTCAACTTCAAACAAGCAGAGAGAAGGTGTTGCCCGTCTGAGGACATAGAGTCGGGCAACCTCCACCTTCCAGGCCAGAATGTTGGTACAGCTCTCTGTCCATCTCAGCTGACATTACAGGGCTGCCCTCAACAAGCTCGCCATCCGTGGCATTCGCTCCTTCGACGACAAACATGTTCAAGTCATCGAGTTCTACTCTCCTCTCACCGTCATCGTTGGTCACAATGGCAGTGGCAAGACGGTGAGCTGCTTAAAGGTTGTGGAGGTAGCTGACGACCAGACGATCATCGAATGTCTCAAGTATGCAACGACAGGTGACCTTCCCCCAAACACCAAAGGAGGTGCTTTCGTCCATGACCCCAAGGTAGCGTAATACTGTCAACTGCAAGCTGACAATCAGATGGCGAACGAGAAGGAAGTGAAGGCTCAAGTACGCCTGCGCTTCTGGAACGTGAACCGCCAGCGTATGACAGTCACCCGCAGTCTCCAGGTCACGACGAAGAAGACAGGTGGCCTGACGATGAAAACGCTGGAGGGACTGCTTGCCAAGACCGACGGCAACGACGGCAAGGTGAGGTGCTCGCCTAGACATGGCTGACCTCCCAGCGCAACACGATCTCGACCAAGTGCTCCGAGATGGACGAGGAAGTTCCACTCCTGCTCGGTGTCTCCAAGGCGATCCTCGAGAACGTCATCTTCTGCCACCAGGAAGACTCCAACTGGCCTCTGTCCGAGCCCGCCGCCCTCAAGAAGAAGTTCGACGACATCTTCGAGGCGACCAAGTGAGTTTTGTCGTGAGCGGGGAAGACTGACCATCCCCCAGGTATACTAAGGCGTTGGACAACATCAAGCAGCTGAAGAAACAAGGTGCCCAGGACCTCAAGGTGGAGAATGAGAGACTTACCCATCTCAAGAAGGACAAGAACCGAGCGGATGCGGTAAGCTTCGAGGGGCAGCACCCAGCTCACCACGCAGATGAGGGAGGATATCGAGGAGATGATCGCCAAGGAGAATGCGAAGCAGACCGAGGTCGAGCGTCTCAACGAAGTGTACCAGCGTATCAAGGAGGAGAACTTCGAGTTTGCCCAGCAGGCGACAAGTTTCAACACCATCTTCGAGCACGTCACTATGCTCGAGAAGGAGAAGAAGATGCACGAATCCTACCGAGACACGATTTTGGAGGGGACGACTATCCTCAATGGTGAGCTTTACAGGCATTGTCACCAGAATCTGACATGAAGACTCAATTGAAGATCTGAAGCGTCAGTATGAGAACTTCGATGCCCACTTGAATTCCATCGAGTCTAAGCGCGACAAGCAGACGGAACTGCGTGACAAGGAGGACCATGCGCTGAGGGACTTGCGGAGGCGCGAAAACAATCTGATCAGTACGCAAGGTGGGCTACAGGCCAACCGCAAGGTATGCCATCTGGAAACTTCGAAGGCTGACCACAGAACTACGAGCGGAATGTGAAGGAGCGCGAGGCAGCCGTCCGAAACTTGGCGAAGCAGCATAACTTCTCGGGCTTCGATTACAGCCCGCTTGAGGACACAAAAGTGGCTGACTTCATCGAAAAGCTTCAGGAGCTTGTCCGCAAGGCCGAGTCTGATCTGAAGCGCATACAGATGGACGGTGTGCGCAAGGAACGTGAGCTGCAGGCGGAACTCGATCACCTGTCCAGTGTCAAGACAGCCGCCGTCACCACTAAGCAGAGCAAGCTTGACCAGATCGTGAGATACAGCTGTGGTTTGACTTCTCTGACGTTTAGACGCAGCTGAGCAGCCGTATTCATCACATGGAGGCGACCTTCGACTCAGTCAGCTCGGTTGACGCAGACATCAGTGTACTTGCGAACGATCTCGAGGCATCTGAGCAGCGGCGAGACCGATTGGATGAGGAGATCAGGAATGCGAAGTACGATGATCAGATGCGTGAGCGTGGCGCTGCCATTCGCCAGAAGGAGCTGGAGAAGGACAAGATCAACGCCGAGCTGTCGGCTCTGAACCGGCAGGCCGATACACGAGCTCAGCTGAGTATCAAGCGGACGGAGATCGAGTCCAAGACGGCTCAGGTTGATGCATCGTGAGTTGAGAAGAAACAATCGCCATTGCTGATCCCCAGAGTCAACAATCACTCGGCGCGCTTCAGAGAGCTCGTTGGCTCCGACATCAAGCCGGAGACCATGGAGGAGACCGTGACAGTCGCCATAGGGTGAGCTGCTCAAACAAGCGTTAGCTGACGTTGCAGACGGCGTGAGCGCGAGTTGCAAGAGGCTGAGGCCACGGCGGCTGCCAGTAACCGGACACTGTCCCAGCTGCAGACATCTCTCCATATTGCTAAACAGAGTCTCCAGTCGAAAACCGGCGAGCTGACGCGTGAGTTAAGCTCCGTCCTTCGTGTGGCTGACGCACAGGTCTTGAAAAGAGCATCGCTGACGCTCTCGTGGAAAGCGGCCAGCCGTCCATCGAGGACGCCATCAAGGAGGCGGAGACGGAGGTCAACATCCGTCAAGAGTGAGTCACAAGTACTTATAGCTCCATTAACCCGCAGCGAGATCGCCGACACAGAGACGTCTGTCAAGTTCTACAAGAAGATTCTGGACCTGGGCAAAACAAAGAAGAAGTGTCTGGGATGTGACCGTGCAATTCACGACAACGAGAAGCCTCACTTTGAAGCATATGTAAGTTCCAGAGGTTTCGCAACAGCTGACTTCAGATCGCCACACGCATTGAGCGTTGTTCGACTGGTAACATGGACGAGGTCAAAGAGGAGTTGGAGCAGTGGCAGACCGAGTTGACAAACTTGCGCAAGCACGTGCCCTCTGTTGCGCAAGCCAAGCTTCTGAAGGAGAAGGAAATCCCCGATCTGCAGCGCCAGATCAAGGAGGAGTCCGCGAAGCTCGAGACTGTGCAGACCGAAGTGGAAGAGGTGAGTCAATTCTCCTCGAGAAATGAACTGACGAATAGTCCAGGGAGGTTGTGCAGAAAGCCAAGCTCGCGACCTGTGACCTGCAGAACATGAGGAGTGCAGCGACAGTTGTCACTCGTACAGTTGGTGAGATCAAGGATCTCAAGATCGACGTTCAACGTCTCGAGCGCGATCTGCAGGGCTCCGGCTCTGTGAAGACTGTCGAAGAGGTTCAGCGCGAGGTTGACAAGCTTTCGAATGAAATGTAGGCCATCCACAGGCATCATCCCGCTGACAACTAGCAAAAACCTCCAGCGAGAGCAGAGCTCCCTTTCCTCCGAGAAGGAGTTCAAGAGCAACGCACTGCACACTGTTCGCGAGGAGATCAGCCGCAAGTCTTTCAAGCTTGCTGAGCTCAGGACGAAACAAGAGAAGCGCCGCATGGACGAGCTCGCTTTGAAGGAGCAGCAGGAAGAAAGGTCAAAGCTCCAAGCCGAGCTGAAGGTAGGGTTTCGTCGCTTTCTGTAGGTGCTGACCTACTCCCAGGAACTCGATGCTGCCGCTGCAGCCGCCCTTGCGCCTTGGCGCGAGAAGACCGAGGCCATGGAGCGATTCCGCGCCGAGCGCCAAAGCGCCCTGGACGACGCCAACGTGCAAGTCGACAGTTACCGTTCCAGCGCGACTCAGCTTGAGTCCAAGAATCGCGCATGCCAAACGTACATCTCGGAGGGGAACGACCGAAAGCTGCGCGAGAATGAAGCACAGATAGATGACCTGCGGCGGGAGATCGAGGCGACATCAGCGACCCGAGCTGCGATCGACAAGCAAGTTACTGCCCTGAACGACGATATCTCGCGAGCGTCTGGCACGCGTAAGAATATCAAGTCGAACATTGACTACCGCGGGGAGATGGCCAAGATCGAGGAGGTCGACAAAGAGCTCGCCAGCATTGACATCGAAGGTGCGGCGCAGGCGCGTCGCGACTTCAACAAGAAGTACGCCGAGCTCTCACAGGAGGAGACGGACGCGCAGGGCAAGTGGCAGCTGGCGAGCGGTGTGCTGCTGCAGATGACCGAGAACCGGAAGAAGGCCGAGCACCTGCTCAAGACGGAGTACCGGGACATTGAAAAGGTGTACATTGACCAGCTCATCAAGACAAAGATGGGCGAGCACGCCAACGCCGATCTCGACAAGTACGGCAAGGCACTGGACAAGTGAGTTGCGTTATTACCACTCGAACTGACCTCAGTGCGATCCTGAAGTACCACTCGCTGAAGATGGACGAGATCAACGACACGATCGGCCATCTGTGGAACAAGACGTACCAGGGGACGGGTGAGCTTCTATCACCTGTAGCAGCTGACCACAGACATTGACGGCATCCGCATCGTGTCCGACCACGACGAGGCGAGCACGTCCGCGCGCAAGAGCTACAACTACCGCGTGGTGATGGTGAAGAACGATGTGGAGCTGGACATGCGCGGCCGTTGCAGTGCGGGCCAAAAGGTGCTCGCGTCGATCATTATCCGCCTCGCGCTCGCCGAGTCGTTTGGGCAGGGCTGCGGCGTGCTCGCGCTCGACGAGCCGACGACAAACCTGGACCAGGAGAACATCAATGCGCTCGCCGAGAGTCTGGCCGAGATCATCCGCGAACGGCGCCGCCAGGCAAACTTCCAGCTCATCGTCATCACGCACGACGAAGGCTTCCTCCAGCGCCTCGCGGCTCACGACGTGCTCGAGTACTACTGGCGCGTGAGCCGGGACGCGTCGCAGAAGAGCACGCTGGAGAGGCAGCGTGTGGGCATCTAGGCGGCGAGATGCACCGAAGGGCACGTCAGTGCCCGTGCAATAGCTCGTAGAATAAGCCAAGCCGTGTTCAGTCATGTTCAGTCATGTTCAGTTGTACAATGCATTTCGATCCCACTGTGCATATCAGCGCCACAGTTTTGGTAACGCTGGAGCATATTTCTGGCCTCAATGTCAGTTCAGCAGTCTGAATAGCGAGGCTAATGGATGGTCACCTGCAAGGTTGGATGAGTGCACAGACACTGTCGATCACACAAATCAGTGCGCCCCATTCCGCATCACCATCCTGCCACCCTCCCTACCTTATACCTGGCTGCCTCCCTGCCTGCTTCAGTGGGCCGCGGTACAAGTCGCAGGTATACATCTCAATGCAAGTCTGGATCTGATCGCTATAATCGCTATCTTGTAAACGTCTGTACGGTGTGTAGGGTCTGTACTCGGAGTATCGGAGCCAGACAGGGGCGCTGGGTCTATGGCAAGGAAATGTGCCGCCGTCACCGTCGTGGGCGGATGGGCGGATGACAGCTTTCAACCATCGACATGAAGTCAATGGCGGGGTCGTGACCAGCGGTACCAGCGCAGCGGCTGGCGGCTGGCCGCAGGGGATAGATAGGTGGGAAAATGCGGGCTCGGGGCTCGGCGAGCACCGGCCTCGCGCCGCGCGTTTAGTTGGCTCGAACCCGAGCCTCGGGCTGGACGGACACCAGCCTCGCGGCCTCGCCTTCGGCTCGCCAGGCTTAACAAATGACACAGCACTTGCCAACCCCCCTGTCCTCCTTCTCGCGCCGCTTGTACTCCCTCTCGCGCTTTGACTCGCCCACCCCGCCGTATCCCGCATCGCGGACTGTCATGGCCGCCCTTGTTGCGGCCTCGAAGACCTCGAGCACGCCCTCGTTCAGCAGCGCGCTGGTTTCGTGGAACGCCTTGGCGCCGATACGCTCGGCTACGACGCGGCCCTGGGCGTTAGCGACGAGCGAGCAGAGCGAGCGAATCGCCCTTGGTGTTAAGAGGCGAGCGGAGCGAGACTGTGCTGATTTACAAGTGGAGAGAGAGAAGGAGAGGGGAAGGGGACAGGATTGAGGAGAATGGTAGAGTGGAGGAGGAGGATGTGCCACAAGAACCTAGACAGGGTCCACCCTGACCCATGTCACATGCACCTCGCTTAGGATTGTCGTCGGGCTCACCCGACCCAGACTCTGCGACCCAGAATCCTGGGTCACCTCTGTTGAAATGCACACGACCCACCGCCCTGGTCCCTTTGTTCGCAGATTGGGCTTGTCATACGTCAGGCGCAGCAGCAGCTCGCCCATGGCTGCTTCGAAACCGACTGACGACTGCTTTGGCCTGCACGACCGAACGACATCGATGCTGGCGCCAGCGGTGTATGCGATGCACGGACCATGGCTGTTCCCTTCGCTTCTCATTCCACCCACACTTCCCTCACTTTGTGACACCCCCCTGACGACTCTCGCCCAGCTCGCTTCGCTCGCAGGTTGCACTCACCGTAGCCTCATCGATGAACTCGTCCCGGTTGTACGTTCCATTCGCGATCGCCTTGTCGCGCAGGTCGCGCTTGCACGCAACAAGGATGACGGGTATAGACGACCCGCAGATGTTTCGGACTTCCTCGATCCACTGAGGGTTAGCTTGTTGCACTTGGCTGGAAGTAGCTTTGCAGCTTTGCAAGTCGCAAGACATGCAGCGAACAGCACATGGGATGGACAATGGCGCTGGTAGTCTGGAAGGCTGGTTTATCTGGCCAGCCGTCGATCCCCGCACACTGGCGCCGCATTCCCCAGTGGAACGGCGGACGCCGCGCAGATCGCCGCCTGTGCCGGCTGATCTCTGCTCGCTGCCGGATGCTGTGCACGCATCGTGCGTTGTACACATCGTTCCATCGTGCCACTGCACGCGGCTCACATGCACACTGCTCGCTGCACGCTTTGCTGCAACTCACCTTCTGCGTCACGTTGTCGAGCGAGTCAGGCGTGTCCACCGAGTATGCAATAAGGATGATGTGCGCCTTGCTGTAAGACAGGGGCCGGAGACGCTCGTACTCTTCCTGGCCTGCCGTGTCCCAGAGCGCGAGCTGGATCGGCTTGCCGTCGAGCTCAATGTCCGTCACGTAGTTGTCGAACACGGTCGGTTCCTTGGGAGTGCGTCAGCCCATGCCCTTCTTCTGCCTCTCATTATGCTGTAATCTGCGTCGCCGATCGGCCGCTAGGCCACTGAACGAGCCCTTCGGTCTCCGGATTGAGGCCAGCCCACCATTCATCTGTCTGCAGTGTAGAAGTGCCACACACACAAACATGCAGACGACAACGCTTGGGATACCAGCAGCTCGGTACGCCATGCGTGTGGGCTCATGGGCTCTCGGCTAGCCGGCAGACGCTCGTGCTTGGCCTGAAGCTTAAGTTTGCAGGTGTGAACGGCACCCACTCAACGGACGCAAACTGCGTGGGGGTCCGGATCCGATGCCCTAAGCGGTCGCCAGCCCATGCAGCCCACTATCGCAGTTGCCCAGCGAAAGACGAAACTCACGTATGTTTGCGGGAACTCGCCGACAGCGAACACGTTCAGCAGCGACGTCTTGCCTGCCGCTCCGTCACCCACGATGACGAGCTTTCGTCGGATCTGTCGGTTGCGAGCCGAGCAATGATGCGGGGTGGACAGTCCGCCGGATATGCAGGGGCGGTGGGAAGTGTGCGCGCATGAGTAGGAGCAGAGTTGGAGTGGCCGCAGCAAGGTGGTCGAGAAGCAGAGTACAGCGCAGGCAGTAAACACGCAGGAGACGGTCGGAAGGGGCGGGGCAGCAAGGAACGGTGCGAGTGCGTTGTGAGGTACGGAGGTACGGGTGCGGTGTCAGCGGCGAGATCCTCCGATGCAGCGCAGGCGAAAGGACTTACGGGACGTGTTCCGGACATGATGGGCTAGAGGCGGTGGTGTGTGGGAGTGGTTCTAGGTGGTGGGGGAGGGTTGGGTGTGTGCGTGTGCAGAAGTCGAAGCGGTTGAGAGAGATCAGGCGTTACTGGGGGTTGGAAAGTGATGAGGGCGGCGTGGGCGGGGGCGTTGAAAGGGGGAAGCAGTGTATGATGTGTATGTATGTAAAGGGGGCAATGGGGTGATGGTGTCTTTGATAGAATGCGAAACGAAGATATACAGGAGAAGAGAAAGCAAAGAGAACAGACAGACAGAGTGAGAGAGATGGAGAGTTGAGAAATCAAAGTCACAGAGAGCGGAGTGTCGAGTGCCAAGGCAGTGTGAAATGTCTGGGTGCGTGTGGGTTGGCCAGGGTCCGGGTGTCCTCGGCGGACGTTGCGGTGCGAGAGAGACACCGAGACTGCTTTCAGCGGAATGATCGGTCGATCAATGAGACCGGGTCGAGGCTATGTCTTATGGATCTGGTGTCTTTTTGCAGAATCCAGTGCAGTCAAGAGATCTGTGGTTGTGGGAGGGTGGCTTGAGAAGACGAAGAGCAGAGAGTGTTTTGAGAATGAGCAGCCTGGCAGCAGCAGGCTGTGCATGGTGGGGATGGTGCGGACGTTGAAACATGGCGTGCCTGGATCCCACTGATGGCCATGACCTGCATGACTGCACCATGAGACATTTCTTGCGAGCCATCTCCATCTTCCCTTCCATGCGTCGTCACGGGAGGCTAATGGATGGTCACCTGCAAGGTTGGATGAGTGCACAGACACTGTCGATCACACAAATCAGTGCGCCCCATTCCGCATCACCATCCTGCCACCCTCCCTACCTTATACCTGGCTGCCTCCCTGCCTGCTTCAGTGGGCCGCGGTACAAGTCGCAGGTATACA